GACAGGTGTCAACCATCTGTTCCTCCTTCTTCTACGCGGACCCGTTAAGCCCCCACCGCTGTTACGTCCATTGCCCAAGACCACCCCAATGGCGGCGCCCCCACGCTCCCCAGGAAACATAAATGTCAACAAGGCCAGGGACAACTCCATAAAAACAGATTAAAATAGAATAAAATTATAAAAACAATTAAAAACTCCCCCTTCCCTAACGGCAGGTGGGCCAATTACAACAAATCCCCTGGCCAGCCCAGCCCCCCGCTCGGCCGGCGCTTTAAGGCCGCAGGGCCCTCCTGAAGTCCCGCCCTGTCCCGCATGCCTCTCTCCCGTGCGAGGGGGCGGGCCGGAACCGGTCCTGGTCCTGGCTGGTGCTCCTGGGCCGATGGTGCTGGCCTCTGGAGGGCGGCACGGCAGCCGGCGGGCGCGTGCAGCCGGCGGGCGCGCGAAGGTCCTGCAGCGCGGGGGAGGTGTGCATTCCAATGGAGCAAAGCTCAAGGAACCAGGCTTCAGGTTGGATGTCAGGAAGTACTTCCTGATGGTTAGGATTCCTAGGATATGGAATGGGCTTCCAAGGGAGATGGTGCAGGCTCCATCAGTGAGGGTGTCCAAGAAAAGATTGGAGAACCACATTGGGGATTACGTGAGTGGAGCCAGCTGGAGCTGGGGGGAGGGGGTCAGACTAGATAGCCCGGGAGATCCCTTCTGACTCGCTTAGTTTCTATGTCATGCACATCAGTAAATGATGCTGCTTCCAAAGGTTGGTGTCTGAGCCAGAAAACCAAACAGAAATCCTGCTCCAAGCTCCCAACAGGGCTTGCTCTGCAAGACTTCGATTGGAGGGTCTTCACAGGACAGACCTGCCTGTCTCCCATCTTCTGCCTTTTAATGGCACCCCAAATCAGACACCTGGGCCAGATGCTTTGCCATGCCCCACGGCAGAATTACCCTGGAGCCACGTCACCAAATGGTCACTATAGTTAAGAAGCAACGTCCGATTTTGCCGAGAGTTTCTGCTGTCTCAGAACTGCACAATCTACAAGGCCCTGACCAATGATATGTCAGCAACGCTTCTATTATTTGGGGGATTTATTGCAGTTCTGCTTCTTGCAGCCCACATTCTTCAGCTTGTGCCCATCTACCCTCCTGGACGAATGGGATGTTTGAGGTTCCCACAGCAGGCCTTCTGGTCTTAGTGGGAGAACATCTCGTAAAACAGAACCCGTCTTTTCCTAGGGGTGCAGTCGGATTCATACAGCAACATCACTGGATATGGTACTTGGCAGTGTAACACAAACAAAATAGGCAGGCCTCTGCCCCGAGAACCTTGAGTGGGGACACAAATGGAGAAGGCGGCAGGGGAGTTAAAGATAAGATGACAAGGGAAGTATGGAGGTGCAGGAAGTTTGCTTGCACTTCGGGCTAAATTAGAGATGCGTCGATAGACATTTTGGCAGCCCTGGGGTGCAGGACTGTGTCAGAATAAAGAAACCCAGTGTGCAGTGGTGGGGATACGGGAATTAAATCATGGGATACGTGGAGGGCCACAATCCAGTGTCCCCACCATGGCCCCAGCTAGGCTCAGGGAACCGGGTAACTCCTTACTAGTAATGGGAGAAAGCACATCATGGGTGTCGATGGAAGATTATCATCTCAGTGCAAACCACAAGCTCCAATTTGGTCTCAATAGCAAACAGGAAGCTTCAATTTGGATCAGGAGGTGGTGGGAGCAGGGGGCGGGGAAGGGTTGCAGCCCCCTGCCATGGTCCACACTCACTTTGGAGCCCTTGCGACTCCTGTTGTAGATCAGGAACACCAAGGTTAAAATGATGACCAAAATCACATGAGCCTTGGTTTTCACTCTCCTGGTTGAACTCTAAGTCACCAGGTGCACAGGTGGAGAAAGATGCCAAGCAGACAGTTCAGCTGGAGCATCTTTTAAAAGTGAACTCCACTCCGAAACAGACCGAAACATTATGGCTCCTTCCAATCCACAGACCAACCCAAAGGCTGCCTTCCTCCACAACCCAAATATCACTACATGCAATACTCTTTCCAAAGCTTCTCACAAATTCATATGAATGTACTGCAATTTAAAAAGAACAGATGCCCGCCTGTTATTATCTGGTTGTTGTTGGTTTTTCCCCTGGACACCCTCAGTTCCCAGAAGCCAGCCCCATTAGACACGCACCCCATTCCAGCTGTTTACCCCCACAAACAAAGCCTCCGTGAATGGCACAAGCCAAGCGTGTATCAGCACAATGGGAGGGCTAAAAAGCCGCATGCGACTGGTGCCATATGGCAAAGCCGAGCTCGTCTCCGTGAACTGTGAGAAACATGTCAAGGACTAAACAGAGAGCTCACCTAATTTGCCCATCTGTCCATCAAGCCGTTTATTGGTTTACGGTGAAACACGTTGTTTACTGCAGTGCTCCGTTTTGAACAACGGCTTTTGGACCGCTGAAATGCTGTTGGGCCGTGTCTGCACCCCTCATTAGGTCTGTGTCTACATAAAACTAAACATGCAGTTCAGGGAAAATTCCTTGGGTCTGCATTCGCCCACTGGCACGAACCGACACTTCTGCTAATAATGTTACAGAAGGTGCTTGAAATTTGAGGACAATGCTGACCCTTGGCTGTGAATTCGGACAACCTGAGAGAAATGTGATGACTGTCAAAACGCCTCAGACAGGCTCCCTGATGGGCACCTAAGTGAGAAGTCTGGAGTTCACTCAGCTACACCCAGAATGGGGGGAAGCAAATCTCTCTATTCCAGCAGTTCACCTGGATTTGCTAGTATGCTGCGTGTCAGCATTTTGGACACATTTTGGGCACCCCCTGTAACAACTATCTCCCTTATGAACAGTCAAGGCAGTCACTTTACATAGAACTGGCGGGAGCCCCCAGCCGTTGGGCCCATTTGGGGGTCTGAGAAACTGCTCTGGACACCAGCACAGAACCGTTTCCACAGAGGACATGGCCACTCGCCAAATGGGAGCCAGGGGGCCTGGCTTGTTGAAAAGGGGGATGCAGTGGCAGACAGGCAGAAACAGCTTGGCTAGAGGCTTGGCAGGGGAAACAAAGGCATACAGGTAAAGAGGCTAGGAGGAGGAGAGTTAAGGAGGTAAGCGAAACAGAGAGACTGGAGGATGGATAAGAGCAAGTAGCAAACCAAATGGGAGTGGAGAGAGAAAGAACAGGAGCATGGCCAGAGCGGAAAGAAGACCCCCCCCTAACATTTTTCAAGGTAATTATTTATTTGAAGGTGCAGTGAGTTGAGAGCTTTGTGGACACCATCTTGGGGAACCCTGATCTAAGTTTTAACAGAATCATCACTGTCTGTTTTCCTTGTGTTTTGCTCCCCAGTGGTCCCACTGCTAACATTTTTTTTCTCTTCCTGCAGCACTTTCTGACAGCTCAGAATGACACTTATGCACCTGGTGAAACAGGCCCTGACCAATGAATGGTTATGCTGCAAAAAATGTGCTACCTCTAAAGGCCCACAAGATGCTTTCTTGTCTTTCCTCTAACAGACTAAAACATCGACCCCATGGGATCGATGAACAAGGAAAAAATATATAGGAAAGCCATTCCATGAACTCTTCTTACAGCACAGAGCTACTGCCTACTGACAGCAGGGATGTGTAGGGTTACATCTACAAAGTAAGGATTTATATCCCAATCCAAATTTTTTTGGATTTTTATGCTGTCCCATAATTCAGAGGCAATTGCAGCTTCACACAGTGCATTGCTGAACTATGGGATTCACTGGCACAGGAAGCGGTGATGGTTGCCCATCTGGATGGCTTTGGATGGGGGAGGAGGCTATGGCTACTACTCACACCAGCTGCTGGGGAGCATGGGCAGGGAAAACTCTTGCGCCCATCCTGCTGGAGGGGCCCCATGGGCAGCCAGTTTGCCACTGGGGGTACAGACAGCTGGACTGGATGGGCCTTTGGTCTCATCTGGCATGACTTCTTTCTTCAATATTCTCAGCTTCTAAGCTGGGGTGGTCCCAGATGCGGGCCATGTGCGGCCCCCGAGGCTTTGTTCCGTGACCCTCTTGCTGCTCGGAGTCCCCCTGTTCCCCCCGGTCTGGATCCCAAGGATGGCACAGGGATGATCACAGTGGGCCATCTCAAGGCGGCCACCTGGTCCTGCTCTCTTCCTGCGGCTCAGGGAGCTGGTCCGGCTGGTGGCCCCGCCAGAGCTTGCCCCAGCATGCCCCGTGCCGCTCCAGCTGACGAGTGCAAAGGTGCCCAGGCGCTGAGCGCTTCTGCGCATGTCAGCAAGAGCAGGGCATGCTGGGGAAAGCGCGTCAGCTCCGGTACAAGAGGCTCAGTGTGCCCATTCCAAGAAGGAAAGCGGGGCCGGGGGGGGGGGGGGTCACATGGGAAGGTTTCTGGGTGGGAGGAACAGGGAGGAGAGGGATGGGCCACCCCAGAGGAGCAGCCACTGGGCTTGGGCTGTGGTCGGAGAAGGAACTGTCTGCAAACTCTGCCGAGGCCACAGGCCGCAATGGGTTCTTTCTCATTTCGTTCTATACCAGTCGGTATAGAATTGTCTTCACCAACCTGGCCCTAGAATTTCTCACCACAGACCATGCTGGCTAGGGCTGATGGGAACTGCAGTCCAAAACATAACAGGAGGGGAAGGCTGGTGCAGGCAATAACGAGCAAGAAGCACCAGTGACTTGGTACAGGTCACCTTCCTAGGCCGACAAGATGTTCAATGGGAAAATGAAGTCCACCAGCAGTTACAGCTCCCCAATGTAGGCACTTGTATGCCACACATTTACAAAAAGGACACCTGCTGCATTCAAGCCTTCCATTTTAACTACAGTATTAAAAACAAAAAAAGAAATACTAAAAGGATCACGCATCCTGTTTTTACACCAAGGAGTTCCACATGAGCAGCCGTCTCTGTAGGATTCTATTGCGACACTCCTCAACGCAGACAATCACTTCCAATCCTACACCAATGAAGGAACCTCGGTTTTCTCTTACCGTCCTCCAATGACGTCAAAGAGATGCTGCCAGCGGTCATTGATTTTGTTGAGTTTCTCGTCTATTTCAGCCACTCTGCTCTTGCTACTGGCCTTGATCAGCTGATCGCCCATTTGCTTGAAGTGCACTAGTTTGTTTTCGCTGAACAGATGGATTTCCTCCATGCAGTCCTAACCAAAAATGTTGTTTGTAAAGATTATTCTTAATCAATGTAAAAGGGTTTTGTGCATGAATAGAGCTACTGCATGTGGGGCAAACACTCAAAAAGGAAAGGTAGGATTTGGAGGATGACAAGATCCTACAAAAGGAGCAATTGCGTTCTGTCTCAAAGTGGAATTATTTTCATTATAATTAATTGCAGTAAAGCAAAGACCATTCTCCTCTCATTTCATCTCCAAACATCAGACAACGAACCTGGATTATGCTTAGAGCATCTTTCTGCTCACACCCTGTTTGCTAATGGCTTCTCTTCATTGGATGGGAAGACGGGATTCATCTCAAGGGATGGCAGAGCAGCCAGCGAAGGAAGAGATTCTTAGAATCTCCTTAGAAACACAGCCAATCACGAGACAAGAACAAACTGAGCACAAAGCTTAGGAAAGGGGATTTTCTGTGCAGAGAGAATTTTAGTTGCAAAATAACCCTCTGCTTGTCCTATCATGGAATCACAAGAACTTCGTGAGGGGAGTGGTATTAAATGGAATATTTTTAGTTCGGCCAATAAGCCAAGTCATCATGTATTTTTCCTGGCTCACTTGTCCACACATACTTATATTAGTCACCTGAGGCATAAAAAGGGGAGGAGGTGCTGCAGAACGTCCCTGCTTGGTTGCCTGAAGGCAATTCTTGTCCACCCCAGCAGACCAGCAGGGTTGCTATGCCGTTACTGGGAAGGCAAAAGGCCAAAATCAGAACATCGCACTCGTGGTTTGTAACGGCGGTGTGGCAAGCCTAGCTACAGAGGCATCAGTCCTTCCGTGCCGACTGTGACCTGACTGACAAGGAAATAGCTTCTGAAAGGGCACCCACCTTCTGCAGCTTGTCAATCATGTCTTCGATGCTGACGTCCACGGACTGAAGCACTTTGCTTTCCATCTGCACCAGCCAAGCACAGAGCTCTTTATTCTTTTCATTGAACACCATCCAGGCATTAAGTCGGTCCTCGATCTCTTGCTTGCGCAGAGAAACCTATGGAAGAAGATGGCGGGCATGAAGCCCATCTTGGAAATACCCCAGGAAACAAACGAAACTTGCTGCTATAAGCCAGCTATGACTCAACCTATATGCATCAGTTTTCCTCCAGCAAGGATGGCATTGATGGAATTAGCCATTTCTTCCAATTTGTAAGAAAAAAATAACTTTCCCTTTGAAAAAGGGCAACCAGTTTGTCCCATCTGATTTGCCAATAGGGTATAAACAGAAAACACCAGAGTATCTCATTGAAATTGCAGCCCTTTTAATGGCCCAAGCTGGTAAGAACATAGGAAGAGCCGTGCTGGATAAGCTCGAGAGTTTATCTTGGCCAGTAATCTATTGGCACAGGGGCCAACCAATGGTGTGTAGTTGTTAAGAAGTCAAAAAAATAATGATGCAAATTAAATAGACACACTTGAAAAGATGAGCCATCCTGTGGTATTGATAACCTAAGCAAAGGGCTTTAAAATCCCACCAATTACTATAGTTGATACTGTAGGGATCCAAATGATCAGCTGTATGTCTCAGCTCGAAATATGGGGGATTAGCTTTTGAGAACACCTGAACAATATCCTGCCAACCTCCAGCTGACCCAAAATAGCTCTTGGGACATCGTGGACCTGAAGCAAGCAGGATGTCAGCTAGAATGCAAGTGGAGAGACTCCCGCTGAATCCAACCAGATGCTTGTGGGGGGGAGGGTGGCCCAGTGTTGCCAGCTCTGACTCCCTCCATCTCACTAGGGCTTTAGGCGGGGCTCTTTCTTGGCCCTACCTGAAGATGCTAGGGGTCAAACTTGATCTTCTACTGTCAAGTGAGCACCACCACAGAGACACTCTTTTTAAATTAAAGCATTTATAAGGTGATGGGTAGAAAAGGGATGCATCTGAAACATGGGGGGGAGAGCTTTGCAAAAACAGGAAGACAAACCAGTGGGTCCTGGATCAAATCAAGCCAGAACTTTCCCAGGAAGCAAACATGAGGCTGTTGCTCTTCAGGCACATCGTGAGAAGGCGAGACTCCATGTAGAAGACAATAATGCCAGGGAAAGCCCAGGGCAGAAGAAGAAGAAAAAGAGGAAGACCCAACTATGAGATTGATTAGTTCCATAAAGGAAGCCACAGTCTCAAGTTTAGCAGAACTGAGGGGCAGGAGCTTTTGGAGGGCTTTCCTTCACAGGGTCACCATAAGCTGGAGACAACTTGATGGCACATCACCACCAGCACAACAGCAATTTCTATACAGGTAAAGGAGCACAGGTAAATTGCATCTATAAAAATTACAACTGCACCTGTAAAGGAGCTTAGCAAACTGCCCACAAGTGCATGCCCCTTTTCTTTGGTGATGTATCTCCTGGAGGAAATGCAGCCCTCCACTTGGAAAGGCACGCCAGTCCTGGCCAAACCGCTGTTAGAGAGGCTTCTTTGTGGACCAATGGTGATTTTGGCCTTGGCTGTGCTAAATCCCCAGCCTCCCTCCCCCCTCCCTCATCTGCTGTGCTTGTTTTCCTACCGTCAGGAGCATCCGGCTGGTTAATTCTGTGGGTGCTTGGCGACAGCTGTACTGCCTTCTGTTAATGCTCACAGCGGCTGCGGCTCTTTCAATACTTTGTTTTCAAACAATATGCCTCTGTTAGAGTCACTAGCTCGGGCTTCTCTCTCAGAAAGCAAGCAGGGGATGCTAATTGCTAGCTTTTGCACCCCAAACATTTCAGATCTACAGCGTAGCTGCTGACTTAGGAGGAGACTTCTGTTTGTTTGTTTGGTGGCACCGTGTTTTTCTCCAACAGCTGCCCAAAGGCAACACAGACTTGAGGTCTGCGCCATGGATGGACTGTGGAGATATGGATAAACCATTTGCTTCTAGGTCAGTGGCCTCCATTTTCACAGTGGGGCCCGAAGACATAATCAACGACAGCAAAATGGGATTCTGAGAGCCATTTTGGTTGGTGAGAGACGTGCACGTCCAGCTTGGAAGGAGAAAGTCTCCAACCATCTAAATTCAATGGACTAAAGTCCTTACAGATCTCACACACCACCTAAAGCCAACCACCTTGTCTGGATGCTTGCTTGCTTGCTTATTTTAGATATCGGCAATGCTTATAACGACATATATAACAAAGGTGTTAAATCCATCCTTATCTTTGTTTTGTTTTTATTATTTTTAAGGGTCATTTAAATCTTTACTGTGTATGTATGCTTATTCATATGGCTTCCCCCCTTCTTTTTTCCTCCCCTCTTTGTTTGCTATTGTTATGTTTGCAAGTAAATAACAACACTAATAATTATAAGATTAAACAGCAACTTCAGAAAGCAATCCTGTGTCCTTTATATGGTGCCCGAGACTGCACTCTGACTCCTGAGGAAGTTGGGAACTGGGACAGCCCTCCTCCTCGTGGCTGGCCCAGAAAGAACTGTGGCAAATGCGCTCTGAGGTTGGAACGTGATCTCAGAAAGGGGGGAAAGCTGTTCTGGCGTTCCAGGGGTGGGGGACAGAGATTAGGGACAGTTTGAGGCCTCTCCGTCCTCCTTTGCCTTTTGTCACTGGCAAAACACTCTGTCTAGCAAACATTCAGGGTTGGGGTTGCCTCTGTTGCCCTTTGCTCTGTGTAGGATGGATGTCAGCCCCTGAGCAACAGGATCGTCCCCTAAATGAGATGGCTTGCATGCTAAATAGCAGCTCTTAGGCTGGAATAGATGACTCAGAGCTGATGTGATGCAATGCATCCAGCAGGGAAATCAGCAGGACTCTCACCTGGGCAGGCCTCAAATCCATGCAAATAGTAGGAACACAGCAAAGAGATTTAAGCTACTTGGATACCATATTAAGAATTTCTTTCTTTCCTTAATTAAAAACATTCCTGAGAACCAAATAATTGTTATGATAAGAAGAGAACTGCAGGTAATAATTGGACTAGGTATGGAGAAAGCTAGGTCCCCCCACACAGCCATGAAACTCATGGGGTGAGGCTGGGTCAGTCACTGACTCTCAGCCTAACCCACCTCACAGGGCTGTTGTGAGGATGAAATAGTGAAGACCACCATGAACATGTGACACATTTTAATTTCTTAAAAAAGAAAAGCAACTCCTCCAATTCTTCATTCAGCTGGTGCAATGTAATGGCCAGAAACTAGAAATCATAAAGTCCCCAGTTTGAATCTTGCTTCTGCCATAAACTCATTCAATGGCCTTAACCAAGGCACTCTCAGTCCTGCTATCTGCAGTATGGGCATAAGAACAGCTATCTTCTTTGCAGGATTATTGTAAGGTTTCAAAAAGGTTCCCTATATGATGAACTCTGAACACCCCAAAATGATGTGCAAATGTGAACATTCTGGTTGCTTCCACTGAGGCAGCGCCTACTTAGAGGTATTTTCAGTGCTCCCCCATCTAGACACAAACTCCTTTACAAAATAAGTTTAGTAACCTTACAGCTTGCCACAGTGCTGCTGAGCCGCATCCTGCCTGCATACAAAGCGAAGGGCCCAGCACAGCTTCATTGCCAGAAATGCACACAACTGCTGCCCTGTGCAAGCACAAGCACGTCACGCTCCAAGTTTGGCACACTGAATCGGGCCTGACTTATTAACAGCTAAGTGTGCACAGAATTATAGCCACGCAGTGCTACCCTGTAAAGGTTTACTCAGAGGGAAGGCCCACTATGTTCAATAGTGCTTAATCACAGGTAAGTTATCTCATTTCTCTTATTCACACTCTCTCTATATCACCCTTCCACAAAGTCTGCAGGATGATTAAAAAGAGGAAGTACAAATAAGCAAACAGGACCCTGAAACATTAATATGCATATCTGCATATTAAAAAACCTTGGGGAAACCAAAGTGTGCCATGTTACTATTATCACCGTGCATATGTATTCCATCTTTCTCCTCTTGCAAGAAACCCAAGATGACCTAAGAAATTCTCAACAACCCTGTGGGTTAGGCTAGACCAAAAGGCAGTAACTGACCCGGAGTCACCCAGTAAGCTGCATGGCCATGCGAAGACTTCAAACTGGATTTCCCAAGTCCCAGTCCAATTTCCTAGCCATTAGACCATACTGCCCTCAAACTGGGGAGGCAATGCACTCGGGTCTCTGCCTCGGGTCATAACCCACTTTAGCTCAGTCAGTGGGGAACCCGGAGCACAGTCTCTGGAAATGACTTCAAAGCGCCCTGCAAGTCGCGCCTGACTTCAGACGGGGGCTTCCGGTAATGGAAGCAAGCACCCTCACTGCTGACGGGTTTCTAACTTCTGTCTGCAGGGCATTCACAAGGCCATTATACTGGAGAAACTGCCGTCTCTGAGAATGCGGAAAGCCCGGAGAAGCGGAGTCAACCCAGCCCGCAGCCTCGAGTCACACCTATCCGCTCCCTCCTCCTACCGCAGGCCGTTCCGAGCATGCACGCTCGGTCGGGACAAAGGCATGCGGGCTGCCCTCGCCTCGATGCCCCGCCAGCCTCAGCACCGTCCTTCCAAGGTGCAGGAGGAGTCTGCAGCACTTCGGGGAACTTGGTGGGAGCAAACACGGAGGAAGCGGGGGAAGGCTGCTTCCCGCACGCGTGCTCGGCACGACATCTGCGCGCATGCTACGGCCCTGCTTCAGAGCCCCTTCCAGGGAGCTCTTGGTGTTTCTCTGCACAAAGCTGAGGCGGCCCGTCGCTCGCGGCTCCGCCTTAGGGAAGCCCGGCCAGGGCTGCAGCCTGCCCCAGAAGCCACTTACTCGGACGCACAGCTCTTCCCACTGCCTGTGCAAGTGCTCGACTTGCTCCTTCAGCACCATCACATCTTCCGCGAGGATGAAGGCAGCCAGGTCCGCCTGCGCGGTGCCAAGGGCTTGCGCGCTCTGGTTCCAGGTGGCGAGCGACTTCTCCAGCTCCTGCATCGAGACACCGAGGGGTCAGCGGGGGAAAGAAACAGCCCGTTCGGCGCAAGCTCCCGGGAGAGGGCTGTGCGCGCGCCCGATAGCAGGCGCGCGCCCGGCAGCAGGAGCTTTTCTCCAAACCTTTTGGCTAATCCTATGATTGGCCTGTGAGAGGGGGAGGCGGAGGGGGAGGAATTTGCATGCACGAGAGGGCAGGAAGCGCCCCCGTGCTGGGATCCCGACTTTGCTCGCCGCCCGCAATGGGTGGCGGGTGGGGCTTTGCAAAGCTTTAGCAACACGAGGGCACCTCGGTGGCCTTAACGAGCAACCCCTTCGCCTTGCAGCCGTCCGAAGGGCTGCAGGCTCGCGTGCTGGTTATTCTGTCGTTGCGAGAGAGCTGCAGCACGGCTGCCCTTCTGGCACTTGAAGAGGCGGGCCAAGGCGTGCGTGCTGAGCCCGAAATTGCCCTGCGCTCCAGGGAACTGCCCTTGCTCCCACGGGAATGCGCCGAGGGCCGCAACTCTGCTGAATTCAGGAATTCCTTTCCCAACACTTGTGGGATTTAGCCAAGCGAGGGCTCTCCCCCCAGCGCTGGAGGCCAATGCGCATGGCTTGCTTGTTTTGGTCGCTTTTAACTTTTGTTAACTGCCCAGACAGCTTCGGCTATTGGGCGGTATAAAAACGAAATAATACGAAATGTTGTGTTGCGTGTACTGCTGAAATAGAATCGCTCTCTGCACTTCTGTTACATCAAAACAACTTCCCTGTGCACTAGCCTAGACAATACACATCAGTTGCAGACACTCTTTTTAAAACACCCAGCATAAGGAGGATAACCTTTTTCTGCTTTTGGACAAAATGTACATTTCCTTCTATACATGATTTGTAGCAGAGCCCCTTCTGCTTTATACCATTGGAGGGCATGGCTGTGTACATATTTAGACAGGAAAAATTGCTAGGAGTTGTAGGCCTTTAACCATGCACAGGAATGCACCTGATTTAAATAAATAGATGTTTTAGATGAGCTTTTAAAAATATGTCCTGATAAAAAGAAATTGGGTGGTTTGGAATAATTAAAATCATGCAGTGAGATGCCCCATTTTTGCAACAAGGAAGTTAAAACGGTGTGGGGTGATGTGAAAAATATTATTTCATTTTAATTATCTCAGTTCTATACCGCCCCATAGATGAAGCTATGTTGCACAAATTGCTTTTTGCCAAAATTTAAGATATTTATAGTTATGTCATAGGTTAGTTGTATGACGGGTTTTGTTTAGAACTAGACAATCCATTCCCATTACCAAGTTTAACTAAAAAATATACTTTTTTCCATTAGTTCTTTAGAAAAAGATTACTGCCTTACTGTTTTCTACTTTGTAGTAGAGGTTAACAACAGCACATACTGGGTGCGTGAATAGCTGGTGGAATTCCCTAGATATTTCAAACTTATAAAGAGATGTACTATTCCTAGAAATTTACAGATAAAAATAAATTGGATTGGATCCAAAATCTCCTAGACCAAATCAAGCCAGAACCTGCCCTGGAAGCAAAACCAACGTTTTTGTATTTCAAAAACATTTGTACTTCAAATGATGGCTGTTCTGCTCCAGGCACATTGCAAGAAGTCACGATTCCTTGCAGAAGCCAGTCAAGCTCGGAAAAGTTGAACGCAACAGTAGAAGAGGAAGACCAGCTATAAGATGGGTCAGCGGTGTGACGGAAGCCGCAAGCCTTGAGTGTACAAGAGCTGAGTGTGGCTGCCAAGGACAGGGCTTCGAGGGCTCTCATGCATAGTCACCATAAACTGGAGATGGCCACTTTAAGCTTGGGAAGAATGGACAGTTCAGCATTTCCGCACCTTAATGTGCTCCTTGGCTCCCTGCAGTTCATCATCCAGTACCGGGAGGGACTCGTGGATGCTGGCCTTTTGCTCGTGCAGCCTGTGGCCCAGCTCTTCAGCCTTCTGCTCACAGCTTTCCCAGGCCTGCGATTCCAAAGAGAAACAGAGGAAGTGAGTTAACGGATACTGCCGGCACCAGTGAAGGCCAGATTTGTTTTGCTGTCTTATTCACCACATGGGGCAACATCAGGGGAAGGAAGCGACACCCCAGAAAGTTTATGGCTTTTGTAGTGTGTAGCACGCTTGCCAGGACTAACCTAACAATTCTGACCCAACTTGGTTTTTGAACCTGTTTCTCCAAAATCTGTGCCAATCCTCTGGCTTTGCAGGGTATCCCAGGAACCAGCCAAGTAGCAGGACCAAAGCAGATCCAGAACTTGTTTGCCTTGGAGGAAGCAAGTATCACAAAACAACAAGGCTCTGCTGTTATCACCCAGCAGTGGCGTCCACAGGATGAATGAACTAGAATCCACAGGGATCATTCATGTTTACATATATAATGCCTGGAGTCCTCTACTCTGAGGACAGTGAGCATCCGGTGGAGAGCAGCAAGAGCCTGGCGGCAAAGGTTGCCTCCCCATCCCTCTGCCCTGCAAAGCAGCTAAGCAGCCATCTAAGGGGGCTTCAGAGTGGGAGGGATGCAGGCAGAGAGGCCACCAGGATGAGTCACCTCGGGGTCGTGCTAGGGTGGCCTCCTTTCTGCCCCCTGGAATACCCCCTAAACCCCTTCTCTGAGCACTCTACCATTTCTGTGCCAGATGCAGGTAGGTAGGAATGGGATCCAGGTACCTGGAGGACTGCATTCTCCTGTTTGCCTGTCAGCAGGCCAAGCTAGGGGTGTGCAGGACTAAAGCCATGGTGAATGGTGGCATCCATTGACTGGGTTCAGACAACACTATAACCCATACTCAATGGCTTGAGTGGGGATTCTTGCTAAACTGTGGGTGTTGCTGAACCATGGGTTACCACGTTGTCTGAACCCAGCTGCACCAACAAGCCATAGCTTCTTAATGATGAACAGTTCATGAAAAGAGAGTCCATGTTTCAACGATTATTCGGTGTTCAACCACAACCCACATTCAACCCTTAGTTGTGATTGGCCATGTTGTCTGAATACACCATTGTCTCCATTTTTTCCCTGCAGCCCACTTTAGCCTCTCTTTCACCCTGGCTTCTGGCCAGCCTTCCTTCCCTACAGGCTACAAACACCTCACGCTATTTGCATCACTGAGCATCAATTGTTTTTGCTACAAAGGAATGCTTTCAGGAGTGTCCTTGAGCAGATTTGACCAAGAGTGTAGTGGAGGGGGCCCTTGGGGGATTGGAACACCCCCACTTACTTTTAAGGGGCTCTCGGGGGGGGGGGGTTACTGGATCCCTGAACCCTGGGTCACTCTCCCTGCCCCACTGCCTCCTAAGAGACTTAATTTTGCTGGTTTGTGGCTGGCAGCTGTGTCCAAGTCTGGAATTTAATGGGTTAAGAACAGGGGTATTTTTGACAGTTCCTGGGAACTCCTGATCTGAACTAGCCTGCCAGGTGTACAAGTGTGTTTTCTGTGCCACTTTCTCATGGTCAGCCTCTGTATAGCATGTTTTTAGAGAGTAAGACTGTGGGCAGGAACCGCCTTATTAATTCCACATAAGCCACTCTGGCTGGCAAGCAGGGTATGATATAATTTTTAAACCCCATGCATTCATAATAAAATAATAAGAAATAACTTCTAGAAGCTGTCACGGATTCACCTCGAAAAGAGATACCCTCATCTCACATTCATTACTCAACAGAAATTCAAACAAAACAACAACGCTCGGTCCTATTGTGTAATCATAGGTGTGCAATCTTGGAAATGCGTGTGGCTTGGGGGGTGTGGCTTTGAGGGGAGGCACTGATGATCCTGAAGGGGACACCCCACCCCACTTCCAAATATGCTACTACACGACTGGGCCTGACTCTCCTGGCTTTCAGAAGGCATCAAAGCTGTTCTGGAGTTTCTCTCAGAGAAATGCGAGAGTTCTGAATTCTCAGCCCTACCTGCTCCGAACCAGAGAGATTCAGCCATGCCCAGTACCTGCAGGGTGTCCTGAAGCTGCTTCGCGATGTCCTCCACCTGCCGCTGAGTGTTGTCCCAGTTCTCTCGCAACTGGCTCATCTCCAGCTCCATCGCTGCTTTTGCCTCGGGGGCTGCCACCCCAAGCAGCTTGTCTCCAGTATCCAAGGCTAAGGCATACCTGGTTCGCCACCTCTGAAGGAGTATTTGCTTGTTCTGGAAAGAGACCCAGACAAATACAGCCAAATTTTAATCACCGAACAAGCAGAGAGGTTTCCCCAAAATCAAAAAGAAAAGCCTAAACAATCTCTCTTCCAGTCTCTTTTTGGCTGCTCCAATGATGATGATTTGAGAAAAGCCTGATGAGTTCTGTTCAGGACTTTAAAGATGTGTCTGTCCCAGTAATGTATAGCATCAAGGACAGGAAGTCCCTCCATGCACCATTTTGTGCTCCTTACATTGGACAAAACCTAGGCTTTAAAATTCATATTGCCTCTCCGTGGAAGGCGGCACTCAAAGTGGTTCACAAAACACCAAAGGAAAAAAGCACCAGACCATCCAAACACATGTACCAACATAGCAAACCTTTCAGATCTTTAAGGAAAACAGTATTTCAATCAGCAAATTCCCCAATAAGCCAGCTCAGACAAATCGCAACACTTGCAGTTAAAAATATTGTACCAATAAAAATATCAGTAATGAACATTCAACAGACATGCTTTTGTCTATCTAATTGGAATGAATTACTACTGGAAAGAAACTCAGTGATCCAAGTAACGAAGGAGAGGCAGCTCAAATTCCTGGACTCATTGCTTTACAAATGCTTAACTACTGAATGGATGTCAGTGCTTGGATGTCACGTTTAGCTGGAGCAGAGTTAGATGTTCCAGCCACACGATCTTCCAATCTCTATTTGTAAGCCGCACCGAGGCTTCGGCGAATGGGGCGGCCTAGAAATTTTCTAAATAAATAAATAAAATAAAATAAAATAAAAGATTGCGGCCCAATGATGTGGACAAGGTGCTTGGAAGAGTACGTCCCACCACTTGCCTATTGGATCCTTGCCCGTCTTGGCTAATAAATGACTCCAAGCATGGGATTGGGACCTGGATCTTGGAAGTGGTTAACGCTTCTCTGAGGGAGGGTCGAGTGCCTGCCCCTTTAAAGGAGGCGGTAATACGACCGGTCCTGAAGAAAGCGTCACTGGATCCAGAGATGGCCACTAACTATAGACCTGTGGCCAACATCCCGTTTCTGGGCAAGGTGTTGGAGCGAGTGGTGGCGGGACAACTCCAAGCACTCTTGGATGAAACTGATTATCTGGATCCTTTTCAGTCCGGCTTCAGACCCGGGTACAGTACTGAATCTGCCTTGGTCGCCCTGTACGACGACCTGTGCAGGGAGAAGGACAGGGGGAGTACATCCCTGTTGGTTCTTCTGGACCTCTCGGCGGCTTTCGATACCATCGACCATGGTATCCTTCTGGATAGACTTGCGGGATTGGGGGTTGGAGGCACTGCTTTGCAGTGGTTCCGCTCCTATCTCAACGGTCGATTCCAGAAGGTAGTGCTGGGGGACCATGTCTCTACGTCATGGCAGCTATGCCATGGGGTACCACAGGGCTCCATTCTATCCCCTCTGCTATTTAACATCTATATGAAACCGCTGGGAGAGGTCATCAGGAGGTGTGGGCTGCGGAATCATCAATACACTGATGATACCCAGCTTAACCTCTCGTTCTCCACTAATCCAGGTGTGGCAGTGGCTGTGCTGAACCGGTGCTTGGCCGAGGTAAGGGAATGGATGAGGGCCAATAAACTGAAACTCAACCCAGACAAGACGGAGGTCCTGTTGGTTGGCGGATCGGGTTTCGGAGAGGGTGGATTTGACCTGGTCATGAATGGTGCAACACTCCCTCTTAGGGATAAGGTCCGCAGCTTAGGAGTACTCCTCGACCCGGAGCTTTCTTTGGAAGCTCAGGTGACAGCGGTAGCGAGGAACGCCTTCCTTCAGCTTCGGCTGATTAATCAGCTGCGCCCCTACCTGGAGTACGACTGCCTGGCGACGGTGACACACGCGCTGGTGACTTCCCGCCTAGACTTCTGTAACGCGCTTTACGTGGGGCTTCCCCTGAAGACAGTTCGAACACTTCAATTGGTGCAAAATAGAGCTGCCAGGTTGCTGACGGGGATGGGGCGTTATGCTCACATGACTCCAGTCCTCCATCAGCTTCACTGGCTTCCCATTGAAGCCCGGGCCCAATTCAAGGTGTTGATTATGACCTATAAAGCCCTAAACGGCTTGGGTCCTGGCTACCTGAACGAGCGCTTACGTCCGTATATGCCCGACCGCCCTTTGAGATCTGCGGGAGAGTCCCTTCTCCGGGAACCCTCCATGAAAGAAATTAGGAGAGTAAGTACCCGGAGGAGGGCTTTCTCTGCGGTGGCGCCCAACCTATGGAATTCACTCCCCAAAGAGGTCCGCCTGGCACCGTCGTTACTGGTTTTTCGGCGCCAGGTAAAGACCTTTTTATTTAAACATCATTTCAATTGTTAAAACATATGATCTGGCCAGGGCAACTTCTTCTTCCTTCTCTTTCTCCTCCTATATTTTTATTTTATACTGATAATTTTAATTTTAGTTTTGTAAATCAATGTATTCTTTGTATTTTTATATTTAATGGTAATTTATTATGTACTATTGTATTTCAATGTATTTTATCATGTTGTAAGCCGCCCCGAGGTTTCGGCAAGGGGCGGCATAGAAATGCTATAATAATAATAATAATAATAATAATAATAATAATAATAATAATAATTTTGCTGACTGGAGGAACAGGAGGGCCAACCTTGAAATCCAGATGCACATTCCTGAGTTGCCGCAAGCTGTACTTGTCCTGCTTTTTCACAGCCGCTAGGAAGCTGTTTGTGTCAGCGAGGAATTTTGTGAGGTCCTTCAGCGAGGTTGCAAAGTTTTGCCACTGCTTGACGAGGCCGTCAATCTCGCTCTTTCTCTGCTGAGCCCTTCGGACGACGCTTTGCCACTGTCCCTTCAGCAGGGTGAGTTTGGAGATGAACTCGGTCCTGGAACGGCAAGAAACTGCGATTAGAGCAGCAGTGAGGGCAGGGCAGGACGGGCCATATTGCAGTGTTATGGAAGGGCAGCAAATCTTTCGTTCTATACGGTCCTATGCAATTTCTTTCGTTCTATACGGTCCTATGCAAGTTCAGACAGAACGAAAGGCCTACAACTCCCCGGATCCCACAGCCAGCATAGCAAACACCCACATGCTGGGAGATGTAGGCCTTTTTATTGATTTATCGCATGCTTATACCACCCAATAGCTGAAGCTCTCTGCACAGTTCACAATTTAAAATACCAAATACAGCCTGTTGTTTTGACATGCCAACAACTCACCTCTGACTTAAGGCAGCCCTATGAATGAAAGCCGGGCCTTGGTAGCCCTGCTCAGCCACTGTAAACTCAAGACTAGTTTCTCAGCTCAACTCCCCCTATTCTGGACCACTTTCTGCATCAGCTTTACACTGAGTGTTTGCATGGGCGTTCAGCAGAAAGCGGAGTTCTGCTCCCCCAGTGTGAATTGCGGTTCTTTGTGTACACTGTGCAGATAATTACATAAACTGCATCTTTTGCACAAAGAAGCACATGCTTTTCATACTTTGCACAAAGAATCGGCTCGAGTTTCTGAGTGTTTGTGCACTTGACATCAGCTTGGCTCACTTCCTGGCCAGGGCCGAAGGTGGGAAAGAAGATCCGGTGGGCACAAGCGTGATGGATTGGATCTTGACTCCCTTCCCTGGATGACACCAGCTGCAGGTGTTTGCAGTGCTTTACTTCACTCTGGAGCCTGACTAAGGAAGAGCTTCAGCGCTCTTTCTTCTCGGCTTACTACTATTATTAACTTGGTTTCTATACCTCCCTGCAGCCAGAGCTCTCTGGGCAGTTTACAACAATCAAATGCAATAAAAATAACATAAAATTTAAAAAACCTTAACCCCAAAACAAACAGTAACAAAGAATGACTGAAATACACCTGGAATGGGTAATCCCTCCAAGTTCCGGGGTGGCCAGGTGAGTCTTGAAAGGTCTCAGAAAAGGGGGCTGTCCAAGATGGGGAGCCACCACAGATAAAGCCCTCCCCCTTGTGACCTTACTATTGATTACGCCATCTCCAGCTTTCCTGAAAATGGTGGCCCGCTGCCAGTCTTAGCACGCGTCCCCTCCGCATCCCCACCGGTGCACACATGTGTATTACCGGTTTTCTCCTCCTCCGCTTTCCAGTGTGTGCAGAGCTTTGGACATGATCGCATTGAAAATCTGCTGATTAACAGACATCTCTGCTTGCAGCATCTGTAGACAAAAAGCAGCAATATTCATATTCCGTGGGTTGGGAAGGAGATAAGCCAGGTGTGCTCAACCAGTTTCATCTCAAGGGCTGAATTCTATTTTGGAGAAGCTCTTTGGGCTGCATCCTAGTGGTTGCAGGGCCAAAATGCCAGAAATGGCAGCATCTCTGATCTTAATTCTATTACTTCTGGCCCTTAGCAGAGACATTTCAACCCTTTAGAAGTGGGGGGAATGGAAAAGCTGGGAAACTATGAAATGATCAGCAGCTAAGGAAAGGGGGTAGGACGAGGGAAGGAAGCAGGGCCATCTAGAGAACACTGGAGAGTTGGATTGGGGCCTCAGGCAGGACACAAATACGGTGCTTTAAATGTCCAAAGTTAGCTCAGTGTCCAGGCCCAAAAGTTCAGAACTGTTACCTCGTATTCCCTTTGCTGTTCGCACAGCTTGTCCAGCGTGCCTGCCACCTTCTCTTTCAGACCCTCCTTCATTCTTTCCAGAAACTGCACCCAGTTTTGACATCTCTGAAGAAACTTCTTGTCATCTGACTGAACGTCTTGCAGTTCACTGCCATCAAAAGAAAGAAGGAAGGAAGGAAGGATGGACAGAAGGAAAAGATTAATCATGCAACTGCACCTTTTCCAGTTACCGCTTTAGCAACAACAGCCGCCAGGATCCAGGCTGAGTTGCATGTAGAGTTGACCACAGTGCAGTCAGTCCCATCGTAGAATTGCAGAAAGGCAGTATGATCTCAGCAGTTTTATTTTCAACTCCTTTCCTAATTATGCCATAATTATATACCTATAATTATGCTGCTTGCCTTCTTTACAACGACTGAGCACTGGGGCGACATTGCATTGAGCTGCCCGCCCCCAGTCTTAATCAGTTCGCTGCCTAGCTCAGATCCCATCAACTTATACTTGAAACAGAGATTTCTTGCCCCAGCATGCACTTGCTTATATTAAAGTGCATTTGCCGTTTTGATGCCCACTTTCCCAGCTTGGAGAGATCCCTTGGAGATGGAGACAGCCATCTGAGTGGGACGGTGCAACAGCAGGGGGTTCGACCCAATGGCCTTCTTGGCCCCTTCCAACTCTTCTAGTCCATGATTCTATGAACCCTGCACAATCCCTTTTGGGTTTAAGCACCCTTAATAGGTTGGTGTTATCAGCATACCAGGCCACTTCACTTACTCCTAATTCCGAATCACTTATGAATAGGTTGGAAGGTGCTGGTCCTGATGCAAATAGGCCCTAATGGGGGATACACAGATGACACCCTTCTGCTTGGAGAAATAAGCATTTATTCCCTCTCCGTTTTCTGTTCTTTAACCACTTGCTGATCCATAAGAGGACTCCCCCCACTTTTATTCTACAATTGCTTGGCTTGGTCAGGAGTCACTTTAAGACTGGCTGTAGGAAATGCTCTCGGCACGATGCATTAAAAAAACTTGATGCAGAGGCAGCAAGCAGTAGGGGAGGGGAGGCAACTGCATGGCAGCAACCCCCGTATTCAGAGCCAGGCTATCAGGGCTGCCAAAGTCACAGTAAACACACCCAGGCTCTGTGCTGATCGTGTTGCAAGCAGCCCAGTGGAGACCCTCGTGGTCGCTTTTTTACCTGCACTGCTCCAGCAGCGCGGCCGACTTCTGAGTCCACTGCCAATTCAGCCGCTGCAGTCTCTCTGCAGTGAAGTCCCCGAGCGGCAGCCTGAAGCTGACTTCATTTAGGGCTTCCATCTCTGGAGACAAAGCTGTGAGACTCAGCATCTGGCTCTGCAAAGGAGAAGGCAATAGGCTAAGGGGCGGGAGCGACTGGTTCCTTCCGGGTGCATGCAGGTGCCTGCGCATGCGTTGATGCATGCAATGCCGTGTGCTGGCAAAATGAGCGGCACGGCAGAGCCTGTCGTGAGCTGGGGTCCCTCCCTTCACATGCTCAGAGCCACAGGCCTTTCTTGCAAAATGTTCTTTATGGAATTTGGCATTTCCCAAAGCACAAACAGCCAGAAGGAACCCCTGAGCATGCACAGAGTGGTTCATTGAACCCAATCTAGTATTTACTTCCAGGAACTCTCCTTATGAGCATGCCTGGGCTCCATACTTTGGGGAGGGGCTCTCTGGAAATGAGTGTGCATCCTCTCTGTGTGCTGATCTTCTAACTGGGCTGCCCCGCTCTACCGATGTCACATCATGGGGTCAAGCGCAAACCCCAGTTACAACCCCCCCCCCAAAAGCTGCACATCTTGGTTAATCACAGAGCCTGCCTCTGCACCTGGTGGGGGGGGGGTTTGTGTCTGGCCTTGAGATAAGCTCCTCCACTTCTCTCATCTCATCTTCTGGAACTGGACCCCATTCTGTGTTGCCCCCTTTTCTCCTCACAACAACCTCATGACTTAGATTAGGTGACAGAAAATGGCCGTGCTGTTTTGTGAAGTGCCCATGATGAGCCCGACAGATGACTGGGCTTGCCCTCCTTCCTCCAGCTGGTATCCAAGGGAACACTCAGAGGAAGAATGAATTCCCCTTTTCTGGACAGCCATGATCGCAAGCAATTCCCCCTCACTGCCCATCAGAGAGCCTGCGGTCCAAGCTGGGCCCATGCCCTGAACTGTTACCAAGGGAAATTCCAGCTTCAGGTCGGGCCACGTCCCGGGGACTGGCCTGCAAAAGCTGCAGGACACTTCTCTGTCTAAACACGCCTGGGACTGTGCTCCAAATTAATTCAAAATCTTCACTGAAAAGCTGAGAGAATTGATAACTGAATTCGCTGAACCCTGAAACAGCATATAAGGCATGACAGGAAGCTGGATGGGTCCAAAGTAAGCTCCAAGGTCTCTTGGAGGTCCCAGCGGTATAGAACTGCTCAGAAATTCAGGGAAGCAGCATCTGAGAATTTATGCAAGAATCTTTCCATTGTCTGAACCAGTGTTCACCTATGTGGCTCTCTCCAATTGTTTTAGACTGCAATTCCCATTAGCCTCAACCAGCAGTCAGTGGTAGTGCATGAATGGAAATGGTAGTCCAATATACCTGGAAGAAACCAGGCTAGGGGAGACTAGGACTAAGACTTTCAAGGGAATGATAAAGGAACCTCAAAAAGACCAACCTCTCCAGATGTTCTAAGGTTGTGGTTTTTTTTAAACTGAGATACTACTGGTATAAATACATCACAGTTCTTGGGCTTACCATGAGCAGATCTGGGTCTTTCTCTTCTTGATTTAAATTGTCTAACACTTCTGTGCAGTTTTTAACATGATTTTCCAGTTTTTCCAAGCACTTCTCAAAGCCCTCAAGTTGTGAAAGACCAAACTGAAGGGAGAAATTAATATGCATAATCAAAGTTAGGTGCACACAAGAGAACGAAGAGCTCAATGGGCAATGGGCATTCACCATATGAAACACTGACAACATGCAACTCTTAGGCTTTTGTTATAATACTGAGAACGTGCCACAAATGTGTGCAAATTTCTTTGGTAAGTTTTTTATATATATAGCTGGAGTTGTACAAATGCAGAGGTGCGAAAAAGCAAATTTCAAGGGGGCACCAGCTATCAATATGCAGCAGGTATCAGCACCAGGCACCAATCCAGAGAGGGTCCAAATAGGATTTTGGACCTGTTTTCCTTTGGCAACTGTCAAATTGAAAGCTGTCAAGGGAAAGCAAAGGCATCTTTGCTTGCAAGATCCTCATGTTTTTCTTTTTTTTGTCCTGACAGTCCTCAGGGTGGTGCACATTTTGAACTGTGCCTACAGATGTCCCTGAAAAAAAAATAACCCTACTGTCTTGTCAAAACCCCTTTTACAGAGAACCCATAGTTTTGACAGCCAGCTGTCAATACTCCTTTCCCAGAGGAGGAGGGTGGAATGCATTTTGCACTTTCTGGAGCAGCTAAAGTCCAAGAAAATCTTTAAGTTTGAGTATAAATCGTTTAAAAGGTGCTTGTTGAAAAAAGGTCTGTACTTACGGCTGAAAAAAGTAGGGTGACCAACCAGTGACAAACCTGACCAAATGCTGCTTTGGCACTTTGAAGAGGTTGCAACTAGTGGTGGCGTGGAAAAGCTCACCAAGAATGGCAAGGCTTCCTGCCATATTTCACCCACGGCCCTCTCACTGCTGCCCTTTACCCACGCAAGACAGTCATCCAGGATCAGACAACATGACATACCACCATGGGCAAAGCAACCCCAGAACAGCCCATGGATTCTCAGGATGGCTTGTTTACAAAGAACCAGCTAGCATGGTTAAAGCAGACTGGGTTCAGATGATGTCACAACCAACCATGGCTACTTGTGTTATTCAAATCAGGTCAAAATTTCAGAAGCACTTGATTTTGACTGAATCATTTTTAAAAGCACTGGACTAGTACTAATTATTTATAAATGTCCAACTACTCCAGGAATGGTAGGTTGTGAATGGAAAAAATAATAAAACCAAAGGGTTGCATTTTAAAGAAGAGTGTGTTGCCAGCACCTGAGTGCTGTCTGCTATTAACAAATCTTTGTTTTCACTTGGAAAACAAAGTCACACAAATGCTCTTTCTCTCTGCTCTGAAAATGCTTCCACCTGGAAGTCGTCAGTAAAACAACCCTTCAAGAATACCTGAAGTTCATCTGCTTTCATCTGCAGCATCTTTTCTAAACGGGAGACCCTCTGGAGCAGGTGGTGCTTCTCCAGAAGAAGGGGCTGGGCCGAGGGCTCACACAGCTGAGCTATTTTATCTGCTAGCTCAGAAGCCTGCAGGATGCTCTCCTTGATGTTTTGAAGCCCCAGCTGCATATTCTGGAAGGAAAGGAAGGTGCAGTGAGGGAAAGGAAGGTGCAGTGAGAGAAAGGAAGGAGGGCTCCCAACTTTGGTACACTGACTACAGCCTGAGACCTGGGAGCAGTCAAAGCCAACTCAATGATCATAAATTCCTCCAGCTCTTAATGTAACCATGGTCCACTTGCCTATGACTGGCACTGCAAACATAAAGGGGGTGGATATTGTGCAGTCTATGCAGGGCTCACAGGGGCATGTTTCTTTCATGTTACAAACAGGCTTCCTCCTCAGATTAAATGCATTTAATGTATTTAGTAGCACTAAATACATTAAATGGGGCATTTCTTCTTATTCTTTATTAAATCTGTATAAATGCTGCCTGTTAGCATAATGCTCTCTGGGTGGCCATTACAATAAAGTATCAATAATAACATCAATCGAATAATACAATATTGTAATAAACAGACAAAATATAGACTGACTCTCTCCAACAAAATGTTAACAATTAATAAAATTAAAAACCCATGCTGTCATAAAAATAGTTAAAATAGTTTAGGTGTGTTGAAAAAGGAACATTTTCATCAGGTGCCTAAAACTCAATGTAAGGGTAAAGGTTTCCCCTTGACATTAAGTCCAGTCATGCCTGACTCTAGGGGGCGGTGCTCATCTCCATTTCCTAGCCGAGGGAGCCAGCGTTTGTCCGCAGACAGTCTCCGTGGTCATGTGGCCGGCGTGACTAAACACCGAGGTGCACAGAACGCTGTTACCTGCACACCGAAGTGGCACCTTTTCATCTACTCGCATTTGCAGGCTTTCGAACTGCAAGGTTGGCAGGAGCTGGGATGGAGCAACGGGAACTCACCCCGTTGTGCAGATTTGAACCGGCGACCTTTTGATCAACCAGCCCGGCAGCACAGCGATTTAAACCACTGCACCACTTGCATCCCAAAACTCAATAATATATTGGAAAAAATGTATGGGGCATTTTATTACATTTGGGGTCTCTTTTTGTGTAGTGCTGTGGACATCTCAGAGAGCTTTGGGTGGTGTGGAAGTGAAATAGATACAAAAATGAACACAGTAGCAATGATGTACATCAGATGACAAAACTAACTGCTGTTGTTAGTTGCAAAGTGTATTTCCCACTTTGTGAGTGCTAGAAATGTACAATCCCACCACCTTCTTGCCAGGACAGCCCAGGAACCTGAGTAGACCTTGGAAGAGGATCCTCTCACGGGTTCTAATGGTTGTGAGGGACAGAAGAAGTTGGAGGCTGCCAATTCCTTTCCCAGGCCCACCACCAGGTGTGACATCTGATTCCAGGAGCCTGTGGCATCAGAGGAACCAAGGACCCTGGACTTGTCCCACCTCCTGCTCCAGGCCCAGCATCTTAACCCCCAGGAACAAAGACTGAGGTGAGTCCAAACATCTGGCAGCAAGTCAAATTACCCTGGGCCCTATGGTGCCATTGCCGCAAGCTCTAGATCGGGGCCCCAGTGACAAGCCAGGAAGGGGCGGAACACTGCAGATCCGTATAATGCTATTCAGTCGGAGCCTGACCCTTGCCGAGGAACTGAACATCCACCCTGTAAGTCTGCCCCTCCTGATGCTTGAACCAGAGGATGGCTCTGCTGAGGCAGGAACTGCTCTTCATGCGAGAGATGGCCGCAGCGGGGCAACGACCAATGCCACAATTCCCCCCCTCTATATCTTTCCGGCCAAAGCAACTTGCAGAAAATAAAACGCTTTTAGGCCACAGTGCTAGTACACTTGCTAGGAAGCCCAGCTGAATGCAGGAGGGTCTATTCTCAAGAAATGTGCACAGGGTTTCGTGTTCCAGCAACAGGCACCCTGATGTTTCAGACACAGAGTTGAAACCCGAAACCAAACAAAAACACTTCAAACCTCAGACCAGGGAGACTTAAGTCATTCAGCCTAACCCAGCCAGGCCCCCCGGAAAAGGGACCACTGGAGTGTCTGGGGGGAGGGGGGTTCCTCTCACTAGGAAGGACTTTTCAAGGGACGTGTGTCATCTCTGAAAGGGCTGTGATGAGGGGTCCAGGCAGGGCTGCCAGAAGAGCCGCATCTGGGGGTCTTGAAACAATCCGAAACCAAACACCGGACCCCCTGCCATGCATCCAGTTTATACATGTTATAGAATTGGGGGGAGGGGGGGAACCTAAGAATTGCAAAAAATCCATAGGCTTAAAAAAGTTAAAATCAAAATTTTACTTTTTTATCCATTTAAAATATCAACCTTGTTTGATTAATGAATAGATAGATAGGAAGATATGAATACTTTGGTGTTACCAGCTTCAGTGTTGGGAATGAATGGGGCAGTAGTCCTTGGTGAATGTTTCAGGGTCAGGGAGACTCGGTCTCTTCGGATGGGGAGGATCAGCCTTGGGAAAGGGGGCCTTCAGATATCGAGGAGGAGGAGGTGGAAGGACTTATCTCAAGTCCGCCCTTTCCAGGTGTTCAGACACACAGCAGAGTCTGCAACTGCTGAGGAGGCCCCAGGAACAGAATTCACCTGGTATGATCCTTGACCCCAGGAAGCGGCATCGGGAGAGAAGGGCTAGCCAAGTAGGGGCACAGCATACAGCTAAGAGAGGAGTGGAGTCCAGGGTTACTCAGGAAGAGGGTTCTCGGGAGTTTCGAGTTTGGGTTTAACGAACTGCTCCCTGCATGCTGAGACACTCTTTCTTTGCTAGCCATGGTTTACTGGAGGTACATTGGAGAAAAAGCTCTTCCGAAGGATGGTCTGTTGTTTTGAAAGTGCAAAGGGGGAACCTAGCTCCCAGCATTCAGTCACAAAGTGGAATCTGCTACAGTACCACTCATCAGCTGAGCCAGGTCCAAACAGGACCAAAGTCAAACCTCAAGGAGGGAACATGGATTCACAATCAGCCCTTGTATTTCACAGCTGATCAAGCTGCATAAAGCCACATCATGGCTTGTTTAATCTCCCCTTTTCCACTGATACCAGGTTTACGCAAATCAATATGCATCAACTCCTTGCTCTTTCATTCTCTGAAGCTCTGTTCACAGACAGACCCAACAGGTAGCACGGGGTAACTCTACCAACATGCTTCTCCCTTGTACGCAGAGAGGAAGGTCTTAAGAATGTTTCATCATGCGGAATATCAGAAGTATTAGCTTGTTTTAGGAAAGGCTTATTGGGTTGGCAAAGCCCTTCCTTCCAGCAACCAAATCTCAGGAGAGGAATTTTGGCCTTTAAAAATTGGGAGAGGGGGCGACTGCATAAGGGTGGGGAATCACCAAGCAGTCAGTGGCTGGATTGGGGAAGGGGAGCCAGTTTGGGACTCCTGGGGGGGCAGAGCTTCTGCACCCCTAGGATAAAGAACACAAAGAGAATTCAGAGACTCACAGCACTTCACCACCTGGAGGTTTTGTAGCTCTTTTTTAACCATGGGAGTGGGTGGGTAAAGAACATTTAAAGTGTATAATTTAATACAATTTTCACTTAACACCAGCTACCCAAATAAATGGGGCTTTTTGGACGAGAATTGCAGCTGTGTTATTAATGGGCACAGAGGAAGAATAAAATGCTAATTTACTGCCATTAAGGACAAATTCCACCTGGCTCCTTCACCCCTTTTCTCTTTGCCATGTCGCTCTCCATGCTGAACGAGTCCGTTACTTTAAGTGATCTATTTTAATTTCTTCCCATTAGGCTTTCCATGCAATTTATTAAGGCCACAAACACATTTCTATCCAGTTGCAAAAATGCAGAAAACTTTTCTCCAAGTCCTTAATCTCGCTTAAAACTGTTAGCACAAAAAGGGAAAGATCAGACTTAAAAGCACATCAAGTGGCCGAACGCATTCCTAACAGCCACTCACAAGTGGAGAAGTGCAAAAAGAAAAAACACCACCCCATCCATTAGGGTTCTTCTTTGGCATTATTCCTTACAAAGGAGAGAAGAATTGTTTGGTCCTCCTCCATTGATACGTGGAAAGGACTATTAGCACCAGGTGGGTTTAATAGCAACTTTGTGCCTGACAAAATTGTCCTGTTTTTTTCTTTGTTGGAGAAAGGTGTGGAATTGTGCAAAGCCCTTTCCCTGGCAGAAGGCAGCAGAAGCATTCTCAAGACTGGGATGGTGGAAGGAATCCGCGGCTACTTTCTATATTTAAGGCACAAGACGACGACTCCTGATATTTTTACTTGAGGTATAAAGGATTGCTCAATTAAATTAATAAAAAGCAAGGCTGCACTCATCCAGGACCTCGAAGCTGGGCCCAGCTCCCCTCTTCTCTGCTCCAAAGGTAGGAAACATACCTTTGCACACAGGTGGAAGTGGACACGCCATGAAACATAGAAACAGAGCGAGTCAGAAGGGGTCTCCCGGGCCATCTAGTCTGACTCCCAGCTCCAGCCGGCTCCACTCATGACATTCCCACCATGTGCACGTCCAGCCTATCCTTGAACACCTGCACCGATGGGGCCTCGACCTCTCGTGGAAGCCCATTCCACACCCTCGGGGTCCTGACTGTCAGGAAGTGCTTCCTGGCATCTAAATGGAACCTTGGCTCCCTGAGCTTTGCTCCGTTGGAGCGCGTTCTGCCTTCCTCTGCAGGGGAGAACAGGTCTCTACCCACCTCCGTGTGACATCCCCTCACATACCTGTATGTCGCCAAAGATCCCCTCTGAGTCTCCTCTTCTCCAGGCTGAAGAGACCCAGTTGCCTCAGTCTCGCCTCATACCCCATCCCCTGCAAACCGGCCACCAACCTTGTGGCCCTGCGCTGCTCTGACTAACCTGGCTATATCCTTACTTTAATGAGGGGCCCAAAACTGAGCACAATACTCCAGTTGTGGGCACACCAGAGTCGTATAGAGTGGTAGTAACACCTCCCTTGATCTAGAAGCCACACTTCTGGCTATGCAACCAAGGGTGGCGTTTGCCCTCTTGACCACCGCATCACACGGCTGACTCATGTTTAGCCTGCAGTCAACCAGTAACCTGGCTGAGCAACTTTTCACATGGTGGACTGGAGCTAGGACAACCAATGTCCACTTCCCCGGGGAAAAACTACATGGGTTGTTTCTGCCAAAAGTGAACCAGGCTGCAACGGATCTTGACTCATGGACTGGGGCCACACACTTGCCCACAAACCACACTTCCGGCCCTGAAACAGATCACTCTTTTCTTAGTTTTAGTGGCCCTGGGAAACGCTCGACGCAAGTCTCCCCAGCAACGCTCTTGTAGCCCGTGTTGCTGGACTACCAAGCCCCAATGTTTCCGAACATCGATGGCTGGGGCTAATGGGAGCAGGAATCTGGTGGGGCCACAGCCTTCCCACTCCTGATTTAAAGGTTGCAACTGAACACCAAGAAAGGTCATCCATACACCATGGCAAAGAGCAACTCCAGAAAGTCAGCGATGCGGCATCTTTTGAGTGCATCAAAGAATCTGGACCAAATGTGTACAGATTTTCAGACTTGCTTTTAGGTGGTGTAAGCTGCCTTGGAGGTGTTGCGAAAAAAAGTATTTTAAGTAAAGAAAGAAGCAGAACGTGACTGAGACTTAAACCAGATCTTCTCTTTCTCCGATCTCCTCCTAAGCGAGCAGAATCTCCCAATGTCGCCAACGTACCTTCACTTCCTGTATTTTCCGCTTAAGAAAGTCCACGGTACAGCCTGTAGGTGTTCTGGCCACCTGAAGGGAACAGCATTGTTCTTCGTGTTTGTCTAGCTTTGCTGTAACTTCAGCGTGTAATTCAGTGTAAGGCTCCCAAAGGTGTAAAGCAGTCTGTGTTTTCTGCAGCTGATCTTCAATTTCTCGGTTTACCAGTGTCCACCTATCAGAATCCCAAACAAAAGGCGTCATTATTAGCATGCACTACAATCAGCTTTCATCTTTTTAAAAAAGATTATTTAAAAAGAATGATACATGGCTAGTACATATTAAATAAAAGAACTGAATTAGCGATTTTGTATAAGACTTGGTTTTTACACTGTTTTCATTTCTGTTACTGTGTGCCTTGCTGTAATTTTGCCGATTGCTAGTTTTTGTATTGTTGAATGTTGTCCATGGGGTCGTGATGGGTCGGAAACAACTTCGCAACTAACAACAACAACAACACTTTTAAAGGCTATTTTATTGTTCCTTTCCCTGTTTTATGGTTAGCTGCCCAGACAACACACTAGGTTATGGGGGGGGGGCATATAAATACAATAAATACAATGCTACACATCTGCAGGGTTATGATTCTTTTATGTATATATTTAAGATCCAATCCTTTATGTATCTGCTCAGAAACAAACAGCTGGCGTCCTACGCACAGGAATTCTTGTATAGGATTTTAACATAAAAAGCATAAAACATCAAGTGAAAATGAGACATCTCAGCAAAGTCTTGATCATAGGGCACAAGATTAGGGATGTGTGAGGAACCCGTTCTGGGTGTTGGGATCCATCCGGTTCCCTGGGCTCAGCCCCTAGGCTCCAGTCCACGTTGACATGGCCGTGAGTCCAAGCTCCTAGTGAGCACACTCAGTGTCTGCATGGCACTTCCAGAGTCGATCCTCGTGCAAATGCTGCACACGCAGCGTGTGGGCTGAACACCCTTCCTTCCATGGGTGTTGAAGACCTCCTCCCAGCCCAACTTGCTTTCCAAGACAGGATGGAGCTCCAGGGGAAGTCCACAGGCCTGAGAGGGACAGATTCTTCAGGGCTTTAATGCATCCCTACACAACATTGTGTAGCAGGCAGGCAATTGTGTAGTGCAACAGTCCTGGTATGGATTGGATCATGCTTGGCTGAGGTCCTCAAAGAAAAGCCATTTTGAACATTCATAAAATAGAGTTGGAAGGGGCCATGAAGGCCATCGGGTCCAGCCCCCTGCTGTTGCAGGACACCGCTCAGGTGGCTGTCCAGGTTCTTTTTGAATGTCTCCAGTGTGGGAGAGCCCACCACCTCTCTAGGCAGCTGGTTCCACTGCCGTATTGCTCTGACAGCGAGGAAGCTTTTCCTGATGTCCAGCCTGAATCTGGGTTGTCGCAACTTGAATCGATTATTTTGTGTCCTACACTCTGGCATCAGCAAGAAGAGATCTTGACCTTCCTCTTTGTGACAGCCTTTGAGGTATTATAGAGGGACATCATGTCCCCTCTCAGCCTTCTCCTCTCAGAGCTGAACATGCCCACTGTCCTTTGGCGGCTGGGCCCAGTGCTGAATTCCAGAGAGGGTCTTCCATGTCTGAGGTTCCTTGGTGATGGTAGCATCGAACTTCCAAGTGAAGTGGGAAATGTGTGACGCCATCAAGATGGCTTGGATGAGAAGACACGTGCATCTAGCTGCCAGAGGCCCTCAGTTTAGCCCATTCTTGGACGATGGTTTGCGCTCTTGAATAAGCAGTTGCTGATGAGATGTTCCAACTCGGAATTCTGATTTCCCCCTAACAAGCCACTGCTGGGGTCCAGAGTTCAACCCAGGCCTTCCAACAGCGGGAGCAGTGGAGCTGTGTGCATCCGCGCACTGGATCGTTCCTGGCAGCCCACATTTCATAAGGAGAATCTGGGCCATCGCTTCATGTGAACCTCTGGAATCCGCTTCTACAGCAACTCCCTGCTCAAAGGATGCCTCTCCAACCAAATGCAGCGACTGAAGCGGTGAGGGAAGAAAGGCGAGGCCCAACTCCGAACCTTATTTAGGTTTTGGAAGCGTAGAGCCATCGAGCGGTAGAGCTGGAAGGGGCCAAGAAGGCCATCATGTCCCATCACTTGCTCAGTACAGGTCCAGTCTTCTTCAGGAGGCGGCCCACATGCAATACGGCCCTTTATCTATCTGTCAGTGGGACACTCCTGCAGTCCCAACCCACGAGGTCCAAACCTGTGCCAAGGGTTATGTGGGGAGCCTCTGGAGGAGATTCTGGGGGCACAAGGGGCTGCCACAGGAAGGAAGGAAACGTTCCTCTGTGCACACTGGGAGCTGCTTGTTCCGTGCTGGATTTGTTCTAAAGGTGCCCCCTTTTCTGAGATTGATGCACGATCAATGCAGCAAGATCACAGCTGTTTGGTCTGGCAGAAGGAATCAGGCGGAGGGTGTCTGATGTGCAGAATTACTCGCATCCCAGTGAATAAGGGGGACTGGCAGGGCCAGTCTGCTTGCCTCTTGCCTTAAGTTAAGCATCAATATCTGACCTGTTTCACAGTTGTCCTTGCAGCTGCAAGAGACTACTAGCCGGGGCGAGATTTCTAAGTGGTTAAACAATAAAAAAAGATTGTACCTTGTACGTGCCTCCTTGTGTTTCTTTTCAATAATTTTAGAAAACAAGGGACTGCACAGCTTCATGAGATTACCAGCAGCAGCTTGGAGTCCAGCCCACGTTTTTTCATTGCTCTCAGCTTTATCTTGCAGAGCCTGGGGAGAGAAATGCCACATGGTGAGCTATACATGTTCAGGCACTTGAGGAGGTGGTTACTGGGGTTGCTAACATGCGCCTGTCCTTCCGAGGCAGTGCATTTGAACCCTGAGCGGGGGTGAAGCTCGCCACTGCAAGCACCTGTGGAAAGAGAGTTGTCACCCTGCCACCGCAGAGCATTTTTCAGGACTGGAGAGGCTTGAGGATTCTCCCAGGCATTCTTGGAAAGGCCCCAAAATCAGGAAGGCTTGGGACCACAACTCTTGATGGAGCGGCTGTCCCAGCTGCAATCTACCCACACACCAAGATCAAAATCTGGGGCTTTCCTCTGAGGGAGGCTCAAGGGGGAGCGACAAGAGGAAGGGCCTTCTTTGTGGCGGCCCCTCATTTATGGAATGACCTTTCCACTGAAGCCGACCAAGTGCCAATTTTGTCATCTTTTGGATGCCGAGTTTAGATGGTCCTTTATGGCTTTGAAAGGTATACTTGGCTTAGGCAGGACAGAAATGAAATTAAAAATATAAATAGACCTTGTGCCTTCTTCTGGGCTTAGGAAACGGGCAGGGGGTCTTAGCAACTTTGGGCTGTGGCTCAGGAAATAGTGCACAGCTCACATTTTTAGCACCCCCATGCAATGATCATACATGCAGGTATGTTTGTTTGCAGTGTCCCTTTGCGTGCTTGTACAAAGGCAAGGGCTGCAGAGCTAATTTGCATGACTTTGCAGCTCCTGAAGGGTCTTTTTTACTTGTTTGGGTCAGGATTAAAATCACAGGGCTGCAATGCGGCAACTGAACAAATTCCAGAGTGCAAGATGCAGTAAACTATATGCCCAGTGTCTGGGCTGATCACCTACCTGGACTTTGCACTGGCTTTAACATCAGGCCAAATCGCGCTTTAGCACTATATGAGTAAGACTTGAAAGAAGCTGAGCGCTCCGTCGCCTCCCACCTTGCACATTTTGCACCCTTGATCTCGGTTTGTGGCGACTTGCAAGCAGCCACCCATAATTTATATTTTCCCTTCAAATCAGGGTCAGAAAGGAGGTTTTGATTCTAGGGATGAGAGAAAAGCTGGTTGCTTACCTGTAACTGATGTTCTTCGAGTGGCCATCTGTGCAGTCACACATATGGGTGCTGCGCCTGCGCAGTGCCTTTGGCCAAAAGATTGCAAGCTAACGGTTTTTGGCGGGAAAGCTCCACTCCCCCTCCCCCATAGCCTATAAAGAGCGGAGCGTCCGCCATTTTGTTCAGTCTTTGACGACCGAACCTACGCCCCCATATGGAAAAAACGGTCACTACTAGATGAGAAAAAAATCGGTACTGTGAAAAAAGGGAAAGCATCGGTACCGACAAATCTGTCCACTCACTGACACCGACACCGAGCGGGGCTGGTGGGTGGGTTGTGTGACTGCACAGATGGCCACTCGAAGAACATCAGTTACAGGTAAACAACCTGCTTTTCTTCGTCGTGGCCTCTGTGCATCACACATATGGGTAGATTAACAAGCCTACCATAATGGAAGAGGGGAGGTGCCCTCAACAAAGAACAGATGAAAGAACGGCTCTGCCAAAGGAGCAATCTTGCTGAGCCCAAACGTCTAGACGATAATGTCTGGCGAAAGTGCAAGGGTTCGCCCAAGTAGCAGCTCGACATACATCGTCAATCGGGACTCCCGATGCGAAGGCAGATGAGGCAGCAACTGCCCTAGTCGAATGGCTTCGAGGGGCTGTGGGTAATTCAATCTTAGTCAGTTGATAGGATAAAGTGATAGTATGGACTATCCACTTGGAAAGTCTCTGTGGAGTGACTGGAGCGCTTTGATCTCTGGTAGAATATTTAATGAATAGTCTATTTGAGCGCCGAACAGATTCAGTCCTAGATCAGTAGAAGGCTAAGCAGCGCCGAATGTCAAGTGAGTGCAACGACCTTTCTAACGGAGTCGATGGAGACGGAAAAAAGGCAGGCAAGACAATATCCTGTCCCATATGAAAAGATGTGGCCACATTAGGAAGAAAAGATGGATCGAGCCACAAGATGACCTTTTCTCTGTGAAAATTCAAGTAAGGAGGGTCTATGCAGAGAGCGCAGAGCTCACTGGCCCTTCGGGCTGCGGTAACCGCCACGCGAAACGCTGTCTTCCATGAAACCAGACGTAAATCGACTGTTGCCAATGGTTTGAAAGGAGCTCTTGTAAGTGCTTGCAAAACAACAGAGAGACTCCAGGTAGGCATTACTGGCCTGATTGATGGATTAAGATTATGAAGACCCTTAAGAAACCTCTTACTAGTAGGTTGAGAGAAGATGGGTGATCCGTCCACCATGCCACAATGATAGGCGATTGCCGCCTATACACTTCATTTGAAGATGGTTTCAGTACGGAGTGGTGCAGTTCTAATAAGAACTGAAGGATTTGCTGTATCGATGATGTAAATGGAGAGAACGAACGAGACTCGGCAAAGGTGGAAAATAGTCCCCATTTAGTCACGTAGGACTTTCGCGTAGATGGCTTTAAAGCAGAATCAAGGATGTGTTGAATATCCGGATGAAAGGTTGTCGGATTTGACGGATCAATCTTCAGATCCGATGGTGCTGGAGGAACAAAAGAGGAAGTAGCGCTGAACGCAGCAGATTCGAAGGCAGGATTCGAACCACTTGAAGTTGCCGTTGATACAGATGGCGCAAGGTTAGCTATCGGATTCGCCACGCTGTTAGGTTCAACGCCGCCCCGAGGCTTCGGCAAGGGGCGGCATAGAAATGTTCTAATAATAATAATAATAATAATAATAATAATAATAATAATAATAATAATGATAGTAAATCTGGTGAAGCGTACCGTCCTGTTGGGTTATGAGGTATGGAAGCAGTGGAAGATGAAGGTATTCCCCATGAGAGATGTCGAGCAGTGTAGCAAACCAATGTTGGCGTAGCCACCAAGGGGTAATTAGTATCCCCGTGGCCCGATCGTGTACTATCTTCGCTATGACTCTCATCATAAGAGGAATCGGCGGGAAGGCGTAAAAGTTCAGGTTGTTCCATGGGATCATGAAGGCGTCCCCTAGGGATCCGTACCCGATTCCCGCTCTCGAACAGAAAGCATCACACACCTTGTTCTGTTGGGTGGCGAACAAGTCCACGTCAGGGAACCCCCAGCAATGAAAAAGATAGTCGCGTGTCTGAGGATCTAGCTCCCATTCATGAGAGATGAACATGCGCCTGCTGAGGAGGTCCGCTTCCACATTGTCCGTACCAGCCAAATGGACTGTCATTAGTGCAACATCTCTCGGAATGCACCAGTCCCAAATCTGCATAGAAAGTCTGGCCAGAGTCGGGGACTTCGTTCCGCCTTGTTTGTTCAGATAAAAGATGGTGGCTATGTTGTCCGAAGTTATCTGAACGACCCGATGCTGGAGAACATCTTCGAAAGAACGCAGGGCTTTGAATACCACCAACAGCTCCAGGAAGTTGATATGATTCGTGGATTCTCGATGAGTCCATGTGCCCTGGGTATAAAGGCCGGAGCATACTGCTCTCCATCCCAGAAGAGATGCGTCAGTACTGAGGGTTATTGACGGGCATCAGGGCCTGAAGAGAACCCCAACAGTCAGATTGGCTGGAACCGACCACCAGAGTATTGAATGGAGCACCAAGGATGGGATTCGAATCAACTTCGACGGTGAGTCTCTCTGTGGGTGGAACATCTTGTTGAAAAGTAGTTGTAAAGGACGAAGTCGAAGTCTAGCGTGTGGCACCACAGCAACCGAGGAAGCCATATGTCCCAGAAGCCTCTGGATGGACTTTGCCGGAACCGTCCCGTCTCGTCGCATTCGATGGATGTGGCGAGCAAGAGTCTGTTGTCTGTCCTGAGGAAGGAAGGCTTTTCCCAGCATCCAATCCAAATGGGCTCCGATGAAGATAAGCGTCTGCGTCAGAAGAAGATTTCTCGGTATTAATGCATAGGCCCAGATCATCTAATAAGGCATAGGTTGTATGGATGGATGCGAGGAGTCCTTCCCTGGACTGGGACACCAGAAGCCAGTCATCAAGGTAAGGGTAAATTTGTATGCCTTGGAGGCGTAGGAAAGCGTAGACAGGGGCCATACATTTGGTGAACACTCTCGGAGTGGTGGCCAGACCGAAAGGTAGAACCATACATTCGTATAAATGGGGTGCAACAGCAAAACAAAGGAAACGCCTATAACTCGGTTGAATCGAAATGTGGAAATAGGCATCCTTCAAATCCAATGAGGCGAACCAATCCTCCTTCCTTAGCAGCGGCAAAATATTTTGAAGGGTGGTCATTCGAAACTTTTTTGTCACTATAAATCGATTCAGATTTCATAAGTCCAAAATCGGACGTAGACCATCATCCCGTTTCGGGACTGCAAAATACCTGGAGTAGAATCCGTGGAGTCTGTCAGGTGGAGTTACTTGATGAATCGCTCCTTTACGAAGCAGTTGTTGTATTTCATCATGCAATACCGGTGAGCATGATGTAAAACGGATCGGACTTGATGGAGGAACGATGTCGAATTCTATCCGATAGCCGTGCTGTATGATGGATAATACCCACCAGTCAGATGTGATGGACTCCCAAATGGGGAGTCGGCTTTTCAGCCAGTCCCCAGATGAGAGGGGGGTGGGAATGGAAGGGATCAGAGGAATGGTTCACCAGTCCCGTCAACGCTGCCTCCTATCTCCGTCATAATGGCGACGGCCCTGCAGATAGCGTTGCTGGGGCTGTTGATGGAGGCGTTGCTGTTGCTGTGGCTGGTGTTGGGGCTGTTGTCTAGCTGATACGGTTGTCTATAGGATGGATGGGTCCATGCCCACTTACACCTAGTTTGAGTCTGAAGCTCCATCCGCCTGGCCGTCATGCGGGACTCATGGAGTTTCTTCATCGTGCGGTCAGTTCTAGAGTGGAAAAGCCCGGACCCGTCAAAGGGCATTTCCTCAATCCTCCGTTTAGTCTCCTCCGGGAAGTTGGAATTCCTTAACCAGGCATGTCTGCGGAGAGAGATGGCACCGACCAAGGCTCTCGAGTCCGTGTCCACATGATGCCTGGCTGTGGACAACTGCTGAACGGCGACCTGCATCGCCTCCTTGATAAGTACCTTCGCCAGGTCACCCTGGTGGTCCGGGAGGGTTGAGATGATGTTGTGGAGGCGCTGCATGATGAAGTATTGATACCTCGCCAACGTCGCCTCGTAGTTGGAAATGCGCAGCCCCAGGCCTGAGGCTGCATAGACTCGCCTGGCCAGGGAGTCGATCTTTCATCCCTCCTTGTCCCTTAGTGTGGTGTGGCCTCTCGCCTCTCTGCTCTGGGAGGACTCCACCACGACCGAGTTCGGCTTGGGGTGGCGGAGGAGGAAGGGAATGTCCTCTTCCCGAACCCGGTACATGGATTCGGACCTCCGAGACGTGGGTTGAGGGTGAGAAGGCAAGTTCCAGGGTTGCGTCATCGCCTGTCATAAGGTGGTGATCAGGGGCAGGACGATGGAGGTGGACTGCTCCCCGCGGACGACGTCGTAAAACTTGTCCGTAGTGGGTCCTGGACGCTGGACGGCGTTGATGTCAAGGGACTGGACAAGCCGGGACATCAGCTCCGCAAAGGAGACATGTGATTCGTCCGGTGACGCAGGGCCCTGGGAGGTCACAGCGACGTCAGGGGAGGTTGAATCGACCTCTGAACCGTTGGAGTCAGCACCATAATACAGAGGAGCCGATGACGAGGACTCCACCGGAGAGACGGACCGGCTACTCTCATCCCGAGGAGGTAACGGGGATGCACGCCTCGGACCCAAGGAAAGTGGACAGTGGCGGGAAGGCGGTGAAGACCAACCCCTAGGTGCGGGGTAGTACCCGACGGAGTGTGGATCGACCCAGGCTTGATAGTAGGAATGGTGCCATCCCTCGGAGCGCTGTTCCATGCAGCGACTCCTTCGGCTCCTAGGCGGGGACATCTCCACATCCGCCTCCATTGTGGCTGCGGGCATAGGTGTGGGCGACCCAGCCCTGGGGGGAGAATCTTGAATTTCCCCATCAGAAATTGACCCCCGCTGTAGAGTTGGAAGCGGCTCAGCAGGAAGGTCAGCCACATGGCCAGGGGACCCTTGAGGGGTGACCCTCATAGCCGCCTGAAGCACCGGTTCGGGTGGAGTGGGTACAGTGACTGCCGCCGGTACCAAGGGGGCTGTCGAACCCGCCAGTTTCGGAGCCTTCTCCTTCCTGGCTTTCTTTGCTGATTTGTCGATTTCGGCATGCTTACGCTTCTCGTGCTTTTTCTTTGGAGAAGCAGGTGGAGCCCCCATGGTAGACGTGCCTTCGTCCGAAGGGCGTGAGGGCGGAGCCACCGTAGCAGAGCCAGGCTTCGGAGCGACAACGAGTGGGTCCGACTGCATGAGAGCCCGATCCCACAAGAGCCTCCGCAGACGATTCTCACGGTTCTTCCTGGCCTGCTTAGAGAAGGCCAGGCAGTGAGAGCGTTTATCAGTCCTATGCCCCTCCCCCAAGCAGAGGAGGCATAGGTCATGCAGGACGGTCGGAGACATCTTAGACCCGCATTCCGTGCATTTGCGGAAAGCCGGAAAAAAATAGGAGATAGTACAGAGGGTAAGAATGTATTTTTGGTTGGTTTTTTTTTTTGTTTTTTTTTATAGAAGATCGAAAGAGAAGGTAGAACGATAGAGAACTATGAAAACTGACAAGAACTATAAGAACTAGCAAGAACTATAAGAACTAACAGGGCTATAACAACTGGGAGAGAACAATCGAGAACAAGAACAAGCCAGACGAGCAATGGTCAGAGCGAGAGCGAAAGCGGCACGAGGCACAGCGAACGGCGGTCGCAAAGACTGAACAAAATGGCGGACGCTCCACTCTTTATAGGCTATGGGGGAGGGGGAGCGGAGCTTTCCTGCCAAAAACCGTTAGCTTGCAATCTTCCGCCAAAGGCACTGCACAGGCGTAGCACCCATATGTGTGATGCACAGAGGCCATGACGAAGAACCACAAATTCTGGAACACAAGGAATTCTCTGAATTTCATGTTAAAGCTCGGTCTGGCTGACACCCATTCTCATTTGTGATCTGTGTGTTTGTGTGTGTTTAGTATATCTGAATGGTCAAAGTGTGCATTTTGAATGGGATGGCATTTTTAAGGAGTGTGTACTTCCCCGTACCACGGAACAAAGTGTGAAATTGCAAATGTGATACTGAACACTTTTAAAAATGCGCTTTAAAGTGTACATTTTAAAAAGTGGGCATTTCTTGTGCATTTTTTAAAGTACACTTTTTAGAAAGTGAACACTTTATCAAGTTTGGAGAACATGCGTTTGCAGATGAGGCTTTTCAAGCAATTTGTGAGTTGAACAAAATCATGCAATATCTGTTTGGGTCTGGCTTCTGCTCCTGGCTGCGGGGTCAGCACAACCCAGAGCCTGCCATTTCTTCTGACCTGGCAAGTGACCGATCACCTCTGGTGGCATGACCTGGTGGGACCAAGAGTCCGCGAAGGTTCATTCTTGAAGTGCCACTCCATGGTTTGCGATGGCATGAAATGCACCACTTTCGTCTTTTGAGAGGGCTCTTCTGGAGCCCTGCAATTCATCACATCCCTACCTGCAGCATCTCTCGAGCCGTACCTGGAGCTTCTCCATCTGGTTTTTCAGCATCTCGAATGTCATCACAGGAGGCCTGCTATGCTCCACGAGGTAAGAAGCGTGAGCAAGCATCAGGCTGACTTCACACCATGCCGCATCGTAAACCTTCCAGCTCTCTAACGCAGCGCCTGCCGAAGTCTTCAGCTGGGCAACCTGCAAACACAGGCAACGCTTCAAAGCAGAATGGCCACTTCTCCTTAATAAAGAACACTTACAAAATTACTTAGCAGGATGCTTGGGAAAAATGTACAAAGGACCCCCACAGTTAAAAGCTTAAAGACCCCCTACTGTAACAGTTCTATTTTTGTACTGCCTTCCAAATGCATGTTGGACCAAAAAAATATGACTAGAGGTATTTAGCAAATGAATATATAACTCACATCGGAGGTAATGGGACATGCTTCAGACTAGGCATTAAGGGAAAAATACCCACCCACGTGTATGTATGAGTGTGAAGTATCAGGATTAATCTCGTTATTAACTTAACGAGAGGCCAAGGGTCTGCAGTGCTGGTAGAGCTCATGCCAGGATATCTGCTTAGAGGGATAGGAATAGCCGCACAGGTTTTACTCTCTTGCAGCTGACATCGCAGCAGGAAACCTGGCAGATTCGCAGCTCCCGGAGGGCTTTAATTGCAGAAGGCTCTGATGGCTCAGCCACGAGTGCTTGTTCCATGGAGGATGATAATCACTGCAAATTGTTTTAGACTTCTGTGGAGGTCTCAGCTATCCGTTTTGCCCTGGTTATTGCCATGCAGGCTCCGAAGAAGCCTAGGAGCTCGTGTAATGCATTCCACCAGCTGAGAGAGCCACGGTGGCCTTGTGGTCTGGGAGTTCTGGTCTGGGATTCAGGAGACCTGGGTTCTAGTCCCCACTCGGCCATGAAGTTGAGGATGGCTTTGGGCCAGTCACTGGGTCTAACCTTACTTAGCTCCACTGCTGACACAGGGGGCAAACCAATGGGCCCCAGGAAGCACCTGTGAGCCCCCCGGAGGTTTCAGACTCCCCGGTCCAGGATCGGAGACAGTGCTCTAGTCTCTGAGCAGGGAACTGGAGCTAGGGACCTGTGTGGAATCTGCTTAGGAGGTAGCAAATCCATCGGATTCCCTGGTCTCAGCTCCCCACACTTGGGCTCACTCAGTCGCAGCTGTGCGTTGCAGCTCTTGGCCAGTACGCTGGATCTTCACAGAACAGAGCCCCTTGCAGCTTCTGCACAAGCGGAACCCACTTCCACATCACGCTCACCAGCATCTGTCTGTGCTCTTGCACATGATGTGGAAAACGCTTGTTTGAGGACTCCCTCTTGGCTCGGCTCGGCTCGCTTTCTGGGAGGAGGCCGAGCACAAGAGGAAGTCCACAAATGCTTGGGGGATGGATTCTGTCCGGTCTTCGTCTCAACCCTCTTTGCAGTTCCACTGCCTCCTCTTCCCTGCTGGCGCAACAGCAGCCACATGGGAAGCTCTCTGATACTGGGTACAAGACAGGAGAAAGAGGTGTTTTGGGGGACAGGGAGGGGAGAAGACTGGGGAGGCCAGGCTGGGAGCTAACCTGACTCCTGCCCAACCTCCTTCCTCCCCCCTCTGATGGCCCCTCCTCAGCCAGACAGGCAAAAAGCACAACTACGGAAAAATGCAGGGCAAGCAAACGGGGAGGCAAAAATTCCCCCTGCCCCCCGACCTGCCTAGGATGCCCCAAAGCCTCGAGCTGAAGAGAGCAACTGTTGGGAAAGGTTCAGCTACAGGTAGTTATGAAGGCAGCTGCAGCCCCCAGGTATTCTTGATGCGGAGGATCTCGGCTGGGTGCAACAACCTGCTTCAAAAGACACCTGGGTTGGGCAAGGAGAGCTGGAAAACGAGACCCAGCTTTGTTGTGAAATTCTGGCCAGCTCTGCAGGCGCACAGCTCCAGTGCAATTTGTGCAAATCGCACTAGAACCACATTGTTTTGGCCTTCCTGATTGCACAAATAGTGCAAGTAGCGTAACTGGCACCCATTTCCGTAGCCTAAAGAAAAAAAGGCATACACTGTTTTCGAGATAGGTGACTGTGAGCGTAACCATGAGTCAACATCTGAGTGGGGCTAAAGAAACAGAATCCGGGTGGCTAAATTTGTTTGATTTTCACCCGTCTCCCCAGATGTGTCACATAGCCCTTGTTGGGGGGCAGTGACTTCAAAGCCTGTGATTCGTGTCTACTCGTGAGGCAGAGGAACTTGCCTTCTGCACTTTGAGGGCAAGCATCACCCCAGCACGACAGCTTCGAGGCATTCCTCTCCCCCACAAAACCCCAACCCCGAGATTTCTTCTGCTCAGCCCTAGTTTTAAATTCCAGTTTGGCAAGAACTCAGTGAGATGCACTTTAGCCATCACCAACTTTTATCCATAGCCAAAAATCAAGGTAGTGACCTGGTTCTCAGCGCTGGTCCTCATTTCATCCAGATCATGGGCTCTCTTCGCGCTGCCTTCAGGAGCCTCTGCACCGTAATCTAAAGCCGTGTGGTTTTGCTTCAGCTGATCCACCTCCTTGGCTTTAATGGCAAGCTGATTTTCTAGCACCTGGAAGAGAGGAGTGGGGCGGGGGGCGGGTGAAGCTTCTTGGTGCACAGGTCAAATCTCAGTCCTTTTCAGCATCTGGCCCCAGGGCTGCTGCTTGAAGGAATCAATGCTAGGCAATCTGCTTAGCTGCAGAGAATCAATTCTTGTTGTTTTTATACCCGGACAAATAACAAGATCATGGAGAAACCACAAATATTGGAAAAACAGTGCTTTAGTTTTGGGAATAGAATTTGGAACTGCGGGTTAAACAGAACCCCAGGAAGAGCAGAGGGGGGGCATGCTGATGAACAATGGAAAGGGAATCATGGACAAGGGACCAGTCATGAAAGTAAAACAGGACATATTGCACTAGCTAGCTTTTAACCAATTCAGCTGTACAAAATAATATGCAGACGAGGACAAAATCTCCTGTGCGATAACAAAAGACATGGGGTGCCAATATCCAAATGCACGACTAGGTATCCTTGGTTTGGTTAAGGCTGGAATATAACTTAAGCAGAGTCTTGCTGGGTCAGGCCCAGGGCCCATCTATAGCTCAGCATCCCATTCCCACAGTGGCCAACTGGGTGCCCACGGGGACCCACAAGCAGGACACGAGCGCCACAGCCCACTCCAGCAGTGGTTAAGAGCTGGGACTGGGACTCAGGCGATCCGGGTTCGAGTCCCCGCTCAGTCATGGAACCAGCTGCGTGACTCTGGGCCAGGCACAGACTCTCAGCCCAGCCTACCTCACAGGGTTGTTGTTGTGGGGATAAGTGTGGAGAATGCCAGTGTGGTGTAGTGGTTAAGAGCATGGGACTGGGACTCAGGGGATCTGGGTTCTAGTCCCCGCTCAGCCATGGAGCCAGCTGGGTGGCTTTGGGCCAGTCACAGACTCTCAGCCCAGCCTACCTCACAGGGTTGTTGTTGTGGGGATAAGATGGAGGAGGAGAATGATGTAAGCTGCCTTGAGCCCTTTGTAGGGAAAAGGCAGGATATAAATCGAAAAATCAAAAAAACCAAAAATAAATGTACCCCAGTAAATGGTGCACAGCCCAATACTGGTGGTACCATAGAGCCATCAAGACTAGTGGTCACTGACAGTCTTCCCTTTCATGAACATGTACAATCTTCTTTAAATGCATTAAATATGTGGAAATCTCCACCAAAGTGGGGAAAACCTTCTACAGAGTAAACTCTACTCTGCTAATGAATGCACTAATGGCCACTAAAGTTCTGCTTCAAATCCCACAGGATTTGCACCGGGAGCAGGCAGAAGGACTCCGTGGGGAGCAAGACATGGCAAGCCACTGAATGCTTGACTGGCCAACAGAATAACGTGTGTTTGTGAGCAAACAACCAACCCAGTGTGGCTTATGCTTTGGTGGCTTGTTGGGACATACGAACTGGCCTTAAAAAGTATTGGGAAGGGAGAACTCTATCTGCCTTAAGAACCTTGGAAGAACGGTGAATTATAAATGGATAAATAAAAGCATCAGAGTACAGCAACAGAAAAGTATTTAGATATTTCTAAAGACCTTCTAGCATAGCTGGGCAAAGTCAATGAAAATGTGAGCACTTTAATGGCAAGCTTGCCATTAGGATGAGGGTTAGATGCTCTTTGCTACTCCCTCTGATAAGAAGCAGGAGCATAAATTGTGCAAATTAAGCACATGTTCTAAACATGCTTCATTTGAATAACTGATATAGATCGCAGTCCTCCAAATTTCTCAGTGTAAAATGTGATGTACTTGGGATAATCATTTATTTTATGGCACACATGCATGATTTATTTTAAAAAAGCATAAAAACACGGCCTTTTTTCTCATGTTCTTTTTAAAAGTTTTGTTCTATGATCTTGAAAAATTCTTCTTGGCATTATTTAACTTTTCTCTTCCCCTTCCTCTCTCCCCTACTGAGTGTACCTGCTCACTGAGAGAGTTTCAGTCTGTCCTTTATTTATTCACAGAGCTTTTTAACTAAACTAGCTGGAATGGATCCCTCAGTCCTTGGGCTAGAAAAAGCAAAGACACCCCAGGGCTTGGTAAAACATCACAAAACTACCCACTACTTTGTTACTGCTGCAACAGAAAAGAAAGAGTTTGGTAACCATGGCAATTTAAGAAATGAAATACAGCCCCTATGAAGAAGGAGACAAGGGAGCCACAGCAAACATGCTTTGCTATTGTTATTTCGAGAAGAAGGGCTAACCTGGCAAATCAGTTCAATGCTCATCCCCTTTTACAGAAGTCATCCAAGTCCCAGTTCAAAACAATACTGTGATACACAATCTATATATAGACTGATGGTAAAGGAAAGCTCTGCTTTAGAGAGAATCTAATTTGACAGTCAGGGAGGCATAGTGGGTAGAGAAAGTGGTGAGACAGTGAGGCCCTTTCCACCAGTCTGGCTGGGCACAACTGCCATTTGGCTCCTCCAGCAACAGCTATCCCATTCAGACAGTATATGAAGCTGTATGTAATTGCATGCATAATATGGTGTCTGAGTTTTCCTCTTCCCTCCTGCTCCCGTTTTCCTCTTGTGACATCCCTGGCAGCTTGTAAGCCTATATGAATTTTTATACAGTGCCTAAAAGAAGTATAAGATGATGGTGATCAAAAGCATCAACAACATCAGGATATTCCATGCAATTCTACATGTTGTAAAAATAAAGATTATTTAAAACAGCAACAATATTGGGATAGAGTAGGAAGAGGGAGGTCTAAGTTTGCATCACCTGTCAGTGATGGAACTGATCGATTAAGCTCAGCCTATCAGTTTCTCTTAGCCTAACCTTCTTTACAGGGCTGTTGCGAGGATAAAATGGGCAAAGGAAGAACATCGCACTGCCCTGAGCTCCATGGAAGAAAAAAAGGGTTTTTTTAAAGGTCCCATGTGATAAACATAATTCTGGAATTCAGAAAACAGGCAGAGAAGGACGGCTTACACTGCACTCTCTTGCTGTGTCCTCTGCGAGGATGGAGCTGGATGGCTTCTCCACCTGGCTGAGCCTTCGGCTTTGTGCTTCCAGCCACCTGCTCAAAGACTGAGCTCTGCTTTCGTTTTCAGTGACAGCCTCCAAAATGCACTCCAGTTCTTTTTCCTGCAGGTTGGAAATGCAGCTGTGGTTTGCATCGTATTGGACAGAAAGGCAGCTAAGCCCTCTCAGGGCAAAAGCCATGAAACCAGGTAGCTTTTATTCGCCTGCTCCTTGTTTTACAACATGCTCAGGGGTTGCCGGACATGTTTTACATTGTTATTGTACCAAGAAATTTGGAATCGCAAGAGTTCCTAAGAGCATATCCAGACAGCGACTTTCTGTGCTCCCCACTGGAGTGAGACGTGGTATTAAAGCGAGAGGTTAGGAGGCAGGCGTGTAAGGGCTTTTCCACAGTCAACTGCACTGGCTACTTGTTCCAGTCTGGGCTGAGTTCAAGATTTTGGCTAGCCCTAAACAGCTTAGGCCACATTATCTTAGGAAAAGCCTTGCTTCATACACACCTGCCCACTGTTTAAGATCATCAATGGAGTTCCCCTCCAGGTCCCTCTTGCTTGGAAGGCCAAGGGGGAGGTGGCAAGGAGCAGAGCCTTTTTCGTGGGGGCACTCCAGTTATGGAATGCTTTGCCATCGGGAGATAGTAAAATAAGAAATATATAGGGATTGTCAAAATGTTAATGACTATGTTAGGGAATTTGTGCATTGGTTAATTCATTCAGATTTATGCAAGCATACTAAAACAGTGAATACAAATATTAAATGTACAAGGAAATACACTTAATATTTCATTTTGTTTCAGGATAAACAGATCCATCCATGAAACAGTTATTACAGGTGAAGTAGCACCTCTTTTTTTTTCTTTTTTGTTTAACTTAGAATGGAGAAAAATGGCACCAAAGCCAGAAGAACACCAAATGATCAGCAAGTTGGGAAAAGGACAGGGCCAGGAGAAGGAGGCATGGCCTTTTGGAGAGGGCCGCATTTGGCCCTTGGCCCTCAGCTTCCTCACCTCTGCATTAGTACTCATGGATGGAACTAGCGCAGCGGTGGCAAACCTATGGCACACGTGGCGGAGCGGGCACACAGAGCCCTCTCTGTCGGCACGCGAGCCAAGTCGCCCCAGCATCACCCCAGCAGCCGAGCATCAGATAACAGCGCACACAGGGGCCGTGCGCATGCTCGGAAAGGAGTAGCGGTGCCAGGCGATGACGTCCTGAGCCATGACTCATTAGCTGTGACTCGTCCGAGCTTTCACATGGCCGGTAAGTGTGCTGCCAAGGAGATATATATATTTATATTTGCTTGGACTGGCTGTGAGTTGTAAAACCTCAGTATTCAGGTTTTATTGAGGTGTTGACATTTTGCGATAAGTAAGTGGGTGTTGGGCTGCAGTTTGGGCACTCAGACTCTAAAAGGTTCACCATCACTGAACTAGAGGAATGTTGAACATGGATGGAGTGCAGGGCCTGAATGTGTACAGGGTGTCGGGGGGCGCCTTCACCTAGATTTCTGCTCTTCCCCAAAAAGCTTCCACCTGGGCCAATCTGGATGCAATCCAAAGTGGCAAGACCCCTTCGGGTAAGATGCAGAATGCACCTTCTGAAATCAGAAACACTCCTTTTGCGCATGGGAGTGACTGAGATCCAGCTGAGTTTCTCCACTGTCGGAAAAGAGGGAGGCAATTCCTACCCGTTCCCCCAGTGGCCCTGCAACCTCACCAGCAGCGGCTCCAATTTATACCCTCTGGACAAAGCACTACGAAGGAAAATCGAACCTTTCCGTGCAGGGCCCCTTGCAATCTATGCCACTTCAGATTCATTTCCCCAAGAAGTTCCGCAAACGCCGTCCGCTCATAACGTTTGCTTTCAACATCACAAGTCGTCAGCTGCAGCAGCGACTGGTTGACATGATCAACTACCCACTGTTTGAAGTTCATTTCCATCAGGTATGCCTGGAAAAATACAGACAGCCCGTTCTCAAAACAAAGGAATGACGCCCCCATGCAGAAAACACCATGCTGACCATCCTTCTACTTATCTGGCATTCAGGAAAGCATTAATACAGGGGAGAACTTTTACCCACAATCTCTGCGATCGTTTGGGAAGGCTTAGCCCAGTGGGGGCAAACCTATGGCACCCGTGCCGCAGCGGGCACGCAGAGCCCTGTCGGCACGCGAGCCAAGTCGCCCCAGCATTGCCCCAGCAGCCGAGCATCGGATAACAGCGCACACAGGGGCCGTGCGCAAGCGCGGAAAGGAGTAGCTGCGCCAGGCGATGACGTCAGGAGCTGCGACTCATCAGCTGGGACTTGTCCGAGCTTTCACATGGCCAGTCAGTACGCTGCCAAGGTTATATATATATTTGCTTGGACTGGCTGTGAGTTTTAATACATTTGATTTTATTAACACAAGATTGTAGCTTTGAACTTTCTTATGAAAAACTGAAATTTAATATCTAAGATTTCGCAAAGAGATGTTCTAATTAAGAGACTGAGATTCTTTTAATGTTGTGCTGTCCCTCTGGCATATTTGAATCTGTAGTGTTGGCACTTTATGATAAATAAGTGGGTTTTGGGTTGCAGTTTGGGCACTTGGTCTCTAAAAGGTCCGCCATCACTGGCTTAGCCGAATACTTATGGAATGTGGTCTCAAAATGAATGTATTGGCAAGCTCAAGAAAACATCTGTTCTGGTTTAATTGGTATATTTTATATCGCTTCTACATTTGTTGCTGTGACTGCCCAGAGAGGTGTGGCTGTTGGGTGGTATAGAACTTGGATACAATGAATGAATGAATGAATGAATGTTAGGGAGAAGGATTTTCCCCCCTGACTTTTCAATCTTAATGCAAACTCCTTTATTAGGAGCGTGATAGACATTTGGGGCAGTTCTGCTGAGATGCTCCTGCCACAAAGTGCGTCCACAGGAGGTGCTGAAGAGGCTCATGTGAAGGAAGGAAGGAGGCCTAAGGAAGGACTGGGGCAAATCCTAGGGGAGCCTGTCCTGGTAGCATCCGCAGACTTCTTCTTCCCAGTCCCGCAGAGGGAGTCTGCGGACGCCCACGCCACAAAGGCCGTGCAGCCACGAACCTTCTTCTGTGTCAAGTGCCACAGTGCAGAGGGCTGCTGCAGGGAGCGTGGACAAGCGGCGCCGCTTGTACCGTGGTGCTGCTTGCACGGGGCTCCATTCCTGGCGAGCCCTGAGGACCAGCCCTCGCGCATGTCGGGTGCAGCAGCTCAGTCAGCCTCTGGCAGAGGCGAGGAGGGACTCTGCTCGGACGGATTCCCGGGGAGTGCCTGGGAACGCTGGGCGCACTTGCCAAAAACTTGGGCTCCGGGCCACTTGCAAAGCGGTCCAGAGTCTAGGGAGCCAAGCCCAGGGAATCTGATGAATCCCCGCTCCCAAATGCATTCCTCAGACATCCCTAGCTTAAGGTGTAAGAATCTGGGGACAGAAAGTGGGGGTTGCAGCCAGAAGGGCCCCAGCTTGGGGCAAAGCACTACTCTGTACACCAAAGACCCCGGGTTCATGCCCTGCCTCTACATGCAAAGCTGACAGCGACTGCTGCCAGTCAGAGCAGACAGCATTGAGCGAAGGTGCCAAAGGTCTGGCAGGGATTCTGGCAGCTTCCTGGGTTGCTAAGGATGCAGCTGAGAGGTGGCACCACTAGAGCCGCGGTGAAGATGCTCAACCCCAGGAGGACACCCTGATGTGGCTTGTCCAGGCCTCCGTCCATCCTAGAAGGGCAGAGCAGGAAGGGAACCCCGCTGGCCTCTGCCATCAGTGAGCAGACCGAGAGCCACTGGGGGGCTGCTTCTTTTGCCTCCAGGAAGATCACGGTCAGAGTGACCCTCCTGCTCAGAGAAGGAGCAGCTGCAGAGAGCCTGCTTCCCTCCTCCCTGCCAGAAAAGGCCTGTCTAAGAACACAGCAGCTGTGAAACTGCGCTCGAGTCTACAGTTTTCCTCCTCCCTTCCAATCCGTTTTCCTCTCATGCTGGGATGCTCAGGGTGGAAGCTGTGGGCTGCTCTGGGAGTCCTTTTGGCTAACGACACTTTTAATAGCTAAATAAATGCATATGCTGCTCCCGCGCCCCCTGCCTCTCTCAGGATGGCTCTCAGACATGAAACGGCAAGAGCACAGGTGCAGCATGGAGCGCCACCTGGTTCGTCTGCGCAGCTGCTGACAGAGCCAGTCAAACACCTGGCAGCAGTTGCGTGGCACCTCCCTGCGCCCTGGGAAGCCTGGAAGAGGTGGAAAGGGAGGGCAGGAAGGCGACCCAGGCGGAGCAAAAGCGGCCCTCACACCCCGGGCGTGCGTGTCCACTGGCTCTTACGACCCCATAAAGGAAGCCTTGGAAGTACAGGGACAGGGCGAGGCTGCTGTGGACACGGCGTTTTGCGGGCACGCATTCCTCAGGTGGCAGAAAGAACGGCACGTGACAACAAAGCACCATTTCCTCCAGGCATGTAGCACAATTCGGACAGCGCTCCATCCGACGGGGGGCTTAGCCCACCCCCGGCGGCTGCGCCTTCCTCATGATCCCCGATTCAGCCTCTTGAACCTTTTTCCCTCCCAAATCGTGAATCAGTTTCTAGGCCTCTCATTCTCCTTGCGCTCTGCTCACCTTGTATTTCTTAAGAAGGCCGTTCACTTGGCTTGCGGGACTCTGCAAACTGACGGGGGCCTCGTTTTCTCTCTGCTGGTCAACGTGGCTCATCCAGGCAATTAATTCTGCAATGGCCTCATGAGAGGGCAGCTTTGCCATCAGAAGCTGGCCAGAAAAGAGGCAATTCATCTTTATTTGTTTAGTTCTTCACAGGTTAAAAACAACTGTATTCTGAAATGGCAGAAATGCAACCCCCCCCCGAAAAACTTTGCACAAAGCATGGATATTTCTGAGACTGCAAGAATCACTTACAAAGGGAAGGGGCAGAGAGAGAAGAACGCACAGGGAATGCATACTAGTGCAAACGCACAAAGAAACACAGAAACAGAGCGAGTCAGAAGGGGTCTCCCGGGCCATCTAGTCTGACCCCCGGCTCCAGCCAGCTCCACTCACGACATGCCCACCATGTGGAACTGCGAGGATGGAAGCTGGAACTGTCCCTTGACTGTGCTGCTTCAGATTCACATGGGCCCCACATTACCAAATGCTTCTCCATGCAGCACAAGCAGCTGCAGGAAAGGCTGGCATCCCATCTCTGACTTTGCAAACATGCCCTGCGATCAGAGCTGGAACGGCCACCTCAAAGCACCTGCCCTCCATCCTTGCAGCTGGCACAGTTCTTTCTGCACCAGCCGCAGATCCAAGGGCACCAGGCAGAACCGTGTGTGTCTGTGCAGGCAATGCAGGGGGAATGGGGAAGGGGGGAATGAAGTCCTGGTGGGATATGCCAGGCGCTTGTCTTCCTTGCAAACAGGGGGGAAATGCCTGGATTTGGCTTCTAAGTATTTTGCTGGACAGAAGCAGGGGATGATCATCGGCTTCACATTCCTTCCACCCTTGATAGGATGCCTATAAACCTGAGTTCAGAGAGCTGTAGGCAGCTATGCTGCATCAGAATGTAAGTAAATGAGTAAATGCTCAGTTTGTAGAAATCCAGCTTTTCAGGGAGAAGAATTGCGGTCTGGCTTTTTTCCTATCACCCTGTAATTCTCCTTGCAGAGGCCTTTTCTCCTTTGGGTACACAGTCGGAAAGCAAGCATTCCATAAACCACAACAGTGTAAGGGTATCATGTTCATATGAACCACCCAAAATGGCCCATGCAGATGCAACCGTGGTGAAAAGCTGAGATGCTGAGGAAGATACGGCTGCCACTATCACCTCTGCAACATGCAAGGAAATCAAACAAGGGTGCTGTGGGTGCTATGCAGAATCCAGTGTGGTGTAGTGGTTAAGAGCGTGGGACTGGGACTCAGACGATCTGGGTTCGAGTCCCCGCTCAGCCATGGAGCCAACTGGGTGGCTTTGGGCCAGTCACAGACTCTCAGCCCAACCTACCTCACAGGGTTGTTGTTGTGGGGATAAGATGGAGGAGGAGAGATGATGTAAGCTGCCTTGAGCCCTTTGTAGGAAAAAGGCAGGATATAAATCCATAAATAAAATAAATAAATAAATCCCAGGGAAGATGTACCCAGGGACAATTTGATACTGACTCTGTTCTTGTAAGCAGGATATTATGCAGGCCCGGAGGCCAAGACATGGGAGGCTGTGAAAGCCTGAAGCCACAGCACAGCCACACAAGAATGCAGCCCTTAGGCCCCCAAATAGTGTGCCATGAGCTATAACTTGGGGCAAGCCAATGTATTAAACAAACAAACCATGCATCCTTCTCCCAAAGGATTCTGGCCACTTGGGTGAGATGGCTGAAAAGTCTCCTGACCAGCTCTAATCCCCACAACCCTCACGGAACTAGAGTCCACGCGGTTCCTGTGCAGCAAAGAAATCTGCTCCTTGAAATCAGTTGCTTGCCCAGATGGGACTTAGAATCATAGAATAGTAGAGTTGGAAGGGGCCAAGAAAGCCATCAGGTCCGACCCGCTGCTGCGGGACACTAATTTACACCATCCCAAACCAAGATGGACTGCCCAGTTCCACCTCGATTGTCTCCAGTGTGGGAGAGCCCATGACCTCTCCAGGCAGCTGGTTCCACTGTTGTATCGCTCGGACCGTGAGGAAGCTTTTCCTGATATCTGGCCTGAACCTCAGTTGTTGCAAGTTGACTTGATTATTCCGTGTCCTACACTCTGGCGTCAGCAAGAAGAGATCTTGACCTTCCTCTTTGTGACAGCCTTTGAGGTGCTTATAGAGGGATATCATGCCCCCCCCCCCAGCCTTCTCTTCTCAGGGCTGAACATGCCCAGTTCTCTCAGCCTCTCCCCACAGGGCAATCTGTTGCTTTTCTGCTGTAGGGAGAAGCCCTCTTCCTGACTGCGGTTCAGATCACGGTCTTACCAAAGGACCCCTAAAGATGGCACATTTAGGCGACAGAAACTTTACATAGAGATGACTTGGTACAAAGCCAGGCTGCAAAAGGAATGCTTAACTTTTGGACATGGTAACGATGCAGGTCAAAGCGATAGGACTGAAACAGCACACTTCCCAGAAGGGGATTTCAGTCGTGCTTTCGTGCACTCACCTATTGGATAACTTTCATCTTTTATATAAAAGACAGCTATCATTGACATAGAAACGTGGAAACAGAGTGAGAGAAGGGGCCTCCTGGGCCATCTAGTCTGACCCCCGGCTCCAGCCGACATGCAGAGAAGGCTAAAAAGATGTGAGCGGGATTTAATACCTCAGTATGACAGATTCTGTAGGTAAGATGGCTAGCAAAGAAGGCTTTGAAGACAGAAATGACTGAGCTACCTAATAACAGCACTTCACAAAGTATATGTGCAGAAGACTCTCAAGGGCTGCTGCTTTCGTTCTCGCACCGCTTTTTACCTGGTGAAACTTCTCTTGGATGCTCGGCAACTGGGCGATCAGGTCAGCCCATTTCTGCTCGTACTCTGTCAAACTCGACCGCAGCACCGCAGCATCCGATGCCTTAACGACCAAGAGCTGATTGCCCGTGCTTAGGACGGAGGACTTCAAAGACGATTTCTCATCCACTTCTTTATGGAATTCCTGACGAATAGAGGTGGGGAGAGGGGAAAGTATGGCTTTAAAAGAAAAATGATTGTGGATTGTGCCTGTGTGTTGCCTACGCTGCATCATGACATCTGCTTAATGGAGAACCATTATCTCCACTTTTCCTTGCTAAAAAATGCTGCAAAAAGCCCCTCCAGGCTGTAGAGGACAGAGGGCTGGCACTCAGCGGGGAAGACCCAGGTTTAAATTCTGCCCAGCCATGAAAGTGATTTTCAGCCAATCGTGGCTCCTCTGCCTGACTTACCAAACAGGACGGTGATGCAGGTAAAATGGGAAAACCTGTGGAAGCTCTCCTGAACTCTTTGCTGGAATCTGTTGCTAGTTGCGAAGTTGCATCCGACCCATCGCAACCCCATGGACAACACTTCTCCAGACCTTCCTGTCCTCCACCATCCCCCTGAGTCCACCCAAGCTCACGCCCACTGCCTCAGTGACTCCATCCAGCCACCTCATCCTCTGCCGTCCCCTTCTTCTTTTGCCATCAATTGTTCCCAGCATTAGGCTCTTCTCCAGGGAGTCCTTCCTTCTCATTAGGTGGCCAAAGTATTTGAGTTTCCTCTTCAGGATCTGGCCTTCTAAAGAGCAGTCAGGGTTGATCTCCTCTAGGACTGACCGGTTTGATCGCCTTGCGGTCCAAGGGACACGCAGGAGTCTCCTCCAGCCCCACATTTCGAAGGCCTCAATTCTTCAGCGCTCAGCCTGGAATAGTGCAGTGAAAAGGAGCACGACCGGAGGAAGGTTTGGCACGTGTGGGAATGTGATGGGTGAAATCACCCAGTGCTTGGATTCACACCACGCAAGAACCCTTGTGGCTTACAAGCCCTGTTCTCATAGAATCACAGAGTTGCACAGGGCTGACCCTGCCTGGTCAGTTGGACCCTAGAAGGCCATCAGGTCCAATGCCCTGCTTGATGAAGGACTTGAGTCTCCCATCCAGCTTCTAACCAGGGCTGACCTTGCTTAGCTTCCAAGATTAGGCAGGATCAGGCACCTCAGGTGATATAGAAGTTACAGATCCCAATGGGAAGGTTTTTAAATATGTTTCATGCTGCTTTTAAAGGTCTTCATCTTTTGTAAACCACCCAGAAAGCTTTGGCAACTGGGCTGGGCTGTACAGAAATGATATCTTCACCCCCACCACCACTGGGAGATGCCTACTTTCTCTATAAATCAGTAGGTGCTTGCCTGCACCCACGATTTGGAAACTTTGGAATTTGGACTCAGTGCACAGACTGAGACATGCCCAGTAACCTCTGGGGGCTGGGGCCTTGCATGGGATCCAGACCCCTCAAGCACCACACCATCAGTGGTTACACAGGAATCGGAAAAAGGAAGACTTTAAAGATTTTTAAAAGCATTTCAGGGACTCCGAACCCGCTGAGGTTAGCAGGCCTGTCTGGCATTCTCAGAGTGCAATGAGCGCTCCAGGATGGCAGCTGTCTTGGGACTTGAACATTTATTAAATGGCTACCATGGGGGGTTGTGTGGCTAGGGGCAAAACACGTGATGCTCCCCAAGAATTTTGGGCAGAAACGGGTCTGAGTACCAGAACACAATATCATTATTTTGCACTCCAAAAATATATCCAAAATAGGGACAGCCCTTATCTCTGCAGCATACCGGCAATTAATTTAAAAAACCTTAAGAAATTAAATGAAAATAATGTAGGGCAGGGACCATTAATTGCTGGCATGCTGGCATCCATGGGTGCCATGGTGTGGACACCAGTGTTTGATAAATTCACAGAGAACATGTCTATTAATAGATATTCACCATGGTAGCTTTAAAATGGAACCTCCATGTTCAGAGGTAGGATACCAGAGTAGCAGACACTGGGAATAAGGAATAAGCAAATTCTGCCTCCCCTGTGCCAGCCTTGGGATCTTTCCCGGGGTTTCTTTTCTCAGAGAAAATGTACCGGACTACATGGACCCTGGTCCATTCAGCAAGACGGTTCTGGTGTGGCCATTCACAGCAACTGAGTCTGACTTACGAGCAACCCCTGGATGTTGTTCCTGACAGTGTTCAGGTCCTGGGATGCATCAAGGGACTGCTCCGTCCAGGATTTCACCCTCGGCTGCGTGGACTCGAGCCAGTCGTCCAGCTCTTTGGAATCCCTGCGGTAGCTGCAGAAACAAATGAAGATGGGACTTGAGTTGGTTCAGGCCCCCACAGAATCCCTCCTGCCTGCAGGCGACAGACTTTGGAGTCAGCTTGCAATCAGGGGAAAATTAGGCAAGTTACACATACCGAGAGCCGTTTTTTAACAATAGCACAGAGTCCCATCAGTGATGGGTGTTGTATTCTAACACACCCGGAGGGCACCAGGTTGGGAAAGGCTGCTGTAGGCTGGCGAAAGCAGCAAGAGGTACACCTACCTGCAGAAGAGTTTGAGCGAGGACTCAAGCCGCTGCAGCTCATGGTCCACTTTTTGGGATGCAGCTGCCCACTGCTCTTCTAGCTTCTTGACCTGGCTCTGCGGGTCAGGACAGTTCACCAGCTCCATCAGATTCTTCCCATCCTTCACGATCTGATGAAATTGGGCCTCTTCCTCCTCCAGGTTCCTTTTGATTTGCTAAGGAGGCAAACAGAAACTCTGTGATGAAAAAGGAGAGGCTGAACGATCCACCACTCCCTTTATCCCCAGGTTTGTCATTCATGTCATTCGTTTTCAAAACAATTTTGATTTATCATTCAGTGACCTTGTTCAACTATAACAATACGTACAATGCAAGGTACCAATCACAGGGAAAAATCTATACCTGAAGGAGCTGAGATCTTTCCATCAACCGTTCTTCTGTCTCTTCCACCAAGCTCACAGAAGGAACAGTGGATGAAAGTGCCTCCATTTTTTGGTAGAATGCCGCATGGTTCTCATCAAATTCAATCCAGTCCTAAAAGAAGAGGTATATCTTTAGCAGAACATGAAAACTGAAGAGGTTGATGAACAATGGAATTGTATACTGAGCAAATAAACATTTAGGAAGGGTTTTGTGGTTCCATCTCCAATATACCACTGGATGTCCACAAAGTCATAGGCCCATAGTGGATTCATGAACCACAAGTAGTAAAACAAACAACTCCCCTCCCTCCCTCCCTCCCTCCCTCCCTCTCTCTCATATAAATATCATCTTCATCTTTTAACAGTTAAGGGCCCTGGCAGATCAGTTCAGTGGTCCATCTACTCCAGCATCCTGTTTCCAACAGGGTCCAGCAGATACTCCTGTCCCACAAGATACATCCTTCAGAAACACACTGGGGCTGGGCAGGAAACTTGAGGGAACCACCACAGCTCAACTGGGGAGCTGATGCTCTATAGGCAGAAGGTCCCAGCTTCAAGCCCTGGCATCTCCCGGTAAAACCAGGACAGACCTCTGTCTGAAACGCTGGAGGCCAAAGTTGGTCCATACTGAGCTGGATTTGGCACGAGGCAGTCTCCTGTGTTCCCTTTAGGTACCATGACTAATAGCAACAATAGACATCCTCTGAGAATCCTTCGGATTCGGTCACGTGGCAGCAAATGCCAGAGGTGAATTACATGCAACAAGAAGAAGTACTTTAATCCTGTCTGTCTTGAATCACTCTTTGTGGCATCTCGGAGTCCCAGAATTAGGAGAGAGAAGGTTCTGTCTATCTACTGCTTCCTCACCAGGCATAATTTGATAAACCCTATAATGCTCCTGGTTGGCTCCTGCACAGTATTTTTGTCTTTCCTCCTAAGGGAGGTGCTCTGACAGCTTGACCACATTGTCTGCCCCCTTTCAGCCCCTTTTCCATCTGTATGATACCCTTTTGCAGCTTTCTCGTTGCTTAAAAGGTGTGTCTGAAGGTGTGCACAGCATAAGAGGACTCCATTTCATCCGCATGTCAAGCTAAATCAACCTTCTCTTTCCGGGCCTATTTGGTTGGGAACGATGAGATATGTAGCCCAGCATGGCTCAGATGAGGAGAAGACCAGCTTTCCCTTCTCTTTCAGGCTGACCATGGCTTGTCTCGTTGTCTGAACACACAAATGGTAGTTAATCTTAACTATGCTTTTTAAAAGCAAGCCAAGTTCAAATAATATTATATGAAGCTGGCTTTTCCAAATGACTATAATGAGGATTAGCCACAGCTGAGGCTTCAGGGGAGCAGCTAAAATATGGTTAATCTAATATGTAAGTATATTTTAATTTCTTCCTCACAGCCATAAGAAATTCCTTGTTGGACAAAGCCCTGGTTGCAGTATTTGCTGCTTGTATTTGCCGAGGGAAAACAATCCATGAAAGGTAGTTGCTGCAGACATGTTCCTGCATGTCACACTGTTTCAGCTGCATTTTCTTACCTGTAACAGTTTTTCTAAGTAGGCTCCGTGCTGCACCGCCTCCTCTTCCAATGTTTTGATCTTCTCTACCAAATCATTCCAGGATTTCTCTCTCTTTTGTAATATGCAATGTGCCACTTTTTTGGAAGACATTTGCACAAGCAGCATGTGGGTGTTAAGATTACGGAAAAAGCTCTGGATTCAAAAAAGAAACATGAGCGGGGTTGTATTTGATTGCTGCCAATTCATTTCGATTCTCTCTAACTGCAAAACCAGCCCCCATCTCTGCAAAATACTTTTGTTCATTTGCGATGAAATTAACAACTCTGAGTAGAGAAAAGGATGAAACAAGTAAAGAGGAGCTGTCCCCTTGCTTTACTGCTGCATGGCAAGCGGTTTATATACATCTCTTTATTTTATGTTGTTTCATTTATAGTTGACTTTGCTTCCAAGGAATGCAATTTCCTTCCAGGCAATCCCCCATCCAGGATCCGGTCAGACTCAGCCCTGCTTAAATTTACTATGACAGCCAGTGTAGTGCAGTGGCTAAGAGACTGAAACTGTGATGTGACAGCCCCGAGGCTTCACTGGTGGGACACAGGATTTCCAGATCCAATTTTGGAAGCAAAGCTCCGACCTCAGAACTGGAGATCTCTGCCCCGCCTCTGCCCACAACCTTGCGGCTGCTTCTCCAAGGTCAGACAATCGACCTCGGGGAGGGAGTAAAGGGGGCAGAAAGGGGAAGAGACCTCTGCTGCTTCCTGCTCTCTGCATGGGATGCTTGTAAGTCTCCAAACTCAGAGGCTTACGAGCACCAATGGTGCTGCTGCTAGGACAGTGCCCTGAGCTACGTATCAGAAAACCCCTGGGCTGAGCCTCGTCTCTAGCATTAACTCATGAGGCAGATTGAGGCAAGTCACCCCGTCAGTGTCTCAGTTCTTGCATCAGCAACATGGGGAAATTAAAATATTACTGACTTGCTTCCCATAATTGTTCTAAGTCACCAAGGCAGAACCTCTCAACCACCGATCTCTTGACTTTTGCGCAGTTTTTCCTCCAGGGTAAATTACTGGAATGCCTCTTTCAAGGCTAAATTATTGGCAGGAAGAATGTTGAGCTAAGGCCTTCCCTGAAATGGAACTTCACCCTCAGGCTGCTGTAAGGATTGCAGCTCAATAATGCATGGGAAACTGCAATGGTCAGAGTGTCAGGCCATGAGCCCTGGGTTCAAATCTCCACTCAGCCATGAAGCTCACCTGATGATCTTGGGCGAGTCACCAACTTTCAGCCTAACCTACCTCGCAGAGTTGTTGTGAGGATATAATGTGGGTGGGAAAGGACTGCATCTCTCGTCTTGATTTTCACAGAGGAAAGGCAGCATATACACGTCACAAGCAAATATATGCTTTGTGAGCCGCCCCGAGGCTTTGTTGCGATGGGGGCGGCACAGAAATGTTTTAAATAAATAAATAATAAAGAAAGCAAGTGCTTGAGGCCCTTGAACTGTGCTTATGCCTCGTTCCCTGCAGATTTTCATTTGTTGTTCTTCGTAAGCTGTGAGAGGAATCCATCAGCACCCTCTTGAGAGGTAAAAAATGAACAGAAGCCAGAGCTGAGCACTAAGCATGACCCGAGCAGACAAGGAATACCTTATGGTTTTCCAGATGGAACTGTAAATTAGGTCGATCGGTAGCTCTCAGCTTCGATACTTGAGCAATTTTTCCTTGCCCGAGGTCTACGAGCTCCACTAGCCCACGTAGCAAAGTGTCGTATTCTTTTTCATTCACGAATGGAGCACCAAGCTCTCTCTGTTTCTCTCTCAGGCTCTCCCAAAGCTCATCCAGCATATCCTAGAAATGGGAAGAATTCAAATCAACGTGTTCTGCTCGTCACAGGAGTGGCCTGGCCATCAGAACTTAGCCCAGCGTTCCCCAATCTGGTACTCTCCAGAGGTGCTGGATTACAACTCCCAGCATGCTGGACGGGGATGGTAGGAGTTGAGATCTAGCACGACTTGAGGGCAAAGTTAGAGAAGGCTGGCTTAGCCCAGTGTATTTAATGATCCACTCCCAGGGTCTGCAATGTGCTGTTGGCTTTGTTGACAAGAAAACCCCAGCTGCTCCTCCTGCAGTCAAACTCCCCAAACTTTCCCAGGAAAAGCTGAGTTGGATGCAGCTCTTGGAGTTGTACTTCCAAGTATTTCCATTTGCTGCCATTAACCTTATGGAGAGTCCGCCTCGATTCATGTCCCTTTTAATAAAGCAGTACTACATAATTCTATTGCTTCATGTCAGGAATGAAAGAGGCCGTTATCTTGGCACAGGGATGGCTTGAGCCGAGTTACTGGAAAGTTCACCGAAGTAGTTTCTAGTGTGGCTTCAACAAACCACACTGTTCCTGCACAATGCACAGAGACTCATCTTCTGGCCACCATAGTTTGCCAGCTGTATATTGGAAATAAAGGGCTCTTGTGCAACTAGATTGTCTGTTGTCTGAAAGGAATAACGGGGAAACCCAGCTCCCGACACTTGGGAAACGTTGAAACTTCTGCTGGCTGATGTTTCTGGAATGCTCTGATAGAAGTGCTGTCCCAGAAACAAGTCCTCACCATACTTTTGGGTGCAGGCATGCACGATGCCCTTCTCCGAAATGGCACAAACTGTTCCCAGCAGCAACAGCTGCACCAAGATGTTTGAGATGCAAAGCCAAATCTTCATCAACACTGAGCTTTAGAAAAGCCATGTTATCAAATCTGATAGAGATTTGGTACCAGCAGACCTTCTGTGAAGACAAAGATCTCTATTTCTCCTTGGGATACTTGCATGCCTACCGTCTACAGCGCATGCTGACCAACTTGCGCTCACATAGTTGACCGCAGAAGGAAATCAGGTGCACGGTGTGTACAGGCTGCAGCGCAATCTAACTGGGATTGGTCTGGGCAGGTGGGGACTCGCAACCAGAGCTGTTCGATAATGTTGCTGCTTATTCTGCATTTTTGCATCTGTTCAGGGACATCTTTCAATTTTATATTCCGGGAAATTTATGTTTGCAAATTATTCTATTTGCTCACATTCATTGTCTTTTTTGTCTCCACCTTTCCCCTCGATTAAATACATGACATTTTCGTAGTGCTGGGATCCTTTATACTTAATGATGTTCAGTTTCACACAGAGAGCTGGTATTACCTCCAGTTTGTATACTTCCTGGATTAGGGCCACAGGCAAGTGGAATCTTTCTCCATAATCCCTGAGTTTAGCTGTCCTCATCTCAAAGTTTTGCAGCTCCAACTCACAGCTTTTCATTTCCTGAATGAAATATGACATTATTTAGAGTTCAGCTATTTTTATTAGCAACAGCAATACCTCTGATGCAACTGAAGGACCTTACAGCGTTTGAAAACCTCCTGAAAAGTTACTGCATCAAGTAGGGGTGGGGTGGGATTCTGACCCTCTGAGTAAGCAAAAACTGTTGAACAAACAGAGAAATAGATGTGACGAATGACATGCCCTAAATTGAATAGGCATCACTGGAGTTGACTTTTGTCTACAAAAAGGGAATATCCATAATGTACAAGTGAGAAATTTTGCAGCATGGAGTATTTCTGTTCAGCATTTCAAGCAGCCATGCCCTCACGTAGCTTCCTGCGTTCTGCTTCCCTTTCCCCAGAATTTTCTGTTTTTGACTGCTTACCATCAGGAATAGCATGCTTTCGCCAAGAGGAAGCTCAGTTCTTACTGGCCTGTTTTGGAGGTTTATTTATTTATATATTTATATGCCACCATATGTATGGTTGCAAAAGCTGGACCATAAGAAAGGCTGAGCGCCGAAGAATTGAGGCCTTTGAATTGTGGAGCTGGAGGAGACTCCTGCGAGTCCCTTGGACTGCAAGGTGATCAAACCAGTCAGTCCTAGAGGAGATCAACCCTGACTGCTCTTTAGAAGGCCAGAAACTGAAGATGAAACTCAAATGCTTTGGCCACCTAATGAGAAGGAAGGACTCCCTGGAGAAGAGCCTAATGCTGGGAACAATAGATGGCAAAAGAAGGAGGGGACGGCAGAGGATGAGGTGGCCGGATGGAGTCACTGGGGCAGTTGGCATGAGCTTGAGTGGACTCTGGGAGATGGTGGAGGACAGGAAGGTCTGAAGGAATGTTGTCCTTGGCATCGCGATGGGTAGGACACGACTTCGCAACTAACAACAATGCCACCTACAACTGCCAAAGGTAGGAATTAGGTAACATTGTGCTGTGCTGGGCAACTAATTAGGTTTTATTTTTATATCACAGCTAATTACCTGGAGCTGCTCGCTTGCATTGTGCCTGCTTGTTGCACAGAAGGGCTGTTGCAGTGTGGATTTTTTCTCAGTCAATGCATCACACAAGAGCCTGATTTCATTCTGGGACAAGAAGAAGCAAAAAACCAAAGGAGCATTATGCAGAATGAAAAGAGAAGTAAACTGCAGTTCAACCAGAATGTTTCATCAGCATTGTTCTTTATGTGCATGTACATGCATACATGTGTGTGTATGCCTGTATCTTGGAATTAGCCAGTGTGGTGTGGTGGTTAAGAGCGTGGGACTCAGACAATCTGGGTTCTAGTCCCCGCTCAGCCATGGAGCCAACTGGGAGACTTTGGGCCAGTCACAGACTCTCAGCCCAGCCTACCTCACAGGGTTGTTGTTGTGGGGATAAGATGGAGGAGGAGATGTAAGCTGCCTTGAGCCCTTTGTAGGAAAAAGGCAGGATATAAATCGGAAAAAAAAATCCTCTTGCAAAAAAAATCCTAATTTGCTGTAATCATAATTTGCTTCTAGAGAACAAAGATCAGGTCACCTTCACAGGTGAGAAAAGGATGTTCTCAAAAATCAGGCTGGTTCTCACAAACCTCCCTGTGGGTGGGGCACATGTGAACGAGTGTGGAGGAAGTAAAAAGTCCACTTGACTGTCCTGTGCATCAGAGACATCTGTCCCGACTCCAGGCCGGCTGGATGTTCTTGGAAGAGATACGAATGCAAGGCAAGGGTGGACAACTTGACAGCTTCCACAAGTTTTACACTACAACTCCCATCGGGCCCAGGCAGCATGGCCAATGATCAGGCATTAGTGAGTTGTCACCTGCATTGGAGGAGCTCTACTGGGAGAAGGTGATGTGGTTATAAAGATTCAGCAGGTAGTATTGTGAGCATCCCCGCTTTCCAGAAGCCAGGATCATTTCCTGGAGCCATGCCAAGTCCTTGAGGCCTTCCGCTTGCTAGGAAGGGCAGTGGGCAGCATGGCTTGAAGCTGCTTTCCCCAGGCAGCTTCCTTCGAGATGAGCTGGGGGAGCTGAGCTGGAACACTCTGCCTGACTGAAGCAGCCCTGCCCCCTGCCCTGTGTCCCGGGAAGGAGGGCCAGAGTCTGCCAGTAATGACTTCTGTAACACCCGGGGGCCCGGAGAATGTCCACTGGCTTGTCCAGGAAATCAACATGGCCACAGGGAAAGGAAATGTAAGCTTATATTCTGCACTGAAACTTTATCACGTTAGGCAACCAACTGTACATCACCTTTGGCACAGCTGCCTTCTCCTCCTCCTGCTTGAATCTAAAGTGGGCAAGGTGGCACAGGCGACTTGGCTGGACACGGCTCTGCAGGACTCTTACAGTGCTCAAAACATCTGGAGGTCACTGGGTTGCCTATCCTATCAAGTCCTATGCCCATAAAATCCAATGCATGCATTCCAGGATTGCAAGACTGAGCCCCAGACAGGGATATAAAATCATAGCAGGTCTGATTTTCCCAGCAGCCCTAAAATGCTAAATCTGAACATGGATAAACAGAGCGATGCGACGTCATTTGCCGGGGAATTGCAAAAGGATGAAGAGTGTCTCTCTTTTGAAAAGTCAATTAAATAAGCACCAGATGATGAAACGAGGTACCTGATAATCGCTGTAATGGTCCAGCTCCGTTTTCATAGACTTGCTCCTGGAATCAGCCGCTGCTTGGGTCAATTGGAGCCATGCCTGCAAGTCGTTAAAACACTGGGAGAATCTTTGTGGATTCCGACCGGCAGAGCTGATGGACTTCAAAAGATCATCCTTCTTGTCACCAATGTATCCATGAAGCTTCTGGAGCTCTGCAGAGAGAGTCTGAAACAGCAAGCGGGCAAAAGAGGCAGGTAAGTATGTTTTTGTAAACTGTGTGGTAGATAAGGAATAGCCTGAGATCTAATCTGTGAAATGCACAATAACATGTCGCTTTGGGCTTCTTATTTCAAGGGAGACGTCTCAACTCTGGGTTTTGGGCTTTCGCACGTTCCTGAGACCCTCCATGGACAGAAAGAAGCTCATCAAAAGGGCAGAGCTTACAGACCCTCTTGTCCACATGTACCTCATAAAGTGCTTGTTGCATGGGGGCCTCTTCACTGGTGAGCACACAGGTGCTGAGCATCTGCTCCATGTTGTTCAGGCAGCGGCTGATAGCCAGAAGGAGCTCAAAGAGTTTCTGGTCCAAGCTGAACGAAATTTCCCCCGTTGCGTTTTCCTGGAAGGGGACGAGATACACGTTTTTGGCTTCTTTGGAAGGCCTTGCTCCTTATAGGGTGGCAAAATTGCTTTCCCTCCTCCATACTTATGCCAGCTTGAGTCTTTATTATCAGTGTTGCCTTGTAGTAAGTCAGCCCCTTGGTCAAGCTAGCTCAGTCCTAGTGGAGGTGCCTGTTGCAAGCCCTCCGAGGCCCACCTGGAGGTGCCAAGCCTGAACCAGAGAGTGACCTTCCCGCCTGCATTTACCAGCAAAATTGCTGAGTGGCCGCTGTTCTCAGCAGCTGCACAGGGCATATATAGTTCTAAAGAGGTAGGTGTAGAAAAGATGCTGACATTAAAAATGAAAATGATGCATGAATCATCATTCATGATGACGAGATCAATTACCTCAGTTCAAACTGGGGCCCTTCTCTGTTAAAAGCCAAGGCTAGCTCACATTACAATTCCTTTTATTTTCTCAAAGTTTACAAATGTTGCAAAAGCGTTCCATAAAAAGCCAGCATGGCTGAACCTTGCAATCATGGACCAGACAAGACAGCATTAAAAAGTTACAGGGGCCTGCAAACATCAGGACCACAGGCAAAGAAGGAGTTTCATCAGGAACCCCTGATGGTCTGCTTTGACCTGGTGGAAGAGGAAGCAGGCCATTCCTGGGTCAGTGGGGCTCCTTGTCCATGGCAGCTTTTCTTTTAAGCTTTCTAGGAGCTATCCATGGTGGTGAACCCATTTTTGGGAGGAGGGGAGTCAAGCTTAGCACCATGGACAGCTCCCCACCCCAACTCAAAGTAAAAAGTGCCACGGATAAGGAACACAACTGTTTCGCAGGGCACGATTTGGAGCTGGTGTGCGGTTAGACAAGAAAGAAAGACAAACAGAGGGAGGTACTAAAATGCTAAATACTGGAAGCCTGCTGTGATCGTTGTCTGGTTAATGCTGTAGTAACATCAGAAGCACCACTGGCAGGATCCTCTTCTGTGCCACAAAAGTCTATTGCATTTCAATGTATTTTATCGTGTTGTAAGCCACCCCGAGGCTTCGGCAAGGGGCGGCATAGAAATGTTATAATAATAATAATAATAATAATAATAATAATAATAATAATAATAATAATTTCTTCCAGCCTTCACCCAACTCCAATGAGCTACTCCTGTTCCCAGTGCCCAAGTGGGGATTTCCTTCCAGCCAAACCCTCAGCATCCGCATTCCTAATTTTGTAGGAGGCTTGAACGCGTCCTAATGCATCCTGAGCAGTTGGAAGGTTGTTGAACATTCCATGGCATCACAGCAGCTCAGCTAGCCTATGACAGTCCCCACCGCCACAGCTGCACGACAATTTAAACTGCAAGTTCATGGGATTAGTCATAAATTTGTGAACTGGAGGAAAGAGCTGTTAAAAGTTCACATCTTGGAAATGGGCACTGAAAAAGTCATTCAAGATTGAGAACAAGTTACCTATGGTGACCTGACAGAGAAGATCACAATTCCTGAAAATTTCTTCTTTTTTTACCATTAGCATTGAATCTGATAGAAAATAAACTGCTTTCAAAAAGGTTCAAAGGAGAAGAAATTGCTTGCAAGCAGGAGAAATTCCAGTGGGTGGGATTCAGGATCTTGCATGCACCTTACTTATGAGATGGCTGAGAAGCACGTGTGTTTTTCCTAATTTTCATGGTGCCATCATTTTTCCAGCAGCCACCCTGGCTTCCCATACTTCAATTAAAGCCCAAAAGGCAATTCCTCCCCTACAGTGTTTTTTTTCCCAACTCAGGAAGTACAGGCAGTCCGGGAGGCTGCAGAGTTATGGTGAGCGTATAACAGAAAGGGCAAACATACACCTCATGCTGAGAAGGGAAATTCAAAAACACGGGCAAAACAACAACAAAAAGCCTTAGAAGAAAAAGGAAGACGCTGTAGCATAACCATCTCTCCTACCATCAGAGAAACCTCCCCCTCCCCAACACACACGCAATTCTGCTGCCCATGAAGAGGGTAGAGAATTTCCAGGGGCCAGCTGGGCACAAGTGCAGAAGCAACTATTTCCTCTGGTGCAACGTTTCTCCGCCTCACCTGTGCGTCCGTCAACATTCACTGGCTTGAATTCCATGGCTGAATATTCAGAACAAGGCAATTTTCCAGGTCTCACATCTGGCGCACCTGTTCCAAACTGCCTCTGTGCGTGCATGTGTGTGATATTTCATTCTGTCGAGGTTGGATCTGGCCGCTTACATAATTTACACAGATGCAATGAGTACCTGTTTCTGAACAGACGCTTCTTGGCTTAGACTACCAAGCTGTGCGGTGTATGTTTTCAGCTCCTCGACGGTTGGAGTTCTCACACTCGGCGGGGCCCCCTTGGGCAGAATGTTTATTTTGGTAGAGATCTAACATTTGGAAAAGCAAAACGTGTTTAGACAAACGCTCCAGATTACAGTCCCGGCAAGACAGAATGCTACAATTGGAGGCAATGAGATCCTTCACCTCCTGGGGTAGACGCGGTGGGATCCATTCTTGGCAGCTGGCTGAAAATTTGTTCAGAAACAAAACTTGGCAACTGATATATCCACAAGAACACAGGATTAGTGCGTGCAAATGCGCACATTTGGCTGCAAGGGCAGGTGCTGCCAAGCCTGGGCTCACGGGGACCCTGCCCTGGTCTTTTCCACAGAAGTCCAGATCCCCGAGTCTCCTGATCCCTGAAGGTATTCTTCCCAACTAAACTGCTTTGCAGGGGGCACTTCTCAAGAGGAGCAAGGGGTTAACTCTTTCCTTCCAGCAAGCTGCAATCCCCTACCCCCACCTGCAGGTCTTTTCTTACAGGACAAAACAAGCTGAGGGGGAAAAAACCCACATCTCAGGTCATGTGAGTGTGGATGCAAATAAACTGAAGAATTTCTGTTGAGATGATGGGGTGAGAAATTGGCTCTGGAATGTGAATTAATCTTAGCATTTCTCAATCTGCCTACATAACAGACAGAGATAAGCAGGTGCAGAGTTTGGACAGATGTCATCTTTCAGTCTGGGCTTTGAAGCTTTTGGATTACAAATCTATGCATGTTTAGATGGGGGAAAATATCCTAGAATTCCCTGCCAGGAGAGTTCTATGAGATGCAGGACTTCTGTCTAATCTTGCATCGGATTATGCCTTGAAGTGCTTAGCAACGCCCCTGGGTTCAAGAATAGCCTTGTGTGGGCTGTGTCCTCCAGACAGAATTAGCGGGAGCGGAAGGATGCTGGCTGGTCCTTCCTCGCCCACCACGCCCATCTCGCTGCCTCCGCTGCCCTCTGCTCGTTGCAAGGCGAACGGCTGCCGCACGGAACCTGGGCTGGCTCCCTGGGCAACTGAGAACCCTGCATGGATGTCTGGGTTCTACACTGCACAGGGAACCCACAGCAGCAGACTTCCTGTTGTGGATGCTGAATCCTGCAGCGCGTGGCTGGAGGTGGGGAGGGCTAGGGGAACACGAGAAATTTGTTTTGGTTTGGGTTTTCACGTGGCGTTACTCAGTTGGCGCCTTCGCGACTGAGCATGGACTCTGACACAATCCAGGGTCAAAGTCCGAACATTTCTGAGCCTGCAATGTGAGTTGCAAACAAAAAAAGTGTTCGGGAGCATAATGCATGAACATGAAAAAGGCTTGCTTTTGGGGAATGTACACATATGCCCTTTAATCAATGGCAGAGGAAAGTGTGCTTTTCAAAGATGCACACAACCCATCTATTCCTCTGGAGGGAAATGCTCATGAAGGTCTTTGAGGATTTTGCTGTGCAAAGAAAGACAACAACAACTACAACCATGGCTTGCCAACTGAACTGGAAGGAGATTGGAGTTGGGCTTTGTAGAACTTGGCACGGGCCAATGCTGCTGATGATACGATGGAGAGAGAAAAATGAGGCAGTTCAAGCTCCCCCTCTCCTGAATGCCATTCTTGTCAGCAGATGGAGGGAAAAACGCTCACACATTGCATTCAGCTCACATGCATTCAGATTACGAATGGTCAACCTGTCCCTTGTATGGTTATTAACCCAATGCTCTGCATGTGTAGAATCTACATACACGGTCTCCAGATTGCCACCATATATACTGGCACAATTATTCAGATATACATTGTGCATTTGCACATGAGCTTATATAGAAGCTTTGGGGTGATGGGATCCTTTTGTCCACTGAAAGGCCTTCCTTCCCCTGGAAAAACTTAGGACAGAACACTATCGCAATGTTGTCGCAGGACTCGAGCTGTCAAAGTAACATTTAATGTCAAAAATTGCATAGAAAATACTGCACCTGCTCTGCACGCATACAATTTTTTAAAGGGAAAAAAGCGCCATTCCCTTTTAATTTTAAGGCAGGAGGGGGCTTGTGCGACGTCCCCTCCTTCATGGCCCTGCAAATGAACCAATCAGCTGCACCGGCACAAGTGCGATGGACTTACTTGAGGTTCAGCCAAGTGCCCGTGAGGGGGACTCGTCTTGAGCAGCAGCTCTTCCCGCAAATATTGCCACTTGTCCCCGGTCTGATCCTTCAGGCTCTCAACGAGGGATGCGTTCCCCGAGCTGGGCATCTCGTGACTGGATTTGCATCATACCGCCATTGTCCAGAGAAAAAATAATGGGGACGGAAAACCGACATGTGTCATTGGAACGGCTGACAAGAAAATTGCGTGTATTTAACTCGCAATTCTGTGCAGTTTCGCTAGAAGGAAGTCCTCTAATTCCCAGCATTCATTCCCCAGCCAGCCATGCTGGGAATAGCAGACCTTTTTCCTGCCTAAAGGTGTGCACACTTGCACCCAGAATGCTTTGCTGTCTTATTTTTAGCTTGATTTCACATTGCTACATTATAGTTTGTGGTGCACTGGCTTTCGGATTGTAAGATATGAAGATTTTGTGTAAGACATGAAGGGAATATAATAAATAAGAAAAAAAAATATATTGGAATAGCCTTGCTGGCTGGGCCAAACCAAAGGCCCTGCTTACGCTTCATTTTGTTGTTTGCAGCGGCTATGAAGGTTCCTCTGGGAAGCAAGAGGAACAGCTGCAAGGAACAAACTCGTCACATTCTGGGAGTGGTTTAGCCTAACTCTGATTCTGGAGGAAGAAAGTCTGTTTCGGACGCTCCACATTGTACAGCTACAGTTGGCTTAGAAGTCAGTCCCATGGCTTAAAGGCACAATCCTACACCAGTAAACCTCGTCTGGCCATTATAGGAAAACTGGGCATCCCAGCTCCAGCCTCCAAAATGTGCTGAGGTTGGGGCTGGGCCTCCTCGCAGCAGGCGTGCTTCTTTCTCCGCCGGCTGCAGCTCCGAGGTCGCAAGACCAACCTCAACCTGGTGGGGACAGAGGAGGAGGTTTGCCAGGATAGGATACACCCCAGGGGCACCTCGGCCTGCCCTCCTTTCGAGACTTTGAGGGCCAAAACTGGCAGTAGTCTTTGCCCTGGCACTTCTTCTGCTGGCAATGGGATGCCCGCAATCCTACAGGTTTGGAGAGCTGTGGGCTGTACCCACTGGGTTGTACCCTAAGTGTCTATCGGAGAGTAGCTCCAACAGAATATTGTTATCTAAGAAACGCCTGCAGATCAGAGACAGCCAGGGGACCCAATGCAGGAAATTTTAGCATGCTTAGTCATTCATTTCAGTGGTCTTAGATGCCCCCGATTCTCTGCATAATTGCAATCTACTGAATAATCCCACAGTTCCTGCTGCCAAACCCATCACAATGTCGTTATTCCTGCCCTACCCAGCAGTTGGTGGGAGAAGCATATTTTTGTGGGTGGCCCTTGGAAGAGCACAAAACCCTCAATATCTTAGTGCATTTCAGAATGTTCTTCTCACTTTTAGACTGCAGGTTACTTATGGAGTAGCCCCCTTTGGACATACTGGCACTTACTTCTGAGTAAACACGCATGGGGTTTTGCTGTTACACTCAACTCTTGCCACTGCTCTCCTACAGCTTCCGGTTAGCAATTCTAGTTGGCAGTTTGCAAACATATGGGAGTCAAAGAACATTTTATTCAAAATTAGACGTTTTCCACAAGAGAATTTGTTCCTGAGATGCTGTCATCAGGAGTTGGGACGGGTATTGAACCAGAGGAAAAACTTATTTTAATCCCTCCCCCATTAAAAAACCCCTTGCATTTTTTATCCCTTTTTCCTCCGAAGCCCAAACTAGGCAATCTAGAGACTCACTACGATTACCACTGAAAGCTGCCGCCTGGTTGTGTCTGCCCTGCTCTTTTGCTAACATCTCAGCAGGCCAGGATGACACTGCAGGGCCGAAGCAGGGCTGGGAAAATCCTAACACGAGGATATCACATACCATGTAATTTCCCTGCATGTTCCTGCGCAGCTGGTGCGGCCGTGCAGCGTCCAGCTGAAGCCTCTCATATGAAGTTGCAGCATGAATGCCATAAAGCAAGGAACACCAAAAGGGCAGGGAGGGGGAGGAGCTCTGAGTGCCCCTCCCCGTGCCTCTTCTCTTCGCACCCTTTGCAAGAACCAGTCAGAACCCTCCCCAAAGCCCGGCAGCGACGCACCACCACGCTCTGGGGCAGTGTTGCCCCCATGTACCTTGCTTGCGACCCCAGCAGGGGGCGCTCCCCGGGGGGCGGCTGGGTCTTCTCCACATACACCTCAATGAAGTCAATGAGGTTGCTTTGTTCAGACAGCTTGAGGAGCAGATCCTGTAAGCCAGGAACGAAGACAGAGGAAAGCTGAAAGGGTGAGGAGGTGGGACGCCCCCTCCCACGCCCACGCTTATATGCCCAAGTGCAGCAGCAGCCCCCCCACCCCCGTGTCAGGAGGATCAGGACTAAGTTGCTGATTTGCTGGGCCACCATCAGAGGAGAGAATTGCGGGCACGTTTTCACAGCAGCCCAGAATTGTGCCAGTCAGAGGAACACAATAGCGCCAGAAGGCCGATTCCAGGCCACAACCGTGTCTCAGAGGCAGTGGCGCAATTAAGTAAGGCAGAACCACATGCGGCAAAAATTGGCCACGTAATAGTGGGGCGAAGGGAGAAAGTACCTGCTGCTGCTGTAACCCATTCAGCCTGCTGGGCAGAAGCCGGTCGGAAGTAATAGGTGGAAATACGTTGGAGAGGTCAAAATGAGGAGCCGGTGGGGCCTTCTCGGAGAGCTTTTCTTCAGAGATCAGCTGTAAAGAGGCCAAGCAAGAGAACTCCTCAGAAGAAGCTTGCCACAGTCTGAAGATGGGCACCTGTGCCGCTCAAGCTGGTCTCGTATCACGGGGTTCGGATTTCTCCCCATAATTCCATCACCGCCCCCCTTCGGCCACTTCTCTCCCAGCTGGCTTGGCATGGAGGGGAGAGGACCTCCCAGGGAAAGGACGGAAGTGATAGGTAAGCCCTCGTCCCTCCTGCCACCACCCCTTCTTGTCTGCCCGCCCCACTGAATGCATTCACGCCATGCAGAAAACATGGGGCTGGGAATCCATATTTATTTATTACATCGATATCCTGCCTTTTTTTCTATTTAGAGGCCTCAGAGCGGCTTAGATCATTCTCTGCTTCCTGCTCACCATCTTATCTTCACAACAACAACCCCATGAGGTAGGCTGGGCTGAGAGTCTGCGAGTGGCCCAAAGGCACCCCATGGCTGAGCAGGGACTAGAACCCAGATCACTTGGGTCCCAGTCCCGCGCTCATCACCACTGCACCACACTGGCTCACCACATTTCTAGCATACCTCATTTTCCAGCCTGCCTTTGCTACCCAAATCTCTGCCTATGAAGACAGGCAACCTGGTCTCCTCCAGGTGTTCTGAGGTACACAATTCCCGAAATCTTGGCCTCTGGCTCAGCTGGCCAGGGCTGATCATTTTTATTACATTTCTATATCACCCACTGCTGAATCTCTCTGGGTGGTTCACATTTAAGTCCCCCATCCAGATTTCAGCCAGACCTGACCCAGCTTAGCTTCCAAGAGTAAGCAGGATCCGGCACTTCAGGCTATAGGATGGGAGGCACAGCCCAAAACATCCAGTAGGCTCCAGTTTGCCCACTGTTTCGGTGCCCTCCTCCGGTGTGGCCAACTTTGCCCAGGAAGAGCGAATTGGCCTATTTATCCATCACTGTCGGGGGCGGGTTTCTGGGTGACTTGGAGGAAAGAGGGGGTGCCTGCACATCCTTTCCCGGCTGCCTCAAACACGCTCCACCAGGAGCCAAGAAGTACCCGCATGGCGCCTTTCCAGAGTGCTTTCCACAAAGCATTTATAAAAATGTCTTCACAACAGCTTTTGTAATTGTTCCTATTCTTGCCATGAATAAGTTATCAAGCGCGTTGCCAAAGCCATGCAATCTAAGTGTAAGGGAAAGCATTCTTCCGAGCACTAAATCCCATTACAAGCTCTTACGAGCACGTAATTATAGGTACCGAGGAGGTGGGTCGGATGGCCAAGTGTTGACATTCCAATTCAATTGTGCTCATCCCTGACTTTTTTACACAATGGAACTTTTCTGCTCCTTATAAAAAGGCTTTTCTCTCTTTTTTGCAGTCAGCGCACATCTATCCAACACATTTAAGCCCGCCCAAAACTAGTCTGAAATGGGCATACCTGTCACGGCTTTCTAAAAGTGTTGGCTTTTGCAACAAACAGCAAACGTGTTCTCCTGAGCAAGGATCATTATGTAGCCAGAATGACACCATCTGTGCTCAAGAAGGAGGTCTTAACCGGCTTGGGAGAAAGCCGTGACTTGCGAAAATTCTTAAGAAAAGGAGATTTTGAAAAGAGGAAGGCTAACACAGGTCCAGGAAGATTAAATATGCTTACTAGGTACGGAATAACCATTAATTGTCGTGTGGGTGGAAGGAGGTCCAAAGATTTCTCTCCTGCTTCTATAGCCCAATAGAGCCATTCAATCTAGCCAAATAGTTGGAGATTCAGGATAGATAAAAGGAAGGGCTCTTCCCACAGCACAGAGGTAAACTATGGAACTCACTGCCACAGGGCAAAGGTCTGTGTGGCTTTCAAAGAGGTTTGGACACATGCCTGGGGAAGAAGGCTATCCAGGGTTATGTGCTCCCTTCAGTATCAGAACCTGTGCAACCAGGTGCTGGGGATCATGGGCAGGGGGATGTGCCCGTAACCTGCTTGTGTAGTTCCACTCGAGGCATGTGGTCAGAAATGGGAGGCCGAACAAGTGAGGCCTTTGGCGTGATCCAGGTTGGAGCATCCTGCAAAAGGGCAGGCCTGCACCCTTGAACAGCAGTGCCTGATGCTACAACGTATTTTGCTGGTCCCACTTGTGGCCTTGAATCAGCCATGACATAGACACTGGCTCTCACGGCAGAGAAGCAGTTTTCCTCGGAATGATGGATTCGAGAAATGGATCCCAGTGAGGAGGTCAGTGACCCATGTTCCAAACACTAATAAAAACACACACAAGTTGCAGATGAAATTAAATCAGCTGGAATATTAACTGAGGTGCAAAGCATCTGGCACTCTTTGCTCGCTGGATCCTTTCCCACACTTGGCTGCAGTCAGGAAGCAGCTGGAGCTGAGAACAAGCCTGCAGATGTTTGGGGATGCTAGCAGCTCCTTTGTGCAAAGGCCACAAAGCAGATCCTCCTTTGTGCAAAATACTCAAAGGACGCAACTCTTTGCACAAAGCACGCAAAGCCTGCAAGTCGCACGTGTGTAAGCAGAACTCTGGTCGAACTCACTTCCTGCGGGACACTCATGTGAATGCTCAGTGTGAGGCAGACTTAGGGAAGAGGCAAAGCCAGAGATTAAAATGACGGGAATACCAAAATTAAAACAGCAATGAAGCCAATCAAACAGTAAAAGCAATAAAGACAACAAGAGGAGTCCAGTGCAGTCCCACAGGGCCAAACTACTGCCGAAGGTCTGCCAGAACAGAGGAGTTTCACCTGTCCCTGAAAACTAATGTGGGGGGGCACCAATCTCATCCTCTTGGGACCAGAGCTTTGGGGCAGCCACCGAGAAGGGAAAGATTTTCCAACATGGCTCTCACCACTGCCTCCTTCAAGCAGGCCAGAGCCGGCCTTGGCCAAGGGGGGCATTCTCCACGTGCCGACCTACTCAGCCGGTGCCCCCCCCCCCGGCTGCTTTTAGGCACGGCAAGGAGTCAAACGCACGGGGCAGCTCCCACGCCTCCCTTCTCAGGCTTCTTATCACTCTCCCTCTGCCGTGCAAAATCGCATGTACGCACGCAAATCAGCGGGACAGAAACATCTCAGGAGGGCCAATCCCCCCATAGAACTGCAGCTTCTTGGGTCAGGAGATGTTCAAGCCAAAGAAACTTGCACGTGCTGTCAGGGGTAGTATTTGCATGGCCACACAGTTCAGCCTGTAACTGTGGCAGATGCATGGCGCACGCGCGCGCACACACACACACACACCCTTCCCCCAGAGGCAGTGCCGACTCTCACGGCGGCCCAGTTTTGGGTGGCTTTCCTTCACCTGTCCTTCCGAGTGCTTGTCCTGCAGCATCCCTTGCACCTTTTCCAAGTTGCACCTCACATCCTTCAGCTTTGCAGAAAGGCTCTCGGCCTCTTGCTGGAGCCCAGGGCCGTCGCTGGCGGGCCGGTCTTTGCAGTCCTCCAAGAGACAGACCACCTTCTGTTCAATCTCAGACAACATGACCTGGGGAAGTCAAGAAGTTAATCATTAATGGTTACTGATTGCGGCTCATTTATTTATTCTTTCGCTCACTTGGACTCATCTCTCAGGGCAGGACTGGCAACTACAAGGGCTGGGAGAGTAAATCAAGAAGTGACCATTTTTTCCTTTTGGAGTATGGAGAATATTTTGTTAAACCACTAGCTATTTGCATAAATAGGCATGTATTTCTAGAGATCATTTCAAACTTTCATGCATCATCATCAATGTCTTTGCAATCATCTTCCTCTCCATCTTGTTCTTCTGCTTTTCACTTCTATACTGCCCAACAGCTGAAGCTCTCTGAGCAGTTTACAACAATCCCTAAAACAGACAGAAGAATACCATATACCATACCATTTGCAATCCCAACGGGAGTACATGACTGTTCTCATGCTATCTTCACAACAACCCTGCAAGGTAGGTCTGACTGAGAGCCAGTGACTGGTCAAAGTCATCCAGGGACTTCCATGACTCCCCAGTCCCAGTTCAACACACTTAACTACCACACCACACTAGCTCTCTAACCAGTTCTCTGTGTGAAAGGACCTGTGGGCTTGGTTCTGGTCCCAGTCACCAATTCCTGCTCCGTAATTCCTAGAGGATGTCTGCCTGCTACAGCCACTTTTTTGCACACCGCTTCCACCACAAAAATGGATCACGGTCCATCCCAGAAGCCTGTTTTCGAGGAGAGGCCACCTTAAGTCCTTTGCAGCAAAAGCAACAGAGAACCCGGTAGCTCCATGAAGGTTTGTGCCATGAAAAATGTAAAAACTCTTCTGGCTGTTGTAGGAGTCTTTTGATATTTTTCCTCCCCTTCGTCTGATCCCATGACGGTTCCATGCAGCAGGCTGGGCTGGGCTGGGCCCTTCCCACCCCATTTTATTGGGCAACATTGCTTTCTATTTCCTCTCTACCACCCATCTGTCATTTTTCTTCACATATAACCTGATCAAGAGCTGCGGTGAGCACACAAAAGCCTTCTCACTTCTTTCTTCAAGCCTACAGTTAAGGCTTCCCCCGTCTGTTTCCCTTAATGGACCTTCACAGTCACCTGCATTTTCATCACTTTACAAAGTAACATAAACCCCAAAAGAAAGACCCCTGCCCTCAAGGAGCTTACAGTTTATATGCCAACAATAGGGGAGGTATCAGGAAGAGAGGATGAATTCGAGGGAGGGAAGGAGGGAGGGAGGGAGGAAAAGGGGAGAAAAAGGTATAGCAGGGCCCACAGGAGATGAGTGCCACTTTTCAAGAAGGCCATTGACAGAGTGAAGTAAGTCCAGAGGAGGCAATGGAATGAAAACAAACCTTTCGCGGACAGGTAGAAATAGCTGGGTTCATTTAACTGGGGAGGAGGGGGGAAATGAGCACTACCTGCAGAAAATCGCAAGCTCTATCGTGCGGATGATGGAGAAGGCATATTCTTTGCTGCTCCAGCTGGGAAGACAAAACTAGTGTGTGGAAAGGGAAAGGAAACACGTTTTGGCTTCCTGTTAGGAGGTCTCTCCTGATGGTAGGAACTCTTCGACCAAGAACAGAGTACCTTGGAGATGCTTGGGTCTCCTTCTCTGGAGGTATTTTAGCAAAGGCTGGCCGGCCATCTTGCAGGGATGCAGTCGTAGCAAATTCCTGCACTGGGCAGGGGCTTGCTCTGGATGGCCTCCACAATCCCTTCCAACTCAAACATTCTATACTTTTAAGACTAAACACAAATGCACTCACTCCACATTAGTGGGACCCCCTCGAGTACAAGTCCTCCTGGGTTAGGAGGAACGTATCGTGGAGTGAAAATGAGCAGATTGTGCTGTTTGTCTTGACTGAGGATTCTGCCAAATTTCCCCCATCGTGTGCCTCCAATGGCCATGCTGTGCGGTACAGTCCAACACATCGGGACGGCACCAGGTTGGGGTAAGCTGGTCTATTTATTAATATTAATATTATTATTATATTATCATTATTATTATTATCTAAAGGAACGCCTGCGTCCATATTTGCCCTCCCACCCCTTGAGATTAGCGGCAGAGGCCCTCCTCTGGGAACCCTCCGTGAAAGATATTAGGAGACAGAGTTCCCGGAGGAGGGCCTTCTCTGTGGTGGCACCCAACCCATGGAATGCGCTCCCCAGAGAGGTCCGCCTGGAGCCGTCGTTATTTGTTTTTAGGCGCCAGGCCAAGACCTTTTTATTTAAACAATATTTTAAGAATTGTTGATTTTATTTATTGGTTTTAAATTATTGAGCCAGGATGTTTCCAGATTTTATATGTATGTATTTGTATAGATATTTATTTATATGTTGGAAGCCATCCCGAGGCTTATGCAAATAGGATGGCATACAAAAATTCCAAATAAATAAATAAATAAATAAATAAAAATATTTAAAACTTTTATATGCTGTCTTCTGTGTGCAGCATCTCAGGACAGCTTACAAACATTAAAATCAAAAACAAATAAACAATTGTTACAAATATAAAACAATATACAACCAATACAAATAAATGAAGTGAAAGCTTTAACAAATGGCTTTGGAGAAGGAGCCTGAAGCACGGAGAGAAAGAGAGATGGCGCCATGTGTTCTGGGAGAGAGTTCTGGGCTGACAGAAGGTAGTCTGGGAGCAGAATACCTCTGGGTGGCCGAGAATGGTAGCAAGAGATGGGCTGGAGGTGACGGAGCAAGGTATCTCAGAAGGTATGGCCAGAAGATAAAAGGAAGGCCCGGCAAAACTTAGAAGGAAGGGCTGAGCAGTTTCCGGTGGATGCAATTGGGTAGAGAAAAGCCAGTGAAAGATCCTGACTGGAGCATCGCCTGGCTTGAAGAATGAGCGGCGGAAACTGTGTTGGACAGAAGGGACAGGAATGAAGCACAATGAGGGCGAAACAGAGAAAAACACCTCAGTGGTCTACATTTACAGCAGAGAATGCAATCAAAGATGCAAGGAAGAAAGCAAGAAATTCCTGTTTTCCAACCCGTTCTGCTTTCCTGCCCACCTCCTATCTTGTCCTTGTCCCAAGTTGAGAAAGCAAAAGAGAACACCAACCTGCACAAAGAGGACACAAGCAGACAATGAGAGAAGCAAAGAACCCGTTTGAGGAGCACATCTCTGACAACATAAAGGCTAAGCATAAAGAATTATTTAAATATATCAGAAGAAAGAAACCAGCTAGAGAGGCAGATGGGCCACTGGATGAAAATGGAACTGAAAGGGAGAAGGAGATTGCAGAGAAGCTGAATTCTTTTCATGGGTCTTCACAGCACAGGATACGGAGCAGAAACCTGTCCCTGATGTTTTCTTAAGAACTTGTGTATTCTGGAAGAGGCATTAAGTAGTGACAAAAGATGAAATTCTCAGCCTTATTGACAAACTGAAAGCCAGTAAAACACCAGGCCCAGATGGTATCCGCCCTAGGGTTTTTAAACAGTTCAAATACAGAACTGCTGACCTTCTTACCAAAATATTTACTTCATCCCCATCTCCCTATGCCTTTGCACCAGAGGGCTGGAGAATGGCCAATGTAACACCAAGTTTTAAAAAGGGATCCGGGGGAATCCGGAGAATTGTAGGCCGGTTAGCTTAACATCTGTTCTGGATAAATAAGTTGAAAGTGTTATAAAAGATAGATTCAGTAAGTATATAGAGGGATAAGTCCTGACAGAGGGGAATCAGCATTGCTTCCGCAAGGAGAAGGCCTGTCTCACCTACTGAAGTACTCTGAGAGTGTCAATAAGCAGTGGGGCGATCCAGTACACATTTATTAAAAGCTTTTCTATCCCGTCCCCTACAAACATTTTGGATGGCTTACAATAAATTGTTTATTTGGAATTCCAAAAGGCTTTTGACAACGTCTCTCCCCAAAGGCTCCTGAGCAAATTAAGCTGTCGTGGAATAAAAAGCAGGGGGGAGGGTCCTTTTACGGACCCCTAACAGGTTAAAGAACAGAAGATGGAGGGTGGGAATAAATGCTAATTTCTCCCAACGGAGGGATGCCACTAGTGGAGTCCCATGGGGGTCTGTATTAGGACCACTGCTTTCCAACCTACTCATTAATGACCTGGAATTAGAATAAGCAGTGAAGCGGCCAGGCTTGCTGATGACACAAAACTATTTGGGATGGTTAAACCCAAAAAGTCTTGAATGGCACTCCAAAGGGTGGGAAAACCGGCACCAAAATGGCAAATGCAGCTCAATGTGAGCAAGGGTGGAGTAAGGCTCGCTGGGGCCAAAACCCAACTTCACATGCACTCTGATGGGCGTTGAACTAGCAGTGACTGAGCAAGAGAGAGATCTTAGTGGTGGGACGCTTGATGGAATGTCGGTCCAATACGGAGCTGCTGTGAAAAGGGCAAACGCCATGCTCGGGAAAGGAATTGAAAGTTCAGCTGCCAGGATCATACTTCCTTTACTCTAAAAGGGGCCAGAATGACAAAGAATGCAAAATACCCACATGTTGTGCCTTTGGGGCATAATCCTGTACGTGTTCAGGCAGAACATGTCCCGTAATCTGTACACTACTTCTCTTCCTTACTCATTCCTATGTGTGGTTAGGCAGAACCAAGGTCTACAGGTCCCAGAATACTAGGAATGGCAGAGCTATTTCCCCCTTACCAAATATGCATAGAATTGTACCCTAACCTTTTATTGGCAGAACTATTTATTTTTCGATTTATATCCTGCCTTTTTCCTCAAAGGACTCAAGGCAGCTTACATCATTCTCCTCCTCCATCTTATCCCCACAACAACCCTGTGAGGTAGGTTGGGCTGAGAGTCTGTGACTGGCCCAAAGTCACCCAGTTGGCTCCATGGCCGAGTGGGGACTAGAACCCGGATCCTCTGAGTTCCAGTCCCATGCTCTTAACCACCACACCACACTAAGCCTTTAAAGAGGCATTGCACCCTTCCAGAGATGGGAGGAGGGCATTGCACAAAAGCCAGGAAACTCCCAAAGGCTGGTCATCGAAGGAAAAGGGGCGTGGCTATCTGGGGAACCCTGGAATTCCAGACTGGGATAGATTTGGCCGCAGGACTGAGGTTCCTCTGACACGGTGCCCCTAAGTGGTTCCATGTAAACTTTCAGTCCGTTTATAGTGTGCCTGGAGAAATGCCATTTCTAGTGCCATCTTACTCATGTTTGGACACAAGAAATAGCTCCCAGCATGCCCCAGCAAGTTGGGGCCCGCTGGGAATTGTGGGACCTTTTTCCTAGCATCCTTCATGCACCGGTGCTCTTTCTGGCAAACTCCCTTGCAGCTGATTGGAAGCCAGTCCCAGCATTGCTTCTCGTTGGTGTCTGCTTAAAGACATCGGTATTTGCCCAGCCTCAGTTTTCTTCTGATAGCTTGATTTTAATGATTTTAAATATACCCATTCATTTCTAATTTTTAGCTGTTCTTTAGTCAGGATTTTCTTTTAATAGCAGTTTACACTTTTTGTAAATAAATCCAATTGCTCCTGCTGCTCTGGGTTTTGCAGGCAGCAGCTAAGTTAAAATGCTAGGGAAGCGCCCCCTGATCGTCACTCTATCCTGAGCCCGGTGGGTGGGGCCAGTGTTTACCAGGGCAGCGTCGCGAAGGGCACTGGCAAGAGCCCTGAGAGAGCGGCAGCTGCTCTGTGGACACGCCTCAACAGCAGGGAAAGGTGACTGGTTTAGCAGGCATTGGCCACTTCGGCTTACCTGGCACAAAGCTAGGTGCTCTTCCACCGTCTGTTGCATTTGGCGGGTGTGGGCTTCTGACCCCAGGGACTCCCGAGCTCGGTCTAGCCACAGCTCCAGCTCAGCAAGCCGCGCCTGGCATGCATGCAGGACCTGTGTGGGCCCCGGGCCAGGCCCGGCAGCTGCCTCGGAGTCGCCCTGCGCTCCCCACAAGCCCTGGGCAGGGTTTGTGGCTCCGACCGGGGGCCTGCCCTGAAGGAGAAAGAGTACAGGGAGAAGCGTAAGTCACAAAGCAATTAACTGGCGCTCCAAAGGCAGTGGGAGCCCGCGCTCTCCGGTTCATTGGTGGATTAGGAGGAGAGAGAAAACGTCAGCCCGGCTGCTAGCCAAGCCACGTGACCTGGTGCAACAGGTTTCTTAGCACCCGATTTGCATTGAGACAGGTAGACCTGAGCGCACACAGGAAGCTGGCTGACTCAGAGCTCATTAAGCGGCTCTCCCAAGGGGGCATTCCAGGCGATGTTTTTCTGCGGCATGAAAGTTGAGATTCCAGGTGCTGCACTTCAGAGAAGGATACGTGAGCCACTGGGTAAGGTTATGCGCTGCTTATGCGCTGAATTGGAATTTAGGCTTAAATAAAAAGCACACAACTCTTACCCAAAGAAAAGAGAGGGGCAGAAAGAGAGTGAGAGCATTCTAGCTCTGCAGCTGTCAGACCAGATCGCCTTTTTTAAAAACTAGTTTAGTTTTGACAAGCAGGACCTGCAAGCTCCTCTCCGTTTCCCGCCCACCATCAGTCAACCAGCATTATTTAACCAGTGTGTGTGCTCAGCCTTGGGCCGCTTTAGTGTGTGCACGTGCGCGCGCACGCACACACACACACCCCGGATGGGTTTCTTCCCTGCCCCCATGTTGTCTGTACTTCCACAAAGCACATTGCCTGTGCTTCCCAAAACTGCTCTTCGGTGCGGCTTGTCACTGCCGGAACATGGAGCAAAGTGGACAGGTAGGACTGGCAGCCAGATGTTGCAGTGCGAGGGGGTTGGAGTGCGACTCGCAACTGTGGAATGTGCCCAGTCTGCGGGACAGTCGGTCACCTCACCCCTCTCCCGGGATACCTGACCCAGGCATGGACTTGGCTGACTTGGTCAAACCCCTTTTAAAGCCATCTAATTCACAGCTTGGGGGCCTGGTGAAGCACCTGCTCACAAATATTCTGGCCTCGACCTTAAAGTCTTCATCGGGAGCCATGCTGGCTGGGGATAATGGGAGTTGTAGTCCGACACACTGGCAGGAACCCAATTAGGGGAGACTGTTTTAATCTTATTATTTTTCTGTAGGCAGCACACAAACCAACCTGGCAACCCATTCATTTTAATAGCCTAACCATGAGCATGCCTACCCCACTCCAAAAGCCAAGAAGCTCCTCGTTGTGTTCTGCTTTCTGCGGAGACGACAAAGCAAGCTGCTGACCAGGTTTATCACAAACGGCCTTGCGCACATGGGCACCGACCTCCTGAGAGGAGAAGAAGACGGAGAGACAGGGAAAACGACCTTTTGATACAGCCTTCTGTTGCTAGAAACCCTTCAAAGATGCGACACCTCTCCATTCTGGAGGTGGTCATTCTGCAGCCAAATGCAGGCACTGGAAGCAAAACTATCAAGGGATCTTCATTTATGATCACTACTTGGTGGTCCCTGGGACAGTCTGAGGCTTGGGGAGGCTGAGAGTAGTGACAGTGACATGACCCACGGACTGGGAATATCAAGTCCGCATGACGTCGCTTTGTCCATTTCAGAGCTTTGCATCCCGTCCAACCTTCCTGCACCTGTTTCCTCCTTCCTCGGATGTGCCGACCCCCTCTGATGCTCGCCGTTTTCACCTCTACTTCCCTTCCCATTCTGAGGTACAGCTCTTTATTCACATGCAGCTGAAAGGCCTGAACTGTTCTGGACTTCATGCTGCCCAAACTTTCTTGAACTGCTGTTTAGCCCGGTGCCGTCGTTATTTGTTTTTTGGCGCCAGGCTAAGACCTTTTGATTTAAAACTTATTTTAATTGTTAAATTATTGAATTAATTAGGATTTTAAATTTTTTAGCCGAGAATGCACCGGGGGGTTTTTAAACATTTTTTCTTTAATTGTTATATTATTATTATTTATGTATGTATTTATGTATTTTTGTGAGCCGCCCCGAGGCTTTGTTGCGATGGGGCCGGCATAGAAAAGTTTTAAATAAATAAATAAAATAAATAGTGCCAAGGTGGTGTAACGGTTAAAGGGCTGGACTGGGATGCAGGAGATCTGGGTTCTAGTCCGTGACTTGGCCATGAAGCTGACAGGGTGACTCTGAGCCAATCACTGCCTCTTAGCCTAATCTCCCTCACAGGGTCGTTGTTGTGGGGATACAATGGCGTGGAGGAGGACTATGTAAGCTGCCTGCCCCGCATTCCTCACAAGAGGGGAAAAAGCAGGATATAAAGGTAGTAGTAGTAGTAATCAGCAGCTGATGATGAGGATGAAGAAGGCCTGATTTCCTCAGAATCCTGTTTTGCCTTCTTCATATTTTGCCAGCTGTCTTGGTAATTTTTTAGGGTGGCTCATACGATCTAGGCTTAATTCTGGTTCCTCTTAAGCCACAAGGACATTAAAAAGCAGGAACCTGCTCCTGGTCCCTGTGGCAACCGAGATACGAAGCAAGATCCTCCACTTCTTTTGGTCACTCTGTTGGTTTTCCACAGCCCCGAGTCAGATGTCGGAGAATCCCGACTAGGGGATCTCTTTGCCTCTGATCTTCGCTGGACCTAAAGAGTTCCCAGATTCCTACCACAGCCCCGAGTCAGATGTCGGAGAATCCCGACTAGGGGATCTCTTTGCCTCTGATCTTCGCTGGACCTAAAGAGTTGTGACACTGGACGCCAGGGGTCGGTCAGAGATGGAGGGGCCCCTGGAAAGCTGCACCCCTGCCTCAGGGAAGGAGCATCCTAGCAGGGGGGAGACCAAGGTGGCCCCCTGTGCTGGCCAGCCAGGGAGCAGCTCAAGCGCCTCCCCCTACAAGAGGGGGCACTCCCGCCACTGGGGGCTTCCCCCAGCATGAACCAAGCACCCGTTTGCCTGCACCTGCTTCATGTACAAACTGGTGTTTCCAGAGCTCTGAAATGCTTCTTTCTCCTCCCTTTCATCTTCTTTATTAGGTATTTCCCCCCGTGATCAGGTTCTGCTGATGCTGCACCTTCTTTGCCCCCGCCCCCCGTGACTTGATTGTGTTCTCGGCAGTCCATCTGAAACGGGTGTGATGAGACAGTGGTACAACCGAGTTGCCCACAGGACAACGCTAAGAAGCCAATGAAGAGCGAAGGCAACTCGTACTGGGTTAGCGTTCTCACTCCGAATGGACAAAGACTTTAAGCTGCTTTTGCAGCACACTCTGCCCCAGCCAAACACTCCCAAAAGAGGCACTGTGTTTTGCTGCTGCTGAAAGTATTTAAAAAACCCCTTCAGGTTAAAAGGTTGATATAATATGTATTTATATTCATGCTGGAACCAACATCTGCCACACAGGAGGAAAGTAAGGAAAATCTAATCATGTTGCTAAATTTTTTCTGGTATCCAATACAACTAATATACAGTTCTTGCCATGATGAATCCTACTGTGAAGAATCTGCCCTGGACAAATTCACAATACACCATATCCTACTGGAAATGTTAATGCCACCAAACCCTGTTATACTCACTTCATTGTGCAACGAGCTGTCTTCAGCTTCTTCAACCAAGGAGGGCAGAAGAGACAGCGACCCTCGCTTTTTGGGCTGCGGAGCACACGGAGAAATATTACCCCCATTATTTGTTGCAGCAAAAAGGACCGTCTTTTTTTCTGTCCTCCTTAAAGTTTAATGCACTGCCAGTTTCTCATGAGAGTGAAGCTCCAATCAGTCCAGGTAAATTCTGTGAGTGTGACCTTGCCAACGTGAAAGTTAAGCCCTTTTTATTTTCTGAGGTTCCTTCGTCCCTCGGATTTAAAAACATGCTACTGCTTTTTCAGGTCTTTGCATTGCACACATCCTCTGCTACTGACTTGATTCTGGTTTTATTCTGTAGTTGCTCTAATTGGTTTTTTTATTTTATGCCATTTTATTGCTTAATGATGCTTCTTTCTCATTTTCCTACTGATCAACAGGACTTAAAGAGTGTTTAACGTGGGCAGAATTCCACAGAGATCAGAACTGTGAATGACCTGAGGAATTCAGATTAAAAGAAACCAGTCTAGATCACCTTGCAACTGGTGCCCTGATGTTTCCTTTCCAAAGCTGGTGCCCACCAGCTGTTTCAGACGACAACTCCCAGGATTCCTTGCCATTATCCATGCTGGCTTGGGCTGATGGGAATTGAAGGAATTGAAGTCTAAAACAGCTGGAGGACATCAGGATGGAGACGATTGCATTTGGGTCACAGTCCTTGACAACAAGTACTAAATTCTGGTTGTGTAAAATAACTCTTCTTTTTCATTCAGAGTTTGCAGTTACAATGAATAAACACTCAGCAATCCTTCCAAATAAAGGAATTTGGAATTTTAAAAGACACCGTCCATCAGAATACAACTAGCATATCCAACACGGAATGTTGCAATTTTGCAGTCTTTCTCCAAAATCTGTATTTGCCCAGCTCTTCCCCTAAACCCCTGTAAGGTGTATAAAGTATAACATGTGATAACAGATGTGTCTTACCCTCTACCAGACCATGTTCCTATTCGTTTAAATATTTATATGCCTCCTTTCATTATCCTATAAAGGGGCATTGCACACAATTAATTAAAAAAGCAACTAAAATCAAACACAAACAGACAAAAAAAAAACCTACGATGGAAATCAGCCAACACCTGAGTAAACTAATGCATTTTCAATAGGCACAAAACCACCATCAACGATGGTACCTGGGACACTACAGTGGGTGGGAGAATAACAATGGCAGGGAACTACCACAGAAAGGCCCTCACCGGTTCTTGACAGATGTACCGTATTTTTCCATCTATAGGACACCCCCCACTTTTCCTACCAATCTGAGAGAGCAAGCTGCTGCCGCATGCGCACCGCCTCGCTGCCCCCCCCCCCCCACCAGCCACCCCACCCCCCCCCGTGCGCATGCACGCGGTTCTCCTCTTGGCCCCCCCATGTATAAGACGCCCCTCCATTTTTAGGTAAATGTTTTTAAGGAAATGTATCGTCTTATACAGGGAAAAATACGGTACCTGTGCAGGTGACAAGTCAACTAGAAAGCCCTGGTATGGAGTAGGAGAAGGTAGATCACAATGACGCCACTCTGCACGGTAAGTGCTGCTAGATGCAGTGTTGTGTGTTGTTGTTGTTATGTTGCTTTGTTTTACATTTTTTGCAAGCCATCCAGAGACTTTGTATTGGTACTAAAAACTTACAGTACCAATAAGTTTGGTAATATAAAAACTTATACATAAATAAAATACGTTGATCAAGATCAGGGATGCAATCAACCCAGGGAAAACCATTTTTGGTGGCAATTTTGAGTCTCTGGTAATGCACAGTTGCCGCCTAAATTGACCTAGCAAAATGTCCTCATGCACGCAGAGGGACTCAGCTTTCCACCTACCTGCCAGTCACCCCCACTTCGACTCTCCTCCACCACTTGCGATTCCAAAGCCTCGTCCTCCGGTTCTGGTCCTTCTTGCCGCTGGTGAAGCTTCACCAAAGAATTCTTCATGGTTGTGAGAAGATCGTCTTTCCTTTGGCACAAGAAGGCAAGCCGCTCTTTGATTTTTTCCATTTCTTTGCCCTAAAGAACAACAGTGGCTCAGATGAGATTTTCCATGGCGCGGAGGTGCAAAAGGGAGGGAGACAGCAAAGGGTTTGCACCGTCTTACTGGAGCAAGAACTGCAAGGTTGCCTTTAGCCCTCTTTCGGGTGCCAAAGAGTTTCCCCAGCGCTGCTGAAAACCAGAGCAAGAGGCCCAGCGGGAACATCAAGGCCTTCCAAATACATCTACAGCAGGCCATAGCTGGGCAGGAAATGCAGTGGGCTTGCCGGGTTGTGGGAAGGAAACTCCTGGAAGGCGAATGTTCAGGAGCTGTTTGTGCACCAGACAGAATGCAGCTTGCTCATACTTTCCTCTGGGTAAAGCAAACTGCTACAATATCACTTTTGCAACCCTGGAAGCGGTTTGTGTTCTGTTTTTCAAAGGCTTAGATGGAACTGATCATTTGGGTGTAGGTAGGTGTACTTCAACCTAGCACCCTGCTAATTAGGCATGTTAATTAGGGCTTTGTGCCATGCATATTGCAGGTGTTGCCCACGCTAATGAAATTCAGAGAACCAAAGGCACTAGTGTGGATGCATGACAAATCATCACCCAGCTTTCTGCCATCACGGTTTAAAAACTGGCACCTCCCTTTATTCGCATTTGGTACAGATGCCGCTCATGCAGCAAGGCCAAATGGCTGCAGGAGGTAAACCGGAACCGTGGGCTGCTGGACGGGATTCCTCTCACCCGAACGGGCCTCTCTCGCCCTGGCGGGGGTGCTTGCAGAACTAGGATCTCACTGAGCCAAGTCTGCATGGCCTGGCAAGCCGTGACATAGTGGCTTCTTGCACAGGATGGTCTGTTGTGTCACCCGAACGCTGCATTTCAGCAGGGTACGTTTGGTTTCCAGAAACCACAGTTAAAAAACAATGGTCTGTTCTAGGGTTTCCACACTTCACCGTGGTTTTTCCAGTCATCTGAGCCTATCATGGGTTCCCTGGTATATGGGTACAACAAAGTCCCCTGAAAACAGCTGCTGCTGCTGCAGGAGTTTCTCCAGCCTTCCAGCGTGGGATTGAATTTCAGGCACATGGGATACATGCCAACATCACAAGGACTGAACAAGGAAGGTGGAAACCATGCTACAGAGAGATCACTTGACTGTCCATCAGGTACATCCAAGCCAGCAAACGCACACTGCAGAAACCACACAGTGTTGCTTGTTGTGATGTGTGAACTCAGCCAGCGTCTGTGTTTAAACATCCAGTTAAGATCTTCCTCTTTCAACAGGCAATTAATTTTGAACCTGTTGCTTGGATTATTAACTTTGCTGTCGCCTCTTTAACATATTTTAATATTTAATACTTGCATGGCTGCATTTATTGTTTTGGTTGCTATTGCATTGGCTTGGTTTTTATGACTGGAAACCACCCAGCGGACATCTGCCAATAGGTAGATAACGATAGACAAATAAGTAGATAATTGGCTCCCAGATTGCAGGGTGTGTGTGTGAAGCAGGTCTAAGATTACCAATGTAATATCTGTGCACCTGGAGAAGGGAAATTGTAGAACTGTTGCCTGGCCCCAAATGCGCACTCAGATTGCACACATGGGCACCGGAATTCTAAGCAAGTGTTCTCTGAAGACCAAAGGAGGCTTCCTGGAGAATTGCCTCCTGGTGCGTCCATCTAATACTGCAGTCTTTGTCAATTTTAATGGAAAATGTTCCTTCCTTTGTCAACCTTCCCAAACTCCAGCAGGTTTTAATGTAACACATTTAGCAGTTTTGCGAACAAAGCATTTTGGACTCAGGCCTTTCCACAATCACTACATTTTTTTCAAAGCAGCTGTCCATAAGTGGGGATGAATCATACCCAAAATTCTATCCTTAGCTTTAGTGAAGACAGCGCTCTTTTGTTTGCTTTTAAATATATCGCTGTCAAAAAAACAAGAACCAACAACTGCACCACCTTCTCTGAAGTGTCTTCTTCTCACCCCTCCTAGAACCAACCTTTGCACTGTTTACAGTTTGAGCCTAGCATGCAATTAAGTTCTGGCAGGCTAGATTCAAACTGGAGCAATTAGCGCTCTGGGTGGTTCTAGTTAATTTATATGGCAGGCAACTAAGAAGGTGAGGGAGAAGCCAGGGAATACACACGACCACAGCACAAGCGCCTGCTTGCCACGCTCTAGAATGAACCACTGAAGCCAGGCACAGAGACCCATGAACAGGAAAAATACAGAGAAGACCATGCCAGTTTGGCCCTGCAAATCGTAAAAGCAGACAACCATGACCAACCCAATCATGTAGAATCATAGAATCACAGAATAGCAGAGTTAGAAGGGGCCATGAAGGCCATTGGGTCTGACCCCTGCTGTTGCAGGACACCACGTGACACCATCCCACTCAGATGGCTGTCCAAGTTCTTTCTGAAAGTCCCCAGTGTGGGAGAGCCCACCACCTCTCCAGGCAGCTGGTCCCACTGCCGTATTGCTCTGACAGCGAGGAAGCTTTTCCTGAAGTCCAGCCTGAATCTGGGTTGTCGCAACTTGACTTGATTATTCTGTGTCCTACACTCTGGCATCAGCAAGAAGAGATCTTGACCTTCCTCTTTGTGACAGCCTTTGAGGTCCTTATACAAGGATATCATGTCCCCCCTCAGTCTTCCCTTCTCAAGGCTGAACATGCCCAGTTCTCTCAGTCTCTCCTCACAGGGCAGTGTTCCCAAACCCTGGATCATTTTTGTAGCCCTCCTCTGGACCCTTTCTAATTTACCTACATCTTTCTTAACTCTCGGTGGCCAGAACTGGACACAATATTCCAGGTGAGATCTGAGTAGTGAGGAGTATAGAGAAACTACTACTTCTCGTGATTTGGAAGTAATACTTCTGTTAATGCATCCCAAAATAGCATTTGCCCTTTTGGCAGCTGCATTGCATTGTTGCCTCATGTGTTCCACTAGGTTCCAGGCATACAAGCTGTGCTTTTCATATGTATAGGGGTGTCCTTGATGTAACCCGTGGTGCTTCCAGGCAAGCATAACAGCTCAATCACAGCAGGACTTCTGATTTTTCCCAGCTGCTAACACCACCATTGGGAGCTGGGCCCTCTCTGCCTGCGTGCACAGCAGGAAGCGGATGCTGCCAGGCTCAAGGGACGCAGTGTCCGAATGCCCCGCCCCAGGTCTCAGCCATGAAGCTGAATTGAGAGTGATGCAGGACAAATAGAAACATAGAAACAGAGCATGTCAGCAGGGGTCTCCCGGGACATCTAGTCTGACCTCCGGCACCAGCCAGCTCCGCTCACGACATGCCCACCATGTGGACATCCAGCCTATCCTTGAACACCCGCACCGATGGGGCCTCAATGACCTCTCAGGGAAGCCCATTCCCTACCTTCGGGGTCCTAACTGTCAGGAAGCGCTTCCTGGCATCCAAACGGAACCTTGGCTCCCTGAGCTTTGCTCCGTTGGAGCGCGTTCTGCCTTCCCCTGCAGGGGAGAACAGGTCTCTACCCATCTCCATGTGACATCCCCTCACATACCTGTATTTCGCCAACAGATCCCCTCTGAGTCTCCTCTTCTCCAGGCTGAAGAGACCCAGTTCCCTCAGTCTTGCCTCATACGGCATCCCCTGCAAACCGGCCACCAACCTTGTGGCCCTACGCTGCACTGACTCCAACCTGGCTATATCCTTTCTGTAATGAGGGGCCCAAAACTGAACACAATACTCCAATTGCGGGCGCACCAGAGTCGTGTAGAGTGGTAATAATACCTCTCTTGATCTAGAAGCCACACTTCTGGCTATGCAACCAAGGGTGGCATTCGCCCTCTTGACCACCGCATCACACTGCTGGCTCATGTTTAGCCTGCAGTCAACCAGCACCCCGAGGTCCCTTTCACAAGTGCTGCTCTCCAGCCACTTGTCACCTAACCTGTACTTATGACACCTATTCCTATGCCCCAAGTGCAAGACCTTGCACTTATCCACATTGAACGCCATCCTGTTGTCTCCTGCCCGCTTCCATAGTCTGTCCAGATCCTTTTGGATCTGGAATACCTGCTCCTCAGTTGTGGCCACTGCTCCAGTTTTAGTGTCGTCTGTGAATTTGATCAGCAGACTCTTCACCCCTTCTTCCATGTCGTTAATGAAAAGATTAAACAGGATCGGCACCAGGACAGAGCCCTGGGGGACCCCGCTTTTTACTGGCCGTCATCCTGATGATTCCCCGCTAATGGTTACCTTCTGCTTTCGCATCCTTCCTTCCAGGGCACATTCTGACTTTACTGCTTAGAATGCGCCTTTGCTGAACTTCCTGGAGCATAACATTTGAAGAGCTAAAACACAGAGGTCCTGTAACTGACAGCCTCATTAGCTAAAGGGCAGGTTTGCTGGCACCCCTAGGAAGAGGCTGTAGAATCCCATCTTTTCTCCTATTCCTTTCTTTGTCCTAAGAATAAACTATTGTTTTGAAAAACAATTTCCTCTATATTGCTGCTTAGCAGCTGGATTTTAAACAAAATCAGAAACAAATTAAACTTGGATGTTAACCACCCAGAGAGCTTCAGCTAAGGAGTGGTAAAGAAATGAAATAAAGAATTAACAACAACTAATACTAATAATACTTAAGCTATGGAACTCACATGCAGAAAGAAAGTAGTGCTGGATGGCTTTATACAAATTCACTGAGAAGACGATCAGAAGCTACTAGTCCTCATGGCTCTGTGCCACCTCCTGTATCAGAGGTATGACAGTGCAGGAGTGGAAGGCAGCCCTTGCAGTTGCGTCCTGCTTGCCTGTTCCTGCAGGCACATCTGGCTGGCCACTGTGAGATCAGACAGCTGGACTAGCAAGGACTTTGGTCTGACACAGCAGCTCCTTTTCATGTTAGCGCATGGGACCAGAATGCTCAAGACCCCTCTGGCGTGGACAAGGCACATGGGAGAGGCAGGGCTCAGGGAGCACCGGAATGACTGGGCCACCAGGAGGTGCCTTCACAGCCAGCCATGGTGGCATCTGGGCTACTTCGAAACCAGAGCAGCAGTGAGCAGAGCCTGAACAAAGACGAGAGGCTAGGTTGGGACAGAGGCTGCTCTGACGCTGGCACCGTGGGGTTGCTGGGACAGCACTGGGAGACCCAGTCTCAAATCTGCACTGAGCAACCAAACTCACTGGGTGACCCTCAGGCCAGTCCCTACCTCACAGGGTTGTTGTGAGGAAAATCACGGGGGAGAACTCTGAAGGAGAGAAAAGCTATAAAAATATGATTTCTGTTACAGAGGGAGGCTGGAAAACAACGAGGTAAACCTGACCTCTGGCTGAGAGGCAGCCTGATCCGGCCAGGGGTTTTCAGTAGACAGGTCATCCGAGTCGCTCTTTGGAAACAGGCGCTGCTTCAGAAAGTCAATTTCCTGCTCACTTTCTCCCATCTCTTTCACAATGGGCTGCAGAAAACAATAGTTACCATTAGCTGCTTTAAAGCGGATAGTTGGATACACAACCATTTACATCCACAACCCACACCCTTCCGCCCACACCTATGCAGGCCGCAAGGAGAGAATTCAGTGCACTGGAGAAACTATAACAGCTTGTGAAGGTTCTTCTTTCCCATCGAATGAACATGTTAAACTGCTTTTGTAGCAAATCACACCCTTGGTGTATTCAAAAAGATATTCTGTTTTTCTGAGTATTCTGTCTTTTAGTGGATGGGTGCACTTTAGCGCTAAGTAGGAGAGGCATTTTCCCGAAAGGTCATCTATGACCTTCCACTCCTGATTCAGAAACCATACATTTGCTGTTGTGGATATATAGCCCAAGAAGAATACTATTATTATTATTATTATTATTATTATTATTATTATTATTACTGAATCAATGGCATTAAGCAGCAGTGATGACAAGAAGCAGCACAAGGAAGGCATGTGAGCATGTGACTTGCAACGGTGGTTTAGATCCCTCTCAAAAGAGATGTCGAATTTGGGTGCTTTTTAGGAAGAAACAAACTGAAGCATGTCCAGAGAGCAGAGAGCAGGATGGTGAAGGGTCTGGAGACCAGCTCCGTATCCCAAATAGTGGAAAAAGCTGGGGATGCAGAGCCTGGTGCCAAGAGGGGGACTCTGCTACCAGCAAGAGCTGCGCACCAGTGGAAGCCACCTGTCCGGAACACCACAGCTGCATCCTGCACTGAGCAGGAGGCTGAACTAGGGGGCCTCCCAAGTCAAACACTTCCAGCTTTTTGTGGAATAAATGAATACATTTACACTTGGGGTTGATTGCTCAAACGAGGCATAGACCTGTCAGCCAGGCAAATTCTTTTCCTTTCATCACAATCTTTTCCAGAGAATCAAAATGACCAGCTTTGCTCTTCGTTCGGCTGCCGACACAGGATTCATTTTTACCTCGAGCAGAGCATTTTGTTCCACAGTGATTCTCTCTAAAGTCTTCAGCTCTTTCAAGAGTTGCTTTGTCCTTTGGAAGACGGAGAGGGGTTGCGGTTTCATGCCTGGTAGCCGCAGGGTTTCTTTAAAGCGTTGTAAGTCAGCCAGTGTTTTTTGCATGGGATGGATGTGGGCCAATATAACCTAAGGCAAAAGGCACGGAAGCAATAACATGATAGAAAGCTTGGAGCCTACAGCAGCCAGTATACAACCATGGGAGGCTTGACTGGTGGCAAGAAGAAGGGCCTTCCCAGTGGTGGCCCCCAGTCATGGAACAAGCTCTCCATTGAGGCCCAACTTTAATATCTTTTTGGCGCCAGGGGATGTCCTCTGCTGTAGGGCATTTAGTTAGTTTGGAGGCTTTGGTTGGGTTACAGGCCAATCTTACAATTGAAACTTTTTACATTAGTTTTACATTTGGTTTTAAATTTTGTAATCAAATCTTTTATTTCTGTTTCCATTTTATTTTTGTGTGTCGTAAACTGCCCAGAGAGCAGAGAGCTTCAGTCTTTGAGCAGTAAAGAAATTAAACAAACAAACGTTTCCATGTTTATGTATTCAGAGTGCGATCCTATGCATGACTTAACATGCAAAATTTTTTTGCAACTCTCGGCCAGCACGGGTGGCTGGAGAATGCCGGGAGCTGGAGGAATTTTTCCTGCCAAAATATCCAAAGGACTGTGCCCTCCATCAATTTTGCCATGAACTCGCTCACCTGCCCATGTTTCAGATGCTCCTCAGGAGAAAAATCAAGGGTGTCTTCTGAAGGGGACAGGATGGACTTAATTTTCTCAACGTTCTTCTCCATTGCTTTCACTTCGGATTCAACAGCTTCCACATCCTACATTTACAGAAAGGCTCAGATGATCTGTGGATTCCTCACCAAAGCCCATGAAAAGCGGACAGAAGGGTGGGGTGGGGGGCTGATGGAATTGCCAGAGACTCTCAGACCAGGAGCACCGCTCTTTACATGTTTAAGATGCTGTGCATCCTTTGAGAACTGTATCACTCAGCGAGTTGTGCCCATTTTCCAGCAACTCTGATTCTCTGATTCTGCAATTCTGTGGGAGGCATCTAAAGGGACAGCTAAAAGATCATCTAAACGGAACAAAAGAGTTTAGTGGATCAGGCAGGCAAGATCAGCCTGGCTGCAGAGTAAGGCCAGAAGCATGAACAGGCAGCGGGCTAGGAAAACAACGGAGCCAGGGGTTGAGAACATTTTAGAGCCTGGATTATACCAGGGCCAGCTTGCTCTTTGCAGTTCCAGATGGATGGCTCCTCGGCCTAAAAGCCCAAAAGCATTGTGCAGCTATTCTGCCTTCCCTTCCTTATTTTTGTTTTGCTTTTGTGGCATGGAGAAAGACAGGAAAAAAGAACGGGAAAACATGCGAGGGTCACAAGCCGAAAACAAAATCCTCTGGAAGCTCACAACTTCATCTGGAAGCTTCTAAACCAGATTGCTTCTGGCAATCCACCTACGGCACGCCAGTGTTGGGCTGGTGCAGTATTTGCTGCTCTTGACAGGCCGTGGAGAGTCTGGATGGGGAACCACAGACCCACAGGGAGAATTCTGGCCTCCGTGGCGCCACAGATGGCTCTACCCTCCTCCTCACTGGCCACAGGCTGGTGGCTTCCCAGCTTCCCCTCTCCCTTTCCCAGTCTAAAGTTAAAACAGGCTGGTATTTTGGGTGGTTTCAACTATACCATTTGCCTTTGACCCACCAATCACTGGAACTTTATTTGATTTATAGTTCGCCTTATTTCTTTTAGGAACTCAGAGCAGCTTACATCATTCTCTGCCTCCTGGTCTCAGTCCTATCCCCACAACAACAACCCTGTAAGGTAGGTTGGGCTGAGAGTGGGTGACTGATCCAAAGCCACCCAGTTGGCTCCATGGCTGAGTGGGGACTAGAATACAGATTGCCTGAGTCCCAGTCCCATGCTCTTAACCACAACACCACACTGGCCACAAATGACTTCCCTGAAATTAAATTTGGCTCTTGGGTTGAAAGGCTGCCTGAGCATGATAAAAAGTTCTTGTTTGATTGATTTCACGTTTCTCTCTCTCTCTTTCACAGAAGAATGCCAGCACTGTGTAACGAAGCCCAAGTATATGTGAGCAAAATAATTACACATTCTTTCATGTCTGCCCCTACCTCCACTTCTGTTGTTTCCCTTGTGGTGAGATTTAGAATGTAAGCTCTTTGGGGCAGAGAACTGTCCACTTGTGCTTTGCAAAGAGGCTTGTACCTAGGTGGCGCTACTTTGTCTTCCCCTTCTTCTTCTGGTAGGCATGTCATGAGCAGAGCCGGGGGTCAGACTAGATGGCCCGGGAGACCCCTCCTGACTCGCTCTGTTTCCATGTTTCTTTGCCATCATCATTGAAAATAATATATATAACAGCCTTCCCTTAGACAACCCACACTTACATCAGCCAACTGCTGGATGTGTGGAAGGACCTCCATTATTTTCTGTTGCGAGGCTTTGACTTGTTCATTTACTTCATTCAGCTCCTGAATCATCTTTCCAGTCTCAATCAAAGTTGACAACTCCTCCAGTTCTGGGTAAATTGCATCAAGAATGTGTTGCTTTTGTTCTGAATCTTCAAACGCCATCTTGTGGGGCAGGGAGGATGTTGGCAAAAAAGAGAAATATTGAAATGTAAGGCGATCCTACAATTTTGGGATCCTCCAGCTATCTCTTAAATGTCCCAAGTCACAGTTACCTAAAGGGGATTATTAAGGTCAAACAGATTTCTGATTGAAAAATGCATTCACAAGAGAAAAATAAGAGAAACGGACTTGATTCAGGGCACCCCTCGAAGTTCATGCAGGAAGTTTTTGTCAGACGGTGGGTATTTTTGCCTCCTTGCAAAGAGCAGCGCCTTGCGCTGCATCTCAACGGGTGGGATTGCCACAATTCCTCCATGTTTCAAATGGAATCTGGCTCCCAGGCTACAAGAGGCCCAACATGTCTGCTCTACTGAGATAAAAGCATGCATTCCTATCCCTCTTGCACTGACGATGGGACTAGGTACAGGTTCATCCATTTTGTAGGTTACTGAAGCCACTCGCACAGCTTTTTGCACAGTGAGTGCAGAATATAACTGGCATAACCGTGCAAGATACGCAGAAGGAACTCCTCGCATCGAAAGGCCGCATATCCCCCTACCTGGAGCGCACTGGCGTGTTTGTTCAAAACTTTTGCGGAGTCACTTTGACCCTGTTCTGAGAGCAGACGGTTGGTGTTTTCAAGCCAAAAGCGGAAGCACTTCAGGAGTTCATCGCATTCTTCTATTTTGCTAGCAGCCTTGTCCAAAAGAAACAGAAAACATCACACGTCATCTTTACGTCTGTTGAATGCAGCCTTCCCCAACGCGGTGCCCCAGAAGTCGCTGGACTGTGCCTGCCGTAACTCCCGCCTAGCACAGACTGGCAAGTATGGAAAAAGCAGCCCACTCAATCTAGACAATGGGTTTCCTGCTCAGGGTTAGAAATGACTCAGCACAAACCCCTTAGGAACAAGCAGTGCAGATACAGGTGGCATTCATACTAAAAATAGTTTCTGGGCTAGAATATGGAAGCATGATTGACACAGGGCACTGAGGCATGTAGAGGAAATCTGGAAACAGTGAAGTAAGAGGTTAAGGTTTCCCCTTGACGTTAAGTCCAGTCATGCCTGGCTCTAGGGGGCGGTGCTCATCTCCGTTTCCTAGCCGAGGGAGCCAGCGTTTGTCCGCAGACAGTCTCCGTGGTCACGTGGCCGGCATGGCTAAACACCAAGGTGCACAGAATGCCGTTACCTGCCCACCGAAGTGGTACCTGTTTATCTACTTGCATTTATATGCTTTCAAATGGCAAGGTTGGCAGGAGCTGGGAAAGAGTACAGGAGCTCATCCCATCTGTGGATTCAAACTGCCGACCTTTCGATCAACCAGCCCAGCGGCTCAGCGGTTTAACCCACTGAGAAATACCTAAATTAGGTATAGACCTTTCCCTTTTCTGCAAATGTTATTTCCAAAATCATGAGGACTACCAACTTAATTTTGTAGCTCTTGTTGTTTATCAAGGGAAAAAAGGAATTTGTGATCTCCTGGCACTCAAGCTAGATATTTTTGTTATTATTTAGATTTGTTCGAAAGCCACCTATTAGCCTCCAGTTTTGCACATGAGATCAGAATTGCAGGAGGCGAATCTTGAGGGCATAGTGCAAAGCTTTGTGGGGCACAGTTGAGCAACCTGGAGTTCTATGCATGTGCGAATCGTCTTGCCCTTCTTCACATCAGGAAATGCTTCCCACCCTTGTGCAGCCTGTAATTAAAGGAAAACTTGAAATGATGTGCATCCTATCTAATCCCAATGCATATTTAGAATGTGGAAGTTGACTGGATAATTCCGTATCTGTCCATTCCTGTTTCATTCATGGGGCCATCTCGCCCTGCCTTTTGCCCTTCTCCCACGCTGAACATCCACCCATCTCTTACCCTGTTTAGGTTCGCAGTTCTGCGTTCGGCACACTGTGAGACTTGCTGGTACTGCTGCAGGGGGATCATCAAGCGATCCATCAGCTCCTGGGCTTGGCAAGGGTCTTGTTCCACAATGTCTTGAACGTCTGAGTCCAGTTCGTTCATTTTATAATGCCAAAGATCTAGCAGATCCCAGATTCTCTGCATGGAGCAGGCAGAACATGTGAATCAGTGAAAGGGGTACCCTTCCAGTCTGGTGCCTGCTAAAGTGGCTTGAAAGAACGGGGTGCTGGGAACATCTCAACGAAAAGGGGGTTGCATTAATATCTGCACTGATCCACTGCACAAGAACAGAGCAATTTTGCACATGCCATCAAGCTACAGGCCTGAATAATAATTCTAGAACAGCTGCACAAGTTCGAGTTCTAAAAAATTAACTAGAGGATATTCCCCGGGTGACTCCTTTGAGAAACAGGAGCAGAGAAAAAGTTGCTTGACGGCAGGATAACATCCACTTTGATGTTGCTGTGTGGATTATCACAGCCAGCTCGTACAGGCAAGAAAACATTGCTTAGCTAACAGGTGAAGCCTCAGATGATGGCAAGAAGTTGGGGAGAAACCAGTCAAGGGAGGGATCAGATCCCACACAAGGAGATGAGCAGTCATGTTTTTGTCTGCTCTTCCCCAAAGGTCTGGTAGAGCTTTTCAACATGCCATGACAAAACTGCTTTCCTGGATTAAGATGACATGACAAGCCTTCTCTTTTCAAAGAACCTTAATTTGTCATTTTGGCTGAACTGGGGCAAATTGGGGTTAGCTTTATCTATGGTTTGTGCAAACAAGTCAGGTTCAAACTGGCATGTTTAGACAGGTTGGCGTCCTGGCATGTTTAGACAAACAGTATTAGCCATGGTTAATTGACCACATCTCCCGGCTCAGACAAAATAACAAACTTCAGGTCACTGAAAATGGAAAGTGCTTCTGCTTTCCTTGCAGCCATATAAGAAGAGCGAAGGGGAAGGGAGGCAGGCTCGGGCACGAAATGCTAAACCAGAAAGGGGGACGCATTCATCCCAACATGAGAGGCAAACTGCAGGCAAAGAGAGGGTTTCTCAACCTCTGTGTGTCCTAAAATCTGGGATACTTTGCTCATTTCTATGTGATTTGGGCAGACCTGGGTTTAATCAAACAGCTCTGAGGCCGTCGTGTCAAGGCTGAGCATCCGCTTAAGAGAGGGGCCTATTCTTGGATTCAGAAAAGGAAAGCAGGAGCTTACCTTCTGAATTTCTTTAGCCTTGTCGATGTTCTCGCTCTTCTGCTGGAGCATGCTCTCAATCGCTTGGAGGCCTTTGTTAATGTCTTCTATTTTTTTATCTGTGGTGTAGTGTGGGGAAGTTTTCATGAGCTCAGTGCTGACCTAGCAGGGTTAAAAAACAGCGACAATTAAAAGCATGGCCATGGAGGAGGAAGAGCAGGGAAGCGGGAGGAAAATGCGAAGGCAAGCCACTCTGCTATTTCGAAGGGTGACCTTTGCTTCCTTCTTCCTTAGCGAGTCACAGAAATCTGGAAACCATCAGTAGGGAACCTGTTCCAGCAATATTATGCCAAAGCACCTGGACCTCTGGAGGGGAGGAGGAGGTCCGGCGTGCCCTGAACAAAGCTGTTGTGAGCTGTGCTTCTCCCTCCCAGCAGTAATAGTCTCACCTGCACCTCTTTGCCAAATGTCCTTATTTTGCACACAAGCTTCTGAGCATACACAAAGCGAAATGCTGAACCCTCTCTAGCCTTCTTCATCCAAAGCTTTGCTTATGAATCCCTCTGCACCTATCCCTGGGGGAAGGAGCACTGTGGAAGCGGGCACACCTGTGTGCCCCCAAGAGACCCCAACTGGGCCAACTCTTGACTGCAAGAATGGACTATTGGGTCCACCTCCACAGGAGCCGGGAGTTCCCCATCCGACAGACTCCCCATCTCTTCCTCCTTCCCATGGGCAGGATGACCGGCCCCCTCAGCTGCCCTTGAACCAGCCTCTCCCAGAGCAGGCACAGGGCCTTGGGCTGCCGCTGGAAATGGGTCCGTTCCATCTTGTTATCAAAGCTCTGAGCTCTCAGTCCCTCCAGAAGAGGCATCCTCCCCTGCACACATCCCTTCCTTGGATTCGGAGCCGTCAGTCCAGCCGAAACCGCTGGCCTCTCGGGCACGCCTGAGATTTGCCAGAACGTGCACACACGGCACAAACCTTGCCGAGGGGCTCCCCGAGTCCAGGGCCCCGAGGCAGCCAGGGAGAGCCGGGGCCGAGGAGGGACGTGGGGAGGGCCTCAGCGGCCGAAGCCCAAGTGCAGAGTGGCTCAGCTCCAGCCAACTGCCAGGCACAGAGGCCCCTGCCTGAGGAATACGGGCTCCTTGGAGTAAAGACAGACTTGTGAGCCTTTCCTCATTGCAATGTGTCCTTCCATCGCACTATTGGTGGGGGTCTGAAGGCTCAGACTTAAAGGGACTAAGAGATCTGGAGCAGGCCAGTACCCAGCCTGGTATTCCTCATCCCTTGCATGCCCTGTGTTTGTGCTACCCACTGACACTGCTGTTAGTGGTCACCCCAAAAGCCCCTGCGGCGAAGGGGCAAGAGTGCTGCCGCACTGGGGACCTGGGAGATCGTAGTCCCCACCCGGCCATGAAGCTCACCAAGTGACTTTGGGCTAGTCACGAACCCTCAACCGCACCTACCTCACAGGGTTGCTGTTGTGAGGATAAGAAGGAGAGCCTTGGAAGCTGCTCTGGTTTCCTTGCAAGAGGAAGGCAGGTAAAGTATACACAGGATGGGATACCAAAGCAATTCTCAGCAGCTCTGGCCTTACGCTGCCGCAACCTGGATATGGACAGGCCGTGGCATCCACCCCTTTTTTCTGCATGCTTCCCTATCTGCTTTTCTTTCACACGATCATCACAATATTATTTATTTGGTTGCTTGTTTCATTTATACACTGCCCAATAGCCGAGGCTCTCTGGGCAGTTAACAAAATTTAATTCCGTCACACTGCTATTATTGCCTTTCTATCCCACCAACCACTGAAAATCTCTGGGTGGTTTATAACAGCTCATAAAACAGAGGATGGTTGATAAGCAGAACCCTGGCAGGTTAGGAAAAGGCTGCAGAATTGCGTTTTCTGTCTGAATGCCATAAAGAGCTGAGCCGGACCCTCTCGCCCAAGCGGTCCCGAGTCGGACTCAGGGCATCCACCAGCCAATAGGATTTGCTATGGGGAAGTGTGATAAGACGTCCCCACACAAGTCCTTTGGAAACTAGTACAGAAGGATAGGCAGTCCTTGCTATTGGAAGTAATATACAGTCATACGGACAAGACACCATTGCAGCTTGTTCAGCTGTGGATTTTTCTCACCCCCTTTTAGGGGCATCTTTCAGTGGCAGCCGGTTCCACGAAGGAGGATCTCCCAAAGCTGCAGCATAATTGAAGCCAAGCAGTTTCAGAGCAACTGCTGGGGGCTGTCAGGGACCTCCGATGAGCTACCCAAATGTCTGTCAAGAGCGAGCAGGGAATACTTGTAGCAAACCTCCAGCATTAGCCTTTTCAAACATTGGAACAAAAGCTACAGCGTTTACCTTTTCTTCCAGGTTTTGCAAGGTTTCCTTGCAATCGTCCAAATGTCTTTCGATCTCAAGTGGAACGATTGTATACATTTCAGCATACTTGATCCGCAGCTTCTCCATGATCTGATCCAGAGTTTGCTTCTGACAATCGATTGCTCTCTGAATCTCCTAACATGCAGAAAGCATATAGTTTTTACGGGGCTTCACGCTGCAGCTTTCTCCTCACAAAGCCTCATTTTCACTACCCAGGCAGGGCAGGTTAAACCTGAGAGATGCTCACTTTGTTTAGTCATGATGCTTTTCAACTCGCCAAGAATAAATTAAACCTGATATCATTGCATTGTCCTCGTCAAGGCTTATTGAAAGATGAAATAATATCTCGAGCAGTCGTAATACCTCTCTATGATTAAGCAGTAAAGGGTGCATTTGTTCCAAAAGAGAAGAAACCCTCAAAACCTTTTTCTAAATTAAGGTTTAGCAATAATGAAATGCTGACCCCCCAAAAAACACAACTTAGTCACTTTTATGTCAGCAAAACCAACGGATCAGTGCAAAACTGTCAGTTCCTGTTCTTCGTGAAGGGTATCATTTTCCAGAGGTAAAAGAAGCTTCACAGTTGACTACTATTTGTGGCCTAGAAATGTAATCTCCTCTATCTCCCCTGATGGAAATAACTGAAAGGAAATACATTTGGGACCAAATTTCTGGTCCTGCTGCTGGAAAATGCATGTTGCTTTCAATCATTTGCCCTAATTCTGAGACATTTCCCTGCTATCAGCATATGGAATTTTGGGATTCATGTCCAAGGCAACATCTTGCATAGCAACACAATGGAAGTGGAAAGTCTTTGTTCTTCTAATAGCCCACAAAGAAGTCAGTTGTAACAATGCCGTATTCTGTTACTCTAGGCGGCAGGACAAGAATTACTGGGTGGAAATGCCAAGGAAGCAGATTTCGGCTAAGCATTAGGAGACCTTTCTACAGAAGAAGAGGGCTTGGCAGTGGAGCAGACCGCTCGGGAAGTGGCGGGTTCTTTGTCACTGGACTTATATAATAGAAAAACTGGGAAGCCATGCTGTAGCCGCGACTTCCTGCACCAAGTGGGGACTGACCAAGAGGACCTCCAAGGATCCGTCCCATTTTAACATTCGAAGAGTTTATTTTCCTTCAGGTTTGCAACTCTCAGGTAGCCCAATGAGCAATTCTAAGGACAACTTTCTGAACTGTAAAAAACAGTGGAGGGAAACATGCAAATACAACCCTAACCCTGGACCAGAACTAGTTTGGTTTTCATTGCTAGAGCCTAGGAAGGAAGGAGAAAAAGAGCAACCCAAATCTACACACAGAGAAGATCCCTTCCATCCCTTCTGCTCAAAGGAGCATCTTCTCCCCCTTTTCTCTTTTCTAACTCCCATTCTGTTCCAGATAGGCAGTGGGACCATGTTCCCCATCACTTCAGAAGTCAGCAAAAATGGATAAATAATTTTTTCCATGTTTTATTTTCCCTCTAAGAAGCCCAGACACCAATTATTCTCTTTCTTCCCTCGTTCCTCCTATTCCACCCCATTCCACACTCCAAACTCAGTCACGGCTTTGGAGTTCAGACATGATTTTCAAAGCACCTCATTACATCCACTGTCAGGGTTGACTTGAAATGCACTTTATCTTCAGGCTTTCTCAACGTTCATGTATGGTTCCAATACCCTGGATGCAGACGTGGTTCTAATTCCCCTGAAGGGTGATTTTAACACATTTTAAATTCTTTTTTTAAGAAAACAAAACTGTGTCAGCCTTTAGTGATAACAGGTTTCTCCTAAACACCCAGAGTTCCACGTGAAAAGATCCCTCGTATATAAATCTGGTTCGCATGAATGAAAATCACATCCACCTAAATTAAAGCTTTCTTTGTAACAAATGCTAGAGATTTTTGCTTGGTGTTTCATTAGGGCTGAAGACTCAGGGAACAAACCCACGCACGCTTACAGAGGCCTTGCACGTTCCAAAGGGAGCTGCTCCCAACCCTTAGCTGTGATATTGTTGCAAAAGAAAGTCAGCAGGTATTTTACCAACCTCCAGATCTGCTGCCTTTCCCTCCAGCGCTGTGCCCGGAAGTAACAACATGGTCTCCAGCAAAGAATTCTTCACAGCACTTATTTCTTCATTAACTTTGGCCCGCTCTGCAATCTCAGACTGCACAGCATCCTTTTGCTTTTGAACCTTTTGACAGATCCTGAGAAAATTGCATTGGACATAATATTCAGTAAACCAGGTCAGCTCTAGCTTCTCCACTGACACCATTTTCTATGCCCCCATTTCCAACCAACACAACCAACTTGCATTCCAGAGAACGAATACCGCTGGGTCCCTCCATCTTGAAAACAATTCAGGTTGTATTTAGTAATCAATTAATCCTATTCTCTCTAAAAACCTTATGCAGCTATCAGATAATCTGGAAGCCATAGTTCCAATCAAAAGCAAACGGAATGCAAAATGTATAAAAATCAGAGGAATTCTTTTCCCAACATACTCGTTCATACATACTCTGTGATTCGGTCTTGCATGGTCTGAATTTCACACACAACAGGAATGTTTCCTCCTTTTTCAGGTGGACATTCAGGGACATTTAGTATGCTTCTCAAGCGGTGGGATATTACATGTAGCAGTAATTTCTCAGCATCCACACTTTCCTTGTAGTAGTTTGCTGCTTCCAGAAACTCTCCCAGTTCTTCTTTGGTGGCTCTCTCTTTTTCTCTGGGGCTTTCAGGCAGTTCCTCCAGAAAATTGTCTAGAATGATTGCTTCTCGTTCCATCTGACAAAAAAAAGGGGTAGCAAAGTCAGAACAAATCAATGAAATGGGAGGAAAGGTTACTCATTCAAGTTTGCAATCCTGCATGCACTTATCTGGATGTAGACTGCATCGAATGCACTAGCACTTACATCTGAGTAAATGTGCTTAGGACACCTCCTAAAAGAAACCATAATGCATTTTCTTTCACATGGAGAATATACCGGCCATGATTATTTATGGCTCCCAGTAAATGCTCCCAATGCACCCTGTACAGCAGGGGTCTCAAACTCAACTTACCTGGGGGCCGCCGGAAGTAGAGTCTGGGTGAGGCTGGGCCGCATCAAGTATTCCACCCCCGCGGTGGTGGGGGGCCGCTCATCCGGAGGCCGGCCCGGGCGCCGCTGGCACTTTGAAGGCCGCAGGGCCCCCCCCCGTGCCCCGCCCGTCCCGGCAATGGGCCCACGGGCCGCGAGTTTGAGACCCCTGCTGTACAGCAACCTCCCCCAACCTGGTGGCCTGCAAAAGCATTTGGACTGCAACTCCCAGAATTCCCATCCAGCAGGGCCATGGACCGGAAATTCTGGGTGCTGCAGTCCAAGGTTGGGGAAGGATGCTGTATGGCCCTGCTTCAAAATCCTGCTACCTTTTGTGTGCTCCATTCTACTCCTCCTCTTCCTTGGTCTTCTGACTCCCCAAAGCATAGCTTGTTGTTCCAGCCTGCTTACATTTCCCCCCTCACCTTTTCTGCTCCTGAGGGAGAGGCATGTTTGAATTTTAAAGGTGGGAAGAACACCTCCCGGCAGTTCCTCCACCATATAATCAGCCTGCTTACTGTCACTCTCTGATGCTCGACCAATTTCACACCAATTTCCACCCTCTTTGATAATGCGGCAGGGAGGATGCTATTCGACACGAAGGGGCGGCCAGCCCTCATTTATGCTGCAGATGCAGTTTGGCTGATGTCTACGAAATGGTTGAGGCGATAGACTAAGAGTGTAGTCCTAGCTAGGCCTGTTTAGGCAGAAAAAACTCCAAGGACTCCCAGCATCCACAGCAGCTGTGCAAGACTTTCTGAAAGCTTAAGGATTTTTCTGTCTAAACATGCACTCTTTGAAAAGAATACTGAAGAACAGGCTGGGAATATTCTGGCATTCTTTAGCCATAGGTGACAAGGATTCAGACATAATTGTTATAAGAAAGATGGAAGTTTTGAGGAAAGAAGCCAAGACAGGAACAGACGGAGTTGTTCTAGACCCAGGCAAACCTTTGGGCCATCAGTCCTCCAGTGTCTCTCTCCAGTGTGTGGGGCAGAAGAAAAGCCTTTCTTATCATCCCTTGCGAGATCTTTTAAGGGGGAAAGGCCAGGGATCCAGGGGCTAAACCAAAACCTACTGACCTGTTTCCCTTCCTGTGCATGTGACAATCAAAATAATCTTTCAAGGCAAACCACCTTGAAAGTATCATGTGGGTCAGAGAGGCTGCTAAGCTACTCACCTCTTCATTCACGGCTTTCCATTCCTGGCTCTGCTCGTCACATTTCCCTTCCCATTCTTTGGCGGCGTTGAGCAGGTAAACCCACTTGAGCCACAAGGTGGACACAAGGGTGACGATCCAGGTGCGGACGCCCTCTTTGCACACCGAGCTCAGCTGTCCCGAATCTTGCCGCAACTTCATCAGATCCTGCTCAGTTGAAACCAGCTGGGAGACAAGCAGCTTTAAGAGAAACATGTCATTATTTATTATTTATTCATTAAAAGCCTTTATAGGCTATCCATTACAAGCATCTTGGGATGGGTTAGGAGGAGGAGGAGGAGGAGGAGGAGATAAACAAAAACAAGGCCCTGCATCCAACCTCAATGATAAAACCCAGAATAAAACCAATTAAACGTTAAAATGATGGGGAAAAGGTTTTCACCTGACCTATTACTGCATCTCTCTCACCATGTCTGATTTTATAATCACTCCAGTTTTGCTTCACAGCAACCCTGTGAGGTAGGCTGGGCTGAGAGGCCATGACTGGCCCGAGGTCACCCGCTGGACTTTTTGGCTGAGGGGGGCTAGAACCCGGGTCGCCTAAGCACTATGCCGCAGAGGCTCTCCATAAGGGCGAGGAAAGCAAACACTGAGCTTAACCAAGCAATCCCAAGCACATCTACTCAGAAATAACACCGGCCAAGTTCAAAGGGACTGACTGCCAGGTAAGCCTGCACAGGACGGGACCGTGCATGTCTGTTCCTCCGAACTTCGTGCACATCCCTTCGTATTCAGTGGGACATGAGCTGGCACAGGATTTCAGCTGCATTTTCTTCTGCTTTGCCCATGCCCTCGCAAAATCCATGCAGGAGCACTTGCGGCAATGCATTTAAAAAGGCAAGTTGAAACTGTACAAGACAGGTAAAACAGTACAGAGGTAAAGTCAACATAATGAACTAAAACATGTCGTGTTTAATAGCCAAGTCCTAATCGCACCTCTGGGGACTCAAAAGTGAGCATCTCCCTTTGGACAGGCCCTGGTTTAGGCGTTTAAATGAAATAACCAGCACCTTGAAGGGGGCGTTGAAACAGATAGGAAGCCGTTTCCAGACTGGTGCTTTTTTTATTTATTAGGTGTGCATCTTGCTTTCGTCTCGCAATAAACTCAGGGTGGCTTACATAATTCTCCTCCTCCTGCTCTCTTAGCTTATCCGCACCACAACAACCCTGTGAGGTAGGTTGGACTGAAAGTCTGTGACTGGTCCAGCCACCCAGTTGGCTCCATGGCTGAGAAGGGACTAGAACCCAGGTTGCCTGAGTCCCAGTCCCGCACTCCTGACCACAGCACCACACTGGCTCTCACACTGGTGTTGTCTGGTCTATAAAACACACCCCATTGAACTTGCAGATTCCACAACAGGGGGACACCTCGCAAAACGTTCCCACTTCTTAGTTCTGCTTCTTTTTCCGCTACTCATGCGCAAACATATGACTTTAATCACTGCATGACTTTTATTGTTACATCCAGTTTGGCGCTTAGCCTGACCAACTATAGGGAACTGTCATTCATGATTCTCTTGATAATGTGCATTAAGTGCTTTGAAGCCTGCAATAAATGCTTTGCAAGTGTGACAACCCTCGTTATTATCAACCTCACCTTGCTTTGTTCGGAGAGCTCCAAAGCTTCTTTGTAAGACACCGGAGTACGATAGAAGGATTTCCAGAGCACCTTTTCCACATTGTTCAGATTAGTACGTATCACCTCTTTGGACTTTTTGAAGCTGTGGTATTTTGCCAAATATCTACGGATGCAACAGGAGTACATTAAAAAAGTGTCCATTTTTGTCAAGTGAAATGCTTTCTTTTTTTTCCTCTTTGGAGTCAACCACAGAATTCTCTTTTAGCCACTGGCATAAACTAAATTTTATACAAAAGAAGAGAAAATGGCTGATCTGGGGGAACCATTCTGAGGATAGCTGGTGTTACTGGAGGTTCGGTACCATCCTGAGTCCCTCTTGGTTCTTAACGACAGTGTTTAATTTGGGGAAGGGGATTAGAGTTGTTATTCTTGCTGTTAATTACGAGCCTTTCACATCAGGGGTGGGAAAGCTCTCAGGCCTGAACACCAAATGCAGCCCACCTGCAGACACCGTCCAGCCATTTGGGGCTCCCTAGAAGACCCCACCCCTTTCCCTAACCTCCTGGCTTCCAGGCAGTTCTCCCACCCCCTTTTAAGAGACAGAAGTGGCTCTCCTGTCCTTTGGCTGCAAGCAGCAGAGGTTTGAGCTACAAGATGCTGGCTGCTTTTCTAGTTCCCCCAGCCTCTTTCCCTGCCCCTCCACCCCGGGAATGCAGCCCCTGCCCCCGAGACTTGCTTCCAACACTAAATCTGTCCCTCAGTCTGGAAGAAGGCCCTTCCTGGTGCTGCTTCTGTAGTACCAGCCATTGTTCTCTGAGTCAGACCAGTGAGTTCTGGGTGGGCCCCAGGAATGGCGACCTGGCAGGGGAAAGACCTTGCTGGAAAAACCTCCAGGGAGAAAACCTGCATGCAGTTGCTGTCAGGATAAGGCTACCAGTGGGGCGGTGGCACTTCCAGGGCCTCCATTGCAGTAGGTGCAGCAAACGGCTGCACGTTCTTATCACTGCAGGCACACGCCGGCATGCAGGGCAACCCACGTGCAATTCCTGGCACCGCCAGGTCGGGCTGAGAAAGACTCCCGGGCAAAACCTGGAGAGCCGGTGTCATCCTTCCCAACCTGGCGCCCTCCAGACATTTTGGACGAACTCTCAGCATGGCAGCCCACTGGCCTTGCTGAGGTTTTATTTTATTTATTTATTTATCAAAAGCTTTTCTATCCCATCCCCTACAGAACATCTCAGGACGGTTTACAATAAATAAATTGAACAGAACAGCCCCACAGCATTCGACCACTAACATACTACAACCCCAGATAAAATCAATTAAACATTAAAATAATGGGAAAATAAAAAGGGTTTTGCCTGACGCTGAAAAGAATGTAACATCAGTGCCAGGAAAACCTCCCTGGGGAGCATGTTCCACAGCCGGGGCGCCACCGCAGAGAAGGCCCTCCTCCAGGTACTCTCCCTCCTAAGCTCCTTGGAGGGCTCCCAGAGTAGGGCCTCTGCCTCCAATCTCAAGGGGCAGGCTGGCACGTAGGGAAGGAGGCGCTCCTTCAGGTATCCCAGACCCAAGCCATTTAGGGCTTCATAGGTCATCATCAGCACCTTAAATTGGGCCCAGACTTCAACTGGTAGCCAGTGTAACCGGTAGAGGACCGGCGTTATATGTGAAAATCAGCTAGTCCCTGTTAGCATCCTGGCAGCTCTGTTCTGAACCAATTGAAGTATCTGGTCCGTCTTCAAGGGCAGCCCCACGTGGAGCACATTACGGTAATCCAACCAGGAACTTAAAAACATTTGGAGGACACCGGGTCAGGAAGGGCTGGTGCAGAGAACACTGGAGCAAGGATCCGACCCAGGACATAGACTCCTGAAGCAATGCTGTCCATCCCCTACCTCTGCATAGCAGATCTGCTCTTTCGTTCCTGTTCTCTTACGACCAAATTCCTCGCAACCAGATCATTCAAAGCTTTTTCCGGTTGCAATCTGGCTTTTGCTTTCATCTTCTTTTGCAGTGCAGAGATCAGGGCTTCTCCTTCAGCCTTCGCAGTCTCAAATTCTTCTTGTTTCTTCTGAAAGAGGTGGCCAGACCCATCTTCTAGTTTATCCAAGTCAAATGGAGCAGTGGGGAGACGGGCTTCACACTGACGGAGGAGGCCAGCGGCCTTCTGAACAGCTTCAGTGTAAAGCTTCACAGTCCGGCAAGCTTCGTCTAAGGTGCTCTGTACAGGTAAATAAGGATGAAAATGAAACAGGGTTCCAGGGACAGAAAAAGAGGAACCTCTTCTCCCAGATGTTTTAATGTTCTGTCGCTTTAAGATCCAGCACCGCAGCTCAGTTCCACAGCCTGACCTTTCAGACATCAAGTTAATTAGTACCAGCAGAGCCTTTCCAGTGGTGGCTCCAGACTAGGAATGACCTTCCCTGAAATGTCTGTGTCTCACTTTCTCTTTATAATGGGCAGGTAGAGACACGCTGGACATTGATGTTTAAAATATATTCCCCAGAGATTTCAGCTGCCTGTGCTTTTTTTGTAAACCAGTCAAAAGAAAAAAGTTTAACTTAGAGTAGTGCTTAAATAAGTACAGAAATAAACTACTGAGTGATGTTAAGCCTGCCACAAGAGGGCAGGGCCAAAAAAACCTGTCCAGGAACAAGAGGGCACACAGACAGCCGCCTGGTCCCTGGCTTGGCAGACTACAGGGAAAACAATAACTGATATTCATAGTGGCTTACTAAAGCCAAAAGTGAAGACAAATAAAACAGTATCGAAATACACAGATATAGACAACTCAAGACATCAGCAGTAAAGCATCCAAAATCATTCCTTTTTAAAACCTGCCGTAAACTTTGAAGAACAGAAGTTTTCCCTTGGTATCTGAATATTTTTAGAATTGTTCCAGATAAATATGTATAGGGAAAACATGCCACAGTGAAAAAGACCACATTTAGGTTAGCCATCAACCTAAGTTCTGAAGGTGGGTTGGGACAAAACCCAGTGGAATCTGTCCCTCTAGTATTTGCAGACTTTGGCTGGTGCTTGGCTTGATCTTGAAAAGGAAGCCAAGCACAAAAGGAAGTCGGCAGTCTTGCAGAATTAAGACTGCACAGTTGGCAACTTATTCTGTGTCAAGTGGAGAAGCACAAACAACGGTGCAGAAGAGGCTTAGGCTTAGGTTAGGCACCCCATAAACACTGGGTTGGCTGTTCTCACCCTGAGCTCGCACTCAGCACTCTGGCAAAGTGGGCCAGAGTCTGGGCAAAGGAGCCCAGGGAATTCAACAGATCTCCATCCGCCAAAGGGATTCCTCTGCACCCTAAGCCAGCATCTACCAACACTCAAGACACATGCAGCTTCATAGATTCCTCCAGTATCAGGCCATTTTGGACATTTCTGGACTTCAACTGATACAGACAGTCGAACCTTGACTTTCATGGTTTTAACTTTTGCGGATTTGATTATTTGCGAGTTTGCAGCCAATCATTAAATGGGAGTTCCTTTTGGAGGGCTCGGGTGTAAGCCAGGCCCTTCCTGTGGACCGCCCTGGCTGCAGCAGCATCACCCGGCCCTCCTCCCTCACGGGGAGAGGCTGGGTCAGTGTTCCAACTCAGCCACGCCTAGCAGGCAACCGGGTTTAAGAGCTAAGCTTTGGAGAAGCTTATCCTGCCTTTTTCCTATGAAGGGCTCAAGGCAGCTTACATCATTCTCCTCCTCCATCTTGTCCCCACAACAACAACCCTGTGAGGTAGGCTGGGCTGAGAGTCTGTGACTGGCCCAGAGTCACCCAGTCGGCTCCATGGCTGAGCGGGGACTAGAATCCAGATCGTCTGAGTCCCAGTCCTGCACTGTTCACCACTGGCTCTCCAGCCATATTTGCATTTTTCCCACTTTCATGGGGATCCTACTACCCTTCTCCACAAATGTGGAGGGCCAACTATATTCAACGGATTCCTTAGCTGGTTTGCATCATGCAACAATCCCAAAGCGAGGTATAAGCAAACAAACATAGTAAAACAATTCAGGATTTTATATGCGCACACCCATTCAGAAAAGTGGTTTAGTGTTACTTAAAAGATTGCTTTAAAATGGTCATAAAATGCCACCTTCTACAAAGGTGGAATGTGAAAAGTTATGGTCGGTTCAATTGCCCCAACATTTTCGATCCATCTCAAAACCACACCCCTTGAAGATGGAGAACAGCGCTCGGGACATCACCTGTGCTGCTCTCAGAAAAGTTGGGCTTGCTTTAGTACGAAAAGGGATGGGAGCAGCACCAAGAAAGCAAGGGAGGAAAAGAAATGGATGTGGACATCTTTGGCTGGACCACTCGTGAAATGTGCGTGAACAGACCACGGCAATTCCACAATAAACCCCTCAATTCGGACAAGGCGTACAGAAAGGTTGCCAAGGTAAACTCCATATTGAGGATTACTTACTTGACGCGCAGCAAGGTCAGCTTTCAGCTGTTTCTTCAGGTTCTTCAGTGCCTCTGCTTCCTTTGCCAGACCCTCAGGAGCAGGTAATTCTCTTTCCTTGTCTATTAAATGTTCAGCAATGCGCGATTCTGCTTTCACAGCATCTTCAAGCACTTTGCAGTACAGCTTTTCATGGGAAATTGACTGACTGTCCAAGTCAAGTAGGACAGGCTGCTGAAGCTCAGATTTAATTTGCTGCAATGCCCTTAAACTTTGATCCAGCTCACTCTGCAAACCTTGCTCAGATCTGCATTTTTCCTGACTGGCCAATATGTTAGATTGGATCTTTCCCGACAATTCATCTATTTTTGCCTCCAGGCTCTTTATTTGCCGCAGCTTGGCCTCTTTGAGAGAGGTGTTAAAGGACTCATTTTTATCTAACAGCCTGAGTACCTCCTCAGTTAAGTATCTGGCATGTTTCACTCTCCAGCTCAAAACCTTTCCTGATACCAGACAGGTTTCAGAGGGAGAGGCAGAACCATCTTTCCAAGCATCCCAGTCTTTCTGTATATTGTCGACCATGGTCAAAAGCCCATCAAGCGCTGTCTGGTACCTTTCACCTTCTGCACAAAAGTGATCGAAGCGTTTAAGCATCTGCTCAAGGTTATTCTTCATTTTGCAAAACTGGCTTTGCAATTCATCAAGGTGTGATGCGTCCCACTTCAGGCCGAGGCAATCCCAAATCTCCTTGTATCTGCCCAACTGTGATAAATCGGACTGGATCCGTAAAGCTCTCTCTTGAAGCAGGTTCAATTTCTTCTTTACCCCTTCATCTGTTGGCAACAGTGCCTCTGGGTCCAGTTCCAGGCCCTTTGCCTGGAGGCAGCTGAGGTCCTGCTGCAAGGCCGCCATTTTTTCCGAGAGCTTTTCACAGGCATCTAGCTTGTTTTGCGCTGCACCGTACTTAATTTGCATCAGCCTACAGGCTCTCTTAGCTCTGTTCTTAAGGCTACTCAAACAGTCTTTCAGAAACAGCTGCTCAAATATATTTAGCCTCTCAGCTGGTTCCCTGCAGCTGGCATCCACGAGGTCTTCCAAATCCTCCATCTCCTTGGGAATCTTTTCCATACTGGCCCGCCAATGGTCAAGCTCAGACTTCAGGCTTGTTTTGCCAGCCTCTAGAGTGGCCGCCTGCTCTGCCTTCTGAAGTTGGGTTTCAACCTTTTCCATCTCGGCAAAAAGCTCGCTCCTCTTTCCGAGCTGCGGTTCCAACTGCTGCATCTTCTGAACTAATTTCCGCACTAGACCTTGGTAGTGGGTTTGCAGCTTCCGTAAAAGCAAAGTGAGCGAGGAAGCTTCCTGGGAGGCCAACTGGGGAGCGATGCTTTGCACCTCCTCTGCCAGCCGCACAAGCACTGGCTTTTTCTCCTCGGTCGCACGGATCAGAGCCTTACAGCTCTCGATTTGTGATGCAACATCCTCTGGAAAAAGAGCCACTGCCTCATCCAGATGGAGCACTGAGACCCTGGCCCACAAAATGGCCTCTTCTACCTTCTTTGTAATTTCGTATGCCCGGGGGTGGGCAGGGATCGGGGCGCCCTCCCTGGGTGTCAGCTGCTCCAGTTCCTCCACCTGGTTCAGCAAATCATTGATCATGCTTTCCAGGGCTTTCTTCCCTGGATCGCGCCAAATCCTTTTCATCCACACCTCAGCACCTCTTTTTAACAGAGAGACACTATGTTTAAGTGCCTGCAGGTCAGTGGCCATCAAAGAGGAGTGCAAAGGGTCTTCTCCATCGGGGCTGTCCAGGCCTGTTTGCAAACGGTACTGCTTCTGCAGCAACCTTTGCAGGTCCTCAGCTTTGCCCATAAAATGTTTAAATTCGTCGGCTTCAGCTGCTACGCGGAACTGGCTCCTTTGGAGTGACTCCTCCAGCTGTCTCCACCACTGTTCAGCTTGATTCACCTGGCTTTGCGTTAATTCCTTGTCCATCCAGGTAAGGGGCCTAGATAAGCTTTCTTGTTCAGATTTCAGCGTGTTTAAAAGCCATTTCTCTTTTTCGACAGAAGCCAAGCACTTCTTAATATTCTCCAGGAGAGCTGCATCTTCTATTGGTCCTCGTCTATGGGGGGAAAGGAAAAAAATAAAGATCTAAGTATATTTTGAGGGCATTTTTCCTGCTAAACAGCTACTCAGAAGCATATTTGATAGGCACTAACAAATCAGAAAGCCACTTTATACAGAATACAACTTTCACAGCCATGATGTGCACAATTTCAACATGCAAGTATAGCCAGCGTCCTTAGGAAGAAAAGGCACTTCTACACATAAGCTTTTACTACAACAGTGATAAATCAGGACTTCCCCATTTACGTGGACTGATTGTTTGCATGTTTATCCAGCAGTCCTGCTTGGTCCACCGGGTCTTATTAGTCAGCCCACAAAGGATTGCCCAAGAGAATTAAACAGGTCATCTAATCAGTCAGTGGTGTGATCCTATTTGCTTGGAACCAAGCCCCACAGTGTTCAGTGGGATGTGCACCCAGGGGGGTACGCTAGGGGTAGCAACCTCAAAGGGTGTCCATCCTTTAAAAGCACAGTCTCCTCAGAATGCCCAGCTCTATGTTTCCCCTCTGCCTCTGCCTCTTCGTTCTGCTGATGTGCCTACCTAACTCGGTGTTCAGCGGATCTGTATTTTTGGAAGCTGTATTGCTATTCTTATCTTGTGCACCATTTGAAAAAGGCTTAGGCCTTGAAGCCTTATATTGCATTTATATCCTGCCTACTATCCTCTGGCAAGAAATCCAAGGCAGTTTACATAGTTCTCTCCAACTCTATTGCTATCCACAGAACAACAGCCTTATGAGGTGGGCGAGGACGCGAGTGAGTGACTGACCCAAAGTCACCCAGCTGAGCTGCATGACCAAGTGCTGTCCCGAGAGAGGTTCCCTCTTCACACATTCAGAGCAACAGACTTTGCAAAAGCAATTTTTTCTCCAAAGTACATCCAGCGAGCACAATCTCCACAGAATGAGTCTCTGAGCATGCACAGAGTGGTTTATTGAACCCAATCTAGCAACTACTTCCAAGAACCCTCCTTTTGAGTCGCCCTGGGCTCCCTCCTTTGGGGAGAGCCCTTTTGGAGGCAGGCAAGCCTCTTCGGTGTATGAAGCCCTTCTAAATGGCTATCCTTCCTCTCCCAACACTGCGCCGTGGGGTCAAGAGTCGTTCCAGGCTCAACTGGATGCTGGAACTCCTGTCCCAGGTCCCTCCGAGCAGCTGCACATCCTGGCTATTCCCAGAGACCACCTGGAGAGGGCCGCCTTGAGATAAGCCCCTCCATTTCTCTCATCTCAAAATCTGGGGGCGCCAGTTCCCAGAGTCAATTCTCCTCCTTGTCTGATCAGTCCAAACAAGAACAACAGCCCCTTTCATTCCCAACTCATGGGCACTCAACCTGGATCGGCCAGTTCCCCAGTCCAACACTCGAACCACCAGTGCTTTTTTTGTAAAAAAAAAAAAAAAAAAAAGTGCCAGAACTCACGTCTTGGGGTCACACTTTTACACTAAAAAAGATTTTCAATTCACCAACTTTTTTGAAATAAAGAACTTATTTACCTTTTGCACGTAGCCAGTCACTCTACACACACATAAACATAATGGTTGCCGCCAGCACTAAGCACTCTGCACGCGACCGCATGACCGATCCCAAGCTGAGCAGCATCCCAAGCTGAGCAGCGCCCTCACAATCGGCGCCGACACACAAGCAGCCCACAGGCACCATTTTAATGATTTTTGCCGCCGACCTGCTACACTCGACAGGGCGATTCAAAATCACTTGGAGAAATCTGATGGAAAAATCCATCAAAAAAAGGTGCCGGAACGCTGTTCCGTTGCATTCTATGACCAAAAAAGCCCTGCTAACCACTACCCACAAAATCTATTACTTTTAAAAATCGGGTGGCTGGGAATCATGGGGCCTGCAGTGCCACGCATCGGGGGGCTTATACATTTTACTACATTATGCATGCGATGAAGAAACAGGCAGAGGGAAGTAGCGTGCTCTCTCTCATGGTACAAACTAGACCACATACCCAGTTTCCCCAAAAATAAGACCTAACCAGAAAATAAGCCCTAGCATGATTTTTCACAATGCTCGTAATATAAGCCCTACCCCAAAATAAGCCCCATTTAAGATCATCAGCCAGACGGACGCATTTAGTACGTCCATTGCAACACAATTCGGGGTTTGGAGTTTTATGACGATGTTCCAGAAGAAGATGGCATGACTGTATTTGAATACATGTAGATTTTTGTACATGAATAAATGTAGATTATTGTACATGAAAAAATAAGCTATCGCCTGAAAATAAGCCCTAATGCGTCTTTTGGAGCAAAAATTAATATAAGACCCGGCCTTATTTTCAGGGAAATATGGTAGTTAAGACGGGGAAGCATAATGCTGGACTAGATCTGGTTGGAAAGACTCAGAAGGGCTCTGTTTGCATGCCCTTTCCGGGAGCAACAGCCCATTGCCTTTCATATTATGGGCTGCAATAAACAAGGAGCTACATCACATTGAGCAAAGTCACACAATTTTGGCTCACAGAGCAATATACTTTAATAAGGAGTATATTAGGGAAGCTCAAAGTGACCTGGCAGACTGACCTTTCTGTTAATTGAGGAGCAAACATATGACAAAACATCTATTGCAAGAGCAATTCATGTAATTTCATATCCACTGTGAATGCCACACTGCTTATTAAAGCTTTGAAAACCATTTAACCATTCAGTTTATTTTATTCCATCCACTTGGGTCAAGCAATCATTACAAAAATATGTTCCAATTCATGCAGTCCATTGTTATTGTTCAAGTGCCTACATTGCTAAATAAATACGTAAAACCTAATTTGAAATGCCTGGAATTTCTTTTAGCATTAAAATCATCTGATGGCTAGTTTGCAAAACAAGCTAAATTTTTCAAAGCATCCTCATGGTGGACTCTCTGTGTTGCATCCCTTTTCCAGAAAGCTGGAATAAATGGCAGGAAAACAAACATCAAATAGACAAGGGGAGGTCAACTTGATCTAATAAACCACCTCCCATGTAAGGCTGCCTCTCTCCCAACCAAGGTCTTCTGAAATGTTCTAGATCACTATGTCTCAAACTGTGTTCCACAGACACCTGGGATTTTCTCAGAAGCTAATCAGAGTTTCCGCTTTGGTAACAGGAAGCAACTTCCCTTGGAAAGCCAACTGTTTCCCCCTACTGAAGCTCCCCTTTAACATGTAACCACAGGAGAATGGCGAGTATAATTTCTTGGGGTACATGCTGATCAGCAATGGAACAGAAGAGATCAAAAGATGGTGGACTCCTCTTTGCCGGAATGTCCAGATAGTGACCATTTTAGTCTGGGCTTCAGGAAGAACTTGAGGCATCCTTGATGTTACCACATTTATGAAGGCATAAGCTTTGGCGCAACTGACGATGTGAACTCCAGTCTACAAAACCTTGGTCATTCTTGTTGTTCTGTGCCTCTGGTCATCAGGTCATCTCTGACTTCTGGTGACCTGATAAAAGAGTATCTTCCAAAATGTCCTGCTGTGACAGTCCTCCTCAGCTCTAGAGGTCGAGGAAGCCTTCCTCTTCTTCTGCCTTCAACTTTCCTTTACATGATAGTCTTCTCCAAGGGGTCTTGCTTTTTTGTGATGTGCCTGAAGTAGCACAAGTTCAGCATAGCACTGCTTCTTCCAAGGCAGGGTCTGGCTTGATTTGATTGGAAGCCCATTTCTCCATATTTCCATTAGTCCAGGGTATTCCCAAGTCTTTTTTCCAGCACCATGTTTCCAACGCATCCGTTTTCTTCCTGCCAGCTTTCTTCACTGCCCAGCTTTCACAGCCATACATGGAGAATACAATAGTGTGGATGATCTCCACCTTGGTTTCCAGTGAAACATCCTTACACTTGATGATCTTTGATAGGTCCTTCACTGCTGCTTTCTGTCAGTAAGATGGTATCATCTGCATAGCTTTAGTGATGGACCTTTCACCAATTTCCATTCATTTTTCTGATCCTAATCCAGCTTTCCTTATGTCTTATTCTGCATACAGATTGAATAGATAGGGAGATAAAATACACCCTTGTCTGATGCCTTTGCCTATAGGAAGCCCTTCCGTTTCTCCACATTCTGTCTTAACAGTAGCTTTTTGATCATGATACAGGTTACACATCAGGATGATCAACTGCTAAGGCAGATGTATTTCTTCCAGGACCATCCAGAGCATCTTGTGACCAAAAGCTTTCCTGTAGCCTATAAAGCACAGAGCAATCTTCTGCTGAGTTTCTTTGGCGAGTTCCAGTAGCCGACAAGTACTTGCAAAATGATCTCAAATGCCTCCTTTTCCAGAATCCAGCTTTACTGGGCAATAGTCTTGTTGCAATACCCTGAGCATCACTTTGTTTGAATGGGAAATTAAAGCAACAGTCCTATTGTTGCTACACTCATAGAATCACAGAATAGTAGAGCTGGAAGGGGCCAGAAGACCACTGGATCCAACTCTCTGCAAGATATCAAGTTAAATCATCCCTCTCAGATGGCTATCCAATTACATCTAGTGTGGGAGAGCCCACAACCTCCCAGGGTAATTGGTTCCATTGTCGTGCTGTTCTAACAGTCTGGAACTTTTTCCTGATATCTAGTTAGAATCTGGCTTTCTGTAACTTGAGACCATTCTTCTGCGTCCTGCACTCTGGGATGATCGAGAAAGATCGTGATGGTTCCTCTTTGTGACAGGCTTTCAAGTACTTGTAGAGTGCTTTCATATCGCCCCCCCCCCTCTTTTCTTCTCAAGGCTAAACATGCCCAGTTCTTTCAATCTCTCCTCACAGGACTTTGTTTCAAGTCCTCAGATCATCCTTGCTGCCCCCTCTGAACCCCTTCCAGCTTGTCTGTATCTTTCTTCAACTGTGGTGCTCAGGATTGGACACAGGACTCCAGATGAGGCATAACTAGCTCTGCATATAGGGGAATTTCACAGGAAGTGATACTTCTGCTAATGCAGCTCAAAATAGCAGGTGCCCTTTTTGCAGCCACATCACATTGCATGTGATCTACAACAATTCCAAGATCCTTCTCACTTGCAGTATTGTTGAGCCAAGAGGAGGAGGAGGAGGAGGAGCAGGAGGAGGAAGGATCTGCTTAGGGTTGCCCCATTGCAAAGTTGGAGTGACTCTGTTCAGGAATTAGATCGGAAATGTGAGCCCAGCCTCTGTATAAACCTGACCCACATACTCACATTTTAATGTTCTCTTTTTCTGACGATAAATGCTTCAGTGCAGATTGGACGGCAGCGAGGCCTTCCTGGTAGCTCTTCAGTGAACGAACCTGAGCCTGCTTGGCCTCCTTGACAGCTGTCAGATCCTGCATGAGTGTGTCCCAGCCTGGAGGTGCCACCCTGGGGGCATCTGCCAGATCCCGTTTGCTTTCTTCTGCAGCAGCCAGGTGCTCTCCTTGCTTCGATGGAAAAGCTTTGGCTTCGTGCTTTTCCAGCAGTGTGCTCAAATTCTACAACAGAAAACCAGAAAAAGAAGAACGTAAGGAAAGTTCTTCTGGATGAGAGCAAGGTCCAGCGGGACAGCATCTCCTTTGCTGGGGGACATGAGCAGAAGCTCATGTCTGACCTCTGGACTTCACACAGGCAACAAGGATGAACAGGCCTGAACAGGAGCTGGATGCTGCGCTAGATACACCCTTGCCTCATCCAGCACAATTCTTCCTATGTTCTTAACCCAGCCTGCCATTTCCAGGCGGATATTTCCTGGAAGTCCACAAGCAGGATGAGAAGACAGCAAAAGCCCAGTCTGTTGGTCTGCCTCCCTGCACCTTGTCCTTCAATGTTCTCCTTTTCGGAATGGAGGCTTCCTATTATGGCAAGTAGCCACTGAGGGACCTGTGCTCCAGGCATCTCAGCGGATGAACCTTGTCACCTCTTGCGGCAACAAATGCCATGCATTAATTTTGCATGTGGGAAGAAGCACTTTTCTTGCATGCCCAGAACCTACTGCCAAGCAAATTCATTTGGTGACGCTGAGTTCTAGCAGATTGTGTGTGTGTGTGTGTGGGGGGGGAGGGAGAACTCTCTCTGTATCTACTCATGGCCTACAAACCATAGACCAATACTCACCCAGCCTTCCTCAAACTGGTCCCCCCTTGTGTTTCAGACTAGCTCCCATCATCCCTGACCCATGCTGGATGGGAACTGCAGGCCAACACATCTGAAGGAATCCAGTTTAGGAAAGGCTACTCTAAAATATGCTCCCTTAGTCTTGTCTCTAAAGTAAAAAGCCCCAAACAATAATGTCCTTTCCCTACAGGATCGATGCTCAAGCTCCTTGAACATTTTAGGTCCTTTTCCTTCCCTTCCCTTCCCTTGTTCTAGCAGAGCAGAGAAAACCAGAACTATACACAGTATCCCAAAATGCACTGCAGCTGTGTATGAGAGAAGACAGATCCCGATTTGCTTGTCATTTACATAATGCTAAATAATAAAGTTACATTTATTACATCCAATCTTGCATTAGTAGATTTCTCCTTCTCTCCTTCCCACTCAATATTATTATATAATAATCGCAATTATTCTTATTATTGCATCACATTTCCCTCTTGTGAGGAGCCAAACGCTGCTTCTGCAGCCTTCCTCCACTCCTTTTCACCCCCTCAACAGCAACCCTGTGAGGTGGGCTGGGCTGAGAGTGAGTGATGGGCCCAAAGTCACCCAGTGAGCTTCAAGGTTGATGGGGGACCAGAACCCAGATCGCCCTGGTCCCCACTCCAACACTCTCCCCACACTGGCCTTCCTCCAGAACGTTTCCTGAAAATCTTCTCCAGAACTTTTCCAACCATCCGGAGCAGATATTAAGAGGGCCTTGACGGGGGCAGCATCACCCACGTCCGATTCTGCCGACTGCACCGTTCCACCAGTGAAATGACACCATTGGGTGGGACCCAACTGCAGTAAGGGCAGGATGCTGTGGATCACAAAGCGTGAGAAGACCTGCTTAGGGGGCATTCAGGTGTAATGTAATTTGAGTAGCAGGGCAGCTACGGAAGCGCAGCCATGGCATTCTCCTCAGATGGACCAGTCTGAGTTCAGATAAAAGCCGGTTGTCATTTTTGCAGCAGAAACCTGCTGAAGATCGGCTGGCACTGTCCCTTCAGCTTCTCCACAGCTCTCAAGAGTAACCGATTTATTTTTCTTCGAAAGAAGCAACAAATGATTGTTTAAATCAACAGACAAGACTGAGGCACAGGACTAACAAACCACCCAGAGTTGATTTGCTAGTATATATGTCTGCCTTTTACACAGCAAAGCTGGGAGAAAACTGGGCTCACGCTTAGAAGAAAAACCTACAGGAATATTGCAACTGCATTTGCTCCGACATTTGGCAACAGACCCCAGGATCGATTCTTCCTCGAACTGGGTGTCTTCCAAAGCACCCTCCAGGAAGGCCAGGAAGCCCTGCAGCAGACTGAGCACCTGCTCCACAAATCGCAAAACAGCAGTGCAGGATGTGTGGCTTAAGGAGGCTGTTTCCATACCTCGATTTCTCTCAGCTGATCATTCAGCAACACAATATCTAACTCTGCAGCCCAGACTTTCATCTCATTGATCTTCTTTTCCACCTCGGCATATTCCAAAATTGCTTGGTCTTCAGATGGAAGCAGGCCCTTCTGGGAAACGGTTTCTACCTCTGGGCCCTGGAAACACAAAGGGATTGCCGCAGTCAGCAGACTGATCTTTCGAACTGGTGAAACAACTGGTTCTGCCTATAAGATTTGTCCAGAAGTTACATTTTTAAAAAAGGACATATAGGCAGGGTAGTTTGATCTCTCCAAAATGCTACATGAACATGAAATGCTTACCAAAATCTTCATTCATGAAGGAGCTGTTTTTTAAATCTTGACTTACTGCTACTTACCTGTTATATACTAGCCTTGTCACATTTATTTACTGCTATTTTAAAACAGTAATTTATTTGCATTTCTAATCTGCCTAGGAACCCATGATGACTAATAGTTTTAGTGCACACAGCCTGCATGCCTTCTTGGACATCTTGTTGGACTGGTGCCATGTGAACAGAATATCAGTAAGTAAGTGCAATCTTACGGGTGGCTTAATTAGGATTAAGCTCCGTTGAATTAATGGGACTTATTCCTAGGTAAACGTGCATAGATTTGCAACCTAAACATCCCAGACAATGAAAAACATTCGTGAAAGATGTGAAAGGTATATTCCAGCTCCCAACAATAACGATCCAAGGGTAAGAAGGAAGAAAATGTTAAGAAAGAAAGGAATGTCTTCCTGTCCAGATCCAAAATTCAACTTATCTATGCCAGATGTCCAGCTTCTCTGATCATGCCATTACAGCAATTTTTATCAATTTAAGCAGATACTTTAGGTTCTCTCTTTAAAAACTCTCCAAGCTGCGAAGCACATAAAAGCACAGCCAGCTGTTAAAAGGCTAAGCAGGGAATTCTATCTAAACTGGTCATAAAACCAAAGAAAGGAACAAAGAAATTGAATTAAATTGCTTGTTCCCATTTGCCAGTCTGCTAAGGGTTGTTAATGTATTGCTTTTCCCATTAACATATTAACTGATTACACAAAATAAAGCAGGAGCTTAATGTATTTATTATTATGCATTTGAGGAATGGTTGCTAAAGAATACAGTTTCAAGGGAGCCATAAATTTTCTACCAAGCTCTCGAAGGAAGAGGGGGATGTTTTAGTCTTCCAGAAACATCCAGGAGGCCAGAAGAGAAGAAAATGTCAAACTGGTGCTGGGTGTTCCTTTAAGAACCAGGACCCTGAGGCAATTAAATGCCTTTGGGGAGAAAAGCACATAATTGACAGAAAAAGCAGAGAAAAGGCACATAATTGTCTTTTTAAATATTGTAGGCCATCCTGAGATCTTGTATAACAGGATGGCATACAAAAGCGTTTAATAAATAAATAATCAATCAATCAATCAATCAATCAAAGGGTGTTGGATGGACATTTGTATTTGTGCCAATGGACTTGGCATCAAATCTGGAAGTGCCAGGATGGTGGGGATGCTAAGCTCACAGCTCAGAGCAGCAGAACGGACTCCAACAAAGGAGTCCAAACTCCAAGATGCTGCAGATGCCAGACCAGTGATGATCCATTTGGCTTTCACACCTCAAACATTACCCTGTCCATGTCTCAACCATTTCTCCATGCATGGCTCCCATGAGCAAAGACAGGATCCAACCAAACAGACAGGGACCAGCCTGCGGGTGGTCCTTCCCAGGGTGTTCATGCAGGTTATGTGGTTTATACACACACAGGTTTGCTATCTGGTGCAACTGGCTCACTTCAGTGCAATCCCAGTCATGTTGGAGCTGATCTCTGCACAGCTACAGCGATGCTTAAAGCAGCATCTGCACTGTCTATTCAACCAAAAGCAAAGAGTCCAGAGCAGACGGACCCCTCCTTCTGCCTGCAGAGCTGTGGTCCCAAGAGTGACTCCTCTTCTTCTTCTTAGTATTCCTACATTGCATTCTGTACTGCCTGTATTCAAACTTCTCTGGGCTGTGCACCACAAAGTCACCCATCCAGATTTCAACCACACCCAACCCTGCTTAGCTGCCAAGATTAGGCAGGATCAAGCACTTCAGGCTAAACGGAAGCTTCTTAGTACTCCAAGCCAAGTTAAACTGCATCTGGGCGTCTCGGATGGCTGGGAAGTAATCCATCCTTGGACAGTCACATTGTTCTCTCTTTGCCACACCTGCCCTTTTTGATCAAGGCAGGATTCCAGCGGGGGTTTTGAAGCCTACTCGAAATGTCTCCTGATTGCTCTGGTTGACAATTCCATTCACCTGCTTCCCATGCAGCTCTGGCATTGGGTATGTCCAGAGTCCACACCAGGCAGACCAATTACATGGTTACTTCCCACACAAGTACTGCTCCTGCCCGGGAACATCGGATTGGGAGGCAGCCTCATCACACGTCTTTCCTTCCAACATCCTCTCTCCACTACAGGCACTGCCAGTGAGGAGTGAGCAGCTGCTCCTGGGAGATGATGACCATGCCCCTCCAGTAGCAGCTGGGGCAGTTGTAAGAGAGCGACACTGTGAAAATGGACGGTATGGGCTGATGTGACAACATGTTTCATTTTCAGGATATGCAACACCCAACTTCAGCATTCATCTTCCTCCTAAGATAAGGTGAAGTTCATGGCATCGATTATCAAGCAACCTGGCATTCTCAACAGGGGTTGGGATCACAACTCCCATAACTTCCAGGAAGCAAGGCTAATGGGAGCTCTAATCACTACACCACACTGTCCCTTGATGAAACTAAGGAGAATGCTCTGTCTCAAGTTCAAACATGGAGAAGATCAGAAGAAGAAGAAGAAAGCAAGAGACCCTTGGAGAGCAATATCAAAGGTCTATAATGATCCCGTTAATTTAACAACAGAGAGAAGTTTATTGTATGGGACATCTATTAAACCAGGTGATATTAAGATACCAGATTAAGCCAGACTTACTGGTGGCACAGCTGCACTGCTTCTCTACCAGAAACAGAAGAGAAAAAGCATGAGGTTGCCCACATTATGGATAAATGGCTGTATCAGCTGAAGAGCCACCGGTGTTCAGTAATAGCTCTTAATAATGTCCTTCAATGAAGTTGTCTGACAACAGGGGTTATTACCTTGCTTTCTGGCAATGGGTGCGTAATGGAGGAAAGAACAGGGTCAGTCCCTTTGCCATTCATCAACGGCCCAGTAGATTGAGGCATTTCTGACCAGCCCCACGTCGCTGGCAATTTCTTTTGATAGCTTGGCTGCCGCTGCTGAAGCTCATCAAGAAGATCGTCGTCCGCCGGCATTTGTCCGGATTTCTGTAGCTGCTTTCTACTCTGCCTTGTCGAGCCTGGGAAATTGTGGGCTTCAATCAAACTGCCTTTCAGCCCCTGACAAATGGATGTGGGATGAGCAGGGTGGGGTGGGGAGGGGTGGGGAGGGGAGGGGAGAGACAGGAAAAAATGTCACCTTTTCAGGACAAAAGTTGTTGAAATGTCAATTGCTTTCTTAATAGAAGAACTTATAGAGGAAAGAATAGAACAAAGGGGTGATAAAGGCCAGAGAAAAGCAAATTGATGCAGCGGAATCTTGCCATTTCTAATACGTAGGATGGAGGGTGTCCCTTAGAGCGCTTGCAAGAGGCAGTCAGTTTGGCAATTCCCTGGGCAGTCCAATAACAGGATTGTAGTAAAAGGAGGAGAGACCCCACAATTCCTTTTGGCATCAATGCATATAGAATCCGTGTGTTAGAAAGCCCTAATAGCTGCCATACAAGATGAGTTAGAAGACTCTTAGTCTAGACCAGCCTTCCCCAGCCTTGTGCTTTCCAGACATGTTTGGACTGCAACACCCAGAATTTCCAGTCAATGGCCCTGCTGGGTGGGAATTCTGGGAGTTGTAGTCCAAATGTCTCTGAAGGCCAGCAGGTTGGGAAAGGCTGGTCTGGAGTCCTGGGGGCTTGAAATTAAGACTCTGGAATCATGCAAAGCTTAGGACACCAGCACTGGATCTCCAGCCTGCAGGCCACCCTTCTGCAGTTCTCCAGATAGACATGTCCTTCCATGGCTGAGGTTCATGAGAAGTTTTCCAAATAATTCTGTGGCACATTTAAAAAAGAAGCTTGTTAGGGAGCAAAAAAGTTACCTCAAAAGTTGAAGATGGTTCCTCCATAGATTCAGCCGATGCAGATCTTGGCGACTGCTCGTTCCTTGTCAGCACTTCCTGGAAAATTTGTGGTGCTTCTCCATCCATCTGATCTTTCATGGTGAGGGACTTTTCCTGCTTCTGATAGGAAAATGCAATAATTAAGTCAATGAAGGACTGGCATACGGAGCTGGACGATTTCGACTGGCAAAGAAGTTCTCTGTGCAGACAACTACACACAGAGAACACCCCTAAAGATCAAAGATCCAGCACGGTGCAGTGGTCAAGAGCCTGGGACTGGGACTCGGAGGATCCGGGTTCTAGTCCCCGCTTGGGCAAAGAGCCAACTGGGAGACTTTGGGCCAGTCACAGATGCTCAGCACAAACCTACCACACAGGGTTGTTGTTGTGGGGATAAGACTGAGAGCAGAAGGAGGAGAATGATGTAAGCCACTCTGAGTTCTTTAAAAAAAGAAAGAGGTGGGATATAAATTGAATCAATCTATCAATCTGTGATCTTCCAGTTGTTTTCACCCTTTATTTATTTGTTTATTGTAAACATTTTAATCCCGCCCTTTCCGAAAGGCTCAGGACGGCTTACAATCATAAATAATACTATGATAATAGAATAATATAGTGATTAAAACAATAAATAATAAACAAACATAAACCAAACATTTCGTAAAACTACAGAAAAGGAGGAAGAGAAAAAAGAAAAACAGTGTGACTGTGGACGGATCTTAAAATATCTAAAATCCTTATTTGCTTATGGAAAGGTTGGCTAAATGAAAAGGTCTTAACCTGGCGCTGGTAGAAGTATAAGGTCAGTGCCAGGCAGACCTCTCTGGGGAGCAGATCCCATGGCCCCCATCAGCTCTAGCCAACATAGCCAATGGCGCAGAATAATAACTTTGAGTCAGGATGAGGAGAATGACATAAGCCACTTTGAGTTTGGTGTAAGAAAAAAGCAGGAGATAAATCTAATAAATAAACAAACTCAATATTCAAACAGATTCACGTGAGAGTAAGGGGAAGCAGCAGTGTGAAATAACTTGCTATAAAAACCCACATTAGGAGGCAAATATGGCCTTTGCTCCTCTTGACCCATCATCCTGGTTGCTGGAAATATGGGTTTGGGAGTCCTCCAAGCCTGCCCCTCCACTGTGGCGCTCTTTCCATGAGGAGGTTAGGCTGAGTTCTTCTTCATTTAGTTTTCATCAAGCTGCTGAAACTTTCTGATACCCCAGCTTTTGAGTGATCTTTACATGAATAACCTCCACTCTCTATTTTTAAGGCATCATTGGTCTCCTGATATTAATTTTGCCCGGTTAATAATTTTGATAACTTTTATTGGTTTACACTGCAAGTCAACTCGTTGGGTTGGAAGGCAACTCAGAATCTACCGTATAAATGCCTACATCTGTTTCCTCTAGCCAGCAAAACAGCTGTTTGGATTTTGCTTTCCCATTGGCCACACCAAACGTGCTGCTGCACCCCACGACACTTACACGTCTTCCTTTCTTGCATCCTTCCAGTATGTCCATCGTGCTGATTTCTTTGGCAGCAAAGGGAACACCAGCACTTATCGGTTTCCCTGTGGCTGTCGTTTCATCAACCTCCTTTTGGCTTTGCCCATCATCGGAAGAGACTTGGTTCTGCTTAACCAGGTTGCCCTGGCTGTTCTCAGCTTCCTGCTCCACATGTCTGTGTTTAGTTTTAAGACGCTTCTTGTGTCTTGTCTGTGGCACGTCCACTTTATCCTTAACACATGCCTGCTCTGATGGGGAGATCTTCTGCCTGACAGAATCCACCAGTGCCACAATCTCCTGTAAAGTGCCTTCACTTTGACAAAGAGCTTCTTGTTGTACCTTAAGGGAAGACAAACAAGAACAGTTACGGGATGTTGGCGACTCCCGGAGCTGTTGCCATCTCTGAGAATGCTGCAAATACCAGAAGTGAATCAATAAAACCATTACACCAAAAGGCTCATGGAATGCACAGGGATTCCCATTCATTTCTAGAAAGTGGAATGTTCCTTGCCTGCAATGCAAGAAACGAATGGGTCACCTCTGCAGGGTTCTACACATGCCTTGGTGCTAACCCAGAGGCACAAGATGCAGTGCTGGAGCAAGTTGCTTCAGAACGCGTATCTCTGATTGACAAGTTGGTTTTTCCAGGGATGATCCCGAATGGAGTGCAGCTATCGGATCTCTGGAATGTTCAATGACTCCGGTGGAGCCTAGAAAAGTTCCTGTTGCAGCTGCTTAGTAAAGTTGTCCTGAGCGGATTTAACACACACACATTTGAAAAGGTTGCAACTTGCAACATCCGAAACCATCAAATGAGCATTTGGGAGCAGTGCGGGAACCCATGTTTTCAAAAACTCGACATTTTCAAAGGCAAAACCTCAAAAAATCACACTGGGCAGATGAAATATGGCCCTATGTTTCTCAGCCCCCTCCCCCAATGCATACCCTGCAGAAGAAACTGGCATTTTGTAATAGATTACAAGTCTGTCCTCAGCTGACCTGCTTTTGCGCTGCCTCGGCAGTCTCCGGGGGCTCCTGGAGGGTGGCCCGCAAGCGAGCTGCAAGCTCTTCACAGCGTCGGCGTTCCCTGGCGTGTCCTTCCAAGAGCTGTGACATGTTCTGGAAAGCAAGCAGTGCCCACCCGTCAGCGCCACACGGACACATGCCTGGCAAATCTTGCCCACAGGGAAGTCCAGAACTGCGGACCATTCCAAAACATTTTTGCCAGAAGCTAAAGCGCCCAGAGTTCTTTCTTCCTCATGCCCTAGGCCTTGCCGCAAGCTGCCTCCCACACTCAGAAATGCTAGGGAGAGGGTGGAGGAGAGTCCAAGTTGTATTGGTGACAAAGGGACGGCTCGAGACCAGGTTATATAAAGAAGCACCTCCTCCCAAATGTGCCTACCTGGGCTAGGTTGTCATTGGACATCCCTCTCAGAGAAACCCCTCTGAAACAAATGAGGAGGGTGGCTGCAAGAAGAAGGGCCTTCTCAGCGGTGGCACCCCAACTCTAGAATCAGCTCCGCAAAGAATTGCACCTGGTACCTTCTCTCTAGTCTCTTCAGTGCCAGGTGAAGACCTTTCTATTGACCAGATATTTTAGTTGTTAAGATAATTTAAAAGACGTTATGTATTCTGTATCTTGGGCTCCTGCCTTTTAATAGTTTAAGAATGAGAAGTATTGTATGTTTATTGCGCGGCTTTTTGTGCTGGTGCTGCATCAGAGGCTGTGATGGGTTGGGTCACAAGCATGTCCGCAAGGAGGGTCTGGGGAAGGAATTGCTAGGTTGGGTTCAAAAAGCTGCTTTGTGTATGCTCAGAGACTTGACTGGATGATTCAGGTGCAGAAACAGTTAAGAGGGTTTTGCTGAGAATGGCTCTGGGGTGGTGATTGTCAGGGGGAGGAAATGTGGCCTGTGATGCCCAGATCAATCCCTGTAGAGCTGGGGAAAAACCCTGGCCTGAAATCCTACAGTTAGTGTGGACATGACGGAACCGGATGGACCCACAGTCTACGTTGCTATGCGGTGACTTCCCACGTTCTTATGGGGTTGGGGTTAGGAAGTCAATCCCCATCGAACGCAGTGGGGTTGACTTCTGAGTAAAGGCACGCAGGATTGCACTGTGAGTGACAGTTAAAGGCACCTTTAAATCTGTCTCTCATCATGGGAAAGACAGAAAAGATCCCACCAAATTGTTCCAAGCTTGCATCCAGCTCAATTAAAAAATATGCATTAAAAATGTTTTCCTTGTCGTGTCTGCATTAACTATATTCGGGAGTTTAAAATAGACCAATTACTGGCCCAGTCCTCGGAACATGTAATCAGAAGTGGAGTGAATACAATTGTACCCCTAGAGAAAGGTCAGGTCTTTCCCTCATGTACAGAAGACGCCGATGGACCGTTTCACATGGAGCGATGACAAAGTGGTTCCCAGACTGAACCATTTCAGTCTGCAGCTGGGGGTGAACGGGGTGTTTCACATGATTAAATGCTTTTGTGTGAAGAAACTTTGAGGAATATTAGAACTAGCACGGCAAGAGAAAGGGAATCCTTCTCCCATAGATCTGAATTTTCTTTTACTGTGGAAGACTATTCAAATGGGAAACATCTCACCCACTTCGGTATATACACACACCCAACCGGAAGCCTACAATGGAATAGCCCAGGGGCATTGCTGCCCCTTCCTAAAATGATTTTTGTGCATCAGACCCACCCCACGGACCAATGAAGACGCAAAGTGCGACCTTACGGGATTCCGCTTTGAATCTTTAAAGCCAAGAGGCTGGCGCAGCACCCACCTGCAACCGGCTGCAGAGACTTTCATGGAGATGCTGCAAGGCCCTCTGTGATTCCTCAGTCACGGAGCTGCCAGGGCAGAGGCCAAAAGAACTGTGCTGCCTTGCTAATTCGTTCACCAGGAGGGTTAAGCCCTCCGTTTCCTGCAGGAGGGCAGCAGAATCTGTAAACTGGCTGGGCTCCTCGGATGAGCCAGGTTGAAAAGCGAGGCTGAAGTCCCGAGTCTGGTTGCCCGGTTCCCACAACACCATAGTTGGACTGTCGACTTTTTGCCTGTCTGGCTCCTGTTGTGGCTGGGATGATTCTTGGTGCCTACGGGAGGAAAAACGACCCAACCCAAGTTATGAATTCATGGTTTACTGTAACAAGCAGGCCAACTGTGAACGACCAAGCATCTTGTCCTAGCTCCTTAAAGAAGGATCTTACCTATTGTAGCATGAGCTTTATGGGAGCTAAAAGCCAACATTTCTCACAAGAGTGGTGGAGTCCTAAGTTGGTAAGATAGATATGGGTACGGAGAAGAAGAAGGGAGGAGAGGGAAAGAAGGAGCGCAAACTATAAGACACGTTTCCCCTACCTGGTTCTCTCCAGATGGAGTTGCAGCTCACTGCAACTGCCATCATCCCCAGCCAGCATGCTGCTCTCCAGGCTCGCTGCCCTTCCTATTTTTATTTTATTGTTTGGACTATTCTAATTTCTTACAAGATTGTTAATTAATGGGGCAGGCGTACTGCAAACTGGAGTTCTGGCTCCTAGCACCGTCTTTTAAGTCCAAGAATGTCTCAGGGCCCCAGTCAGGTACAAAATAAAAAAAACACGGGGCAGTTGCTGTCAGCAGGAAAAAAAAGAACAGGATAGGGAGTGCCTTGGTGAGGCCAAAAGGAGGAGAACCGTGGTACAAACTGGTGAGTTCAGGCCCCAGACTTAACAAGCTGCATGTCTTGCTGTGTGGAAGGCCCTGTGTTTTATTTCAGGTGCGAAGCTCACAGCAAACACTTCTCTCTGCCCGCACCCAGCTGCCGCTCTGTGCTTTAGAGCAGCTTTTGCATTCCTGATATGCGAGAACAAGAGCAGCCAGGCTGTCAGCCACACCCGAAAAAAATACCAATATCAAGTAGTTCAGAGTCACTTAAATTGTAACACCTTCGTAATTACAGAAAGGGAATCCCTGTCTGTTGTTCTGAAGTTCTCATCATGGCCAATTTATTTATTTTAAGATGGATGGGGTTTTAATGTTTGCAAACCATCCAGAGAGCCCTCTGGGCAATTGGGGTGGTATATATATTCAATCAATCAATCAATCAATCAATCATCTCCTGTCTGGGGTGGTTACTTGGGCTCCTCTAGACCGTGCGCCTTCAGATGTTGGGCCTGAAGTCAAAGAAGAACCATTCTTTTTGAGAGCTTATCGATACAATAACGTGGACTCTAGTGCCAGAAATTATTTTTCCTGAGAGTGCCACGAAGTTCTTCACTTTTACCAGCAGCCAAGTCACACGTTTCCCACCTCGCTGAGCACTAAACCTGTACTGGGAGTGTTTTCTCTCTAGGGAAGGCTACAGCACCATATTTTTCAGCTTTGCAATACCTTTTCTGCCTGAGGGATACCTACTTCAGACAGTCAGCAGCCAGCTGAAAGGTGCAGTCCCACTCATTCTGGACATCGGAAACCTTCTGCTGAATTGCTGGGTTTTTGCTTCCATCAAGGCTCTTCAAGTGTTCTCCGAGAGCTGCAATGTTTTGCAGTTTAGCATCTCCTTCATCTTTCAGCAAGGCAATCTCCTGCGTTACAAGGAACAGCATGAGAGAAATCACTTTCCCACTCTGGTTTTGATCTACCCTAGGAGAGGATGACATAACAAGGGTGCAAACTAATGACAGAACCTAGTGCTTCACTTTCACGTCGGTTTGACAGTCTGACCCCAATCAAGAATTGTAGAATGACAGCTACTACAACCAGCACCTACACCTGACATCTTCCTTTAAGTGTCATCTCCTGGGGGAGCTTCTCAGTGGTGGCCCCTCAATAACAGAACAATCTTCCCACTGAGCCCCACCTGACACCAACACTGCCTTCATTTTGACATCACCTTAACAGCACTGATATTTCCTGGTTTGAAAGTAACTTATACGGCTAAAAACCATCCAAATGGTTTGACATTTTGCCCGCTGACCTCTCACGCTGGTTTTTCTCTGTGTGTTTTTCATGCATTCTGTGAATTGTTGTGCAAAGCTTTGGCTACTAAGCAGTACAGAAATGAAAGATGATGCGCTCATGACAGAAGGTGGTGCAATACTGGAAGAAGAACATCTGGTGACAAGGAAGGGGTGGAAAGGAAATGCTGGGATGCGAGATTTTAATGTATAAAACAGCTTACCAGGGTTGCGATATTTGCCCCAGCCTTTTAAAGGCAAACCTGGTAATTCAGGAGGAGTGAGGCCAGGTTAAACTGAAATTATTCTGGGTGTGTAGGTCAGACATACCATCTTTAAGGGCAAGATGACTGGGTATGTTTCTTTCTTTTTGTATTTAAAGGGCTTGGCTGCCTCAAAGCGTTTTCTTTGCGACTGGTACCCTCCAGATATTAGAATGACCCATTGAATTGACACTGACATTGCAAACCGCACATGAGCCTTTCCAACCTGGTGCTCTCCAGATGTTTCAGACTCCCCTCAATTCCAGTTAGTGTGGCCAATAGTCAGGAACTCTGGGAGCTGTAGTCCAATGATTCTAGGTTAGGGAAGGGCATTTTGCATCACAAAGCTACAATCCTACACACACGTTACATCAATTCACAACTGAGAGGCTAAATTGGGCTCAGCTGGTAGATGGTTGGCACTAGATAGAAATGTTCAAGGGGAGAACAGCACGTCATCACGGAAACAGTTGACTGGGTTTTCGTACCTTCATCTGGCACAGCCTTTCTTCTGCAGGCATCTTGGTTTCTTTGGCACTCAGCCTCTGGATGGAGTCCTTCAATCTCTGAATCCAACAGAGCATGCTCTGGGCCAGCTCTTCAAAGTTCTTTTCTTCTGCAGAAAGTGCCTGAGGAAGTCGGAGGCTTTTACGGACCTGGTTGAGCAACTTCTTGTACCTGCCAACAAGCTGACTGGATCCTAGTACCACCTCATCCCCTGAAAATCCAGCGTTCCTCAAAGAATTTGCCAGCCAAGCAAAAGAATCAAAGGACTCCCTAAGAAATAAAGAACAGCAGCAATAACGTTGGATTATTTTCTTCTGCGAAGCCAGTGTTCGTAAATCAGCAGACGCTGGGTTTTACATGGCTAAGTTCTTAGCATTTAGAACTTAGATTTTCTGCTCAAGCTCATCACCCACCTTTTCACCTTCATGGGGAAAGATATGGGAAACTTGCATGTGGATGCAAATACCAAAGATGCAGGAAAATACATTTTTATACAGACATGTTCGTGCGCAAAATACGAGCATACTTCATGGCACTAGCCTCAAAGAGAGCAGTAGGGACAAGGACAGAATACCTCTGCTTTAGTAGAAGTTGATAAAAATTTTCAAGTCCCAGCTTCTCTTTCAGGCTCTCTTGCAAAGTCTCTTCCTGAAGGCTTAGCCATCCCTCCAGACTTCCAAAGTCATCTTCAAGCCTTTAAAAATAAACAGACAGAAGAAAGCAATATATATGGCTCAGGAAGCTTAACAATTTAGTTGTAAAATCCAGGGACAATGACTATTCCATGCAAATGTTATGTAAGGGTCTTGGTTCAAATTCAGCAAGCCCACCAATTAATTTTTAATTGCACTGTGCAATGGCTGACACCTGCACGTTGCACAGGCTGGAGGACCTGATCCTGTGTAATCCTGGAAGCTAAGCAGGGCTGGGCCTGGTTGAAATCTGGATGGGGGACTTGAGTCTTGTATCAAGCTGGGCATAATGCATTCTCTTTTACATGGCGAGTGTACCGGTTATTATTATTTATGGCTCCCAGTAGACTACTAATATAAACTACACCCTGTCCAGCAACCTTATTTATTTTATATTGTTAATTTGTTTTATATTTTTAATGTATTATATTTTAACTTAAGTTGTGAGCCGCCCCGAGGCTTCGGCGAATGGGGCGGCATAGAAATGTTTTAAATACTTTAAATAAATAAACCTTCCCCAACCTTGTGCTTCCAGACACATTTGCACTGCAACACCCATAATTCCCAATCAATGGCCCTGCTAGATGGGGATTCTGGGAGCTGTGGTCCAAATGCCTCTGAAGGCTGGCCTAGAGCGCTATGACTAAGGTTAGCATATAAATGTGGTAGCAGTAGCTGTTGTAGTAACAGAGGTGCGTGGCAGAGAATATCACATCAATTAGATCTTGACCCAGTTTTGCAACTTCAATTAATTTAATCCTTGGTAAGAAAATGTTTTTGTGGCAGGCTTGGATGGATAAGTCCATTTCTTCCTTTATGGTTTATGGACGCTAATGAGTTCGGATCATTGATCAATGGTGAGTTTGGGTGATTCTCGTCTTTCCTGCCAAATACAATTTGCTCGCTTTGGCTGAATGGCAAATTACACTTGTAATTGCGTAGCATTTAGGTGTGGTGGCCCTGCAAGTTTTACAGCTCCACAATTTCCTCCACTATCGGGAATTATTCAGGCTGACGTGTCATATCAACCCACAATTCTGTTTTCAATACTTATCCATTGATCATATTATTGATACATTATTACATATGTTCAAGCCTCTTTTGGGCAGGAAGTTATAAAATGGATAGAATTTAAACTGGAATATTCTTTAATATTTACTGATGTAGATGCTATTTAAAATTAACACATAGTCCACAGCTTTGGCAGGAAAAAGACTAGCATAACAACATTGGAAGGGCAAATGTTCATCTCCTGTAATGCAGGAGGGATTTAGCAACATTCTCAACATTGGACAGACACCAAACAGATGCCTCTGTCAAATGCATAAATGCAAGGATGTAATTGCTGATGCTTATGTATAACTGATATACAGGTAGGTCTCAGGTTAAGAACGAGTTCCATTCCTGAAAACGTCCTTCAGTCAAATTTGTATGTAAGTCGGATCACATGTTTGTCTTAGCATATGTATGTATATTGTACCTTTCTATGCACAGGAAACACTTAAGGAGCACTTCCATATTCACTAAAACATCTTAAACACAATACAGCATAATAAGACAGTAATGATAAAGTAACTACAGATACTGAAGAGAGAAACAGAGAGAATCTGCATGTATGTTTTTATATGTGTAAGTATACAGAATTGCAAAAAACAATTAAAGTAACAGTTCTTAAACCAATTCAGAACATTCTTGAGGTTACATTAAGCCTAACATTAACTGGTGATGTTGGAGATGGACCTGCTGCTGAAGAGTCAGGGTTTGACCGTGCTGCTCAGAGCAAGGAGTCACTTTCTTGAAGCAGGCATCAAGGGTTGTTGGTGCAGCCATTTTCTTTTTCTCGCCATAAATGGCCTTGTAGCAGCTGAAGGACTCGACAACTGCATGGTAAACCTTTGTGAAGCTCTCCGTGTTAGGATCTTGCTCCTCAAATGTTCCCATCCCTACTTCATGGGCCTGGTTGCAAGGCAAAATGCTAGAGAAAAACCAGAAGGGAACCATACATCCCACACATGCCTCGAAATACTCCAGCTTAGGTAAGCTCAAGCCGACGCAGAGGAATGAAAGCTGTGAATACTGTATCTCTAGGGAACTACGCTGCCACTGACACACCACCAAACACATCACATAGTTTCCTAGCGATATCTGTGACTTTTTGCAAGAGATATTCATATAGGGTGCGTGGTAGTTCACACATTCATAAGTACGGGTTGTTCCTAGCCAGGGGACTACCTCTATCTAAATTCTGCAGATATGTTTTTATTTCTCCTTTTTCATTTGATGGTTTTGTTTTGCTTATTTTTAAAAAAAAAAGATATTGTAATGATTTAAAGTGTTACATGTGTGTTCCTTCAAATATTGGTAAACAGCTAAGAGGAGAGAGATATATAGATAGTCTATCAGTCTGTCATAAGTTGACAGTTAGTTGGGGTTAGTCATTGGTTTGCAGACTCCAAAGAGATAGTCTTCTCATTAGAATCCCAGATAGAGCTGTGAAAAGCATTTAAGATTCAAAAGGAAAGGGAAAGAAGTGGAATACTTAAGAGGACATATCAGTGACTAGGGTGAGTCAAAACCTAGTATTGTCAAGTATTGTAAGGGCTTCAGAGATAGAAGCTGACCTGAATGCAGAAGGGAAAGATTAAATTGAGAGAAATAGAATAAAGACTGGACAAAGTACATTGAGATGAGAAAAGATGATCTGAGAGTGAGGAGTGAGCAAGAAGGGAGTGAGAGAGATACCTGACTCAGAAGTTATTATACATTGTTTTATTCACTAAGGCAATAAGTTACTGAACACCTTGAAACCAACACACTTAAGGTACAAATAAAGTTTTATTTTGCTTATTGTTGACCCAGAGTCATCGGATGTTTGAATACCAGAGTCTCATCCTCAGGGCCAGATAGCCCAACAAAGGAGCCTTATCACTCGAGCACAATATTCAGGGAGAGCTTAATTTAAAAGGTTGGAATTAAATTCCTGGTGGCAGCACAATGTATGGAGAGAAAGAGAGGAAAATTTCAAAGAAAATTAAAGACACACCATAGCCAAACAGAATATAGGATGTGGTTAATAAAAGAGCAAGATCCAATTTGACAGGACTTATATTTGATTGTTATGGCTTTTGCACTGAGGATAGTGCATGATTATAATGTAATATCTTTCACTTTAATGGTGAATATTTTTCACAGAAATTTGGCCTAACAATGGGAAATCAACTGCCACCATTATAGGCTATTACACCTATGAATTCAATTGAAAGATGATCTGACTGCATTGTCTATCTATGAATGAGATTATCATTATAACTCTTCCCATAATAGAAGCAGATAAAGAGTCTGATGCAAAGAATGGAGTGGGCTGTATAAAATTACCATGGAAGCAATCAAATGCAGAACACTCTCCGGAGAGGTTTGTTTTGTACCGACTCTTTATTCATTCCAGTGGCAGGCTAAAACCTCTTTATTTACCCAGTTTCTTAAGTATTAGTTTTTATCATACATTTTATCTATTGTATTTTTAAACCAAGTACCATTTGCCTGGTTCTGATGTTGTTGTTTTTTTTAATTGTACACCATCTTGAGATTTTTTGAAAAAACAAGACAACATAGAAAACTTATGAATGAATGTTGGTTGGCTTCCCCTTTTCGATGCAAGAACTGTAATGGCTAGTCTGAGTCAAGGTAGCATAGAAAATTAAGAAAGGGGATGCAGTATTGAAATGTAACTCTGCACACCCTGTGCCAGTGAAAAGGCTGGGGGTAAAGAGCTTGTTTCAGAAAGATTACTGGCTTTTAAGTTCCTGGTACCCATCAGGATATAGGAGAGGGGGAGGCAGAAAGCAGGGGTGCGCCACTCTTTTTGGCTGTCGCCCCTTCGAATCTCTTTCCATTCTGGCCTGTCATGATAGGCCCTGCAATTTTGGATGGCCTTAGAGCATTACAGGTACACTACATAATAAGAGCAGCCTTACAGTTCTTACTGGGCAAGGCAATCGAGTGGATTCCGGCCAGGCAACTTCAGGCTCTCCTGGAGGAAATGGATTATCTAGACCCATTTCAATTGGACTTTAGGGCTGGCTTTGGAACAGAGACTGCCTTGATCACCCTGTGGGATGACCTCGGCTGGGAGAGAGACGGAAGAGAACAACCATGCTGATGCTCCTGGACTTCTCAGCATCTTCCAACACCTTCGACCATGATGCCTTCTGGAGAGGCTGGCTGGGTTGGGAGTTGGGGGCACTGCTCTGGCTCCTACCTGCCAACCATGTCCAGGGGGTGGTGGGGGAAACTATTGCTTTGTGCCATGGCCTCTGCACCATGGAGTCCCGTGGGGCTCTGCTCTGTACCCCATGCTTTTCATCAGGAGGCTTGGGCTGACGTGTCGCCAGGACGCTGATGGCCCTCAGCTCTACCGCTTGTTCGCACCATCTCCAGGTGAGGCAGTGATGGTCTGAACTGGTGCCTGAGCTCAGTAATAAGCTGGATGTGAGCCAATAAGCTGAAGCTCAGTGCAGATAAGACAGAGGTACTGTTGGTGGGGCGTCTGTCTGTTCAAGAGGGGAGCTTTCAACCCGTCCTGGATGGGGTTACAGCCCCGCAAGGATTAGGTTCGCCACCTTGGAGTGCTCCTGGATTCTGACCCTTCCCTGGTGGCCCAGGTGGACTCGGTTTCCAGGGGCACTTTGCATCAGCTTTGGCTGATCTATCAGCTGCGTCCCTACCTGGATGAGCAGTGCCTTGCCACACCTATCCATGCACCCGTCGCCTCCCGCTTGGATTGCAGCAATGCGCTCCCTATGCGCTACGAGAGTCTGCCTTTGGAAACGGTCTGGACCTTGCAACTTGTTCAGAATTGCACCGCATGTGGACTGATGCGCACCAGCACCCGTGAGCACGTCGCGCCGATCTAATGCGGGCTGCACTGGCTGCCGGTTGCCGTCTGGGCCCAATTAAAATGTTCCCGATAACATGCAAAGCCCTAAACAGCTTGGGGCCGGGCTATCTGAGGTGGTGCCTTTCCCCTATGTACCGGACCAGGCACTGCGGCCCTCACCTGAACACCTGAAGCCCCCCTCTGCATTGGGGGGGAGTGTGAGGATGAGGAAGAGGGCTTTTTCAGTCTTAGCCCCCCAGCTCTCGAATTCTATCCCACTGGAGGTTTTTATTATTTATTTATTATTTTATTAAAACATTTTTATGCCACCCCATTCGCCGAAGCCTCGGGGCGGCTTACAACAGGTTCAGTGGGTGCCTGCTCTGCTTTCCTTTAAGTGCCAACTTAAGACATTTTTGTTCCATTGTTATTTTGACAGGTGAGTTGATTGGTTGGTTGCAGTGGTGTTTTAAATATTTTTTATCATTAAATGCTGCTGTCTTTTGACTCTATTAATTTAAGCTAGATATTGATATTAATTATGTTCTAATTGGTCTACGTCCCTTTAATTTTTGGGTCCCTATGTATGATATTTATCTTATTTGTTTTATTATTCTTAGTTTGTTTTATTTCATTTTAATAGCGTTTACTTATGAATTGCACTGCTTATGGGTTATTGTGGTTTGTGGATTTTATTGTGTTATATATTGTATTATATACTACATTGTATATTATGGATTTTATTGTGTTGTAATTCTCCCAGAGAGCCTATGACTAGTGGGACAGCATAGAAATTGAATATATAAATAAATAAAATAGTAAGGATCCGTGTCTTGAATGTTTTTGTTTTTCTTCTCCCTCCACATCACTTTTAAGTTTTGGTGTCCTGTTTTATTAAATGGTAAGCCAGAGGGCAGGGGCCATCCCTTTTATTGATCTGGAAGCTGCTTTGAGAATTTTTCTAGTTGAAGAAGGGGGTCAAAATGATGAAGGAGAGAAAGAAGGGAAGAAAGAATTAAGACTGCTTTACTTTCCCAGCCTTTCAGTGATAGAACTGTTGTTCTTCTGTTCTTGACCTCTTATCTTTATCTTAGCCATTTTTGTGGTTCTTGCTCTTCTGCTATATTGCTTACAGGTCCGGTTTGTCGTGTATAGAAACATAGACATAAAAATACAGAAACAGAGCGAGTCAGAAGGGGCCTCCCGGGCCATCTAGTCTGACCTGTGGCACCTGCCGGCTCCGCTCACAACACGCCCACCATGTGCATGTCACGTGTAAATGTGTGTGTTTATTGTACTGAATTTGTTGCTTTATTTGCAAGCTGCCTTGAAGTCTATGTGATCAAAAGTCAGGCTAGGAACCCTTCAACTAGGTAAAGGGGTGCACTGATCTTTCAGCGAAGTCCCGCCAGGCTCATTTGGGCTTCTTACCTAGCAAACTGCTGCAAAGAAACGTGGAGCTTGTGCAGGCGAGCCTCGCTTTTGGAAGTTATTCCCTGCAGCGCCGCTTCTCGGTCCCGGACCCAGCTGCTCAGTTGGTTGACCTGCGCTTGGGGCAAATACCTGTTCAGCTGCGTCAGGAGAATCTTCACCTCGTGGATATCACTGTCTTTGCCATCAAAATCTAGGAAGCTCTGAACAAAAAGAAGCACAGCACGGTATGTATCCAGGTGAGTCGCACTATTTTGTCTGGCCTGGATGACCCACGCACTGGCTATAGCCCGATGTGCTTGATCCTGCCTAATCTGGGAAGCTAAGCAGGGTCAGGCCTGGTCAGAAGCTGGATGGGTGACTTGAGAGTATGATTCTGTGGTTAGTATTGTGAACTACTCACAGAGCTTTGGCTAGGGGCAGTACAGAAATGCGATAATAATAATAGCAATTATGTATGCACATTGATCACTGCTGATTTGTGGATAGGCTGACCCCAGTAGGTCAGCATGGAAATGACTTTTCTGTCATGCAATATCAGTGCAAGCTTTTTCAACAAAACTAAACTTGCACATTCCACGGAGGTCAGAACTGTGCTGAGGGAATTCAACAGTGCACAACAAATGGAAAACCATTAAGTTAAATAGTCAAAGGCTTGTTTCTCAAGGAAGGCTCTCACAGAGGAGGCTGCCCAATGCACCCCTGCATGACTGACCGCTCTGCTCTTGGGGCCTTCCAATTAGCCTCCCCAGGTGCTGGGTACTCGAACCACTTTCATTGCAGAGGCACGACGGATTAGCTAACTCCAGAGAAGATTCCCTGTGGTGACTCTGGATGAATCACTGAAGCCTACTGTACCCATCGTTAACGTATGAGTTCCTTAATCGGGCATTCCAATTGGCCTAAAAGGAACCAATGAGGCGCAGCAGTAACAGTGTTGGATGCAATTCAACCAGAGAGACTCAGGTTCAGAGTCCCACTTATCCACAGTGCTTACTAGATGACCATGAGCTAGTTAGTCTCTCCCAGACCGGCCTACCTCACAGGGCTGTTGTGAGGACAATAGGCTAGGGACTGAGAACTCTGGACGAAGGGCAGGATAAAACAGCACTATAACAATATATTTGCACAAGAGACCCATGCTGACTAGGAATGATGGGGATTGCAGTACATTTCCGAAAGCACCAGGTTGGGGAGGGTTACCTAAGAAGAATTTCCTGCTCTCGTATGGTGCTTTTCTCTCAGGAGACATGCCATCTGCACTTTTTATTAATGCATGTAGTCAAAATATATATTTTTAAATCCACTGTTTAGTTCAGAGACTCTTTATAGTGGATCAGTGCTGCAATCTTATTAGTCAACAACACAACCTCATTGTGTTTACGCTGGAGCAAGCTGCATCAAGTGTGAATGCAAGTATATCAAGCCTACAGAAAATTAAAGGAGAACCTCATTACAGTGAGGCCTCACCGTCAGCCGCTGAATTTTCTCTTCTAATATCTCTTTAGTTTCAGAGGGGTCAAAACAATCCTCCAGAGATAGCCGAGTACTGTTGAACCATTCATCAAAACTGTTACACTGATCTGCGGAAAAATAAATGTCAAAATATGACTTTGGACCTAAGAGAAGGTACAATTTATTTCATCTAGATCACTCCTGCTTCTCAGCCCGAAAGGGTCCAGAAGTGGCTGATACGACTCTAGAAAAATAAGACTATCCCTGACTGGAGGCTAACAGGCTAAAAGGACAACAACCAACAACCAGGAAAAGGGGGATGGGGAGGGAAGAGGGAGAGAAACCCCTTTCACTTGAGCCTGGAGGAATGCTTGGGTCTGTTTGCAGCTGTGATGGCATTATCTTGTTTTAGCAAAACACGTGGGGTTGTGATTGCGAGATTGGCTCTGTTTTTGCTACGTCTGTCCTGTGCATTGGATCAAGGGTGTCTGTGAATGCCAGCACCTAACTGAAGTTTTGAGAGCCCCAATCTTGGATGGAACCACGGCTGTGCTCACCAACCTGACCAGCCCAAAGGGGAAGAAAGTCACCTTCAGACTGGTAAGGGAAAGGCGAGCCCCCAAATCCTTTGCCCACTGGGGATCTGGCCAGGGATCTGGGTTTTGCCATCCTGAGTGGGAAAGCGATGTTGCATGTGACCATCTCCCCCTGGTGAGGAAGCCCTCTGGATTCTCTGCTGGCTGCTAATGGGACTCCAATCCCAGCTGCCCTAGCAGGAATGGGATGCCACACACCCTGTTCCCAGAGAGAGGAACCTGCCCCCCGGGAGAACCAATCACAGCCCCCAACTCTCTGTGGGGCACTCAGGGCACCTGCAGTAGCTGCCCCACTTTTACCTTTGCAGGATCACGCTTTCTTGACTGTGGCTGAAGAAAACCAGCTCAGCTTCTTCTTCTTTTTGGATAATGCAGGGAATGCCCATGGGACTCCCAGCACTGCCTCCAGAAGTATGGTGAAGGGGGAGAGTCATTGGTTGCTGCAGCAGAACCTCTGCCCGCCCCCTGCCCTTTCTCGGTCCGTGCAACTCACAGCTGGGGTGTGGAAGGTTCCGTTTTGGGGCTGGGAATCTGACAGACTCCTGGGGTCGGCCTCCCAAAGCCCGAGTACCTGCTCAGTCAAGGAACTGAGCCCCATGTTCTCCTCTTTGGCACCAGCTGGCGCGGGAGAGGGATGCTGCCTGGGCCCTGGCCGCACGAGACTTGCCGGGAACGGAGCCCCACGGGACCACGGTGCAAGCGGCGTCCTTCCTCCACGCCGGCTGCAGCAGCCTTTGTTGCCAGTGGTGCAGCCTTCAAACCACGAACGCTTCCAGAGCCCCTCTGGTGCAGCTTGCTTTGCAAGGATGGGCCACACGCGAGAGGAGGTCCCCGAAATGCCGGAGGGATGGGCTTTGACCAGGGTCAACCACCCAAACGCTGACATTCGAGTGAGCAGCGATCAAAAGCCATAATTTTTGGCTTCTGCATTTGACTGGCTCATGTCAGGACTCGGGGCAATGCAGTGGGTGGACCATGGGCCCAGGAGATGAGCCTTGGACCGACCCGAGTACACTCATCAAGTTAATGAGCACAACCGGGTCGGTGGCAGTCAATCCTTCCAAGGCCAAAATGGCGCCATCCATGCACGAGAGGGAGATGCCAGGAGGTCAGGGGAAAACTGCCCTGGGCGACATTTCTGGCAGAAGAGGAGACTGCAAATAAAGGAAAAAATGAACCTCGAGGTCCACGGGGGAAAGTACCCAAAGGGGATCCCCCAAACGGGGCAAATGAGGTCCAGCCATGCAGCAGAGAGCAGTGACTGTCGTCAGGGCAGGACAGAATGGAACGGTGGGCGAGGGTGGAAAACTAGGGAATGGGAAAATGGAATGTTGCGGAAAAGCTGCGGCTGGCCAGAGTCCTGGAGAGATCACTCCACCCTGCAACGCTTTGCTGCAGGTCCCACTTGTGCCATAAAAACTCAGGGTGAGTTTGCTATACAGCATGGCAAAAGCATAGCTTCATAAAGAGGAAAAATGTCTATCCCTCTAACCATAAGAACATGGGAAGAACGCCCAGGGATCAGGTTTTGGGTCCATCTAGCTCAGATTTCTATGACTCTGAATTTCAAAATATGCAAATTAGTGTCAACATAACTTCAGGTTGCAATGCCACGATTGCTTAAAATGCTGTTTTCACAGAAAACGGAACTGCAGCAGTAGCACTGGGTAGAATCCAAGTACGTTCTGCCACCAAGTCAACCACTTCTGTCAACAAAACAGGGAAGGGGCACCCCTAAAATCGGCTGTATGGCACTGGAGACCCCCCAAAGCAAATATTCAGGGGATGGGGGGACTTCAGAGTGGAAGAGAGAATAATGTAACACCATGCAAAGGGAAGTCCATTCATCAGCATTGGATTTTTACGCAATACAATTTTACTTACAGTCCAAGAGAGTAGTAAAGTGATCCTGAAAAATTTGTTTCTTCGAGTTGAATAAGTCAGTCATGCTTTCAAGCTGCTGCTGCAATTCAATCACTTCTGGGTTCAAATAACCTGTCTCCTTTTGAAGTAAGTGCACGTGACATTTTTGCTGCTGAATCTTCTGATGAATTTCCTAAAGAATGAAAGGTGGTTTTCAAAAAGCACCAATGTGTCAAATGGTCTTTGGGCATTTTGGCAAACAAAAAGTCTTTCTTTGGCAGACGGAAGTGATAGTCCAAAACACTGGGAGGGTCATAGGGGGCCTACTGCTGCATCCCAGGGGACTCTCCCCGCCCACCCCCAAAAAAGATAGGTATCCAATTCAGGCTACTCATGAACTTCCCAGAGACTACAGCATTAGGCTGTTGCTACAAACCAAACTCAGGATTAAGGATCCAGTCCTATATGCATTTTCTTGGGAACAGACACCATGAAATGCAGGGGAATTACTCCTGAGTAGACATGCTCAGGATTGCACTGAAACCTGTCCTTATCCTTATCTGGATCCAGCATGTTCTCATCGGTTTCCCCCATCGGTCGCACTCACCCAGATGTGTTGGGCTACCTTCCCAGCGTTTCCCAGCTGAATGCTGGGACCTGTGGCTGAATGAATCATCTGGGGAACAGGTTGGGGAAAGCTGGCCTGCAGGACACATGGCCACCAGCTTGTCACACCTTCTCCGGACATCTGACAGAGCCATGATGGCCTGTGGACCAAGGTGTGTTTTCTGATGTGAAGGCTCCAGTGGAAAGCCTCCTGGCCTGGATGACCCCAGGGGTGGCCCGCCAGAGCTCTGCATGGCAAGGCTGGGCAACTAGCGGACCTCCCAGTCTCTTGGCCCACAGCTTCCATCGGAACCAGCCAGCGGGGCCGATGGGGAGGGACGACAGAAACCCTCAGGCAAAACATCTGGAAGGCCACTGGTTGCCCACCCTGCCTGAAGACAGTATATCGCTCCTGCTACTTCTGCTACGCTGCTTATATATATTGATTTATTTATTAAAACATTTCTATCCCACCATTCTTCCCCTTGCAGGAGGCCTGAGGCCACTCACAGAGCTCCCCTCCCCTCCAACTGATCCTGACAACAGTCCTGTGAAGCCAGGGAGGCTGAGAGGCAGCAAGTGGCCCAAAGCCCCCGGGGAGACCCTGAGTCCAGACCCGTCTCCACAACCTCCCACTGCATGGAGGCTTTTCCGCACCTCCAGCCTGTGGGGCTGGAGCTCCCTGGACCATGCCAGGAATGGGCTTGCTTGCTTGCTTGCTTACTTATTTATATTGTGATTTATATCCTGCCTTTTTCCTACGAAGGGCTCAAGGCAGCTTACATCATTCTCCTCCTCCATCTTATCCCCACAACAACAACCCTGTGGGGTAGGTCGGGCTGAGAGTCTGGGACTGGCCCAGAGTCACCCAGTTGCCTCCGTGGCAGAGCAGGGACTCGAACCCGGATCGCCTGAGTCCTAGTCCTGTGCTCTTAACCACTACGCCACACTGGCTCTCATCGCAGAGTTTTCTTGCCCCAGGACACTGACTCAGCTCACGCGTTAAAGAGCCTCCTGAGCTTAGCTGAAGACACATGGTTTTTCTGGAGCCATGGCTGCGCTTTGGGCCTGACGTCTGGTTTAAGCTCTGTTTCTTCATCCCAAGTCCTAGTTCACCTTGGACTGCTACCCACAGCTCAGCCCTGTCCTGTGTGGAGCTGTGCACAAAAGGATTTTGGAAGGCAGCTGTTCTTCCAAGGGGAAACAAGGGTTTTAAAAATTAAAAGGCCAGTGAAGAGGTCTTGCTCCCAAGGACTTGCTTAACTGTGACTAAAGAATCGAGAATGAGCTGGTGGACGGGATGTGATCTCCCACCAGACCCTCCTCTGTTCCCCACACCAGCCTAACTATGGCTAAAGCTAACCAGAATTTGCTTTTAAGCAGCACTGAAATCCCTGAGCCAATCCTGCATCACATTAAGCATATTTAAGGGATAAGGGCTGATGTAATTTCTACCCCTGCCTATAACTGGTGGTGGGTGGGATATTTGGGGACTTCCTTCAGCTTCCTTCATGAGCTTTAGAGGAGTTCTAAACACAGAGTTGGATCCAGAATTAAAGTACACTCACTGAACTCAGTGGGTCTACTCTAAATAGGCATAAGTTTCAGCCACAGAGCTCTGGTCAATGGGGGGTATAGCAATGGAATGAGTGGAGCCCTCATTTATGGGCAGACAGTTGCGTGTGGCATTCCTAGGATTGTGTGTGTGTTCGGAGTACCTCCAGTTTAGTAAAGATCTCCAAGGTATCCGAGGGCGACAAGGCCTTCAGAAGTGACTCTGTCATTCCGATTTGCGTCTTGGCCAGGTCAAGGTCTCCTTTTAGTTCCACTGTGTTACCATTGAGTCCAATGGGCACCGACCTGTTTGGCAGCTGCTTCCTTATCAGCTCCATTTTGTTCAGAAGAGAGGATCTGATGACCTGAAAACGAGTAAGGCAAAGGCAAGGTTAGGCGTTCTCCTGGCCGATTTTCTTGCTATACAACCTCACAGAAGCACCCCAGGGTGGATGGATTGCAATTTTACTTATCTGCCTACTATACGGAATGACATCTGAAAGCTCTTCCACACATTGTTGGGGTGCAGGGGGAGAAATTGGTGTGAAATTGTGAGGAAGACTGGTGATGACTGATAACCCAGGGCTGCTGCTGAAAATGGCATCCCACATCCAAAGCTCTCCCCAGCCCCCCATCACATCTAGAGATGCCATCACCGTGTATCCCACGATGTGGAAAGCAGGCAGAGGAGCTCATCATTTGACACGGCGAGTCTCATTAGAAGGTGAACTGGGGGAGAAGGGGACGTGATGGCTGCCATCTTTGTTTCCAGTGGATGGAACAAAGGCTTCGTCCTTGCCTTTCAAAGAGGATCGTCGGGGAGGAAGTTGGACGCTCTGCCAGCCACTGACCACAGCTCCATCATTCTCTGGACCACCCCTATCCCAAGTTCCCCACCCCTGAAAAGCCACTTGTGCCACATTATCAGAGTAAGGACTTTCCTGAACATTTTAGAGTTTCTCTCACTCTCAAGAACATGGCTGAAAATGCTGCCTCTTGAGCTCACGACTGGCCCATGAGACCATGTCAGAAGAGGAGCAAAGTGAGTCCTTAGCACCCTTCTTATCTGCAGTAGACCTGGGAGAACCTACGATTCTCTCTGGCAGGGATATCTTGCCCGAGGTGCCCGGGAACCCTTTCAACCCATCCCAAGCCCAGCTGGGGCTGCAGACGCCACCCATGGCACGTCAGAACATGGTGGTACCAGATTAGGTGGGATGCGCTGTGCCCCTACCTGGAGAACGACTGCCTGGTGACAGTGACACACGCATTGGTGACTTCCCGCCTTGACTTCTGTAACGCGCTCTACGTGGGGCTGCCCTTGAAGACGGTCCAGATACTTCAATTGGTTCAAAATAGAGCTGCCAGGCTGCTGACGGGGACTGGGCGTTATGTTCACATGACTCCAGTTCTCCGTCAGCTTCACTGGCTTCCCATTGAAGTCCGGGCCCAATTCAAGGTGTTGGTGATGACCTATAAAGCCCTTAACGGCTTGGGTCCTGGTTACCTGAAGGAGCGCTTACATCCATATATGCTCGTCTGCCCCTTGAGATCAGCGGGAGAGGCCCTTCTCCGGGAACCCTCCGTGAAGGAAATTAGGAGGGTAAGTACTCGGAGGAGGGCTTTCTCTGCGGTGGCACCCAATCTATGGAATGCGCTCCCCAGAGAGGTCCGCCTGGCGCTGTTGTTATTTGTTTTTCGGTGCCAGGCGAAGACCTTTTTATTCAAACGTTATTTTAATTGTTAATATTATTTATTTATTTTATTCTTTGGCCAGGGCGACTTAATTTATACTGTTAAATTATATGGTTTTATATTATGTTATTTATTTATGATTGTGAGCCGCCCCAAGGCTTCGGCAAATGGGGCAGCGTAGAAGTTCCCTAAATAAATAAATAAAGCGCAGGACCAGAGTCAAGGTGTCAGAAGACCCTTTTGCCAGTGTTCATTCAGCAGGAAGGGTCTACTCATGAGGAGAAAGATCCTGCTGTGGCTGGTAAGGCAAGGATGGTCAGCATATCAGCTCTCATCCTTCCTGGACCCCTTACAGGCTTAATGGTTCGCCCAGGGATATCTGGCACTAGCCAAGGGCTCGGGACAGACTCCTACTTCCAAGACCTGCACAGGTAGCCCAAAAATGGAGCAGGATTTTTTTCCTGGAAATGAAGGAGAACATGGGAAGTCCTGCTGGCAGATGCCCAGATGTAGGAGGCTTCCTATCTGCTACACGTCGCCATTTCTGATTGCATTTTTCTGTCCAGGAGGAAACAGCAGGACCCTGGTCAGTGGAAATCATCTCATCACGGTTAAATAAAGAGATCAGAATAAACCTCAACCAAACCCTGGTTAGACCACCCCTCACCTGTAGCTCAAGCGGGGGCTCGCTGCTATTGAGAAGATGCTGTATTTCATCCACCTTTGAGTCAAATTCCTCTAAGTTTTTTTCTTGGAACCGTAAGGCAGCCTAAGGAAAAAGGCAAAGCAAGCTGAATGGAATCATCAATCTTTCCAATTCTGTGCTCCGAAGATGTATTCAACTCGTGCTCAGTTGGCTAAGGGTGAATTGCAGCTGAAAGTCCATGCACGTTTAGACAGAAAAAAATCCTGCAACTCCCAGCCCTTCCCAGCCAGCCAGGAATATCGCTTGGGGAAAGCTGGAAACGGCAGGCTTCTTTCTGTCTAAATATGTACAGAATTGTGCCCTGAATACCTGAAGGAGGGATCCATGAATCCTGTTTGCACACTATGAAAGGTCATCTGGTCATGCTTTTGCCTGCATTCGAGGTAAAAGGTTTTTGCTTCCACTTCGGCAGATGCTTTTGCCTCCGTTCGAACACTGACTGTGCACCGGGGGGCTTCCCACCATGTCACCTGCACTGTGCCACAGATCACTGGATAGCTGCAGTGCCCGGGGGTGGTCCGGTGCATACACAGAGCAGATATTGGCTTCAGGAAGGACATCAGTTCAGCGCAGCCCCGGGCTGCTTTCTGGAGCAAAGCCTCACAGCTCCACACTCAACCAGGTACCTGAAGGAATGGGACCATCACTCACAGGTGTCATCCTTGCAGGTAAGCATTGCTGGGCTCTTGCTCGGGGCCCACACCAACAGGGCTCCCCCCTCTTCATCATCACCACCAGCCCCTGCCTCCTGCCTGCTGGCTTTTCGTTTGCCAGGCGAGTGACTGGGAGCAAGGGTGCCCAGAGCATGAAGAGGAGGAGTCACAGCAGTGGCACCCATGGCAGAGAGAAGGAAGACTCCCTGAGGGAGGGGTCCAGGGAGGTCCAGGGACCCCAGGGCCCCCCAGACTGGTCCTTGCACAGCCCTGGCCCTTTGGCACCGTTGTCGGCAACTGCACTCGTGAGCTGGGCTGCACCCCAAGGTGGACATGGTTATCCAACCGTGGATAACCTTGCCCTGAATGGGGTAGCACTCCCTCTGAAGGACAGGGTCCGCAGCTTGGGAGTGCTCCTCGAAGCTCAAGTGATTGCGGTGGCGAGGAGCGCTTTCCTTCAGCTTCGACTAATCCATCAGCTGCGTCCCTACTTGGAGGACAACTGCCTAGCGACAGTGACACATGCATTGGTTACTTCCCGGTTGGATTTCTGCAATGCGCTCTACGTGGGGCTGCCCCTGAAGACAGTCCGGATACTTCAGATGGTGCAAAATAGAGCAGCCAGGTTGCTGACAGGGACTGGGCGTTATTCTCATATAACCCCAGTCCTCTATCAGCTTCACTGGCTTCCCATTGAAGTTCGGGCTCAATTCAAGGTGCTGGTTATTACCTATAAAGCCCTTAACGGCTTGGGACCTGGATACCTGAAGGAACACCTTCTTCCATATTTGCCCTCCCACCCCCTGAGATCAGCAGCAGAGGCCCTTCTCTGGGAACCCTCCGTGAAAGACACGAGGAGGCAAAGTACCCGGAGCAGGGCCTTCTCTGCGGTGGCGCCCTGCCTATGGAATGCGCTCCCCAGAGAGGTCTGCCTGGCGCTGTCGTTATTTGCTTTTTGGCGCCAGGTTAAGACCTTTTTATTCCAGCAATATTTTAATAAGTTTTAAAATTGTCTTTTCTATGTTTTTAACTGCAGCCATGGTGGGTCGGGAATTTATTTATGTTGTGTTTTATGTTGTAAGCCGTCCTGAGGCTTTTTGCAACAGGACGGCATATAAATATTTTAAATAAATAAATAAAACCCAGGGCTGGCCTGGGCCCAAGTTGCTCGTGAGTTCACATGCACATGAGCACCCGCAGGCTGCCCCTCCCTGACTGCGAGGGCAGGGGGGCCTCTGGAAGCCCGGCTGCAGGGGAGGAAGGGCAATTTCATCCTGGGGTGGGAAGGCCCCAGCATTGGGACAGGGAGTGCTGCCCGGGATGAAGCCACGCCTGACAGAGCAATGGGCTGGTGCAGCAGTGAGAGAGCTGGACTGGGGCCGGGAGGTCCGGGTTCTAGGCCCTGCTCAGCAGGGGAGGTCACTGGGGAATGGCCTCAGCCCAACAACACGGTGGTTGTTGTGAGGCTAAAATGGAGCTGCGCAAGCATCACTCACAAGAGGGAAAAGGGACGCGTGCAAATGCAATGGCATAATAATGGTCTGCTACTATATGAAGCAATGCCATAAAAGTTAAAGCCAGAGAAAGCAATAGGATTAGACGCCTGTTCCGTTTTTGGAAAAATCTGCAGCCTAAACGGGAAATTAAGATGCAGAAATGCAATGGGCAGTTTGGGTTTCATCAGACTTTGCCTTAATGCCTGGTCCTAATTTTAATTTTAATTGAAGTTCACGTTCTGCTGTTAAAATAACATTTCAAACATCTGTGTGGGAAAGAACAGGGGGTGGGGCACTGTGGGAGACGGCAAAGGGGCAGGAAAAATGGAATTTGCAACAACTTAAATAGCAGGGCAATTGAATTATGCAAATCTTCATTCAGTTTAAACCCTCTCAACTGCAATTATTTATTGACAGATAGTTTCATCAACCATATGTATTTATCTGTTTGACGTATACTTCATCTTCCACCAAGGCAGCAGAGTTCAGAATGGCTAGCCATAATAACCAAGATTTAAAATAAAAATGTAGCTAAAATGATGATAGAATAAATGCATTAAAACACAGTGTAAAAACCAGAACAATAAAAGAGTGAAAATTGCACCTAACCCGACAAACACACTTGAATCTGGCAGGCACAGAGCAAAGATGATGCCAAATCCTCACCCGACAACAAGGAGTCCCACCATCTTACCTCCAGCTCTGCCAACTCTTCCTCGCTCAAGTGGCCATCCTCTAAGTTCTTCAGCTCTGCATTTGACCATTCGTCAACTGAGCTGGATAAATTAAGAAGTTTATCCCATAACGCCAGAGCTCTTCCCAAGTTATCACAATAGTTTTCAGTCCGTTCATTGATCTTGCGGAGGGATTTATATTTCCCACAAAAGAAAAAGGAAGGAAGCAAAGCGTAAGGGCTTGGAATCAAGCAACTTCATGAATAAAGACGTGGGGAGATGAAACCAGACACATAAACAAGACGGGGGAAGGGATAATCCAATGTTCCCGTTGGACGATGACAGCTTCTTACCAAATACGGCTTTAAATATTACCATATCAAAACCCACAGTAGTTCTTCAGGTTCTAAAAACAGGTCTTGCAAGCTGGTCTTGGCTTGTCAGATTTCGTTTTCTCCCACTAATGTGCCCCAACTAGTCCCAGTTATGGAGCAAATGCCCGGGCAGGTTCAAACCATCGTTTAGGAAAACCATTTCTACTACCCACTCCTAACATCTGCAACCCCAGAAAAGCTTCCAGAAGAGCTTAGCCATTCACAAAGCATTAGGCCGACAGACGTGGCTGTTATTCCCAGAATTATCCTTGCAAACTCGTGTCCCACATGAGAAAGGCTATTCAGAACTGTCGACCCCAACTCCCCAGCCTCACATTCTTTTAAACTCTGCTTTGATTAATGCTTGACTTTTTCCTTCTTTACAATTCTTTGGTGCAGCACATTTGATTTATCTGAAATATTGCATGAAAGCCCGAATCAATTACTGTAATGCACACCAGTTCCGAGCACCCCATGACTGACTTTATACATACATCCAGCCATCTGTCCACAATAGCGTTAGCCTCATTCTCAAAGGGAGGGTCCTCAAAGCTCTTCATTTTGTTCAGATGGGACTGAAGGTTTTTACAAATCTGGTTTATTCTGTCCACGTCTTCAGAACGGCTGTTAAATTCTTGTTTTACCAAGTTGACCTATGGGAAAGTGAGAATACGCATCTCTAGGCAAGTGCATCTTATTTGGGGAAATTTCTAAATGAAGTGTGAGTGTGTGTGTGTGTGTGTGTGTGTGTGTGAGAGAGAGAGAGAGAGAGAGAGGGAGAGAGAGGAGTGTGTCTTTAAAAACAGAGCTCTTCCTTCCCTTCCCAATCATTCTTCCCAAAGGTAGAAGCCATATCCCCTGGGAGCAACCCTGAGCATCTTAGAGTTCATTGTTTTGCTTATCACATTTGTTCAAAAATTCCTTGTCTTGTGCCAACAGGGCTTAAAAGGAATAGGATGGGCCAGAGCCCCATTTTGATAATTTTCCTATGGAAGATCAAAGAGATTTTTTTGCTTTAATCCACAAAGCTGACATCCTGTTAGAGGCGGTTGTTTCTTTTGAGGTTTTGTCCCTACTCCAGGGCTGCTCAGCCCCTTTTCCTCTACTTCTACGTCCTCCTCTCTATCCCTTGTGTATCTGTAGATTGTACACTTGTGGGCCATGCACTGTTTAATAGCTTTTCTACAAGCCTGAAACCTCCATAGATGCTTTAAAATTAAATGGAGAAAGAAAAGGGGGAGGTGGTCACAAATTTTAGAATCTGAATACTGTTCTTTTTTTAAAAAGCATCTAATTTTTTTTAGAAGTTTAACAGTTATTCTATGAGCCTGAAAACTCTCTCGGGACTTTAAAAATAGAAGCAAGAGGTGATGATGAGAATCGCAAATTTTAGAATTGGAAAATTGTTCTTAAAAAAGGGCAATTGTTTGACCAACCTGAGGTATTTGGGGGGTTTCAGAGAAACAGATCTTTCTTTGAAAAATAAAATGCATGGGCAACATTCAAATCTGCCTTTGCATTCGTTCAGATGCATCACTTTCTGAATTTGCCCCGCCTTCCGTTTCCTTCTCCTGTTGTCTTCCTGCATCCAAATCTACACTGCAAGAGCCTAGCAGCCAGAAACAAGTTTTTCTTCTCTTTTCTCTGCTTATGAAACTCCATAACTATCATACATTTTAATGATGCTGCATATCGTATGATAAAACAAAGAATTTTTCAAGGAATACCAGATTGGCAGTGATAAGAAGCATTTTTTTGGTTGCACAAGGCGCATCACCCATTTAAATCAATGGAATCCCATCATGGGGATGAATCCCTGTGGAAATAGCATGGTACCATGTTTTCCCCAAATTTCTGTTTCTTTGTGCAGAAAGCGATGTTTACAAAAAGCACCTAAGCACACGACACAGGAAGACTGACCTCTAGCGTTTGGCAATTAGACAGCGTTCGTTAATGAGGTCTTTGTTTTCTGGCAGACAATGAAGTCTGTGATCTTGTTGATGGAATGGGAGGATAGGAAAGTGGGGCAGAGGTCTCCAAGCAACAGCGCTCCCTCGCCTGGGCTTTTCATAGGGGAAATAAAACTCAGAATTCTGCCACCCGAGAAAAAAGCGCAAGCTTAAGAGGTACTGATGCCAAATCAAGCGCAATGTGGCGGTCCTAAATACGAATGGGATCAGTTCTCCCAATATCTTTTGTTCTTAAAAAATTAAAGACTTCAAAGCAGCCTGTATGTGTGAGAGGAAGAGGCAGGCAGAGACCACAGTACAGCCTCTGGTACTGGAAGAAGGATGTAGCCATCAGGACTAGCAGCATGGACAGCCTTCAACTTTAAACCTTTGGTCAGCTGACTTGAGTGCTCCGCAGGCTGGCCCTGCAGCCTTGGGGATGCTCTCTAGCCACAGTGGTTACTTGCCCAGACTGGTAGCACAAATATTGCATAAATGGAAATCAATTCCTCCTGGTTTTTAAATGCATACTTTTTTAGCTTTCTGCTTGAGTCTAATAAACGGGAAAAAGTGACACGGGCAGAAAAATAAATGCACCAGGGAGTGATTTCTGGGGACTCTGCTTTGAGATGCATCCTGGTGGACATCCCACATATCAAAGCTCTGCCCCAAATGGAAATGTTTGTGGCAATAACTTAAAGCATTCTTGTCTGAACCTGTTAGGCCCCCAGATGTATTAGATTGCAACTCACATCATCCTGGAAATGATATAAGCTGTACTCCGCCACCTCTGGAAGGTACCAAGCTGGGACAAGTCGCTTAAAAGCCAGCATTTACCTCCGCACCAGCCAGTGACTTATTCTTTTGCTAAAGACAAACGCTAAAGTCATCCAAATGCTGCGGTCAGCCTTCGAAGACTGCCTGTCCCAGGAGAGCTCTTTTAAAGGGTTCACCTTGGCGATTATCCGCTGCAGGTTCTCCTTCCCCATGTAAGACACTTGCTGGGACAGGGCGTGTTCTTGCTTCAGAATAATATTCTCCAGGCAGCTTTTGCAGCTGTGATAGTTCTTCAAGAGCTCCATCACCTGAGCACAGTGTTCCAGCCTTTTGAAAGGAAACCCAGACAAAAGAGTTAGACATTTACAGCACTGCCCAAGGCTAGAGGCAAGACTTCACAGCCACAGCGCTGCAACCAATGTTCAGCCCAAGGGCTATTCTGAGTTTGGGAGAAGCTCCAGGGCCAAAGGTGAATCATAGCAAGGCCAAAATACCAAATATACCAGCCTCCTAAGGTTAAGGGGGAGGGTGCAAGCAGGGCCTTTTCCGTAGTGGCACCCCAATTCTGGAATGCCCTGCCTCTGGAGATTCACCAGGTGCCCACCTTATTACATTTCAAGCATCTGGCAGAAATATTCCTTTTTTGACGCTCCTACGGCTCTACTTAAACCATCTATATTGACAGCACTGCTTTTAATGTATTCATTTTATTATTTGCATTTTTGTCTGAGTATACAGATGGTCTTTTAGCTTGTTTCTTTATGGTAATATTTTAACTGTATCATTTTATTTGATGTTGTTATTGACATTTTTATTGTAATGGGCCCTCCAGAGAGCATGACGCTAATGGGCGACTTTCATACAAAAATAAAAGTGAAAGTAATTTGATAAAATTAATTAATTTAATAACAGATTAAAATTAAATAAATAAATAAATAAATAAAGCTGCATGTTCAGAGACACCATGTGGAACAGCCTTCTCTAGACTGGGCCATTGGGAACACCGGCAGAACTGCACGACTGAACGATTCCTCGATGGAAAAAGTTCACGCCAGAGAAACTGCTGGGCGAGAACCCTTAAGTGCAGTCACACAAAAGATTTGCAGAAGGAAAATATGATCTTTTTTATTTTATTTATTTATTTATTTATTTATTAAAACATTTTTATGCCGCCCCATTCGCCGAAGCCTCTTGGCAGTTTTATTTTCAGATCCCTTCCTAATTATGCCGGAGATGTTTGTCTTCATTACAGCGGCTGAGCATTGGACCAACATTTTCACGGAGCGGTCCACCACCGTCCCAAGATCCCTTGTTGCCTTAGCCGCTGCCAGCCCAGCTGACTTTGCCGCCGCAACCTCTCCGCAACCAGCGCTCTGTCCCACAACCCTTTTCTCAGTCTGCTCTCCCGTTTTTTCTTGCCTGTTTGGTACAAGCCTGGCAGTCGGAGCACTTGTCCACCCTGCGGCCTTCGCCCAGGCAGAAGAGACACAAAGAATGGATGTCCACGGAAGGCATTTCTGCTCCACACTCAGCGGACTCTCGAAAACCTGCCCACTCTCAGTGCGCCCCCCCCCCCGTCATTATGGAATGCTCTCCTAGGTGAGGCCCACCTGGCACCAACACTGTTATCTTCCCAGCACCAAGTTAATACTTCCTTGTATTCCAAGGCATTTTATTTATTTATTTAGGATATTTCTAGAAATTGAATGGCATGTGATGGCATATGATAGGCTATTTCAGCAGTTCCACTTAGGCCTAGTTTTACTAGAATAGCTTTAGATGTTTAAACTGTTTTACCTTTTTGCATATTGGAATTTTAAACTCTTTTAGATAAGTACACCGAAATTGTATACTTCAGCTTATTGCATTCGTATTTTTATCTCTTCTGTATTTTGAAAAATGGTTGTGAAATGTCCAGAAAATTAAATGAATGAATGAATGCACATTTCTAGCAGACAGCTAAGGAGGTCCTACTCAGGGCCAAGTCTTACTGAATTTCAATAGAAGATACTCCCAGCCTTAGCCTCTGACCTTTCAGCAATCGAGAGTTTGGTCTCTTTCCACAGACTTTCCGTAAGTCTCCACTGCTGCCGGACGTCTTCTCGCCGGGCCTTGGTGCTCTTGGCAAGTTGGCCAACCATTTCATTCAGGGCTCTCATCTCTGCAGCGTGGCGATCCAACTTCTGCCGCAGTTCAGTGAGCGATTTCAACCTGGAGAAGAAAAGCAGAAGAAAGAAGGTGGCGGCCAAGTGTTATTTCTATGTGACTGCTCTGCCTTTTCCCTGCTTTCACGGCCTCTGGTCTTTATTCCCTCTTGCTCCACTGACTGTGATGCTGGGTCTTCAGGGGATTCGTCCATGCTGCACTCGTACAAAGCACGGAGATGCGGTACACACCTTCGGTCTGGGCAAGCTGCCGTTGATGGAGAGCATCGCAATGCGAGTCAACACCCTGTGTTCCGCTGCCCAGCAGATTTTGGGCAGGGCGACTTATTTTATATTGTTATTTTTTGTATTTTAACTTTATGTTGTGAGCCGCCCTGAGGCTTCGGCGAATGGGGTGGCATAGAAATGTTTTAATAAATAAAATAATAAATAACTTTTGACTTGATTTTGCTGTGTGAGCATTTCCTACCCGTCTAGTGTTTCTTCCCCGCACTTGGGCCTATTGCCCTGGCAGGCTCTGGAATGAGACCTTTGGAAGGAGAAACGTCAACAAAACTCAGAAGTAATCCAAATAAACTCTACTCATCCATTATTTCGTTTACTGCCTGCCTTCTCTACCTCTGAAAACCACATGCTGCCTTCCCACTTGAAGCTGGAGAAAATTAAGGTATTGCACCTATTTGGGGGATGGCAAGGGATGAGTTTGTGAGCTGCACAAGGCACTTGTCATGCATGGTGCTCTGGCATCCATTTCTTTTCCCCCTGCCTCCCCACACGGCCACAGTGGGGCTGCCCATGACTGCAGCTTCTGGGGGAAAAAGGTAGCCAACCATGAGCTCTCCCTCGCTTTAAACAGAAGAAGCTGCCTCAGTGGCACGTTTGTTTGTTTGTTTGTTTGTTTCAATGTTTTTGCCCTGTCCTTAACAAACATCTCAGGACGGCTTACAGCATAATTAAACATAACAAATAAACACAACAAGCAAAATAAAATGTGACTGAGCATGACTACTAAAAACTTAGTTAAAATTTTTGAATATTAAAATTCTGGGTGAATAAAAACGTTTTTACATGGTGCTGAAAAAAATAAAACGTTGGCACCAGGCGAACCTCTCTGGGGAGCGCATTCCACAGCCGGGGCGCCACCACAGAGAAGGCCCTCCTCCGGGTGTTCTTTCTCCTAACCTCCTTCCAGGAGGGTTCCCAGAGCAGGGCCTCTGCCTCTGATCTTAAGGGGCAGCAGGGCATATAGGGAAGGAGAAGTTCCTTCAGGTATCCTGGTCCCAAGCCGTTTAGGGCTTTATAAGTCAATAACAGCACCTTAAATTGGGCCCAGACTTCAATTGGGAGCCAGTGTAGCTGATAGAGGACCTGCATTATGTGAGAATAACAAATCTTCATGATATAACATCGTTCCAGGAGCCTCCTCGGTGCTGTTCGAAGGGGCTTTTGGCTGTCACTGATAAGGACAAAAAGGGCAGGGAGGCCGGACTTCCCTAAACTGATCGAAGAACCGTGCTGCATCCGCAAAATAAGCCCCCGGATCCCAGGCACTGCTTCTTTGCACCCTTCCCCCAAAAGTTTCAGCTGAAAGTGATCCACGTTTAAAACAGACCACGGGGTGGAGGAAAAAGAAGGTTGCTCACCTTTGCTGAACAGCAGGAATCGTTGGGTCCCTCAAACCTAATTTAGTGATCTTGTCATGCAGATCTTGGATATTTTTATAGAGCTCGCTATTCTTCAAGGCAAATTCTTCCTCCTGGCTCTGGGTGACCTCTTGTTTCTCTGCAGGGCCGGCAGCAGGGGCTTCCTTTATGCCTAAAGCTGCCACGAGGTCTTGGCACCACATCTTTTCAACCCCTTCAGCCTCTTCCAAGCGGACATGGACTCGCCTCAACCGCTCATCCAGATTTTTGGCCTCTTTCTTCAACTGGGACACCTCCTGAGGGACATCCTCTGCAGACTGTGGTGTACAGGCATCTACAGACCGCTTCACTCGCTTCAGGAAAGCCAGGAACGTTTCCAGATCTTGCAGGATGGCTTCAACGACCTGCATCTTGTGACCCAGTTCCTCCAGTCTTGCTCGGAATTCACCCATCACTGCGCCAGCTGCTTGCCAGTCTGTCGGGTCAACTGTCTCTCCTGCGGGGCTGCTTCGCCCCCGTCGGCTGCACTGCTCAATACAGTTTGCTACGGATGTCCGTATTTTCTGAAAAGCAGAGGGAATGACAGCATGACAGGCAATGGCAACACTGCTGCATGTATTAAATCCTTCTGGATTTTTATGCCACCCACTAATCCAGTTGGATTCTCTAGGCGGCTTGCAGTAATATACTAAACACGACAATAAAACCAATAAAAATTACTATCATCTCACAGTTATTCCAGTAAGCAATACCAAATTTAAGACTGCCCCTGAAAATATTCAGAGAAGAGAAAGTCTTCAGCTGGCACCAAAATGAAAACAAGGATGGCGCCAGCAGAATTGCTTGGGGGAGCCTGTTCTTGAGTCGAGGGGCAGTCACCAAGAAGGCCCTTCTTCTATTTACTGCCCCTGTTATCTCCTTGAGGAATGGCTCTTTTAGAAGGACTTCCTGCCCAGATGTTAACTAACAAGCCATCACACTTGTCAAATCCAGGAGATGAGAGATGGACCCAAAGCCCAGGGGCAGAACGGCTGCTTTGGATTCAGAAGGTCCCCAGAACAGAGGTCCCTGCTCAACACCTACGGGTGCCATGCTGCCCATAGGGACCTCTGACAGTCCCCACGAAGCTGTCTGCACTCTAATGTAGGGCTGGGACGAAGCTCACTGGGATCTCCCGCGCTAGCACTCACAGACCTCCCAAGTGAGCCGAGCCAAGCGATCTGCGAGCAGCCATGGAGCAAGGTCCCGCAAGCAGCAGCCTTCCTCCAGGTGAGATGCAGCAGCACAAAGGCCGGCTGCAGGTGGTGCCGAGGTGGGGATGCTCGCTCAGCGCTCCATCCCCAACGAACCCCGCACAGGTGCACCTTCTTCTGCATCAGGTGCAGCAGCGCTGCTTGCACGTGGTCTGAAAGAGGGGTGCTGTCTGGGCAGCGGTCATGAGCAGCTCCCCAGGAATGGAGCCCGACACGGCCGCTGCCCAAGCAGCATCCTTTTTCTGCTCAGGTGCAGCAACTCAAACAGCCGGTGCACAAGGTGCGGAAGAGGGACGCTGCCCGTGCAGCACTTGGGGCCGGATTCCAGGAGAGCGTCCTGTGGACACCGGGAATTCAGACTCAGGGACACAACCAGGCAGAGCGGAGGCCAGGAAGCTGAGCCCCGGGAATGCACTGGCTTCCCAGCCCCAAGGTGGATTCCTCTGCATCTCTACTCGAATGCCTTCCAAAAAACCCCCTGTGAATAGGAGGGGTCTTCAAAAAGTTTCCGCACTTTTATATTTTATAAATATACTTCATATGTTTATTTTTTTGCTGATGACATTAAAAAGTTGGTTGTATGCTGGGAAAAATGCATGGGAAAGGAAGGTGACTATGTAGGCAAATGATGTATTTGTTTTTGAAATTTTTAATAGAGATTTAAAGAAGTGTGGACACTTTTTGAAGAACCCTCATCAAAACCTTGGAGTATGTTAAAGTCATCTTCCTTCTCTCCCATTCTAGCCGTCCGCCTTGCTCTTTCCCCTTTGCTTCCTGGATCACTATTTCTCTCCGCACCACACACCTCTTCAGCCGGCTTGGGAAGGCCTGGAGCCCCGTGGCTTTGCCACCTCCTCCCTGGGAGCCCTTTTACAGAGGCACCCAAAGCCGTTTCTCAAATTCCCAAACCTGGCCATGGGTGCAAAGAGACTGGGGACCCTGCCTTTGAGGGCCCGCCCCTACCTGACCCCTTGCAAGGAGCCAGTTGCCAGTGATGGAGACCCTTTCTCCGCCTGTTGTCAGTCGGAACGCACGGCTACGTGGCTGGCCACGCGAAAGGCACCTCTGCTCACTGTGTTCCTTTCTGGTAAGCAGCAGGGCAGGGGCGGAGGGTCCAACAGGAGGCAGCGGATGCTACTGGCAATCCGCATTGATTTGCTCTTAGTGCTGGGTCAGGACGTGACCCTGGAATCCAGAGCAGATCGATCCACGGCTTACAGGGGAAGCTGCTGAATGGCTAGAGATGGTGCTACAAAATAGAAATAGGCTGCGGCCCACATTTCGTGCGCCACGTATGACCCTCATGTTTCACTGCTATGCTCTCTTTTCGGAGTTTGTGATTGTGAAGCGCCATCAGGTCGTCTCTGACTTATGGCAGCCCTGTGAATGAAAGCCCCCGAAACGCCCTGTCTGTGCCAGCCCTGCTCAGCTCTTCTAACGCCTTGAAGGAGCCATTCCATCCCATGCTGTCTCTCCTCCTCCTCCTCCTGCCTTCGACTTCTCCAGGGAGTCTCGCCTTCTCATGATTCACCCAAAGCACAACAGCCTCAGTTTTGCCACCTTTGCTTCTAGGGGAGGGCTCTAGCTTGATTTGATCCAGAACCCACTTGCTACCAGGAATTTCTTATCCATTTATTCATTTAAAACGTGGATAGACTGTCCCTTGCAGAAGTCTCGGGATGGTTTAACAATACAACATGTAAAATAAAACCCATGGAACTCATGAAAGGTGCAAGACATCCGCGGAGCTTCCTCGTGTCTCTTTGCAGAGAAGACATAACGGAAATACACCAATAAAGCACAAGCCTGCAGAAAAAGCAGCAAATGTCCCCACTAGCACAGAAAAAGCGGAAGGCCCAAGTGCTTCTCCAGACTGCCTGCCGCTTGTACAGTAGAAATCCGGCCCCTGCCTCTCACCTCCAGGGCAAACGGGCAGAGAAGACACAGTGGTCAGGATTTCTAGGCACAAGTGGGCAGTGAAGTCTGTGGCCTAGACCTCATGGGCACCTACAAAGAGGCCCTGATGACTCCTCAATGACAGAAGTGGCCGAGCTGAGTCCCTGCAGATGCCACGGGACCAGTACGTCCATCTTTTCCAGGCAGCAAAGCCAGTGGTGAGAGACGATGGGCAGTGCACCCCAACATCTGAAAGAACAGGCCCACCTTTGCCCTAGGAGCACCCACAGCTGAACACTGCCGAGGTTCACCAGGTGGCTCTAGGTGGGGCATTCATGGAAGCCCCCCTGAAGAATCCACAGAACACAGAAGGACGCTGAGCACCAACCTTCACTTTCTTGAACGGAAGATCCGCTTTGCTCAGTATGCCCCGCGGGATGTCTGCTGTACAGAGCTGTTCGTCCAAGTGGCACAAGGACACCCACTTGCTTTCTATGGGCCGAAGAAGCGCCAAAACAGCCTTTAAAGACGCCATCCTACAGGACAGCAAGGAAAATGTCAGCATTTCCGGAAACAAATGCCCTGCAGCGGCCGCACAATGATACCATGGATAAAGAGCAGAGCTGCCCCCTTTGCGCAATTCCGTGATTCACACTTTTGTACTGACATGGTATTGGGGATGAGGCCTAGAATTCGGTGTCCTCAGAATAAGAAAATCAGTTTTTCCCTTCCTTCTTGTCTAGTCCTTTTGTATGCAGTGATCGGCCTGAAAATGGGCATGGGCAATTTGGGGGGATCTCAGAAAGTTAGGCTGGGGGAGGGAAGCTAAGCAGAATTTTGAGCTGTGCAGGTGTGTGATGAACAGAGCCGCTGCTCTCAGTCACTTTAAGAACATCTCTGTCAGAAAGAAAGAAGCCGGCAATGCAGAAGGTGGGAACACCTGTATAAGACAGGGAGTGTCTGACGACAGGTAACATGACTTCCTGCCTGGCGGCAGGGGGGTTGGAGTGCAGGACTGGGGAGCCAGGAGATCTGGGTTCTCGTCCCCACAGAACTGTTGCCCAACTGGTACACTGGAATTTTAATCTGTTTCGGATTTGCATATTATAATTTCATATTGCATTGTATGATACGGTGCATGGAATTTGCAAGCCGCATTCTACGATGTTGCTCAAGGACAACCCCTAGCAGATTTATAGACAGATCATGAAGCAAAAATCATTATAAAAGTAGCAGGATCTTACGCAGAGGCAATAAATCTATGTAGATTGAGATTAGTGGGTATTAATTGCAATCATTTAATTGTATGCTTAGATTGGGTTACTTCCTTTATTGATTTTACTGGCTTTTAAGTACCTAAGCCTTTTAATTATTCATGTTGTGCTTTTACCTATTTTATTGAATTACTATTTTACTACACGTATGCTGCATTTTAATGGGCTGTGACCAAAATAAAGCAATCTAATAGCTCAGATATCCAATTGCCAAACTGTTTTCACCACTCTCTTGCCCAAGCTGGTGCCCTCCAGATCTGTTGAGACTACTACTCCCATCCTGCCCAGCCAACATGGCCAATGACTAGATGCAATGGGCAATGTAGTCCAATACATTTGAAAGGCCTGAGATAGATTTATCGCAAAATTCAGCCTTTTCAGGACTTTGTCTAGGATGCCTTGGTGCAGAAAGGAGGGTCGCTATTGGTTTTGGTGTAGATTACTAAGCCTTGAAAGTTGTCTGCTTCCAGGACATCAGAGAGAGACAGTGAGAGAGAGAGAGAGATTTTTCTCTCTGGAGCAAGTGTCTCGCTTTGGCCTCCACAGCCGCAGCCCACAGAGTGGATGCTGCCAGTGCCTCCTCCATGAGTATAACAACATTCACAAAGGGGGATCCGCACAAGAGTCAACGGAGCAAAACTTCTTTCCCTCTCCCCTTTCCACATCCCTCATCCAGGCTCAAATACCCCAAAATGCACCAGTGGTTATCTGGCTTCTCCAGACATGGGCCTCTCCCAAGTGCCCAAGCAGCTAGTCCACACCCTGCCCTATATCTGGTTGTTACCTTTTATTTAAAGCGGACTGGAGGTCCTTCCATTCTCTGTGCAGTTCTTCCTCAGCCTCTCCAGAGCCGTCAGACTCTTCTGTCTTGCCTGAAGCTTTTCCTAGTTCTGAAGCCACCGATTCAAACAGTTTCCAGGAAGAACCGGCTTCACTCTCTAAGGCCTAAAATAACATGCATGAGTTTTAACACGATGCAGTTCTTTCCATGGCAGCATCCACAAAAGATGGATCAAGGCATGTTTTGTTCAAACCATGGTTTAAGCCCAATGCCCAAGCAGAGCCAACACACAACCTGCCATTAAACTGAGATCCCCTTCATGACATGACAAGCAGGGAAAGGAGCTTAGATATTTACCTTTAGCTGATCTAACTTTTTCTGAAGGCAGGAAACATCTTTCACATCATCAGTAAATGCAGAAGCTATTTTTTCTCTGACGGTGCTTAGATGAAGCTTCAGATTATCTCTCGCTGTGTCATAACTGGGGGGAATTTATGGTTTAATTTTGGGCATAGAAAATATATTATCATCATCTTCAAAAATAACAAGACAGATCAAAGCAAGACTCCTGCTTGCTCTCATACCTATCTTCCATACCATCTCCTCATGTAGAGCAGAGAAGGGCGACTTCTGCCCCTCCAGGTCTGTTTTGGCCTACAGCTCCCATCAGCCCCAGCCAACATAACCAATGGCGAGGGATGGTGGGAGCTGTAGGCCAAGTAACATGGAGCAGTGCACGCTGCCCATCTCTGAGGACAACTTAACTTGTTGGATGTCCAGGATCACACCAATCTAGACACTGCTTCCCCATCACAGGGCAGTGAGAGAAACAACACAACTCGAGTGGTGCATCAAGCCGGAGCCCTAAGTGAACAGGCACGGAAGTTGCAATCCTTGGTGGCCAGAAACTCTGGCCAGATTGCAGTGCTTCAGTGCGGCCAAGTCTTCTTCTGCAAAACCCTTCATAGATATTTTCTGTTGGAAGGGAGGCCAACTGGACAACCATATGAGTGGGGTGGTGTGACTTGGTGCCCTGCAACAGCAGGGGGCTGGACTGGATGGCCTTCTTGGCCCCTTCCAACTCTACTCTTCCATGCTTCCACGATTCTTTTATCAAGAATCAATGCAGAAGCAAAGTCTTTGACTTTGCTCATCACCAGCAAGCAGAGCAGAGCAGAGCAGACACTCCCTGGTCACTGGACCAGGTCTTGCCAACTGGGGTGAGATGATGTATGTTCCTATAACTTTGCTAAATGTGTCTTTCTACACATCAATGAGCATATGCATATTCATGCAAAGGTGTGCCTTCCATCGCTGGAGGAGCCCTTTTCCTCGTTTGAGGAGCCATGCGCAAGGGGCCGTCCTACACACGGCATGGGAGCCACTGGCTCAGCAAGAAGAAGGGCTTATTAACTTCTCCTGCCCACTTCTCGGGCTGGAGGTCCCGTTTTTCAGTCATTTCGAAATCGAAGCCAGTGAGCCAAAGCATGGTCAGGCTGAGGCCCCAGATACTTTTGGCTAGATTTTTTTCTTGCCCTTTCTTTATTTTTTTGATGAAAAGTACCTTTCTTTTAGTCTCTTCAAAGGCAGGTCTCCATCCCTTCCAAATTTCTCCGTGCAATGCCCTCCATTCTGAAGTTTCTTTTCAAGTTCCAGATTTATGAGAGAAACATCCCCTGAGCCCTGCAGAAAATGCCAACATCAGTTTGAATTTATAAAAGCAATTTTAAAAAACAACAGTTCATTTGCCACATAATTAGCGACTAACAATTCTCCATGTCCATGTGAAAAAACAACTTCCACGTATACTTTTAAAACATAGACAAGCAAAAGATTTTAAAACCACATGGAACATTTCTGCCATACTTTCCATCTCCCACAATTCAGAGTTCCCAATATACACGGAGCATTAAAAAGCAAGTTTGCATTTTGATGAGGACAGAAACCATATTTGCATGAAAAATGTTTGGCTTGAGTTGGTTTGGAGGGGTGGGGGCTGAATCTAGTTGCCTCCCTCAAATGGCCTGATTTCCTCTGAAATCTTTGGAAAGTTTGGGGGTGCACCCTGGTGACATGGTGGTCCTCTTTTCTTAGACTGATTATTAATTTTATTTAGTAAGTTTATATAAAAGCCACCCCAGTAGCATTATGCTCTCTGGGTGGCCCTTACCATAACAATTAGTAATAATGTTCATAAAATAATACAGTTAAAAAGTTCTAAATAATCACAATAAGACACAATAGATACACCTGGAATACTGTGTCCAGTTCTGGAATACTGTGTCAGCTGGAATACTGTGTCACCTGGAATACTGTGTCTAGTTCTGGACACCAAGATTTAAGCAAGATGCAGGTAAATTAGAAAGAATCCAGCGGAGGGCAACACAAATGATCCAGGGTTTGGAAACACTGCCCTGTGAGGAGAGACTGAGGGAACTGGGCATGTTCAGCCTTGAGAAGAGAAGGCTGAGGGGGGACATGATATCCCCCTATAAGGTCCTCAAAAGCTGTCTCAAAGAGGAAGGTCAAGAACTCTTCTTGCTGATGCCAGAGTGTAGGATAATCAAGTCAAGTTGCGACAACCCAGATTCAGGGTGGGCATCAGGAAAAGCTTCCTCTCTTCCAGAGCAATACAGCAGTGGAACCAGCTGCCTGGAGAGGTGCTGGGCTCTCCCACCCTGGAGACATTCAAAAAGAACCTGGACAGCCAGCTGAGTGGGATGGTGTCACGTGGTGTCCTGCAACAGCAGGGGTTGGACCCGATGGCCTTCTTGGCCCTCCCAACTCTGCTGTTCTGCAATTCTATGAGATATATTTAGCTGCACTGCAGTTGCTTGCAGGGGCTGTGGGCAGCCCATTTTCTGGCCCAAATGCCCCCGATGCAAGCAAGGCTGTGCTTGCAATACAGGATGCCCACGATGGATGTACCTGCAGCGACGCAACTCTGCATGATGCACTGTGTGCCTCAAGTGCAATGCACTCATCCAGAGATGGTCTATATGTAGGAAATGTGCCACACAGATAGCACATGGGTGTGTCTCTTACCTTTCCAGGAGAAAACCTGTCATGGGGATGCAGAGACGATGCCCCCTCTCCATTGGCAGAAGCAAGAAGGAAAGCTCTGCATTTGGAAACAGGGAGACAAAGAAGGGGTTGTAACAACAGCTTGACACCATGAAAAAGAGAAAATGAAATTGCCAACTGCGAGAAATAACCTAGTGCAACTACTGGATGGTACAGAAATTTAATAGAGAAATATGCAGTAGGAGGTTTGCCCTTCTGGGTTTGCCCTTCCTTTAACCTGCAGGGCAGTATTTCCCACTCTCTAGGTGGTTCGCAACAATTTATCTACGTCCAATACTCTAACTGCTCTGCAGCACTGGCTCTTTATTATTACATTTCTACCCCACCTCTTTCCTCTTGGATGGAATCCAAGTTGGTTAACAGAGCCCTCTTCCTCTCCTCCCCAGTTTATCCTCACAACCTAGTTAAGCAGGTTAGTTCATGGCAGGCCCAAAGCAAGCTGCTGAGCTCCACAGCTGATAGCACCACCATCTCCCAACTCCAACCAATGCTCTAACCACAAGACCATGCTGCCCTTCTTGCAGTACCTATGCATTTTGCACCAAGGGGACCAGTGCAGAAACACCTGTGAAATGGCTGCACACTGACTCGTGGGTACCCACCCTTTCTTAGGTGAGTGGCCATCACCTGCGCTGGACGCCAGTGCATTGTACACAGCAGATGCCCGTGTCTGAAGCGCTTCTTTCCTTTTCTCGTATTCGGCTACTGGGATCTGGGCTTGGGGCTCATCTTGGTCTTCGGCTATTTTCTCACTCATTGTTTTGATGGCCTGCAAGCACTTGTTCAACTCACCCAGGCCACCTTGCTGAGAAAACATGGCCTAAATGGTCACAGGAATAGAAAAACATCCAGACTGAATATGCAAAATGACGAGTAGCTGAGAGGGTAAAAGAATCTGCATCGATTCTGCAAAATCCCCAAAGCTCCCAAGCAAATACTTAAGCCAAACCCGCCAGTGTCTATATCAACATGGGCAAGCAGACAAGTTTGCCAAAACAGCCACCCAGCTTCTTTTGAATAGTAAGAACTGTCTTAAAAACTCTTGCATCCTTGAACTCAAGTTTCTAGCCCACATGCTTGACTGTTTCAGGACAATTCCTGCTGAAACCTCAGAAGCCAGCCTGGCAGCTGAACAGAGTGATCAGTGGCCAGGCAGCAAGTTCGCAATCTAGCGCTTTGTGCCTTCTCAAGGCTAGAAAGAAATTGCAAAATGAAAAAGCATACAAACTACAATGTTTTGTTGATTTAGTCACGAAGTCATGCCCAACTCTCTGTGGCTGCGTGGACCACCGTGCGCCAGACTCTCCTATCCTCTACCCTCCACCATCTCCCGGGGCCCACCCAGCCCCATGTCCACTGCCCCAGTGACTCCACCCAGCCACCTCATCCTCTGCCGTCCCCTTCTCCTTTTGCCTTCAATCATTCCCAGCATCAGGAAGTCCTTCCTTCTCAAACCTTTAAAAAAAAATTAAAATACTTAGCCCTTGTGAATGTTGGTGGCCTTTTAAATATTTTTTATTGTTTGTTGTATTAATTCCTTATTTTTCTGTTTCAATAGGTTGTAATGTGTTGTTACTTGTCAGCCACCTAGGAAGGCCTTTGGCAGTTATAGGTGGCATATAAATATGTGGATAAATAAATAAATATTATGAAAACGTGGGTAAATTGCTCACTTTGCATATGTCAGGCCGGGTTCTGCTTGTCTCGGACCTGGGGTATGGTTATGTAGGCACACCATTCAAGTACGTTTTTCTTTGGTGCTGTGTACTGACTCTTCCGACCATGATGTAAAGGTGTCACTGTGTCAACTTCATTGCAACTAAGTCACAACTGCCCTCTGAGATAGGCTAACTTTCGGCCTGATTATCCTCTTGCCTAAACAGGTCACTGGATCATTATCATGCCTTCTAGCACCACACAGATTCTCTTTTCATGCTTTGCAAGCAAAAAATTCCAAAATCAATTTCTGCCATCTCCAGGTGAAAAACAGTACAGCTAAAGAAAATCTTTCTCTATTTGAAATCTTGGAGATCCACCAAAAGTCAAGGTGGATAGAACTGACCTGGTTGAACCAACAGCAAAGCCCAGGACACAGTGAATTTATAACATAAACACCTTCCAGGGAAGCAGAAAGAAAGAGAATGTTGGTTGTGTACAGTACCTCATGTTCGTCAAGAAGTCCCTTGGTTTTTCCTGTGCTGAGCAGCTTCTCCTCTTTATTTAGCTGTTTATTGAGTTTTGAGAAAGTCTTATTCAGCTTTCCTCTTCCAATTTCCATTTTTAATTGAATATATGATACAATTTCATGGCGAACGGCCTGCAGGATGTAGAACATACGGTCAAGGAATGATGGGGACTGATAAAACAAGAAAAGGACTATTTCATGGGGACAGAGTGTTTTAACCCTGAGGTGAGCCAAGGCACCTTGCTTTAGACTCAAGGATACTAAGGAAGAAATGAAACCCTCTGTTTCAAAGACAATATACAGTTTATTGAACATGATAATGAAACAGAGAATACAAACCAACAGGAGAAAGCTTGTACTCCCCTTGTCTGTGGCTGTACTGGTTCCCCAAATAGGCCAGGGGATGCTCCATGGGCCCCCAAAGCTTCCTAGGTGAGTGTTGCATCAATATATCTCCCCAGGCCAAAATATATTTTAAAAAGCTCTTGCTATACATTTAAGTTTCTCTGTCTCCCTTTTTCAAAAGCTGTCAATATACATAGGCTCTAACCCCCTTCCTGGGAAACAGTTTCACTTCTTACAGCCAAAACAGCTCTTCTCTAAGAAATATACTTAGGGACTACAGATTCAAGGCCATTATTTTTGGTTATCTTCCTTACAAGCTGAAGTCCATATAGTCTTCCAGAAACAATCCTTGCTTTTGGACACTGGGAAAGTTCACTACAGTATCTGCTGAACCTTAATACTTTCCCGTTTCTTCCAGTAGAGTCCATCCATTACATTCCCAGCCTAACGTATCTTACAGGATTGTTAGGAGGAGAAATTCAGGAGATTTTACACTGAGGGAAAGGAAGGGGAACTAATATGAATGCATCTGCACATACAAAGACTCTCCATACCAGCAAGAATCCCAGCTGTGTCGGGTTCGAACCAGGCTTGGGGAAGGTCTGCAGCCATGCAGAAGTCTGTTCATAGGTACCCCCTCACCAAGCTCTGCACTGGTCTATTCACCTTTTATATACCGGCTACACCTGTGGCAAAGGCCCTGGTGAATAGCCCTGTATTAAGTTGCCCATGGCAGCCAGTGGAGCGGCATGCTAGCAAACCTGGTCTCCCTAGACCAAGCCAATTAACTCCAGCTCCCCAACCGTATCAAAAAGGCCTCCAGACATCACATGTAGCGAGAAAATACTCAAGTGAGCCCTGATTAGAAAATACCTCTCCATCTCCCAGATGCATTTTCTCACCTCCCATCTCTCACAAACATCTCTGCTCTTCTCTTCCACCACAGCCTTTTCATGAGCGGGTGAAATGTCTTTCAATTGTTCCGTGGCTTTCAAAAACTTGCCAAGGATGCAGGTATCCAAGACGCTAAAAGCTTCCTGGAAGAAAGTAGATTAAAAAAAAAAACCATGGTATTATAAGCAAAACACAAAACCAGGCTGAAATTAGATGAAGGGCTCGAAGGCACGAGGGTCCTTTCCATGCAGGCAGCGCGACAGAGCGAGCGGCATGCTGCTTCCTGCCGTATCAGCTCCGGAGGGGACAGGCGCCGAGGGTCTTTGTTTGAGCCCACCGCTGGGGCACGGCGCCCCGGCAAGGCAGCACCAGCACATGGCATCCCACAACGGTGCCTGTCCTGGGCCCTGCCCACGGGCAGCCTTAATTCCCCTCCCACAAGGCCCCTTGGAGCGGCACAGCCACCCCAGCCCGGTGCTGCTGGACGGCTGCAGTTTCAGCTCCCATCCCTGAGGCCAGCACGGGCACGTTCAAGAAGGCCGGGAGCCACGGATGGGACTCAGTGCCGGATTCGGCCCCTCGGATACAACCCCACCGTAATCCAGACAGAGGTCACCGGATCGGGAAGGCGGATGCAGCGGGACAGGGCAGTGGGGATATTCAGCAGCACCTCCAAGCTGCCCCCCAGTGCTGAGCACGCCGCCGCCCCCAGATAAGCCCACTGGGGGCCCACAAGACGGCACCTGGCCCAGTGGCCATTCGAAGCCGCTCCAAGCGCTGCAACTAACAGATGCAGCTTGAGGCCCTTTCCTGAATAACAGCCAAACCAGGCTGGGTGGGAGACCCAGCGCTGCTGCCAAGCTGCAGCATACGAATGCACCGTTTACCGGGCCAGAACCCATGTGGTGGTGTTTGGGGGCCGCCCGGAAAGGGAGTGGTGACTGTCTCCCTCCCTTACCCATGCGATCAGCTCTGTCAAGCACTGCCCTGAGAGCCGTCGGTGCCCCCCACGCTTTCCGCACTTCCCAGGGTGCCTGGGGGAGCTCCGCATCCCACGCACTCTCCACAAGTGCCTTCTTTGCAGCAGGTGTCAAGAGAAAGGGTTCTTTTTTAAAACCACAGGTGGTAAAATGCCATCCACCCCCTCCTTGAAAACTGAACTTCTTGGACAGAAAAATATACATGCATGTACCTGTGAAGGGCCAAATGGAAATAACGATCTCTGCTGTGCACAATCCCCCCCCCCACACACACACACACAGAGGTGACCATTGCTCCAAAGCGCCACTTTGGCCTCGGCGGGCCGCCTGTGCTGGAGGGGGTCCGGGCCAGCTCAGCAAGGGCGGCAAGCGGGCTTTGGCGCTCTTACTGAGTGGCCCGTTGATCACTTGCCACGACCCATGGTGGGGTTGGTCTCCAGGGGCTGGATGACAGAGCAACCCATGCTGAGGTCACCTACCCCTGCAAGAAGCCATGAACAGTCAGGGTGGCTTGCTGCCCCAGAGCATGTGGGAAGTGGCCCAGGTGTGCACGACAACTAGCACTACTGTGGCGAGTTACCCAGGATGGGCTGCCCTGTTGCCCTAGCCCAGACACGAAGTCAGACCGTGGGCCCATCCAAACCAGGACTGTCCGTACGGACCGGGAGCAGGTTCTCCCGTGTTTCAGGCAGGAATTCTTCCAGCCCTACCTGGAGATGCCAGTGATCACACCTGGGCAGGCTGTCTCGCCACTGAGTTACAACTAGGGTGAACCATTAAAGATAAGGCTGCCTGGGCACCGCACCCCCTGTACTTCTGTGATATGATGCAGTTGTAGCGGCCAAATCCGCTTCTCCCAAACTACAGCTTTCTAAGGTTGTTGCTTCAGATTCTGGGTCTGAACTGGGAGAAAGGGAGAGATCAGAATTCTTTGCCAAAAAGCCATGGCTGGGAGACCCAGCAATGAGCCAAGGGCCCAATGAGAACCACACCACGTTGGGTTTCCTGGGAAACTCTCCTGCATGGAAAGAGTGACATGCAGGCTGCCTTAACATTATTCGTCTGATTATTCAATGTCAGATCAAAGAGGAAGTCCACCTGAGTAGCATCAGATGTTTCCAGCAGCAGCATGAGCCACCCGAAGGTGGAGCCTCCTCCAGTTGGTTGGGGAGGGAGAAGATGGTTTCAATTTGGAACCAGCTTCTTAATATTAAGCCACATTTCCATATTAGCTACCTTTGCTGGTGTCTTTTGTGTCTTTAGGATCACAAACCCTGCTGGCTGGTTTTAGCATAATAAGCATGTTAGTTAAAAGACTTTTGTTCTGATCCACTTGGAAGGAAAGCGGTGAATGGCTATAACAGCAGGAGGCTGGTACATTCAAAGCTGCATCTGGAAATACTTGTTGCTCAAAGGCCGTGCATCCTTTTAAGCAAAGAAACAACGAGACGCCTTGCACCTCCTTGCTTTTCTGCCCATGCACAGTGGCACAGTGGAGTCTGGGCCGCAGGGATGCAGTGCAAGCGCACCTTCACTGGCAAGGGCTCTGGTAAAACGCCACCCACCCCTTCCTCGTATTCCCTGCTCCACTTGAGTGGATTTGAAATCTTCTCAGTAACTGAGTGGGGTAGAGTTTCCCAGCCACAGTATATTGTCCCCTGCTATAAGGCAAAGTATTCTGGGATGGCTTGATCTTGGATGGGCCTGGGAGTGGGTACAAGTAAGGTAGGAAAAGTAAGAGAATCTAATTTTTAACTGAAGGAGCATCTCCTTCCAGATGTGCCTGCCCGCTCCTTAAGATCTGGGTCAGAGGCCTGTCTGGGAGCCCTCCTTGAAGGAGACCAGGAGGGTGACTACCCGGAGAAGGGCCTTCTCTGTGGTGGTGCCCCGATTGTGGAATGCGCTCCCCAGAGAGGTTCACCTGGCGCCGTTACCTTATTCTTTTCAGCACCCGCCTAAAACCTTTTTGTTTTCCCAATATTTTAAGGTATGTTGTTGTTGTTAGTTGCAAAGTCGTGTCCGACCCATCGCAACCCCATGGACAACATTCCTCCAGGCCTTCCTGTCCTCCACCATCCCCCGGAGTCCACTTAAGCTCACACCAACTGCTTCAGTGACTCTATCCAGCCACCTCATTCTCTGCCGTCCCCTCCTTCTTTTCCTGTCAATTGTTCCCAGCATCAGGCTCTTCTCCAGGGACTCCTTCCTTCTCATTAGGTGGCCAAAGTACTTGAGTTTCATCTTCAGGATCTGGCCTAAAACCCATATTAAAATAATTTAAGGTATGAGTGTTATTTTAATATGGGTTTTATTGTCAGAAATTGCTCTGTTTTGTTTTATGTCTTATTGTTAAACCATCCCGAGACTTTGGTAAGGGATGGTCTAAAAAAGTTTTAAATAAATCAATTTTTAGCTTTATTTTAATAGGGAGTAAGGGAAGATTGAGGGACGATCAGGAGAAAAACGGGGAGTAGGAAAAAAACTGATAGAAGCTGATCCAATCAGGCAATGCAGCAACTAGTGAAGTTGGAAAGAAACTGAGGAAGCTGGCGGGAGCCCCCTCTTCTCCCGGGACCTGGGAGGGGCTGGGGGGCTCCTACCCTATTTGTGATGCTTTGCTATGGAAGTTTCTCTCTGATCCAGGCCTTCTGCTATGCAGCAAAACCCATAGGTGTGATGAACAGAGAACAACGAAGAACCATTAGTTTTTCTGGTTGGGAGCAAAACTTCTAGTCTTGTTTTGCTGCAATGGAACAACACCACTGCCTCTGTTTTGGGACTTTCTCGGAAGCACAGCGATGGAGACTCTCGCGTACCTCTAAACCAGCCACTGCTGTTACTACACTCATGCACAAACTGTAACTATGACTAGACAGATCTGCCAACAGCGGCTGTACTTGCCTCGTGCTTTGAAACTGGTGCCCCAGGGCTTGCTTCCTGGCCAAGGAGCTGCATAGCTTTTACAATAGATGCTTCAAGCTGCTTGTAAGCATCTTCGAAATCTTGCTTGACCGCTTCTTCTGACAAGGACACTTCTGGCTTCACTGTATCAGCATGAAGATGGACTGGGAGAGCCTAGGAAGGCAAAGGATAGAAGCAGCTGTGTGAGAAAAGACCACAGATCTTTTTGTGGTGTAACATATTTTGAGCAGCTTTCTTCTTGAGGGAAATGCTCCAGAGCAGAATGGCAGGTAGAACTGGCTCGTTCTCTGTCGTCTTGGCCCCACAGCACGTCTACTGTGTCTCTGGCAGAGAGTCCAAAACAAACTTGAATCCGAACCATAAATAGCAGTGGCCACATGCTGACCTGGAATGGGGCCTGCACCGTTGGACATCCAGTGTCAAAAGAGGCAGTGGAAGCTTGCTAGTCCTCATGGTTCTGTGCTACCTCCAGAATCAGAGGCAGTTTGACTGTGCCTGGGCACGTCAGCTGCTGGCGGGGGGGGGGGGGGCAGGTGGGCTCTACTGCATTCATGTCCCACTTAGGAGTTTCCCACCACATGCAACTGATTGGACGCCGTTTCTTGAGACTGGAATGTGGAGATGCAACATCTGAGACTGTTCAGCTTAGAATTAAGCTGAGTAAGGGGAGACATGATACAAAATTGTACTTGGAGGGGAGAAAAGTGGGTAGAGAGACATTTTTCTCCTTGGCCCGTAATACTAGCACCCAGTGGGGCCACCCCATTAAACTGATACCTGGGAAATTCAGGAGAGTCATTTCTCCGGTATGAAGAGCTGTGCTGGATCAGATCAAAGGACTCTCTAGTCCAGCAACCCGTTTTCCACCAAAGCCCATAAAATGCCCGTAGGAAACCTGCAGGCAGGACATGGGTGGAATGTGTGCGTCTCGCTTGTGTTTCCCAGCAACTGCTACTCATAGACCAGCTTCCTCTGGACGTAATTATCACAAGTTGGGCCATGAGTGTGCTTGCACCTGCGCCGTTCAAGCCGGTGCTCTTTTCGTGTGCCAGCATTGTGGAAGCATGGCTGCCCAGGCCCAAGTGCAGGACTGGGGTTGTGATGGTTCCCCCGGGATCCGGCTCGCTTCCGTTCACTGGACGTCCTCTCGGGCTTGGCCCTTGCTCGGGAAGCGAGCCGAGTGGGGAGAAGCCTGCGAACACACACAGACCTCTGGTTCTGCAACTGGCATCCTTCCCCTGCAGCCTGGGCAGCACAAGCAAAAGCAGCAAGTCACACGCGCGGAAGAGGGATCCTGCGTGCACAACATTTGCGCAGACTCGATTCCTGGCGGGCACCCCGGGAGTGCTCAGCCTCAAGCCAGACTGTGGCTGCAAGAGAGCGGGCTGGAGTCTAGGCAGCTGAACCAAGGGAATCTGATGAATTCCCACTCCCAGGTGGATACCCTGCCCTCTGGATGGGTAACCCTCTGCCCCTTCTCTGTACATACACAGTAATCTGAGCCGTCCAGTACTTAAACTGCAAGCGAGCGAACTTAGCCCTGAATACCAGGAACAGTGCAAGGGCTGAAACTAAAGCAGCTCAAGCAGTCATGGGGGTCGAGCCAATTCTTTACCTCCGCATCTGCAACATTCATCTTAAGAGCATCTCCTGAAGCGTCTCCTGGGGGCCCGCGCAGGTGTGGCTCCACTCGTCTAGGAGAATCAATATTCCCATTGCTGTCAGGCTCCGGCTTGGCGTTTTCCTCTTGCTTTCTCAGCAATTTCATTTCCTGCCAACATTAAACAGCGTGTGTTACAATCCTATGGTTGTTTGGTCAAGTTACTTGTCTCTGGTGTGTGGGAATTATTATTATTATAACATTTCTATGCCGCCCCTTGCCGAAGCCTCGGGGCGGCTTACAACACAATAAAATACATTGAAATACAATAGAACATAATAAATTACCATTAAATACAAAAATACAAAAAATACACTGAGTTACAAACGTAATAATATAAAATTAAAATTATCAGTATGAAGTAAGTAAATAAATAATATAGGAGAAGAAAAGAGAAGGAAGAAGAAGTTGCCCTGGCCAGATCATATATTTTAACAATTAAAATGATGTTTTAATTCATCCTCAAACTTTTTTGATTTTGTTGATTTGTGTCTTAATGGAGAACATGGATTTCCTTCCCACGTGGTGTATTAAAATATAGCTATGATGATTGCTGTGAATAGCCACCATTCACACCTTCTATACATTTGGAGTTTTCAAAGATATATCATGGATCAACAGCAAAACAATCTGACCCCATTATTTAGGAATTCCCTTTCTCCCATCTGCCTCCATCAACAAATAGCTCTGCTCAGGGATAACAGTGCTTCAATTTATCTGAGCAGGTGGTCTCAGAAAGATAATTCGGATCCCCACTTCCAGACTGGGGCTCTGCCCCATCCGTGCTCCAATCTCCTCTCTCCCACTTGCAGCCGCCATGAACAAGCCATGCCAGCTGCCCCTCCAAGGCTGGGAAATCAACCACAGAGAGGGAGTCAAGGGGGAGTTCTGGGGGACAGGGAGGGACGGGGAGGAGATCAAGGCCCCCAGGATAAGCCGACGGCCAAAATGGGCCATCTAGCTAAAAGAAAGGGCAGGGGAAGGGAGAAGCTTTCGCCGGGAGGGCAAGCACGCAGCTGAAAGGATTGTGCTCTGATTCCGTAAGCCTTGCACCGGACTCTTTGCTGTTTGGATTATCTGAATGGAGTATTCATAAAATAACAGCAACACTCCCAAAGACAGCATGGCATCTGCAGGCTATGGAGAGATCCTGAACCGTGCGGAATTATGCAACCGTGGTTAATAATCTGATCACTGAGGCCTTACACTGAGCTGGGCTGGTGACTCTTCTAACCCACAATGGTCCGTGCCGCATCTGCAGGGCCACCTTGCAGTCTTCCAAGCTTGGTGGACTACAACTCTCCTCATCCTCGGTCTGTGTGGATAAAGGGAGTTGCAGTCCCACGCCTCTGGAGGGTCATGAAGTGTGGACAACAGCGGGCTCTGTGCTGCCCAACAGGGGCCTTCGGGGTTCTTCCCAGTCCTACCTGGAGCTGCCAGGAATCGAGCCAGTGACCTTCTGCATGCAGAACAGCTGCTCTACCAGCAGAGCTGTGGCCCTTGGGTTTTACGGCTGAGTGGGGATTTGCACCTGAAGGCATAGCCCTATGGGACAAATGCCTAAGGAAGAAGCGCTCGGAGCATGTCAAGTCCTTGAAATTTGCAAGTCAGGAGCAATGGGCTATTTTTGCTTCTCTATCCTCTGAAAATGTCTTTTTAATTAGACAGACCTCCACATCTGCCTGGCTCACTCATTTTCCTGGGGATGGGAAGTGAGAGACCTTAGCATCTGGTGGAGGCCTTCTCCTCGTCTCTGTCTCTCCATCGTCCCCTTCCTGAGGCTGAAGTGCTGAGCTCAGGAGGGGAGCTGCCACCAACTTTCAAGGGCAGCTGGGAAGTGAGAGGGGGCCATCCATGCTTGGAGGGGAAAATTTGCCGCATTCCAAGACACTTCAGATGCTAAAGGCTACAGAAATGGTCTCAAAGTTTCCTAGTCCAACTCCAGTACTTCTAACCACTGCTGTACAGTGCGATTCGAGCTAAATAGAGAGGGAAAGTATCTGTGTGCACTCACAAACTGTGTCTTCTTTATAAGTTTAGCCCATTTTCTGTTCAGCTTTTTCAGTTCTCCAGAAATGGCTGCCCCTACTTCCTCGCTGCTGCATTCGATCAAAAAGTTTCCAGCTTCGTTTAAAGATCCATGCCGGGAGTTCCAGGCTGCCAGCGTCTTTGGGGGGACCTATAGAGGATGACCAAAAAAATACACATGACACTTATCCTTCCTCCACAAAATGCAAAGCAATTTTAACAACTTGGAAGAAACGCAAATGTACCTTTTTAGGGTGGCCTTTCCGTGTCTCTTCCAGCCAAGCCTTTAACAAGACGATGTTCCCGGTGTAGGTAGCCCAGGATGCCAACACTTTTTGCAAGGTTTCATTTACATTGTAAATGTACTCCTTGCACCTGGAAATCTGAGATTCTACCATCTTAAATAGTTTGTTGGCATCCTCAGGATCAGTGCCTAGAATGTTATAAAAGACATGCTGAGCACACATTTCTACAACTGAGCACAGAATTCCGTCCCCAAATCATTCTGCAACCACACGCAACTGGCCAGCATTGCATCCTGGGAAACTGAGTGAGAAACGGAGTGACGTTCGGCAATTTGACAGCCCACTGTGTGTTAAGTAATGAATGGGTTGCTGTGATGCATGTTGGCCACCACTGTGAATATGCAGGCCCGAATCAGGGGTTGACATGGCTTGTCACCTGAACCTAGGCAGTGGGGATTATTTGAGGGTTAATCTACCCTCACACAAGCCATGGTCTGTTTCAGGATTTACTTAATCCTCAAATATCCTCCACTGCCAGGTGACATGCCAAACAACACCACAATAGCAGTTGGAACACGCCACTACGACCTGCTGACGTATTAAGCCATGATGAGCTTCCATGCCTCCAAATGGCCCAGTGGCTCACCCAAGTGACTATTTATTTCACCGAGCAGGGACTTGAGTCCACAGCTAGTCTTCTCGCATTACTCATGGGAAGGGGTGCTGTTCAATTATGCAATGAACCAGGCACATGCATGGGTTACCTCCTGTTTGGACTACGGTAATGCGCTCTATGTGGGGCTGCCCTTGAAGACGGGCTGGACACTTCAGAGGGTGCAAAATAGAGCTGCCAGGATGCTGCCGGGGACTGGTCGCTACTCTCACATGACTCCAGTCCTCTATCAGCTCCATTGGCTTCCCATCAAAGTCTGGGCTCAATTCTAGGAGCTGGTTATTACCTATAAAGCCCTAACGGGCTTGGGACCAGGATACCTAAAGGAACGCCTTTTTCCCTATATGCCCTCCCGCCCCCTAAGATCGGCAGCAGAGGCCCTCCACCGGGAACCCTTGATGAAAGAGGTCAGGAGACAGAGTACTCGGAGGAAGGCCTTCTCTGTGGTGGCGCCCCAACTATGGAACGCGCTCCCTAGAGAGGTCCGCCTGGCGCCATCATTATAAGCTTTTTGGCACCAGGTCAAGACCTTTTTATTTGACCAGTATTTTAAAGTTAATTAATTTTAATTGCACATTTATTCATTTAATTCATTTTAACCATGTTATTTTATACTCGGTCGTGGTGTAGCCAATTTATTTATTTGTTAGGATTGGGCACTGTATTTGGGGTTTTAATGTTTGTAAACCACCCAGAGAGCCCTTTGGGCTATTGGGGTGGTATACAAATGCAATAAATAAATCAATAAATAAATTATAATGGATGGAGGATGAAACTTGTGCCTTTGCCCTGAGCATTGGGGTGTCCTCCTGGCTTTCTCAGCACCTTCCAGGCATCCCTCTGGAAGTGTGAGGTGTGGTGGTGTCCCCCTTCGCACATTCAAAGCCACAGACTTTTCTTGAGAAAAGTTCTTTAGTAACCAAAGCGTTTTCCAGAAGTGCAAACACTCCGAAGGAATCTCTGAGCATGCACAGAGCAGTCCGTTGAACCCAATCTAGGGTTCACTTCTAGGAACTCTCCTTGTGAGTAAAGTCTGGCCTTTTGGACACAAGCACATCTCCTCTCTGCACTGATTCTCCAGTCAGGCTGCTCCTCTGCTAATGTTGTATCACGGAGTCGAGAGCCATACCCGCTTCGTCTGTCTCTGTGGAGCTCCCCTCTTCCAAGTCCCCCCTGATAACTGTACACCTTGGTTATTCCTAGAGGCTCCCTGCACATCTGGGGAGGGGGGCGTTCTGGCCTTGAGCAATGCACCTCTGCTTCTCTCATCTCAACATCTGGAATTGGCCCATATGCCAAAGCCGCCTCCTGCTCTTCCGAGTCCCAGTCAAGAAGTCTTGGGAATGCTTGGGAACTTCCAGGAGCAATGTCCTTCTTGCTCCCAACATGTGACCTGGCTACATAAATCTACACAAGCCTAAGCTTTGGAATTCTGCAGGTAGCCAGAAGAGGTTTGCCAAGCCCTTGACGGACTCTTGCATGAGCAGGAAGGCTGCATTCAGCTCGGTGGGTCAAAAAACCAACTGCGGAAGCCACGAAAAGGAACACCCATTTGGTGCTCCAAAAACAATTCCTCATGACCATTTCTATTTTCTTTTCCTTCTGTATTATAATTCATCCTGGGTGCAGAATCCAAGGACCCCAGAAGTTCAGGTCCTTCTTCTCCCTGAAACAGCAGAACTGTACTTAGACTGCACCAGATGGTGGAAAGCTTGTCCATTCCCTTCAAACCCTGTGCATAGAAAAGTCACATGACAGCAAGTCCAGGAGGCTGGAAGCCCTAACCCTTGACATGCTAGTTCTCTAGGTTCACCCCCTCAGTGAGAACAAGACCAAAGATTTCAGTAATGTAAGACTGAAAGCAGAACGTCTGATAAAGTGGAATGAGTTCAAAGAAGGTGACAAAGCAGATCAGGGTTGTAGAAACTGAGGAGGAAAGAGTGGGGGAATGGGGTATATTTATCCTTGGGACGAAGAACCTGAGGGGGGAAATAATTGTGTTTCTCAGGTATCTACAGGGTTGTCCCACAGAAGCCTGTTCTCTATCATCCAAGACTGTGATAAGTAACAGGCATAAAGTACAGGAAGCCAGTCTGAGCATCCAGAAAACTGGGGGAACATCCAGAAAAATTTCCTAGGGATCAGACCTTTCAGTCAATGGAACCAACCAGGCAGGGAGGTCGCAGGCTTTCCAACACAAAAGATATTCAAGCAGAAACTGGACAGCCGTCTGTCACAGATGCCTGTAACTGGATTTCTGCAAAGAGCAGGCCCTAAATGGCTCCTTCCAACTTCCAAATTGCAGCATGGAGGGTTCCAGCCATTCTGCCCACTCCCCCTGCCCTGGTTCCCTGTCTCTCTGTGCCCACTGAGCATTTATTCCTCAGTGGGCTCTTTTTGGGGAGAGCTTTGCAACCCTTGGGGGTTCTCTAACTTGGCCGACGCTTCCTTTGAGTGTCTGGGTGGTGCTGGTTGGGTTACATAAGCAGCACAAACACTGGAAATAAAGGGACAGGTAAGCACTCAGGCTGGACCTCAGCTATGTTTGGAAGATCTTACCCAAATTAGAAGCGCTTATGATTTTGTTCTTCTCTTTGCATGCTTGCAGTGCAGCATCTAGCTGACCGACAAAGTTTCTTTCTTCAATAAAATCCTGCCCAAAAGAGAAAATGTGCTTAGTAAAGTTACATCCTGCCTCTTCAATGCAATTAGTGCTTAAAAGATGAACTGGATTGAGAAATACTGAACTGACAAGAGATTTTGGTGTGAACCCAGCAAAGAATCAAGGAAGAAAAACCATCGATCAGCCAAAAGCTTTGCAGATTTCTTTGGCATGTTCTCCTCACTCTCACTCTCTCTCTACAGGAGGCGCCATTTTTCTTCAATGGCCAAGAAGGGTCTTACCATTATGAACTATGGGACACTCTATCTTGGGTCATGGGGATGTCCAAAATTTGTCTGCAATGTAGGGGTAGAATTCTGCAATATGAAGTGCGGAATATAATTGTGCATTCAGGTTTCCTCCTATATATACCTACCCAAATCCTAAAGCAAGGCATCTAATCCAAGGCCCAGGCACCAAAGGTGCCCCCCCCAGGGGTCCTTGGGGCATGCTGGATGGTCATGCCCTCTTCCCCACATCACCAGTTCCCTACATCATTTTTCCCCGCAACCACCTACTTGCCGGGTTTCCTTTTTTGTTGTAACATGTCGCCAGGTCCTTTCCAGCTTAAGGTGACCCTATGAATGCTTGCCCTGCAGAATGCCCTTGACAGCCCCGCTCAGCTCTTCCTGCCTAATCTAGGAAGCTAAGCAGGGTCGGCCCTGGTTGAAAGTTGGATGGGTGACTTAATGTCGTGAACCACACAGAGAGCGTCAGCTACGGATGGCACAGAAATGTGGTGGTGGTGGTGGTGGTGATGATCAGTGCATGACTTCGGGCTCTCATGGACTCTCAGCCTCACCTTCCACACAGAATTGTTGTGAGGATAAAATAAGGAGGAGAACCTTACAAGCTGCCTTGGGTTCCTTGCAAGGGGAAGACAGGAGGGCTTTCAAAATAATGTAATAGTAAAGGATGGAAGATGTGAATGGGGACTTGAGGCTGTTACTGTACAATAGGCCTGGCTAATTCAGGGAGCTTTATGACGGGGTCCAGATGAGGTGGTCGTCTGCTTATACCCTTCCCGTGATCTCCACAAACCCTCCGGTGTTTCCCCCCTTCTTTTGCCATCTATTTTTCTTCCACAAACAGAGGAAACAGTGAAAGAGCTGCCATGTCTTTTGACGGGATCCCTCTGCCAGGGAACACCAGCCTTGAGAGATGAAAGGGAATGCATGTGATCAGGGGGAAGGAGGGAAGAAGGAAAGAAAGAATCCCCATCAAGAGGCATGCACAGGAGCTGGGAGCTGGAATCTTGCACACTCTGCATGGGAATGAGTCTGGAAGCGTCCAGCGCAAGGGTGCGAATTATTTAAAATCTTTGTCAGATGTCAGGATGGCCATGGGCAGTACACGAAATGGCATTGCACTGCTTTCGTGGTTAATCCCTCACAAAACTTCTCTCGTTCTGGGCAGGGGGAGGCAGGGAAATTTCATAGCTCTTTGTAGTTTTACAGTGACATCTGCTGCTCAATTCAGCAATAACAGCCTTAACTGCAGCTAACACCAAAATGCTGTGTTTAATAGCGTGTGGCAGGCATCTACCACTTTCTCCAATTAATATCATGCCCATATTACAGACGAGAGGAAGAGGGACTGAGGCTCAGAGGCAGCAGGCTGCCGAAGACAACCTACTGAGACCACAGCAGATGCAACATTTAAGCAGGGACTGTCGGATCCGTGTCCCAGCCTCACAGCCACTGCTCTGCCCAGCTAAGCGACCTGCAATCGCCAAGAGCGCGATGCTTACCTGCCAATCTGAAAGCAGCGACTCCACCGTCTCCTTGGTCCCAAACCGGATGCGCCAAACGTTCAGCTTGGATATCAGCTCCTCCAAGACTGCCGTGCAGAGTGAGTGGTGGTGCTCCACAAAGACATTAAAATCTGTCAACTGAATGTTGCTGAACCTGAAAGAAAAGCCGGTGGGTCTTTAGTAGAATGTGTGATGAAAGGAACAGGTGTGACCCAAAGGGCATAAGGCCTGCTGCGGCGTAGAAAAAATGTGCAACTTTTTATAGGCCAGCCATGGAGCACCTGCACCTGCACGCCACTTTCATGCTATACAGCCTCTTCCGGGTACCTCCCACAAGCAAGACTTGGAAGATGTCGACAAGGCCTTCTTGGTGGTGGCCACCAGCTGGGGAATGATCTGCCCAGAGAGGCCTGCTTGGTGCCAACACTGTTATCTCTTCTGTACCAAGTTAAGCCCTCCTTCTTACAGGGACTTGGCAGGATAAAATGAGATTCAATCATGTTCTTTCTGACATTTTGTGCTCCTTTTGTGAACGGTCTGCTCATATGTAAAAGATGTCTATGCTGTGTATGAACTATTTCTAAGGGTTTAATTTTTGTAAACAACCCAGGCAGCTTTGGTTATTGGCCAATATAGAAATGTAATAAATGAATTAAAACTAGTTAAGAATTAATCAGGTCATTATATGTTTTTTGGCGCCAGGTCAAGACCTTTTTATTTGGCCGGTGTTTTAACACATAGTAATTTTAATTGTGAAATGACTTATTTAATTTATTTTAAATGATGCTCAGTGTGGAATAGTTCATTTATCTTATTTTATTGAAGTCTGAAATAATGTTGTAAGCCATCCAGGGACAACAGTAATGGACGGCATACCATTTTAATAAATAAATAAATAAATAAATAAATAAATAAATAAAATTTGCAAGTTTGGGGATTGGTTGGGTTTCACTGAAGGAAGAAACGATGGTGAAGCAAAGGTGGTTTGAGAAAACGGAGAAGAAATAAATGTTGAGAGGTTTGGAAGAGTGGGAAAGATGGAAGGCAAGTAACAGAAGGCATGTGGCTCAGGGGAACTGTGAATTCTACATTCAGAAATCCTTTGCATTTCCAGATAAACAGATCTTGGGTGGTGGAGCTGGGCACAGAGGGTCTTAAAGAGACAGAAAAAGTATGGAAAGTCCTGTTGGATTAAGCCAAGGTCCACCGACTTATGCAGAATGCGGAGAAAGCAGATGCAGGAGTGTTTTCTCTCCCTCCCTCGTGACACGTGAATTCAATGGGGTTAAGGCCTTTTTATTCCAACAATATTTGAATAACTTTTAATATTGGTTTATATGTGTTTTTAACTGCAGCCAGGGTGGATCTGTAATTCATCTGTATTATGTTTTATATTATTTCATTTATGTAAGCCGTCCTGAGGCCTTCGCAACAGGATGGCATATAATATTCTAAATAAATAAAAATAAATAAATAAATCCCATGAAGATGAATGGTGGGAGAGTCAGGACAGATAAAAGGACAAGCTTCTTCACACAGCACACAGGTGAAATATGGGATTTGTTACCAGGAGATGCAATGATGGCCACTCACTGCAAGGGCTTAAAAGTGGGTTGAACAAATTCCTGGGGAAGGATACCAGGCCAGCTGGTGATAAGCCATCTCCATTGTGATAATGTACTCTGGTTGCTGGGGAACATGGGCATAAGGGTGGTGTTGCACTCCTGACCTGCTTCTGAATTTATTTCTTTGTTAGATTTCTATCCCTCATTTTCCTTTTCTTTTAACGAACTCAAAGCATCTTACGTCATTCTCCTCCTCCGGCTCTCAATCTTATCCCAACAGCAACAGCCCTGTGAGACAGGCTGGGCTGAGAGTCTGGGACTCACCCAGCATCACCCAGTCTGCTCCACGGCTGAGCAGGGACCACAACCCAGATCTCCGGAGTCCCAGACCCACACTTTAATCCCTGTGTCGACACAATGCTGGCTGAGGGTTTGATTCAGCCTAGCTCTTCATCTGATCGTGCATTCTCTTCCCCTCTCCTACTCTGACCAACCAGCAGCTTTCAGAAAGCACGTGAGCCAGGCATGAATTACAGGTCCCCACAGGCTGAGATGCAAATTGCTTGAAAATGTGGGTCTAGATAAGCTGGCCCAGTAAGATGACAAGCAAGAAATCCAGAGACCAGAAGACAATATGCCAGCCTTCCCCTTCCCAGTGCTGTCCAGATGTGTTGTACTGCAACCCCCATCATCCCTAGCAGCAGGGCAGGAAAAGCCATGCTGGATGAGAATGCTGGGAGCTGTAGTTCAACATAATGCCCACCATTTATACAGATCACGGATGGAAATGCTATCTAAGAAAAGCCTTCCAAAAGGGGGAAACTGCTTCTCAGGAAACTTTCTCCAACTGGGTAGCCACTGGATGTGTTGCACTGCAACTCCCATCATCCCCAGCCATCATGGCCAAAGGCAGTTGTGACCCAACACATCTGGGTTGCATTGCGGAAGGCTGGTGTGTTGTGTTAAGAGGAGGGAGCAAGGAGAACCACTGGGCGAAGCAAGTTCACCCCACCACATCTGGGACAATATTGTCCTTGGTTCTCTGCTGAACCAACCACTTGGGCAGAGCAAAGGAAGATCTCTGACAATCACACACCTCCTCCTCATCTCTTCCAGCTTCTGAGGGGGCACGAGAGGAGTTCCTTTCTCATCTCTGTTCTTGAAGGACTGCAGGGTCTCCAAGTGCCGCTCAAAACATTCCATGGAGCTCTGAAAGAAGAGGAGGTTGTGTTGACGTATCCCCTATTAGGGGATTAGTATTAGTACATCGCATTTCTATTCCGCCCATAGCCAAAGTTCTCTGGGTAGTTCACAACTTTGTAAGTCACCCATCCAGCTTTCAACCAGGCCCAATCCTGCTTAGCTACCAAGATTAGGCAGGATTAGGCACTTCGGGCTATACGGAAGCTACTGTGATTAGAGGTGCTGTGGAATGGTTGGGCAGCATACAAATGTTTTAAATAAATAAATGATATGTATGGTTAAGGCACCATCACAGAAGGTAATAGTGCATTCCTAGATTTCCCTGCAGAAAGGTAAAGGCTGAAAAGCTTGCTGGCACTGTTATAAAAACAATTCTATAAACTCTGCATCCCCTTCCATAATTATCTGACAATATTACAACTGAGTTATGTCAAGGATGGTTGTCCACTGACCAGAATGACACTTTTTAATATATTTGTTGTCCGTCCAGATAAGTGACAAGGACTGGCATCTCTAGGTTTCTGTAAAGGACCCCAGTACCTTGTGGGACCCACTACTAATGCCTGGCTTACTCCCTCCGCAAGTTCTTTTTCTGCCCCAGTGCTCCAGGTGCTGCCGAGAGACCGGATCTGGCCATGTTTTTAATTTCTTGCAATGTTCCTGACCTAGCATTCCTCTGAGGACCTTTCCCAACGGAAAAGGTGGCTTGGTCCAGAACTTTAGAATGCTGCCACCAAGCCGGGCATGCCCACCAAAAGGGATGTTGCCCAGGGCTTCCTCAAACCTGGAGGCTTCCTCTCTTCTCTAAGGCCAAAGTCCCATTTGGAAGCATTTAAAAGATCACAATACGTTAAGTTGGAAATTACGTAACTTGTGAGATTAACCAAGTTTGCTTAAAAAACAAACTGAGCTTACCATTTAGCTACCAAAGTTATGGAATCCCTTTTTTTTAATTCTCCCACATTATGGGGTGACTTTAGCACCCCAGGAACATGTTCCGCACATGAATAGCTCTACTGAGACGCTGTCACAAACTGCCTGGTCTAAAGCTTCCCCAAATTTCAGCTTCCTGCCTTTTACCTTTTTGTTTTGCTTCTTTTTTATTAAAGGGAACTGTTTGGGGTGAGAAGTCACCCTGGAAGCTCCACAGGAGTAACTGGGCCGGGTGACTTTGTGACTCCAACAAAGGCCCTCCCAAAAGGCGGACAAGCACATGGTGGGCATGTCGTGAGTGGAGCTGGCTGGAGCCGGGGGTCAGACTAGATGGCCTGGGAGACCCCTTCTGACTCGCTCTGTTTCTATGTTACTAAAAGGCAAAAAACAAGGTGAGATTCAAATCGTATTAACACTCATGTTTTATTTTCCTCAGCCCACCTGGATGGATCTCATTTTCCCTTCAAGGACAGCCACCTTTTTACAGTGTTCTTGAGAATCTGGTAGATCTTCGGCCAGCAGATGCTCTACCTCTTGGAGCCAGGATTCAATGACATCTAGAGGTTGAGGCAGCAAAAGGTCCAGCTTTGCTTTCCATCCGTTCATCTGCAGAGAAGGAAGACACAGACAGACTCAGCCTGGGATATGCCGATCGATGCATTCAACGTCACAAAAAAGCTTCCAGATGCTTTTTTAGCACTGGCCAACCCTTGTTTTGTGAGAACAGGAAAAACAGAAGTGGTGGGCAAATGCAGGAGAGTTACGAGGGGAACTATAGTCAAAGCATCCATACCCACTCTAAAATTCTGTCTTTGAGGCAGGGCAATTGTACCAAAAAAGCCTTCGTCTAGATGAAACTCCACTGGGTTACTCAATTTTCTCCACTGGAAAATTCTGTCTCCAGGAAGTCATACACCCCAAAGAGGATTTGGCTATGGGGAGGTATGGAACTGAAATAAATAAACAATATGTATGGTTGTGTTTGCATGCATTAATTATTGTAAGCTATAAGGAAGTTTAAAGGTGGGGATAGGATAAGAGTGAGAGCAGGAGGAAGAGAATGATGTACGCCACTCTGAGTATGTGGGAAGGATCTAAATCGAATAAGCAAGCAAGCAAAATTCAGTTCAAAAGAAGGAGAAGACTTTTGGTGGCTCCCATTGTTAAATAACAGGAAGCTGGAAATTCTGATCCACCTACTGCAAGTCACCCAAAATCTTCTGATGGATTGTGACAAACCTTTTGCCACCCCTGAAGAGGTCCCTTCCGATTGCCACAATGCTCTTGTGGTGCAAAGACCACAAATGTGGTGCAAAAGACCACAAATTTGTGGTGCAAAGACCACAAATGTGGTCTTTGCACCACATTTGTACAACACGGAGACGCATTCCCCCTGCTCACTGGCCATCCAGCGCAGAGGATGTGGATCAAGACCCCAAACTCCCACCCTCAGAGGAGCCTCAGCACTCCTCCTCAAAAGAAAATAAGTCACTCCTCCAGGGCGACTTATTTTATATTGTTAACTTGTTTTATATTGTTAATTTATAGTATTTTAATTGATTTATTTGTGAGCCGCCCCGAGGCTTCGGCGAATGGGGCGGCATAGAAATTTTCTAAATAAATAAATAAGACTCCTGAGTTAAATCTTCAAGCAGAGGACAGAGAGGGAAAGACATTGTGAGGTTTCCGCTTCTTCCAGACCCCGCTGTCCTTCAAGTTCCCAAGGACCAAATGCCCCGTTTTTTCTAGAGGAGGCTGCATTGCTGTCAAAGCAATGGATCCTGAGGGCTCCAGCCATGAAGGCACACATGAAGACACACTCAAGTACACCTCAGGTTGTTGCAAGCCGGCCTCTTTAAAAGAGAAGGCCTTAGTCACGAGCCTAGAGGAAGTCAAACTCCTCCTTAAGGCTCAGTCACTATCTGCTGCTCATTGGAGCAATGCAGAGTGTAAACTCGTCCATGGTTTCCTAGGGAATTATGACTTATCATTTATGAACTGCTGGCGCAGAAATGCTGGTCACTCCTGATGCAAGCAAGTTCCGAGCCTTGCCTTATTTGATGTGCCAGTCAGGCCACGGCCAAGCTTATCTTGCTTCCAGCCCCTGCACCACTCAGAGGTAGGGCTGGGACTCCATCCCTCCAGATGGAACTCCAACCCTCCAGAGTCCACAGACTTCCTCTGGAGTCTGGCCCAGTCCTGCGACGTGAGCAGAGCCAAAAGGAAGCCCGCGAACACTTGCAGGCCTCTGTTCAGGCAAGCAGCAACCTTCCCAGCCACCATTCCTGGTGGCCATTCTTCTGTCCGCTGGCTGCTACTGGCACCAGCATGTGTGGAAAGAGAGAGCAGACAGCAGGCGCGCCAGCTGCCATTCCAGATGTCCAACCTCATTCCCCACTCACCCCCAGCAGCAGAGACCTCTGAGGTGGGGATCAGTTCCTGGAGAGCATCCTGCAAGACTTGCCAGGAACCTGATCTCTGAACCTCTGCAGGGCGGATCAGAGCCTGGGAAGCCAAAACTAAGGAATCTGGCAGATTTTCCACACAAAAGGGACCTCTTGCACATCGTATGCAGAGAAATGGTGGCTATTTTATCCCACTCTTTGTTGTGAGCCAGGTGTCCCTTCCCAACAAAGGCAGTCACTCCAGCAGTTGCTTACATCCATATACGCGCGCCCGCCCCTTGAGATCTGCAGGAGAGGCCCTTCTCCGGGAACCCTCCGTGAAGGAAATTGGGAGGGTAGGTACTCGGAGGAGGGCTTTCTCTGCGGTGGCGCCCAATCTATGGAATGCGCTCCCCAGAGAGGTCCGCCTGGCGCCGTCATTATTTGTTTTTCGGCGCCAGGCGATGACCTTTTTATTTAAACGTCATTTTAATTGTTAATATTATTTGCTTATTTTATCTGGCCAGGGATACTTATTTTATATTGTTAATTTGTTTTATATTTTGAATGTATTATATTTTAATTTATGTTGTGAGCTGCCCCGAGGCTTCGGCGAATGGGGCGGCATAGAAACGTTTTAAATAAATACATAAATAAAAGAGTCTTTATTCCATGCAGGTACAAAGTATTCACAAACTCCAAAAGTTGACCCCTCGCTCTGCCCCTGCGCAACTGAGCATCCCAAATTCCCATGCAATCTCCCCAGCCTGTTCTCTATTGTCTTCTTTCCCACAATCAGGAAGAGTGGGGGCTCCGTGCTTGTCCTTGGAGTGCTTTGATTCTCCGCTCTCTCAGACTGGCCTCCTGGGGTTGGTTCACCACCTGGAGCCTCGCTATTCTCAACAGCTCCAATATCAGAGTGAGAACTCTGAGCTTCTGCTGGGACAAATATGAACTGCCCTTCTCCTGAGCCTGAGCTATTGTTCCCATCAGAGCCCTCGCTCTCTCGTGCACGCCTAGGAATCTCAGCTGAGCGTGCATGCGCAACACTCTCCTCACTCTGGGAAGTGTCATTTGCCCCACTCCATGGCGGAATTCTGTAATCCAGGCCTCACCGGTACCCAGTGCTGTTTAGCCCCCACCAGCAACAGAGGCAGAGCAGAGCAGAGCGGCATCAAAGCCCTTCATCCCAACGGCATAAATGGCAGATCCTTTGAAAAGTCCTGCTTACCTGCAAGTTGATGCTGTCCCACTTTTCTCTCATTCTCAGGTAATCTTCGCTCAGCTCCGGAACTTTTCTTTTGGACGCTAGGAGGGGCAGGAAGGCCTTTTTCTCCTCATTAAATGTTTCCATAAAAGACAGTATCTCCTAAGGATTAAAATGTTTTAAAGAATATATACATACAAATTCTGCATCAGATGGTTATGTAGTAAAGTGTTGGCTTTTTAAAAGCATTTAAGGAAATGGACGGAGCATAGGCTGAAGTATTGTTGTACAGAATGATGCAGCAAATAGGGAAAATGTTATTTATATTGATTTTTATCTATTTACTATATAGCACTCCATTCCCATAGGATCTGGACAGTTTTCAAGAAATCAAAAGCAACAATGATTAAAATTGACTTAGAGCAAGATTGTTAGATAAAACTGATCTGAGAGCTAATCTGGGAAGGTCGGTTGGAAGAAATACATCTTTAACTCCCACTTAAAGGAAGCAGTCTGGGATTTCTATTGCATCCAAACTGGCAGGCCATTCCACAGTTTAGGGGCAACCGCTGAAAGAGTCTTCTGGGCAGTTGACTTTGGCCTTGCAGGAGAAGACTTCAGAAGATTAACCTGAGAGGACCTTAGGACCTTCCATATCGATGTATCCTCTGCAAACAATATCTCCAAAATCATGAATTTACAAACCCACATACCTGGTATTTTGTGTAGAAGGGGGCAGTCTCATTTTCAGCCAGCATCTTTGTTAACTTCTTTTCTTGAGCACTCAGCCAACCCAAGGCCTCACCGACTTTTCCCTGGAAAACAGAACAGACCATTGGAAGTATCAGCCCTCCACAGGATTCCTGTTTGCCTTGTTGCCAAAATGGTGTCCTGCCAAAGACAGTCTCCAAAAGGTTCCCCTTGCAAATGTTTCCCTGCTTCAATCCAAACCTAGTAAAATCTGGGGCCAGTGCAGAGAAAAGCTGCATCTCTCTCAACCGTGGCTAAGCAAGTGAGTTATGGGATCATGCCTCTCCATTGATACTAATTATTATATTCAAACCCAATTCCCACAATTTATTTCATATTATGTTTATATCCTTCCTCTTGCAAGAAGCGGAATGCAATGGACACGATCCCTTTCCTCTCCAGTTGATTCTCCCAAGGACCCCAGCAGGCAAGCGAGGCTCAGTCTGATATTCCACACCCAAGACCTGATATTCCACGCCCAAGACCTGCTATTCCACGCCCAAGACCTGATATTCCACGCCCGATATTCCACGCCCAAGACCTGATATTCCACGCCCAAGACCTGCTATTCCACGCCCAAGACCTGATATTCCATGCCCAAGACCTGATATTCCACGCCCAAGTGCTAAGCATGGGTTGCGTGTGGCTTCCCACTGTCCCCCAGCCAGGGACTGCCCTGAAGTCACCCTGTGAGCATTATGGCCAAGTCGAGTCTAGAATCCAGACCTCCCAAGCCCCAGGCTGACATACGCACTGCTACACCACACTGCCCCTCTGAAGGCCCAGCAGACTCCATGTGTGGGCGGTCCCATCCCACAATTCCTCTCCTCTTATATGCAATCTCCTTTGACCATAATCAGTTTTAGAAACAGGGTGAATCAGAAGGCATCTCCAGGGCCATCTAGTCTGACCCCCCGGCTCCAGCTGGCTCCACTCATGGCATGCCCACCATGTGCAGGTCCAGCGTCACCTGCACTGATGGGAACCGTGGCCAATGCTTAACAAGGTTCTAACAGTTAGAATCTAACTTCACCAAACACCAGATTTGGTCAGCATCACAACAGATATAAAGAAGACACCAAGCTATGATTGCTGATCCAGGGTATCCAAAACCGTCTCTCAAACTGACAATAGTTCCCCAAGACAGAAGTCCTTCCCAGCTCTGCTGCCTGAGGTCCTGCAGCTCGGGGTGGTCAGGGGTGGTTGGGGCCAGCACGCCAGTGTATTTCAGCTCAGCACTCTTGCTATAAGTAATGAAGGTTTAGGAAAGATGCATTGACCTTTGAGGATGGAACAGAGGAACCTGCAGAAGTTGGGAAGCTTGGGAACTCAGGGACGGCTGGAGGAAAGTGGGTGGGGAAAGGGGAAGAGACACGGCCATCTGGGGAAGCCCAGGGTTCTAGAGCAGGCCCACGTTTGGCCTGTCACTCTGTGGTTCAACACCGCTGCTGTTAACTAAATAACCCCGGGGGCTGAACGTGGAGTGGCCTAATGCAAGGCGAGTGCTCCACCAGGCCCCCCCCACTAGCAATTAAGGTCACCCCACTTGGCCAACAGGGATAGGGGACGGACGGTTCCATACCCTGCTTCCAATCTGTGGAATCCCTCAAAAATACTCCACTAAAGGAGAGGCGCCGCCTGACTATTCCCTACCAGGCTTGGTGCTACTGGATGAAGCCCTAATGAACTTGAGACCTGGAGACTTGAGCAAGTGGCTTCCACTGAAATCACGGGCTGGCATGTCACGGGTGGTTCCACATGGACCTCTGGCCCAATCAGAGCCCGCCTGGAAAAGAACCTTTGGGGTGGAAGCCCCATTTCTCTGTCCCCCCCCCACACCATTTCCAAGTATTTTATCTATATTTCCATTTATATGCCACCTACTACCGAAGTCTGAAGGCGGCTTTTGCATTGTACTGAAGTATTGATTTTGGTGCCTGCTCAAAACACGTTTATTTGAGGAAGTCCTCCGGAACTAACCGGCTGTGCTGTTATTTGTTCTTTTTAAAGATCTTGCTCTATTCTTTCAACCTGTTGTATCTCTTCTTGTTCAAAATTTCAACATTTCCATACCCAAAATGGAGGGTTATAGAGATATTGTAAATACATAAACAAAATGGGCATGTGAGAGGGGATACCAAGCCCTGGAGGCTGAGAGAGAGAGACAAAGGTTTCATGTGATGACAGCTTCAGCGGGGTTTAAATCCAACACTGTGGTGACACTGGAACTTCTCTGATGTTAATAGTGTCCAGGAGACAACCAAGGCTAAGACTCTGGAAGTCACCTCCACCAGCCACAGGTCTATTCACAGTGTTGGCCACAGGTCCCTTCTCATGCTGCAGACCCTCAAAAAAAGATGCTTAGAGACCACCAAGGATCCTGTCCCAGGGAAAATGGCAAACTTGCCCATGCTGGTCTGAAGCTGAAAAATGTCACATACCTGGGTGTCTTCTTCAGCCACAGGTAAACTTTTGAAGTACTGCAGAAACTGGGCCACGTACGTCATGATGGACTTTTCATCTGGACTGATGACATCTACATCTGTGAAATTCCAAAAACCATTAATGTGCCCCTAAATCATGCAAGGTTTGCTCACACAGTGCAATACGTCCATGAAAAGTTATCCTCTACATATATGACTGAGCCGATCCACATTTGTGCAGCCCCTAAAACCTCAGATGTTGCTGTGGTCCAGAAACATGTTTTCTGGGGTTCATCTTGCAGTGAAGCTGAAAGGCTGACCACCTGTGGGCACCTGACTAGGTGAGCATCCCTGCGTGAATTACTGCAAGAAGAATAAAGGCAGGCAAGGCCAATGGGAAGTACATCCTTCTTGAGTCTCCTCCTGTGCACACCCAGTTCCAGGCGCTGCTTGCTCCTTCATCCCACTCTCCCAAGGGGAAATAAACTCTCCCTGGAGGTAGCAGACAGCCAAGGGCTCCAAAACATGCTGCTAAAGATCATGCGCGCTACCCCTGGGTAACAAAGATGCGAGCAGCCTAGCACCTCAACCTCTTCTCCAAAGCTGGCATAGGAGACACAGGAGGAAAGGAAGTCCTTCCAGCATCTTTTGACTGCTTCAAGACCTCCCAAAGGTCCACAGGGAAGGGCTGAAGGGCCCAATGGACCGGGCTGTTCACTCATCTCTCGCCCTTCCTGCCCTCCAGGACATTGTCCTGATCCCAGATTGGCATGACAGATGCAACTGACCTGTCCACACATGTGTTGCACATGTAACTATGACAGCAATTAGGATACAGGAGAAACTCGTGGGAAATGGTGCTTACACCACTGCTGACCCAGGCAGAGCATCCAGGATGGGGACCTTTCCTTGACTTTTATGCGCAGGCTAAGAAAGGCAGATCCGATCTGGCCAGTGCTGGGAGGGGTGGCTGAGCTGGGCACCAGCTGGGAGGTGGGAGGGCACACAAAGGAGTTCCCCAGTTACCCCCATACTGGATTCCTCCAGGAGGGAATTCACCGGGAGTGAGGCTTGGAGGCCAAGTCCCCTCTGGCAGAGTAACCCAAGGAGGTTCCAACGGCCAGTTCAGGGAAACCCAGCAGGCTGGATTAGGCCTACAGACTGATGGTTCTCTACTCCAGGAATGGATCAATGGTCTGATCCAGGATAAACTAGTTCCACATGTTTCTGGGTACGTTAAGAAGAACCAAGAGGTCACCAAAATGCTACCAATATTACAAAAACACATGTTTGATACACCTTCATACAGCCTTCTACAATGTCTGAAACCCTTGCCTGTTTAAATCCCTAATATTTATTTTCATTTCTGTATTTATAGAATTTTGTATTCCTACAGTCCCAACTTAACTAACACATTAATATTCAAACAAGACCAAGCTTCTCACAATCAAGCCAATGTGCCATCAAGATTTTCCCAGGGGAACTGCTGTAACTATCAGCGCTCTGGTTGCAGGTGAATGGAAGACTTACCTTCAGGTTCAAGCAGAGGGGGGATATTTAAATCCTTCTCTGCAATTTGGAAGGCCTCTTTCAGATTCTCTTTGTTGGTTCTCCCTTTTGCTCTTTCCAGGTCAACCAGGTCTGGCCGCAAGGCATGAATGATAGCTAAGAAAGCCAGTCCATTCCTCCAGCTGGATTTGAAATCGGCAATGCTGATGGATCCGTGCCTAACAGAACAAACAAAACATGACTCTAGCCACAGTGTTGTTCCCTTAAGTATTGGAATTCTTTCCCTGCAAGGCTAAATTCAATCTTAGAGAAGCTCTCAGGGGTCTTCCATCCACTGGGCTAAGTTCCTAAACTACCCCCGAATGCCACTGTATTTTTGCTTAAAGCTCTGTCTGCTGCAATAGCGAAGCCCTGAGGGAAGTGTTTACATCTCTGGGATTGGTGAAGAAAAAAACTGTATGGGAGCCAGGAAAACTGCTAAATGATCAGCAGTCAGTAGAAAGGAGTATGGCCTTCTAGGGAGCCAGGAAGAGCTGGATCGGGACCTCAACTAGGCTGTGTTTAGCAAGCATTGAGGACAGAGTGACTGGGCTTGCATGACACACTAAGCCACCATCCAAACCACCCCATACTGCCCAAGGAGACTGACAGCCCGAGAAGCCATGGCTTGTTCTACACTCTAGCTTGTTGCGTTGTCTGAACCCAGACAATGCAATAAGCCAATTTTCAATAAACTGAAAAAAAATGAAAAATCTCCTTGACCAGTTTTTGTCAACCAGGCCAACGTGCATCCATATATCCCCCTCCTACCTTCACCATATCAAGATCTATCATTACAACATGGCATACGCTGCTATCTTAACCATGGTTAAGGTCCAGGGAAGAGCCTGTGGCCCCATCAGCATCCTCCATTTCTCCCCTTAGGTGCCAATTCCACTCAAAATGTGGCATTCCAAAGCTTCCAACTCTGAATCTGAACTGGACAAATTGGCAGAAGCAGATGCTTAGCCGAAATGTCAAAGCCAGCAGGCTTCAAGGTAAGCCAAGTGGTTGTGGGAACCAGATCACTGCTGGTTCATGGGGATGCACTGTGGAACAGGCAGGATCAGAAGTGGAAAGGAGTGAATTTATCAACCCAGCAGTTCAATGTCAAGCTGAATCAGTGGACCAATTAAGTGACATCCAGCATTCCTGCCATCCAACCCACAAGCAGCAGGAACCTCCTTGAGGGAGGAGCCAACTCTGTTTAGTGAGGATGGGAGGAGAGGGATTCATTTTGGAATCGACTCCTGGCATGGGCAAGAACTAACTCCCCAGATGAGAGGATCTCAATTGTATGCATGTTTCTTGCTAACCGTCTTTGCAAAATATATTGTCGTTTGTAGTGTCTCTTCATGAACTGCTGGGCAGGAAAAAGAAAAGAGGCTTTAGGGAGAGAGATACACCAAAGGAGCACCCTTGCAGATTGGGAGAATATTATGAGCAGCAGCAGGGCAAGCAAAGGCTTTAACTTTCTGTCCCCTGGTGTAGTCCCAGTATGGATCAAGCCCACCTCTCTGGTTCTTTGCTTTAGAAGGAAATTTCCCACCTGCAGCAGCGGGAGTTTCTTTTGCAATGTGATGGGCCTGATCCAGACTGGATCCACAGAAGTGCAAGCAAAGAGTTAATGCCCCTCTATTTGGGTCCCGATCCCGTCTCCTGCACCTGCTCTTTACTTTTAGGAAACCAGTCCCTAAAACGGAGCACCCCACTTGGGAAAGTGGCCACGGGGGGGAGGGGGGAGCAGGGGGAGGGAGGGCTGATTCAGACCAGAGCTGCAGCTCAGGGAATGTCCAGCTTTTCCTCCCACACTGCAAGCGGCTGCTGAACCAGACTGCATGCTCCGGAGCAGCTCTCGGCAACGGAGCAAAAAGCAGACGCTCCAAAACGTTTCCCTCTGGCACTGTTGGTGAAAAGACTAGGTCCGCGGCCTCGGTTCAGCATCGAAGAGGAAATAGTGTGTCGCAACCCTCTCTACCCAGGCACCCACCAAATGTGTTGGACTACAGCTCCCATCATCCCACACAACCAGTGGCTGTGTTTGGTTATGGAGGATGGGTCCTGCAGCCCAATCCATCTGCGTGGCACCAGACTGGAGAAGGCGGCTGCGTTGCTTTGCCCTCAGTTACCTGTGCATGTTCAGTGCTCTGAGAAGCCACTCTGGGCTAGTTTGCATGTCACCACGGGTTAATTAGCCCATGATTTGCCAGGCAGGCGTGGAACGTGTGAGCAGCTTCCAGCCTAAGAACAGGCACGACACACTGTAGGTTAACTGTGGGTTGTTCAATCCACAAACAGCTCAAAGAATCTGGGATCAGACAACACACTAAGAACCTACGAACAGAGAGCGGTGTTGTGGGTTGTTCTACACACTGAACGCAGCTCATGTGTGCTGTACAACCCCTGCAAAGCACGGGTGAATTAACCCACAACTTGCTGCTGTGACTGCAAACTGTGCCCATGACATGCAAACTGATTTATGCTGGAATTTATGTTGGAATAAACGCACACAAGTGAGCAAACCGTTACAAAAAAGAGCGGCACATATCTGGAAGGGATGCTAACACAACTTCCTTTCTACAGCATATTTCTGTAGTCAGGCATGAGTCAGTTGGAATGCTGATAAAGAGCTACTCAAAATCAGCTTGTAGATAGGCAGGGAGACGCACACGCCCTGGTGTGTGGGCCCACGGATGAATTCCATGATCTCACTGGTTTAAAATGTGAGGGTTTGTTGAGACAGTGCCCAATGCTGGTCTGAACACCAAAAAGCTGGGGGCAGGCGGAAGAAGTCACGTGAACGAGTCACACTTTCCCTTGTTGGCCTAATTATAGATCTCAGTCACAGCTGAGCAAATCAAAAGTACGTTATTTAATTAGGGTAAGGCCAGCTTCCCGCAGCCTGCTGCTGCTCTCCCAGCCTCTTGGAGTACAACTCCCATCAGAGCCAACCAGGGCAACCAATAGCCACCTGAGTGGGATGGTATAATTTGGTGTCCTGCAACAGCAGGGGGGTAGACTCGATGGCCTTCATGACCCCTTCCAACCCTACTATTCTATGATTCTATGATCCTAATAAATAAATTAGCAAAATGTGGGCTTGACAGAACAACTATTGGGTGGATCTAGAACTGGCTTCAAAATAGGTCACAGAGAGTGGTCATCAGTGGTAGCTTCTCAACCTGGAGAGGAGTCACGAGTGGGGTGCTACAGGGCTCAGTCCTGGGACCAGTACTCTTCCAAATCTGTATGTATGATCTTGATGAGGAAATCCAGGGAACAATAATTAAATGTGCAGATGATACTGAAGTGCGTGGAATAGCTTGGAGAGATCCCTTTGGAACTGGGCAGCCATCTGAATGGGATGAGGTAATTGGTGTCCCGCAACAGCAGGAGGCTGAACCCGATGGCCTTCTTGGCTCCTTCCAATTCTACTATTCTAGGATTCTATGATAGAAGTTGTGTTCCAAAACACCTGGAGGGCACTGGCCTGAGGAAGTCCGTGATTCCCAGAGGCGGCTCGCAAAGAGACCGAGTGAACCCATCATCACAGATGCCTCTCCCTGCCCAAAAGGAGCAGGCGACCCCTGGATAAGCCGTTTTGCAGGGGTGGAAGAAGACACCCCTCTAGCGTCTTCCCCCAGCGAGAAAGCCAGCCCAGGAAGGAACAAAAGTCATCACAGACGGGAGGGCAAAGGGTGGCATGGCAAACTGCTGACTGATCGCTCGCAGGGAGGGATACGGTAGGCCCCACTCTACTGCTGACCCCGCTCAGACGGTGGGAGCTTTGGCCGGAAGTGAAGAGACGGGGGAGCCGCAGAGGCTGTGCCTCCTGCTCACTGCCGGCCAAGCAAGCAAAGGGTGGCCATGACGGGAAAGGAGGCGTGGGGATCGCTGGGGCTGCTTCGCCCAAGAGCCCTAAAATCCGGGAGCCAGGATCACTGCTGGCAAGCCCCAGCCTGTCACCCTGAGCTTCCTGGCCTCCAGTCAGGCCCATTTCCAGCACAGATGGGGCAGCCTTTGCTGCAGGAGGAGTCCTGGCAACAATGCTGCGCACGCGAGCGATGGAGCGGGTGCTCTGGGCAGGCATTCAGGGAATTTGTCCCCCTTTCCAAGCATTTCCCTGCTGCTGATCCCCATGCTATAATACATATAGCTTCCGTATAGCTTGAAGTGCCTGATCCTGCTTAATTTTGGAAGCTAAGCAGGGTTGGGCCTGGCTGAAATCTGGATGGGTGACCTGTATGCTCTGAACCTCCCAGAGAATTGTGCCTATGAACAACAACAAGAACAACTCTACTGTTGATCAAGACCATAGCAACCCACCAAACAGCCATGATTCACACACATGAAGGAATGTTTAATGGGAGAAAGCTACTGTTGCATATGGTTGGCCCCAGACTGGGACGTAAGAGACCTGGGCTAGATCTCACGGGCTGGATGCACAGAATATGGTGTGTGAGTTAAGTGGGGTTTGTCACTGACCCACACGTTGCTTTTGGAGCACAGGTTGCCATGTTGTCTGAACCTAGCGGCGATAATAAACCATGGCTTGTAAACCACAAATAAGCCATGCAGTTCACAGCACAACAACAAACTTTGAGTCTTCTTAATGACTTGTCTATGGTTAACAAACCATGGCTAGCTATCATGGCGGGGTTCAGAAAACACGATAGATCATATTTCAACAACAGCCCATGGTTCAGTAACAAGCCACACACAATCCATGCTCAAACCCTGAGGAACATTTTTGGCAACTCACCTTAAGTAAATGGGGACTTCCCCTTTAATTACATATAATTGAAATGAAGGTGAGTCTTCAATGAAGACTTTGAAGGTTATTTGATTTCTGTACTGCTCAATAGCTGAAGATTTCTGGGTGGTTGACAGCAACTGGTACCACTATGCCAGTGTGGTGTAGTGTTTAAAAGCATGGGACTCAGGCAATCTGGGTTCAAGTCCCCGCTCGGCCATGGAGCCAACTGGGTGACTCTGGGCCAGTGCCAGGCTCTCCGTCCAAGCTACCTCTCAGGGTTGTCGTTGTGGGGATAAAATTGAGAGCAGCAGGAGGAGAATGAAGTAAACTACTTTGAGCAGTCCTCAAACACTGCATTTGTCGAAATGTTGCAGGGCACTTCTCAGCTCAAAAAAAGGCATCCAATTTTTTTAAAATGTGTGTTTTGAGAGAAAGCATATTTAGAAATGAGTATTTGCATTATATGCAATTAAATCCTGCAGATTCATGTGGGCAGGGGATGGAATGGGCTTATAAGCAGCTGCCAGCGAAAGAGACATGGGCTGGAAAGCAACCGATTTCCCTGGTTTGCAAGGCACCCGGATTCGGCATCGCTACGTACGTGGCACACTGCTCCTTTGCCCAGAGCAGCAGAGCCTTCTTTGCCGACATCTTCCATCGTTCCTTCGCTTTCGTATTTCTTTCGGCTGGGGGGCTTGGTGTGGGTGATGAGCCCACGGCGCTCACACCATCCGGGGAAGCTTGACTGTACCCGCCCGCAAGAGTCCACGCTAACTCTTCAATCTGCCACGAAGAAGTCAGAAAGGGACAAAAAAATCAAGCCACAGCCATGGATAAGAAAACTGAGAAGAGTGCGAATTCAAATGGGTGGCTTTGAGGTGGTACAGCCCTTGCACGAGGGTCAATGGATGGAAAAACCTTGTAGGAATCAGAATCACTACTTCAGAGGAAAGGTTCTACCTGGCCAGCCTTAGCACAAAAATCATGAAGGTCTTTAGAGCCACACACATGGGGTAGAGTGCTCATGACCAGTTTTTTTTAATTGGGTTGAACACAGCACTTTGGTCAGTATCAGACAAACTTGAGTGCAGAGCAAAAGGAATTAAGACATGGTTTAAAAACACTTCTCTGACAGAAGGAACAGACCTACCCAAGTTGCTCTTAATGTCTTGCAGGAGAAGTGCAAGCGCGATGCAGCTTGGTAACACTCACATGAAAATGCAGTATGATTGTCCATATGAGGCCAAGCACAATGGATGGTTTTCCTTCCGTGATATCAGTGACGTGGATATTGATTAGTTTGATCTGAGAAGAAAGTGAGAAGGCTTTGGTTAAAGGTCAAAAGGGACAACTGCACGCTGCATCTCAAAGAAGCAGTTGGGGGCATTTCCACAATCTGCATTGGTAGGGTGTGTTTTTTCAAATAATTCTTCTTATTTATTTATTCCATTTCTATACCACCCCACAGTCAAAGGTCCCTGGGAAGTTTACACAATGATCAAAAATCATATCCTCCGTACAACACTGGAGACATCAACTTGATTCCAGAGTATTCCAGCTAAAGCAAGGCAAATACACAGCATATGCTGGAAAACAATTTCATTAGAGTATGAAGCTATGAAAGCCCAGAATCATTTCTGATCACGCACAACCAGTTGCTTCTCATCCTCATAAAGGTAACATCTGGTTTTCTGAGTTGTGTTTGTAACCTGAAGTAAGAAATCTACCACATGGGTGTTTGGAAAGATAGATCTACTAATGCCAAAAATGTGCACTCACATCTATAAAAGTATGCATTTACAGCTTATAATGTTGGAAGCACTCCCAGGACTCCAGTCATGAGGTCCTTTTACTTTCCCTTTGATGATAATTAGAACCTGTAAATCACATTTTACTGAAATTTCCTACTGGAAATAATGCAAAACAGAACGGCCCGCCCATTCATGTCTGACACTTTATGCGGAATGAGGTTCTACAGGCAGCTTGAAAAATGCTGTTGACATTTGCCGTGGTGCTTTATGTATTTATTATTTTATTTATTAAAACATTTTTACCCAGGCAGACTCAAAACCCTCGCAAGGCTGGAATGATACTGACCGATCTGTTCTTCAGGAAGGTCAAGGCATTTTCAATGTTGGTTCTGCACTGGAAGGTGTTTGATCCTTTTTCACGTGGCTACCCAGAAAAAGAAAAGAACAATTCTGTTAATGTCAGTGATGGGCTCTCTTTACTGTACATACTCAGTCTCAGAAACCGTTGGTGATCCAGGGCAAATCGCCCAAGTTCTACTGTAAAATCCTGATTTATCTTTTACTTGCATGACCACACTTCCAAGCCAATCTATGAATGTCACAGGGTAATGGCAAGGTTGGAAGAGATGCCTTCAAACATCATTTTAATTGTTAAAATATATGATCTGGCCAGGGCAACTTCTTCTTCCTTCTCTTTTCTCCTCCTATATTATTTATGTACTTATTTTCTACTGATAATTTTAATTTTATATTACTATGTTTGTAACTCAGTGTATTTTTTGTATTTTTGTATTTAATGGTAATTTATGATGTTCTATTGTATTTCAATGTATTTTATTGTGTTGTAAGCTGCCCCGAGGCTTTGGCAAGGGGCAGCATAGAAATGTTATAATAATAACAACAACAACAACAACATTGTTCCATGAGCCACCAAAACCCATGCCTGAAGAAGAGACAAAGAAAGCGTATGTGAATCGCTGGAGGGCTATACAGGGCGGCAAAACAAGCACACTTCCTCCTGCCCCACAGAGGGTTCCACTGCAGGCAGGATGGTCTAGACTAAACACTAGAAAGAACCACCTCTCTCATACAATCGAGATATGCTAAGGACTATAAAATGTGGGGCTTTTATAAAGATTTAACAGCATTTGATCAGGTGATGCTTAAATCAGATGAAAAAATGATTAAAAGACTATATAATTTCTTACTCGATAGGAGAATGGAAGATGAACAGGTTAAGGAAACTATGATAACGTGGGCACAAAACTTTGGATATAATATTGAATTAGAAAAACGGCAAAAGCTGTGGGAGAGAAATATTAAGGTAACATTAGCAACTCCGTAGAAAGAAAACCTGTATAAAATGTTTTATAGATGGTATCTGTCACCAAATAGGTTAGCTAAGATGTTTCCAAATATGTCAAATGGATGTTGGAAATGTAAACATAAATTGGGTACTTTCTATCATATGTGGTGGACTTGCGATAATGCGAAAAAGTATTGGATTAAAATACTTAAAGGGCTTGAGGAAATGTTACAAAAACCCTTAGCTTTTAAACCTGAAGTTTTCTTATTAGGCATTATACCTGTTGATATTAGTAAACAAGAAATGTACTTGATTTTACATGTAATTACTGCGGCAAGGATTGCATTTGCTCAACACTGGAAAAGTGAAGAACCACCCACCGGTGAACTGATCCTAAAAAAGATCTTGGACTGTGCAGAAATGGATAGACTGACTTTGTCATTGAAGGAGAAAGAAGATACTGATTTCTATCAAACTTGAGACTCTTTTTATTATTGGCTAGAGAAATGGGACTTCGTATAGATTTAAGTATGTTTTTAAGTTATCATAAATAGAAAAAAATGTGGGAGCTGACCCAGCAGGTCTGATGTTTCTGATGATTGATGTTGTTTTTAGTTTTCTTTTGATTTAGGGTTATTTTGAATAAAACTTAGTATAAAAAAAGAAAGAACCACCTCTCTCCCTTCGCTCTTTGACCTTGGAAGGTGGTGCATGTTTGTTAGGCAGAGGTTTTAAACAGAAGTTCATCGGCCATTGACTAGGCACATGGGGCTGGACTAGATCACCTTTACGATGCCTGACAATTCGATGTTTCTGGTGCAGTGAATATTTCTGCACCAGAAATATTCTTATTTATGTAGTGGGGAAGGGCCTTTTCTGTGGTCGCCCCCCGCTTTGGAATCTGCTCCCTGGAGAGGTGCACCTGGCACCAATGCTTTATTCTTTTCGGCGCCAGGCCAAAACCTTTTTATTTACCCATTATTTTGATGGTTAATCCTTTTATCATATAGTTGGAATCATTTTGTTGTGCATTTTATATATTATAGTCATAGAATCATAGAATAGAGGAGTTGGAAAGGGCAAGGAAAACCACTGGGTCAAAATCCCTGCTGTTGCAGGACACAATTTAACACCATCCCACTCAGATGGCTGTCCATGGCTTAATGTGCTGTTACGCTTTGGCTGTAAGCCATCTTGAGATTCACCTGGATAAAGATGGGATAGAAATGTTATAAATAAGTAAATTTAGGATTGTTTAAAACTTAGAAAAAAGGTGAGTAAGGGGAGACGTGCGCAAAATTATGCAAGGTGTGAAGAAAGAGACACGGGGGCATTTCCCCCCCTCTCTTGTGATACCGTAACTCAGGGTCATCTCACAAAGCGGAGTGGAGGGAGCTTCAAGCAAGCCAAGAGGAAGTCCTTCTTCACACGGCACGTGGGTAACTGTGGAATTCCATGCCGCAGGAAGTAGCGATGGCCACCCATGTGGATCGTTATAAAAAAGGATAGGACAAATTTGTGGAGGAGGAAGCTAGCCGTGGCTACTGGTCTTGATGGCCTTGTGCTCCCTCAGAATCAGAGGGACCCTGTGTGCACCAGGTGCTGGGGAACATGGGTGGGAGGAGGCTGCTGAACCATGTCCTGCTCATGGGTTTGGCTGCTATGTGAACAGAATGCAAGATGGACCCTCGGCCTGATCAGGAGGACTCTTCGTTATGTTCTTATGCTTTGCGGAGAATTAAAGGGCAGGTGTGCGTCCCAAGGGCTTGTAGTCTAGAAACAGGGCATGCAGGAAACAAGAGAGAAAAGGAAGGGAAGAGAGGCCGGGATGAGCTAGAAAAACGCATGCAAACAATGCTTTGCAATGGCTTTCACCATCCTCTCGGCAGATAGCAAGAAAATACAGATGAGTTCAAATAGCTTCAGGAATGGATTATGATAAGGAGAGTTCATATTAAAATCTCAGTGTTCCAATCCAAAGTAGTAGTAAGTAGTAGTAATTATAATACCAAAAATCCTAATATCATTTCTGAAAGTCATTATGAACATCGCAGTGTATCTATTTAGACAAACGTTTGTGCGTTTTCTTATTCTACACAGTATGTTCCATTTATTGTCATTCAAAAATTTAAATTATTGGCTACTTATTAATTATTGGTAAGGAAGGAGTTGATGGAATACGCTGGGCACAAAGAGAAGTGGGTGAAGGTATTCTTCTCGGCATCCGGAAGGCCAGGATGCAGAATGTTTTCTTGAGGGTGCACCCACACTGGATGAAAAGCTTCTGCCTAAATTTGCACAGGATTGTGCCCTAAGTGAAAGGGGTTGGATCCTAAACAGATCCTGAAAGGCGCCCTGCATAGCAGAGTTTGTGCCTGCAGGTCGAAGTGACACCAACCCTGCCTGTCTTGCGCTGCAGTGCAGAAGCGAGGGCCGTGCGGTGTGCTGGTGCGTTTGCTACAAGGACTGCTGACGGCAGACAGCAACCACAGCGCTCCATCGTTTTTGGAGGCTGCGGAAGGCATTTTATTTAAACAAGCCTTCCAGGCTTACCCAGCCGCCTTTATTGGGACGATCCGACTTTACAGACTCTCTCTCATTAACACACACACCAGGCCCACTTTTCTTGTTCACACTTCAGACATTTTTGGGATATAAATCCAGTAGAGAAATAAATTCATTCCAGAGGTCCAATGCATGCATTTAACGTAAATAATAAAATATATATTTATGTTTATCTTTATTTATTTCATTTCTATACCACCCAATAGTGGAAGCTCTCGGAGCACTTTGCAAGAACCCTTTTTATCATGGATTCTAGACATGCGCAAGTGCCCCAATGGAACAACTGGCAGGTTCCAGAAGTTTGTAACCCTCTTACCAGCTGTTGTCCAGAAAGAACCTCCAGGAGATCCAGCAGCGCATGGCCCTCACCGATGTCAGTATACAGGTCCGAGATAAGGGAAGGTGGTGTATGCTGCAACAGATTTATTTATATTTTGGTTACTCGATATGTTATGGCTCTTACTATGCATAACTACCCATCTGTGTATCAAGATTCCTTCACTTCCTGGCTCTGGGGGTCTAAAGTTACCCCAAGATTCTAGCAACCAAAGCCGAGATACCTCAATCCAGGCTTCCTCACCGTGATGCCTCCCACAATTTGTTGGACTGCAAGTCCCATGATTCCTAGTCAGCATGGCTAACTGGGAAGACACCAGCTACGGGAAAGGTGCCTCTCTCTGCATCAAAATAGACGCCTACTAAGAAATGGGACCAATGGAATATTCTCTGCTGCCTTTAGATGCCACCAAGGAGAGTGGGCGGGCCTGCAGTTTCTAGCACGACAGTTGTCAGGTGACATAAGGAGGGCCAATAGGAGTGCACCTGGTCCTATAAAGCCTCAATGGCCAGCAAACATCCTTACTCTAAGCAATACGCTTCTGGAGTGAAGATCTAGATTAACTGCTGTGCCCTCCACTTGCCATTCTGGGCCTTCTCGGCCATCAGGCCTCCAACCCTGACAAATGGGCCAGCCCATCCTCCAGCAGGGTGTCGCTTCCTCCGCAGGAAACCGCTTTTGAGCATCAAGAGCAGCCAGCAAATTGTCGGTTTCTTTCACTCCTTACGATTTTGAGTTCACTGGCAGAGCATGAGAAGTGCTTTTGCAATTGTTTTGAAACTCCATAAACACAAAGAAGGCCCCTGGCCATCCTGTGCAAGGGCAGGCAGCCAAACGTCGTGTGCCAGTCCTGCAAACTCATCCCACCAGGTGTGCTGAAATGTTTTCAGCCCAAGAGCCAAACCTGCTTTCAGAGAAGCTTTCGGCGACCACATGCCAGTGGCGAGCAGAGCCAATGGCAGCAAGGGCAGTGCCCACAAACCGGAATATCTCAGCTTGATGTCTTCACTACCAATAGCAAATCCTTAAGAACAGCATTCCAACCTTTTCGAACGGGTGGGGAGGACTATGCAAAAGCCAAGAAAGCACCCAGCTATCTGTGCTTGGGGGGAAATAGTATAAATCCATGCAGCATTCTCTTTCTGAATTGGTTTGCTTGGTTTGCCCCTCATCTCTCGACTGGATCAAGGGAGTCGCTCATGATCTGCCCCCCCCCCCCGCCCCCAATCCTGAAAGGTCTCCCTCCCTTTCCAAGGTGGGCTGGTTCCCAGGCTGTCTGAGAATCTTCACTTGGTACCCTTGAAATGACCAAGTCCATGGCCCACCCCGCCCACTCCTCTGATTCAGATGAACCTAACCAAGCAACTGTGAAGTACTAGAGGGGAGTCCCTTCTCTACAAGGAGCCCTTTACAGGTAAGGGAAAAGAAACAACCAGCAGCCAGACGTGCTGGAGAAAGGTGTCTTTTCCATGTAGCCACAGCGTTCTATCTTTAATCTTCCAATTAAATTCACAGGCCATGTGAGACCGATATAAGACCGACATGACACTGGTGGAGAGGAGGACTGGTTTGGAAAGATCTTCCCAAAATTTAGCCAGTATAACCCTGCTCCGCAGCTTGCTGGGATCTAGCACTTGTCATATCATGAACTAACCTACGGAACAGTTTTGACTGTCTTTCTCAAATGTTTGCAGGGTATTTGAAAGCAAGGAAAGCAACAGATTAACAGATAAATGAGTGATGCCTTTTCTAAAAAGAAAAAGAAGAGTCATCTTGCAAGGAGAGGCAAGTCTGATGGCAAGACCAGCTCTGGCTGCACTGACATTGACATCTTTCCTGCATTTCCTGACAGTCAGGACCCCGAGGGCATGGAATGGGCTTCCACGAGAGGTCGCTGAGGCCCCATCGGTGCGGGTGTTCAAGGATAGGCTGGACGTCCACATGGTGGGCATGTCGTGAGCGGAGCCGGCTGGTGCCGGAGGTCAGACTAGATGGCCAGGGAGACCCCTTCTGACTCGCTCTGTTTCTATGTTTCCATCTCATATAGGAACCGCAACACAAAGAGAAAGCCACGTTCCCACAAGGCCACCATGAGGGAAGAACCTGCTGCAGTTCTGGTTGTTATGTCCATCACATCTCTGAGTTTTTGTGTGGAGTTTTTATGGAAGTGATAAACCCCACTGTGCCACTTTAGACTACCAATGGAAGCTGCATTTTATTTATTTGAGACATTTAGATCCTGTTCAAAACCAAAGGTCTCATGCTGCATGGTGGAATTACCTTCTACTCAAAAAGAAAAGACAAAAAGGAGGGTTTCCATGAGAAAACTAGCATGTCAGGAAAAAAACTTTCCTTAATATACTGGATTTTTAGATGCAGAAAAGGCTTTTTTTAAAAGGCGCAAGGGCATTCAAGCATGTGATTCTCCACATGCTGCCTGAAGCATTACAGCCTTGATCAATATTTACTATCTTAGGGAGCACAAGGCCATGGTAATGCTCTTAATCTCCGCTGCCCAAGGACCCCAAAAACATTTCAACTATAATTTTGTCTGGTGCTCTCTCCCACAAATGTATTCATTGAAATTCAGTTGGCTTCCAACTGAAGAGACGCACCATATCCCATTTCTTCAGTTTTATTACCCTGTTGTGCTAAGAGATATTTAACCAGAAAAGGAGGCTGCTATAGTGTTTTAATTTTAGATGGATTTTGCAAAAGCTATTCCCATCCTCTGAACTTCCCTTACCTTTTCCAGCTGTGAGTTGACCCAGCTGGTGAAAGTTCTCTTCTGAGTATTTTCTTGCTCCGCTGTATGATAAACAAAACCAGAAAGATTACCTTTTGGCAAAGATAATTTTTCTTTTAAATTAAACTTTAGATGAATGCATTCAGTATCCTTTAATACCTATTTTTGCTCATACATAAACACAAGGTAGATAAGTCAGTTTTGGAATAACGCCTAATTCTTCCCAAGGGGCCATTTGAGAGGATCTGGGAGAGAAACTCCATGTCAGAACATGCATATGGAATATGAGCTTGACTGTCTCCTGCATAAGACACTGCAAAAAAAGCAGCTCTGAATCACACCGTGCTTTTAAGACAGCTGAAAATTCTCTGAGGCGTCACTCCCCACAATGTAATACACATACATGAGATGTTTCTAGGGGATGGGATAGAAAAGCTTTTAATAAAAAAAATAAATACATGGTTTAGGTTTCATGATTGCCCCATCAAATAGGTTTGCAGGTTTCTGAAAAGCCTACACAACCTGTTTGCCAGAGTGGAACATGGAATATTCCAAGTCACCTTCAGGGGAGAATGCAGCAGAGACAGAATTATTGCAAACCTCCAGTGTTTCTTGGCTTGCCTTACATTCTGCATAGGGAGCATTCCATCATTCTCATCCCCAGCCTGCAGAAATGATGTTTATAAGGCAACTTTGGCTTCCATGTGTAACCTTCCCATGTTTGCACAGAGCTTCTTATAGTGTTTCCCTTACCACACATGCACAATTTGCTAAGGAAGGAAAAAGAGGACAGTGACACAATATCTTTGGATTGGTACCCCAATCTGTTTAAAAGCACCAACAGACTCTTGGAAAAAAATATGGGATACAAACAACTTTGCTCAAGGCAAGCAACCTACTGATTTTTCCCTACCATTTGGTGTTAAGGCATGGTATTCCTGTAACATATAAATGAATGAATAAGTACAATTTCTGTGCATCCGAGGAGCAAGATGAAACAAGACATGTGTACTATGAATTTCAAAACTCTCCCACAGTTTTGAAATTAATAGATGCCATGGGCAGAGTTGGGAATTACAGATATTTATTTATTTATCACTTTCCTAGACTGTCCTCTACTGTGGTCTCAGGACGGTTTAACAATAAGACAAAATAAAATAAAACACAGCAGGTTGTGGTGCTTGAGGGGAGGAAAACCGTTTATCCTGGATTGCTCTTCAACTCATTCGCCACCCTGAAGCTAAACTTTGCCCTGCAGGGGAATCTCACCTAATATCATTAAAACTGTTTCTCCAAGCTAAACATACCCAGCACCTTCGCCCTGTTTTCTAAGGACTCAGCCTCACTGTTGGCTTGAGAGTGATTAAAACATGGGAAAGGGAGAGCAGGGATTGTATCCGTCCTCCTCTTCTTCCTCCATCCCTTTCTAAATAACAGAAAATTTATGTTCCAGGGTGCTTACAGAAGAGGGAGGACAAGCAAAGGCAGGTCGATGTTCCGCCAAGCAAACTGCCGATGGGCACAGGGGAAAAGCTTGTCTTCAGCTATGAGTAATTATTCACACTCAAACACTTCCTAAAGATTCAAAGGGAATGGAAAGTATGTGTATTCTGTGAAATCAGTAGGAAGGTAGAAATCAACAGCCCAAAGTTAACATTCAGAGTTGAAGGTGAGAGGTAAGAAACTTATTTTCATCAAGACTCCAGCTGCAACAAATTCACTAGTAGGCATCAGTAAGATGACTGCCATTAACCGCTCTCCTCTGCACCATTGCACTCAATCTGTAACCCACAGAATACAGGCAATGAAAGCACTTGTGAGCCATGAAGGGAAGATATTAGGATTACTTAGTAATACATAAGGAGTGCTTTGGAAGCTCTGAAAGGCCTACACAAATGCTAATGATCATTTCTTTTTTTCTAAAATAAGTTTCTAGCCCTTAAGAATGCAAAGGTACATTTATTTGCTAATCCCTGGTGAACTTGGAACAAGCAGGCAGATTCATTGTTCTATGTACTTTCAGGTCCATATCCCAAACTATCAGCCCCAGCATATATTATGCAAAATAGGTACACATAGGCAAATTATTGATTTGCATAATTTATGCACTTCGTAGAATTTAGGGTTCCCCTGTGACTTAGGTTGCCATCTTGGCAGAGAATGTTTACACACATGCCCTGCAATGAAACTTCAGCAATTCAAACGGCAGCAAATTTCTTCGAGTACATGTCAGTTTTCTCCAAAATTGGGTGGGAATTTTGGACGTGGGGCAAATGTTTAAAATTACAGGGGGGATTTTTACTATGGTGGCCTGAAAAATGTAGTCTTGGCACCATCTCTGGTCAAACTGGCGACCAGAGGGCTCTTTCTGCCACTGTAAGAAGCCACAGATGCACATGTCCCGCAGCTTTTAGAACACAGCAAGCCGACCACTCATGGCTCGTGACCCACCTGCCAGCCATTAGGAATCCCTCCATCTCCAAAACTCTAATAAATGCTCCCCCGAATTCACTGCATGCACACAGACTGGGTAACTGGTGTGCCTGATGCCTATTTTGTTCAAATATAAAAGCAGAGGTCTTAAGGTGACAGCTTTTGTAGATGAAAGATATTCAGCTACCCCAAAAAAAGCTTGGAAGGAAATAAATCAAATAGGACTTGCCCCAACCGGGCTTCACAAGCAATAGCACCTGAAGTATTTGCCTTCCAGAGGTCCTTCAGATGCTTTGCTAGGTAGACTTCTGTTACCCCTCCTCATACCCCCCTTTTTTTAGATTTGCAGGAAGCCGCAGGGTAGCCAAGTTGGTTTGCATTTCATTTGCAGGTTGTCAACACTTGTTATGCAAAGAGAGGCGGAGGATTATATTGTTCCCTATTCAAGGCAAGGATTAACATATTAGTGTAGCAATTCTCAGCAAGAAAATAGAGCATTCACATTTTTGTGAATTTGTGCTGAGGGTTTTTGTGTTCTGAGCCTGTAGCAAGGAGAATGTTTCACTTCCAGTTCTGAATGCGAAGATGGGATGCAAGGTCTCTTCTAGGCAGCTCTTTTTAACTGCACTTAACTCATCCTGTGTTTCCCCAGCACAAAATGGGCAGTCTGCCCATCACAAGTGCAGAATCTCCTCCTGCTCTTAGCCTGTCCCCTTTCATCAAGGTGAGCTGTGTTTACCTGCTGGGGTGAAAGTAACATCCAGGTGAGGGTTCGCAGTCACACCCTTTGAACAAACACTCCAAAAATATCCCTCAAGTAGGACAGGGTGAACCATTTGGCACCATTTCGTTCACGCTTTTTCACTTTTAGGTTTGTTCTGTCTCCTTTCTGTATCAGATTCCATTTTTTTTCATCTGCATGAAAATTTGTATGGCTGTTCATGCACATTTTTAGACAAATGTGTACATATTTTTCTGTGCATTTTTGTCCAAAACTGCCATTTTAAATGATTTCCCAATGAATAATATATTTGCGAACATGTGTGATTTTTAAATTCATGCATTTCAAGGGGGAAAATGGTGGAAGATTCCCTTTCTTCCCTCTTCTAATCAAAATGAGAGCCTTCTGGTCTCTAGGGAAAACTTATATGCAATTCAGTGCAGCTTCTAGCGTGTCCTTAACACAGAGAAAAAAGAAAGGAAAATTATTAAGTCTCAACCCCTGATATCATCTAGGCAACAGAAGCAAATAGAAAATGAGGCATGTTGTTTAGGTAAAATAAATCCCCTCACCTTAAAAAGCAATGCAAGAATTAATTACTGCTTAAATGCTGCCTAGGGAAAGTTCCACCTCTACATTGGCCCGATGCATCAAAGGGCAAAATGGTTTTAAAAGATGGATATTAATAGATTGGAGAAGTATGTTAAATGATCTTTGGGCTGACGGAGTAGTGGTCTAATTTGCTTAATGTAGAGTATCCAATTCTCTTTCCCACAGAAGGATGAGCTTTTGTTTATCTGTAGATAAGAGCCTGAAAGATGAGGAAGGCACAAAGATGAAAGAACGGGAAAGAAAAACATAGCGAATGCAAGGCTACTGCCCCTTGTTTCTTTGTCAAACAAGAGGCCAAGGTTAAGCAACAGACAAGTGCGTGGTACTATTCCTTCCGGCAAAGCCTAAACTATTTGTTTGTGGAGATTCATCTAATATTTGTTGTAAAATCACAGCTTCTGCAGCAACCTGCATGAGGAACGTCCTTTTGTTCATGGCAGGCCTTCTGCGGCTTTACAAAACAAGAACAAGTAAAAAAAGAAATTCAACAGGTGCAGCTTTTCTCAGCGCAGAGGCACAGTTGTCAGGGAAGCATCACCAGATGGATTGGTGCCTGGCATTTCAAAAGCAAACCCCCTGAGGCGGGCCCAAAAGAGGCAGTCACCCATGCACCATGAGCAACTAAACAATTCATGACCATTAGCTGGAGTTTTCTGGCTTCTGACGTATCATAGAACCATAGAAACGTAGAGCTGAAAGGGGCCAGGAAGGCCATCCAGTCTAACCCCCTGCTGTTGCAGGACACCAAGTTACACCATCCCACTGGGATGGCTGTCCAGTTTCTATCTGAATGTCTCTAGTGTAGGAGAGCCCACAGCCTCGCTAGGCAGCTGGTTCCACTGCCGTATTGCTCTGACAGTGAGGAAGCTTTTCCTGATGTCCAGCCTGAATCTGGGTTGTCACAACCTGAATTGATTATTCCGTGTCCTACACTCCGGCATCAGCCAGAAGAGAGCGTGACCTTCCTCTTTGTGACAGCCTTTTAGGGACTTACAGAGGGATATCATGTCCCCCCTCAGTCTTCTCTTCTCAAGGGTAAACATGTCCAGTTCTCTCATCCTTGCACCCTTCCGGGTGAACCAGCTGGTCAGCACTGGCCTACCCAGCCTTTCCCAAGGTTGGTTTTCAGATATTCTTGGCCTACAGCTCCTAACACCGGACTGGGCGTGCTGGCTGAGGTGGCTGGGATATATAGCAGCACTGGGGTACTCATGACTGGGAAAGGCTGCTAAGCCACCTCTCCGCGCTTACTTCCTGAATATAAAAGCCCCAAAGAGACCTTCTTTCATGCCACAA